AAACCACACAACACTCAATCTCAATTAAGAACTTTAATGTCCTGCTCCCGCAGGTATTTACACATCGCTTCTGCTCATAAATGCATTGAGCATCACCACTCTCTTCTGCCTCTTGCTAAACAGCAGGAACGAAAAGTACCAGAAGCAGTCCTCAAAAGGCCCCATCCGGTTCTTGTACGAAAATATCAAGCACGACCCCGTGTTGATCGACCTGTCCAGAATCATCTCCAGAAACCCCACAAACTCCTTTACATCCTCGCTGTTCTTGTGTGTTGTGCTGATCGAATATGCCACCTCCCGAAGCACCTCCTCCAGCGTCTTCCTTTCAAACGACCTCCACGGCTCCCCATGGAAGTCGTAGTCTGGAAACCGCAGCCCCAGCGCAGACTGCAGGTACCGGAGAGGCTTCTCCACATCCCTCTGTCCCCTCTGCTTCCTGCTCGACTTGCAGGAGTATGCCTCCACCTCGATGTTGAGCTGCGGATTGATGTCCTGGAGCTTCTGGAACAGTTTGTTTGTTTTCGATATGCAGCTCATCTCCAAATATCTCATCAAGGGCTGCCTGCCCCGGCCATAAATCCTGCCTCTGCTCCGCCCGTGTGCTCTGCCGTCCATAAGAAAATTTTACCGTGCCCTGCACTTCTGATGCTGGATCCGTTCTGCTTTCTCAAGATGTACTTAAACGAGAGGGTCGAGATAAAAACAAAGACCGGCGATGTCTATACAGGCACTCTGGAGGGGTTTGACGAGCACATCAACCTGATGCTGCAAAGCCACGATGTCCAGAACTCTGCAGGCCGCGTCCTGTTTCTGAGGGGCGAGAACATTCTCTTTGTCGCCATGTCCCCGACCCTCTGACCACGCCTGTTCCTTGCCGCCCTCCCTGTCCGTTTTTGTCCCCTGCAGATTTTGCTTCAAATCTTTGCATTCCAGAAGCCCTAATGAAGATCGAGGCATCCGAGCTCAGGCAGCTGAGTGTTGAGCAGCTCGAGGAGAAGGCCAGGGAGATCAAGGCCGACCTGGCAGCCCTCCGCCAGAAGAAGAACAGTGGAGATGTCGGAGAGGACGACATCAAGACAACCAGGAAGAATCTGGCTCGTCTGCTCACCATCCGCCGCGAGAAGATTCTTGAGAAGCTGGTCGACGAGTACAAGGGGATTCCTGTCCACAAGCTCCCAAACATCCTCAGGCCCAGGCTCAACAGGGCAAAGAGACAGGCCCTCACAAAGCACCAGCTCAGGAGGAAAACAGCAAGACAGAGAGCCAAAGAGCGTAAATTCCCGAAAGTCATATTTGCCTATAATGAATAAACTGCATTCTTCCATCTTGTCCTATCCTACCCTTGTCCATCTGAGTCTGCCGAGACTCCATCTCCCGTCTGCCCCGCGCTCAAACACCGCCTGCATCACAAACACATGTCTGGTCCATTTCCCCCCCTTCTGTCCTGCAATCTCCACTTCAAATCCAGACTCAAGCCTCCGTCTCCCAATACTCCCCACCGTCGAGACATTCCTGATGTCTACAACAGACATCCCAGAACCCCCTATCTCCTTCCACAGGCTGTGAATGTCTGCCGCCCCCTCCTCCGTCCATGGCCCAGACTCCCCCTGTCCTTCCATCCCTTCAAATATCCTGCTCAGCTGCTCATTCTCGATCTCTTCTATGTCCAGGTCATTCCACCCCACTCCAAATCCCCGCCTGATCCAAGAGTAAACTCTCCATCCCATTCCCATGAGGCTGGGCCTGAACTGGACCAGTCCCCCGGCCCTCCTGTCTCTGCCGCTTTCCCCCTCACTCTTCCGGATCCCTCCGTAGTACTGCGGAATCCTGAACATCCTGTTCAGTCTCTTCTGGAACTCCCTCTGTCCCCGCCACACTCTCCCAATCCCTGCTGCCTCCAGTGCAAGTCCCATCGAGGCATCCGAAAGCCTCATTACTCTCCCCGATATCTCCCCAGCCCTCTGTCCGAGCCAGAACACACCGGTCTTCTCCACCCCTTCTCTCCACTCGCTCCACTCCCTTGCAATCCGCGAGCATGCATCCTTGAGCCTGGCGTTGCCATCAAACTCCTTCCTGAGATTCTGTCCAAGCACCCCTGCCCAGTCCAAGGCTGTCTTCCACAGGTGTCCCATTTCCAGGGCTTCTGCACCAAGGGATTACATCCCAGACAACCTGGCGGCGGATGAAGGCACCTCTGCGGGATGAGTGGTCGCCCATGCACAGAAGTGACCAATAGGCCTCTGCCAGACACATCAAAAACTATTAAATACATCCAAAACACTTCCTTTCAAAATGGCTTTTTTCCCCGGGGTTGAAGGAAGTAGTGTAATTGCAGTTCTCCACACATTCTCCATTGTCCTTCTGGTTTTTGTGATTGCCATTACAGTTATAAAAACACTTCCTCGGATGATTAGTGGAAGGAAGAGCAAGAGCAGAGGGATGGTTGGGAAGAGAATAGACAAGTCGTTTGCAAAGACAGAGTCGAAAATCAAGAGAAGCTAGATTGTAGGAGGGAGTCTGGGAAGAAATAAGCCCTGGCAAGAAAGCCCATGGAAGCCTTTGGGCTGGACGAGCTGGCGCTTGTGAGAAATGGGATAGCAAACGGACTCCGGGCGGATCTGAGGAAGAATGGAGAAGCAAGAAGGACAAACGTAGTCCATACAGACATAGCACAAAGTGATGGAAGCATCAAGATTAGACGTGGGCTATCTGAGATAGAAGTATCTGTACAGTTCAAGGAGACTGCCGAAACCCTGGAAGCTTCCGGGATACTCAAAGAAAACTTTGATGGAAACGAATTCTCTGCTGAGTCTATAGAATTTTCTAAAATTGCAATTCCAAATACCATTTCCTCTATAATTTTGGATTTGCTAGCTCCATATAAAATAGGCATAAGAATAGAGTTCAGCATACTAAGTAATGATGGAAACATTTTTGATTTATTTTTTATCAGTCTTGGTGCTTTGCTCGAAAATCTTGATATTCCTATAGTAGGTAATCTGAAAGAAACGGAAAAACAAAAAATAAGCATCCCAACCTCGAAAACAGTTGCTTTGTTTGACAATGGCCATTTTGTGATGGATCCAACAAGAATTGAGGAAGAAGCGTCTTGTGGACTAATACATATATTTAGTAACAATGAAGGTATATTGATGGGCTGTTTTTGCGAAGGAATTTGTAATTTTGAAGAAAAAACACTTTCAAGTATTATACAGGAGATTATATCTAAAACATATCTAATCCGTTAAATAAACGTAGATATTTTTCCAAACTGGTTTTAAGATTTGGGACGGTCGTTCTTCCATTGCACTTACTCACGGTTCTTAGAATGTACGTCTGCAGCCCTTCCTCTAAGTGCTCTGCGCATTTTTCTCCAATATCTCTGTTCAACCCCAATATGGTAGAACATTCTTTAAACCGTTCTAGAACCTCGTCTTTTGTTATCATTTTACCGAGTAATCTATATGACAGATGCATTGTATTGGCATAATATTTTGTTGGGATATTTTCTTTCTCGAACAAAGTGTCGTTTCTTTGAGCTTCTTCCCTTTTCCTTCTATTTTCTAACAATAAGTCTCCCTGAAGGAATTCTTTATCCAAGAAAGTACCAACGTTGAACTTTTTTGTAGGTCCAATAACTTCGAACTGATTCCTAAGTTCTAACAATATCTTGAAAAGGAAGCTATTATATGCTTTTAAAGATATGTTTTCACTCTTGAGGATTTTTATTACCTGGTCTTTAGACACTTTGTATTTAAGATTTTCTATTACAAGAGATTTGATTTTTGTTTTCATCGTTCGATTCGGAAAGGGGTAGTTTGGAGGATACATACATCTACTTACACATAGTATGTATCCCTTTAATTTTAACTGTAAATATCAAGAGACCCAACTAATGACTCAAGAAAAACTATGGCTTGAACTACCGCTGCTTGTGAAGTTCTTATGTTCATTATAGACACGGTATCTTCTTGTTTTTCTTCTTCAATGGCTTTTACAAGAATTGACTCTATCAAAAATTGAATTTTTTCATTGACTTCCCACACTTGAACTTCCCCGCTTACTAAAGTTTCACCTATACAAACTAGTCCGTATGCAAGTTCTTTTAGTGTTCTTTTCTCTTTACAAATATCGCAAGGTTCTAGGGTTTGTGTAGCCCATGAACAATTTTCACAAAGTATGGATTTTTGTTTTGAGCTTTCAAAACCATCTTCGTCTTCCATCATTTCATCTACCTCTTCATCTTCGTCTTCCTCCTCTTCATTCCTTTCCTCACTTTTATTTATGATATCATCAACAGCTTGCTCTATATCTTCCATCTGTTCTTTTATAAATTCTAAAATCTTCATGCTGGTCATACCATTAAATCTCTCTAGATTGTCCTCAGGCGGATCCTCAAACTCAAAAAGCGCAAAGCCCCCTCGTATGCACAAAATAGTCTTGATCGAAAGAATACATGTACATTTGAGAGCTCTCATACTTTACTGCTAAAAATTCAAGTATATACTCCTCAAATTTACGGGCATTTTTTGTTGGTTGGTTAAAGGAAACTGAAAGGAGCTATGTCCTTTTTAAACAATTAGCAAAGGCGGGATAATTATAACCGATTATGGAAACTCTTAAGGAGAATATGATGATCCCTTAACGCCAATGGATTAGGCTAAAGGCCATCTTTTATATCCAACGCCTAGTAGAAGTATCCTTTTCAGAAAATTTAATGATTGAGATTTTGCTTTAAGCATTTTGGCATTGTTAGTATTAAGGGCTTATTTTCAATATAACCCTTGATTTTAGAGGTTTTAATTATAACGTTGTTAGAAAACGGGAGAAATGGAAGATGAGGCAGAAAGAAGGCGTAGGACAGTGACATAAGGAGATATTGATATGAAACAAGATAAACAATTCTTTGTTTTGTGTCTTGGATATAAAAACAAATGGTAATAAACAAATAAAGATGAATGCCCAAAGTGATAAGGAACTGTTTGAGTTTCTATCCAATGCCCCAAAGGAGTTTCGGGACGGTGAAAGAATCAAGAAGTTTCAGCTGAAGAATGGAGATTATATTCATTGTGTATTATGGAACATGCATTTCTTCATTACAGGGACAGACATAGTGAAAATACTAGTTTGGAGGTTCCAAAATGCTGGAAGATGCCTTACAAGTCTAAAAAAATTTGAGGAGGGAGTGTTTTCTGATCTGAGAAACTTGAAACCGGGGATAGATGCAACGCTTGAGGGTCCTAGAAGCGAGTTTTTGGAGTTTCTATACAAGAACGGTTGCATAAGAACTCAAAAGAAGCAGAAGGTTTTTTACTGGTATAGTGTCCCACACGACGCTTTGTTTTGTGATGCATTAGAAAGGGATTTGAGACGGGAAACAAACCTATTTACGTATAATAAGTATATTAATAATCTCACAAGAAATAGCATGTTGCCTCATGGAATGGTTGGATTTGTAAGCCATACAAGGCAGAATAGCAAAAGAATGGGAGGAGATGTGGACCCGCGATATTTAAGGGGGATAGAAAATAAAGTCCTGCCAATGGGGATGATGTACAGCCAGGGAAGGACGATGCCACAGCAGGATATCCTTTTCGACCAGCAAATGCAGAAAAAAACACCTACTGCACCATCTGTTCCAAAATCATCTCCAAATATATATGACAAGCAATTCGAGGAAATACAGAAAAATGGATTTTTGGAACAGGCTTTTCCCGCATTCAACATTAAGGATAAATTGTTTTCATCAGGAGATCAACAGCTGGAGTATGATCTCCATCGAACAGATGGCCTATGTAATGATTTATTCAGCACTGCAATAATAGAAAAGCCTTCAGTAAACCTAGATGCAGCTTCTCCTAAGCGGAGTAAAGACTATAACATAGCACCATCTTCATTCCTTGAAGACCTTCCTGATGGATTTTCGCTTGACGACTTTGACTTCCTCAAGAATCGGGCGGAAAAGAGAGGAAGAGAGGACGAAACTAGAAGTTCTCTCAAGGAAGGAGCTAACCAAAGGATTCCCCATGATGGCGTCACTTTGATTCCAAACGCGAAAGGTAGTCTCCAAAAATAGAATAAACTTAAAAGACCATTTATATTGACTGGAATCTTAAGAAATCGATATGAGAGGTGATGCCCATAAAATTCTGAAGTATGGTTTCCAATAATAAGGTTATCTGCCATCTATAGAAAGAAGAATAGAATTTACAATCTTTTCGCTGAACAGCAGTTTCAAGTCGCTCAGTGTTTCAAAGAAATTCCCCCCGCTTACAAAATCTACAATTGCTTGAGCTCTCTTATCTCCAACTTTCGGTAGCTTTTTTATGTCGAAGAAATTTCCCCTATTAAGAATTTCCAAGACATCTTCCTTTGGAACTTCAGGTTTTTTTCGAGATTTCTTAAGAAGAATCCCTATCTTTTCTATTTTCTGTCTGATGAAGTCATTATCACAGAACTTTTGCATAGTTTTGTAATCCTCAAGAGCCAATCGATACTTTTGGGCTAGTTCAAGCTCCTGAGCTCTTTTTAGAAATGCCCTATAGCTTTTTTCTTTCGTGCGTGGAGATAATACAATATCGGGCTTTTCAAGAAGAGTTTTTAGAATCAATGAGCTCCCATTGGTAGTTTGTCCTGAACTTTTTGGATGTTTGCTTTTATCTGTTTTAGAAATGCATTTCCTGCTATCTTCCTCCTGTTTTTTATCGGTAGACTGGGCCTTTTTTCTTTTCTTCCCGTTTTCTCCCGGGGCTTCTCTTGGAAAAAGCCCAAAAAGTAAAGATTCTTGATTAGAGCTATTCTCTTTTTCCCTCTTTCGCACAATCATATCATTCTCTCTTTGAATGTTGAACTTCATATTTGTCTTTAAAGATAAAGGTCTCCTTTCAGCAGCATTGGAAGAGCCTTTCCCTTTATTCTTCAAGCTCTTATTTCTAGGTATAGTTTCAAGTACGTTTACAATACTTCTAGATTTCGATGCAAAGCTAAGAGTGTTTATCGAGTCTCCCAGACTGGACAGATCTCCGACAACATTGGCAATTATATAACAGAGACTATTTCCCCCAAGGGAGTCTTGCAGTAGTCTTGTCAGCTTGCTGTCTCTATAAGGTATTCTTTTCTCCCCTTTAAGAATGGCATTTACGACTTTTCCTAGAACAAAAAGGCTTCTATTGATGCTATTTGATTCTGTAAGCCTAATTCCTTCGTTTCCCGTTTTCCTATTATTTTCCGACCCTGCTAGGTCAATTAGATTGAGCTTGTGCTCTCCAACTCCTATTCTTAATATTCCATGGCTTCTACTACTACTCTTATTGAGCCTTGTTTCTGCCGTAGTTCTGTTTTTGGTTCCTCGCCTAAACATCTCTTCAAATTCCTCTATACTTTCAACACGCTTGGTGAAGAGGCCTGGAATCACTATTGTTCCATTACACTCCCTTAGAACTAGCTCCTTGGGATCCAATAAGTCGTAAATTTTCTCATTGTATATTTCCATATAGGAAACGAGAAATCCTCCATGTGTTAGTACATCCTTCACCAGGTTGTACATCAGTCCATGGGATTTACTATGGCCAACCATGGTGTGTGTTTTTCCTGCTCCTGTGCTACCATAGCAGAATAATGTTTGGTTATGCCCCTTTATAAGTTTTGGAACAATACATCTGAACCTCTCAAATACCTGGTCTTGAGTGGAGCTAGGCCCAAAAACTCCGTCAAACTCATATTTTACAGTCTCTCCACATTCTTTCGATACCAAAACAGTCCGGTCTGTGTATTTCAGAATACTTTTCCCAGGCTTTATACGTATGTAGGCTTGGATGGGTGCCTTTTCCATAACCTTCTTTTTGAGGGTGGTGAAAACAATCTGCTATCAATATTAGAATGTTCTGCCTAGAGATGTTTATTAGATACCTTCCATGAATCCCTTCATGAAAGAAGAACATCTGCAAGATATTCGAAAAAAAGTCACCGCAGAGCTAACCGAAATAAAGAGAGCCACTCTTGAGAAGATGAGGCAAAGGCTGAGAGAGGCATTTGACCTAATTCCGACGGAAGTGAAAGGGTTGCCATTTCTATCTCTTATTGAGGGGCTTGAAAGAAACTACACGGGTAAAGCAGTGATCCTTAAGAAAAATGAAGGGATAGTCTCCAGGAGGACTCCTAAAGACGTGAAGAAGAGGCCTTCTGTAATGTTGCAGGTCGAAGATCAATCATTTATATTTGACGGTGATGGCCTTAAGGTTGTTGGGCCATGGAATGGAAAGGAGTATAAGGGAATGGTTGAGGAAATTAACGGCATACTTAAAAAGCACATAACCAAACTATAAGTGTTAAGCCCAGATAAACATGTTTTTATTTACTCTTTATTGATATAAACTCCATTACCATACCAATCTCCTATGTAAGTACTTTTAACCTGTATTTTACAAAGTCTTCTTGGTCTCCGCAGCCTGGGGAAGAATAAAGCACAATCACCTTCATATTTCGACTATAGCTCAGGTTGGGTGCTATTTTTGGTGTAATCATAAAAAATTGCTCTTTACCTTCTTTACTAAGTGCAACCAAAATGTCATGGACTAATTTTTCATTCTCCTTGTCCATTCCTTGGTTTATTTCATCTACAAGACGAAATGGGGAAGGTCTATAATTCTGAATGGCTAGCAAAAACAAGATGATGGAAACCGACCTTTCACCCCCACTCTGTCTGTGGGAGTTTAAGACTTCAAAATCGTCACTTTCACGGAATTTGACCATTATGTTGAGCCTCCACTTGCAAGCATCAAGTCCTTCGTGAACAAATACAATCTTCCCATCTCCTCCGGCCTTTCTAAATAAATTTTTGAACTGTTCATCTATTCTGGATACCATTTCCTCAATCCTGCTAACAAGAATGCTCCTTATATTTGTCCCTTCTTTTTCAGTACGTTCCAACTCCTTAGAATACTCGGAGATATTTTCCTCAAGATCTTTTACATCCTGTTCTCTGATCTCAAATTCTCCCAGAGCTTTATGATCAATATTATAAAACCTTAGCTGGGCCTTTTCCTTAATTATTTCCTCATCAAGCTCATCCATTGTACTTGGAAGTAGGCTCAGAGCTTTATCATATTCCTCTGTTTTCTCTATCTTTTCGAGCCGTTCCTTCTTCTCCCCTATTGCTTTTTTAAGTTTAAAGTTCTCTTTCTTTTTTTCGATTATTTTCTTTTCTAATTCTTCACTTATTTCCTCTAGCGTCTTCTTGGATTCCGAGAAAAGTTCAATATCCTTCTTAATGTTCGTAATCTCTCTAAACAGCTTGGCTGCAGTACGAAACACATCGAAATATTCCTTCTCTGAAAGATATTCGCTAAGCTTATCACATTCCTTTTTCCATTTAACTTCTAACACTCTTCTAGCCTCCTTTATTCGGTCCTCTTCCTCGTCCAGGCCCTTTGCATCCAAAAGCATTTTTAGCTCAAGCCCTTTTCTGTCTATTGATCCCTTTAAGACCCGAATTTGTGTCTCCTTTCTTTTTATTTCCATCATTTGAGAATTGTACCAACTTCTTTCTTTATAAAGTCCCTGAAGTTCCTTGTCAATGACTTCCCCATCTTTCAAAATCTCCCTTAGCTTTTCTTCGTTCTCTCGTCTTGTCGAGTTCTTTTTTGACAATTCTTCTTCAATAGTCTCCAGCTCTTGGAGAGACAGGCTCTCCGAGAACAAATTCCGTGGCTTTAGAGGATTGTAAATAATGGCATGCTCTGAACCATATCTACTCTTCTTGATTTCAATGTATCTTCCTCCTGCTGCCATCTTTTTTACATTCGTTTTTCTGAATACTAGGCCCTCATCAACATTTTCCTTTGAAACAGGGATCTGATCAAAATGCCCAGCCACTATCAAGTAATTCATAATTTCCTCTCTACATTCTATAAAATCACTTAGCACTCCTTCAAAGCCTAACTCTTTCAATGTCTCCCTAGGAACACTTTCTTCTCCTTTATGAAGTCCTTCATTCATCTTGATAGCTTCAATGGCATTAATCATCCACTTCTTTTCATCCTTCATAATTCGAACAAAGGTTTCAAAGTCCTTTCCTGACTTGCAAATAAACGGTGACAGCGACTGGAACCCTAGAAAGTTTTCAACTTCAAGAGAGTATCTAGCATCCTTTATCCTTAGTTGAACAAATGGTGGCTCTATTATTTCATCCTTGAATAGATGTTTGTTTTCTCGAAGCCAGCATACAGCCTTGTATGTGTCATCATGATATCTTCTAAGCATTTGAAGCCTCATTTCATCCATCTCGTGGAACTTCTTCTTTTTTAGACTAAGGTCATCCACCAGTTTCTTCAGCTCAGAAGACTCGTGCTGGATTTTCCCTCTTATTCTCATTAGGTTGGACATTTTCTCTTCTAGAACCCCAATTCTAGCCTCGTCCAGTTTTGGAGGCTGTGGAGGAACTTCCACCTTGGAAATTTCATCTTGAAGACCTAAAATCTCCTTTTCCAGCCTTTCTGCATTTACTGTTCTTTTCTCCTTTTTGTTTTTGAGCGATTCTTCGTCTACCTTCAGTATTTCAGTTTCCTGCTGAACACTTCGAAGTCTTTCAACCAGATGAACTAAATTTTCATCGTACTCTCCAAGAATGTTGCATAACCTATCGCTTTCACTGTAAATTTCTGACGATCTTAGCTCCATTATTTTATTTTCAATCTTCAAACTCTCTTCTTTTTTCTCTTCAACTTGCTTCTTCAATGAACTTATATCTTTCTTAATGCTGGCATATTCATCCGTATAAAACTTATAGCGAATCCAGTCCTGCTTTTCATACATCATTCTTATCCTTTCCTCCTTTCTTTTCTTTTCACTGGCCTTTTCAACGTCTTTTTCTAGCACTTCTATTGCTCTTTTCACGCATTCTTTTTTTCGGACGCATGAGTCAAGCATATCTATCAACTTGTTTCTTCCTGTTTCTAACTCCTCTAACCTTCCCAATTTCTCCACAATCTCTTCCTCCCCCACTGCCCGCAGTAATTCTACTAAAAGATCTTCTGGGGAAAGCCTTGTAAACTCTGAAACCTTCTCTTGGGGAAGAAATTGACATAAATTTCCTATGTTCTCCTTAAGTCTTCCTATAAGTTCTTCGTACTCCATTTTTCTGCATGCCTTTCCATCAATAAAATATTTGCTTTGATTATCCTTGGATATATGTCTACTAATCTTGGTTTCTCTCCCCTCAATCCATACAACCACTTTTATTCTTGCTTCATTCTCTCCAAACTTCACATACTCTCCTATGCTTTTTCCTCTACCTATTATCCGAGGTGTTCCCCCAAACGCAAGGACCATTGCATTCGCTATACTACTCTTTCCAGATCCGTTGGGTCCCGCTATAAAATTAAAAGACGGACAGAACTTAAGAGATATCTTCCTAAATGTTTGAAAGTTCTCCAGCTCCATTGATACAACATTTCCATCCTTAAACCCCGGCATTAGGGATCGAAAACGAAATCTAATTTCCATTCATACACTCCATACTCCCAATCTTCGATGAAAGACGGTAAGGCAAATTTCAAAAGTATTTATTTTCGGTTCTCCATGGCCTTTCGGGCAGATTCCTGACATCTCAGTCGGTATTCTTCTTTATTCGTTTTATATATATCTGCAACCTCGGGCATCAAGGGATCATCGGCATTTGGATCATCAAGAAGGGTGAGAAGAGATAACAATACACTATTCAACGTAAGTGCAGGAGACCATTCTTTTCCGAGAATGTCTATGCAAATCATTCCTGAAGAATTTATATTTGGATGGTAGATAGGTGTCTGGAATGTTATCTTGGGAGGCTTGAAAGGATATTCGTTTGAAAATGTTATAAGAAGCTTGAAAATCCCTCCTTTGTAGACACTTTCTTCTGGAGCCGTAAGGTATGCTTCCCAGGTAAACAAGTCCCCTGAAACAAAGGGAATGATCTTGATGTACTTGGATGTTGAATCCTTCTTTTTCTCATCGCTCTTATCATTTTCAAGCAATGCATATTCTTTTTTTATCCTTTTAATTGCAGCACTATCAGAACCAGCTTCACCCATTACGAGGTTTGTGGGTTTCATTTTTCATAAAAACAAATATCTTGAGAAATCAGGATCTTGTTTCAATTTCTCCAACCGTGCATACATACCGAGATGGCAAGCCTAGGGATATTTTTGAAATGTTCTCCATTCCAGTATCTTCTGCAACCAAGGCAGCGTGTTTTCAACAAAAATAAGGAATAAAAAGACATCTGAAAATAATACTCTGTATCAGAATATGAGGGGTGAAGTAATGGGCTACGACATACACTACGAAGTTGGAAGAGGAGGTTTTGGAACAGTGTATAAGGTAAGAAAAAAAGTGGACTATAAAACTTATGCACTAAAAATAGAAAACAATACAGCGAGAACCCGAAGGAGAGCCATGGTCGACGAAATACAGGCCTATAGGGAGCTTCAGGGTTGTGATGGAATCCCGCATCTTGTGGACTATGGTTTTTATAAGGGCCTGGCTTTTCTTGTCCTCCCTCTCTTTAGATATTCATTGAAGGACGTCCTAGAAAGAAATCCAAAATTCTTCACAAGGAAATCAGCCACAATCCTTGGAAAGAAGCTTCTTAGCATCATCGAGTTGATACACGGGAGAGGAAGACTATATAGGGATATCAAGCCTGAGAACATCATGTTTGATCACAATAATAAGATATATCTCATAGATTTTGGCATGTCTATGCCCTACCTCGAGGACAATGGAGATCACATCCCTGAGCTAAGGGGAAGAAGTATTTCGGGAACTCTCTGGTATATGTCGATAAACACTCATAAAGGAGTGGAGCAATCCAGAAGAGACGATATTGAAAGTTTGTTTTATCTTTTGATCCTTCTCTATAAGTCAGAATTGCCATGGGTTGAAGTTGGAATTTCCATGTCAAAAAGACAGAAAACGAAAACTCAAAAGGTAAAAGAAAGTCTATCCATTCATGAGTTATGCGATGGGATAAGCGGAAAGGAGCATCTTATAAAATTCTTCGAATATGTCCGACGTCTGGAATTCCTAGAGAAACCTGACTATCGATACCTGAACAGTCTTTTGGACAAAGTTCTCTGCTACAAAAAAGAATTTTGGAATTATAAAGAAACAGATAGTGGAGAAATCAAAGAAAGCACCGGACTTATTGCGGTTTCTTTGTGGTATAAACTTATATCCATTCTCTGTCCTTTTTCCATTGAATAGAATACAATACTTGTTACAAAACTGAAGAAAAAACGGCCTTTTGTTAATCTCCTTGTTATGAAATATAAACTCACAGCAATATTAAAAATTCATAACAGTTGGATAAAATCATTAGATATAGATCCTTATGATGCTCTCCTTGCATCTTCGTCTATGGACGGAACAACAAGAATCGTGGACATAGGGACAAAGCAGCTTTTAGCCACTATTCCTCTGAAAAGTGTCTGTGAGGAGATCAAGTTCAGCAAGATTCATCCGTATACTTTTTGCGCCTTACTCGATGGATTGATTAAGTGTTATGATCTTGTCGACAGGGAATTTATAAGAGAGTATTACGGGCACATGTCTTCTGTTCTATGTCTAGATACATACGATAGAAGGATCTTCAGTGGATCTTCCGATTGTACTGTGCGAGTTTGGGACATTAGAGCCAGAAACGATGTATCTGTCATGAAAGGACATAGTCTTCCAGTTACTCATGTCATGTTCGACAACGGGTTTATCTACAGTTGTTCTATGGATGGGAGCGTACGTCTCTGGGATGAGAGAAGCAACAGCACTGCTATCGCTGCTTTTCCTTCAAGTGTTACTTCTATGTGTACATGTGGAGGTTCGTTATTTGTTTCGACTGGGAAGAAAGTATTTGAATGCAAAGATGGTTCCTATGAAATCGGATTGGGGCTAAACGCCCTGTCATTGGGGAGCTATAGCGACAGTCACTATTTAGTCGGGAGTGAGAAGTGTATTTTTATAAAATCTAGAATGAAGGGAGGACCAGACTACCAGCTTGAAACAGCAGGACCAGCCAATGTTCTAAAGACTACGGCTAACAAGGAGAAAATAATTAGTGGAGGAGTAGACAAAAACATAGAGTTTTTGGAAAAAGATCAACATATTTAGTTATTTTAGCATAGCAACGATTTCCTGCACTTTTCCTTCCCAGATCTCGTATTTTTCCTTGAGCTTCTGAATTTCTTCTTTCTGTAGCGCTCTTGGAATAAGGCTGTCGAAGTAAAGAATTCCCTTCTCTCCGTCAATCCATCCGCTTATAAGCCCCAGGCCAAAGGACTTTAAGATGATGTAGATAACCATCTTGTTTGGTATCTTCAACAACTCTTCAACCTTCTTGATCGATACTTTCTTTTCGGCCTCCGAAAAGCATATATTTATTAGGGCTATCATATAGGCCTTTTCTTTGACTACGTCGGCGTTACTTCCAAAGATCTCAGTAAATTTCCCATACTTTTCTTCCAGTCTCTCTACATTTCCTTCTCTAAACATTAAGAATATTTCCTTCAGATCCCTATTATTCATTTTATCGAACCCAGGCAGTGATGTTATTAAGGTAAAGTTGAAAAATTCTTTGCTAAGTAAAGCATACTCCACAAGACAATCCATCAATTCCTCAGACCCCGATAAGTTTACATATCTTAGGAGATGAGAAAAAGCTTCTTCAACATTCTGAATCTTTTGGTACAATTTAAACCCAAAAAAATTATACATAATTCTCACGTTCTTTGGCATTCTAAAACCTTTCCACTCAAATAGCTTCTTTTCAATCCCCCTGAGTTCACCTATCTCAATTAGAAGTAGGCATCTTTTCATTTCCAGAAACATCTTCTCTACTTCGAAGGTTTCAGAATACAGAACAGAGTTTCTTATAGTTTCTTCTCCAAGTGCTAAGACTCTTATGCCTTCTTCCGGATTCAATCTCTCCGAAAACGCGAGAAAGACTTCGTATGAAGATCTAGGATGAATTTGCCCTGCGCTTTCTAGAAAAGCGTCCAAGAGCTCGTTTAAAGGAAAAGAATCCATGGAATCGATTATTGCATTACAAAATTGCATCCATTTCCTTTCCTTCTGAAGTTCCTTTATCCTATTCAATTCCATTGGGGCATTCCATAAACAAACTTTTATTTTAATGACCTTTACTTCTCTTTGGTTAAACCTTACTTTTGTAATACGTCTTCTTACAGTTTCTTACCATCTTCTGGCCAAATAGTTGCTGAAGAGTTTCCATTTGGTTTCTCTTTCTTTGTACCTTGCGAAGTTTTCTCTCTTTTCAGGGATGTTCTTTCTCCATATCAATCCAAGCGATAAATAAAGATGTCACAACAAACAAACATGAAAAACATACCAACTATAGTTAGAAATCTCGGGACAATTAACATCAAGAACCGTGTGGGATTTTCTTCTGTTCCAGACCAAGTAAGGGAAAGTTCGATGGCTAGGGGATTTGAGCTAAATGTATTGGCTGTTGGAAGAAGAGGACTTGGCACATCCACACTAATCAACTCGATATTTGCTGCGCCTTTGGTTGATAAGAAAAGGCCGAACACAATCACAGTAACAAGAAACGAGATTGTTGAAAACGATATTTCTTTAGACATCTCTATTGTGACATACCACGAGCTAGACATAAGCCCAGTCCTAGATTACATAAATGCCATGAACAGAGAATATTTTGACAATGAGCAAGGCCTCTACAAAACATTTAAGGACAACAGAATCCATGTCTGTCTTTATCTTCTTCCATCCGACACGCTTACAGACCAAGAGATAAAAAACATGTACGAGCTTTCTCAGTGCTGTAATCTCGTACCAATAATACCAAAGGCGGACATGTACACTCCTGACGAGTTGGCTTGCGTTAAGGAGTCTGTAAAGCAAATCTTATCAGAAAACAACATATTTTTCTTTGTACCATACTTCAACGAGAACGATGGAGATCTCACGGAAGAGATTACAGACATAGTTGAAAACATGCCTTTTGCAGTAATTGCAAGCGAAACCATGTATGAACACGGGGGAGAGATTGTACGAGGAAGAAAATATATTTGGGGATTCATTAATATAGATCTTGAGGAGAGTAATGACTTTAAGAGACTCCAACGCCTTCTTATATATACAAATCTTGACGAGCTAGTAACAAAGACAAACCACATGTTCTACAATACCTATAGGAAGAAGATTTTCGACATTGAAAAAGACTGTGGAGCAATGAAAGAAGCTAGATATCTCAAGCTCAGGACCGAAACCATAAGGATCCTCAACGATAAGTATGAGAGCAGGATAAAAGCTCTAAGGGAGGAAGAAATAGAGATGGAAAGATTTTATAATGAAAAGCTAAGTGAAGGAGGCCATGAGATAAATGATCTCGGCAAGCAGGTAGAAAAATCCCTCCAGGTAGAATAGATTCTATGAATATCCACTCTGTCAAAATTGGCTGGATCTTTTCCACCTCATAGTATGCTTGAGTTTTTGATAAACTTCTTGAAATTCATGACTTTCTTCTCATTTCCACTGTATTCTATTATTTTCCAGAGCCTAAGAGTCAGATGCGGCCCAACATTCTCCATAATAGGACTCTTTTCCCCAAAACAGTATCTATATAATCTGAAGTAGATGAAATCACCCTGGACGGTGAAGTTTACAACTTGTCTAGAGCTTGGATGGAATGGGAACATACCAGCTAGAAATTCAACTACCTGCATTCCTATATCTGTTGTGAAGTTATTTACAATGAGTTGAGGTGGATGATCTTTTGAAATGGGCTTGGACACCCTTAGATAGTCTCTGGATTTGTACTGGACTATCTTTAGAACCAGCTGTATCTTCTCATCCTTAAAAACTATCCACTGAGGCCCCACATCTTCAACTATTCTTATGATCACCTCGGACCTCTCATCGGGATCTCCACCATAAGAGTTTGGAATTATATCTAAGAGTTCCTTTTGTAGTGCCGTTGTATCTTTATGAGGATTATGCGGAATCGATATAGACACTCTCATTCTTCCGGGGATAGCTTTTATCTACGAATTAACGGAATATGGTTTTATTATCAAAAAGCAGATCGTTCCTTTGGATTTGGAATAATAAGGGTGAAACAGCCTTTGAGAGGAAGTTTTACCTTTGTCTTATGTATTTTTGAGTATGATGTTAATTCGAAGACAGCATTGGCTACAGATACCTCATGATTGTAGAAATCAGACAAAAATTTTTCTGCATCCGCTGCGTTCTTCGATGGTATTTTTTCTATAAGAGAAATCATCTGATCGATGTTTCTAAGTTTTGCTGCCTTCTTCAACTTCTTCAATTCCATTGGGGCTGAAGATTCTGTTAGTTAATCGTCTTAAGTGTTCAACCCTCATTGAATGGCAAAGAGGCCTGGAAGTAAGTACATAAGCATAGAAGCATCCGAAGAAGACTCTGAGCTTAGCCATGAGGATTTAGATGAGGTTCAAGAGTCTGTGGTGCCTCGTAGAGATTGGACCAAGCTTACAAAGGAGCTTGAAGAAAAATATGGATCCATACCCGAAGACGAGGAGATTGACGAGGAAGAAGAGGAAACTGTTGAGCATGGCATTAAGCAGGCAAATTTAGTTCCTAGAAACACATCCCCAAGATTGTTTATTGTAAGAGTCAAGAGAGGATCTGAAAGAGAGATTCTGATGAAAATTGTAGAGAACGATCCTAAGAATATATTCAGTATAGTCTGTAAAGATGGGTTGAAAGGATATCTATACGTAGAAGCCTTCCAAAAGCAACATATTATTGATGCACTAGAGTCACTCCGGGGAGTTAGCAGAAACCGTGTATCTGTTGTTCCTCCGAAGGAGATGATTGAAGCGATGACGTACCATGAACAGAAGATATGTGGGGAATGGGGAAGGATAAGAAAAGGAAAATACAAGAACGATCTTGTTAAGATCATTGAGTATGATGAGGAAATGGTAAGGATAAGAGCAGTTCCGAGGATTGACGGAGAAAAAAAGCTTTTCAACCCCGATAACTTTAAAAGCGGAAGTGTCATAAAGTCTAGGGGATACTATGTGTACAAGCGAGACACATATGTAGATGGATTCTTGGAAAAGGATGTTTTAAAGAGTAGTGTTGACTTTGATGTGGAGCCGACTTTCGAGGAGCTTGAGGAGTTTCAGCAAATCTGCCCTATATCTGTAGGAGACAAGGTTCGAGTAACCAGAGGAGAGCTTATAGGAGTAAAAGGAATTGTTCGAAGCATCAATGGGAGTATTGCTGTTGTTGAGGGTAAAGACGGGAAGTTTGAGATTCAGAGTACGGGGCTCGTCAAGAATTTTGATGTAGGCGAGATGGTATCCTATAAGGGAGAGAATGGAGTGGTTGTAAAAATAGACAAAAAGAGCTGTATAATTGCTATAAGGGACTTTACCGAGGAGTTAAAGGTCAACATTGATGATCTGAAAGGCCCGGTTACAGCTAGCCCAAAAAAGGAAAGGCCTAGTGGGATTGAACGAAAAAAGGTCCGAAGAGACCCATTAATTAACAAAGAAGTACAAATATTGTCTGGAGAGTATAAAGGTCATAGCGGTATAGTCAAGGAAGTAGATAGAAGCATATGCAGGATTCAGTTAAATTCTAATATGAAGTTTGTGCTTGTAGAAAAGGATCATATAATTACGCCAAGCCGAGAAATATCAAGCAGGCCATTAAGGTACAATGAATCGATTGTATCCAGAACTCCAGGATATAAAACACCTGGATACAGAACACCTGGATACAAGACTCCGGGGTACAAGACACCTAGTATTTATGCTTCTGAAGATGTTGGAATGGACTGGCTCGGAGAAGAAAATAATCCATACAGAGGTACTCTGATCCGGGTTTCAGAAAAAGAGTTAATCCTTGAAGATTACAAAGATGCTTTGTTTATTACAAAGGAAAAGACCTTTTCTTTTTCTGAGGTTTCGTTTGTTCAGCCTCAAAAAAATGACCTTGTCTGTGTGCTAGACGGAGAAAAGAAAGGAACATGTGGGATTCTAATAGCTATCAATGGAGACTTTGGAGTTGTAAGATCTACTAAAGGCCCTGTGGTACATCTTCCTATGGATCAACTTTCCAGAAAAATTTATTAACAGGGTTTTTTGATGAGGATGATAACCATCAAGGATTCCTTGGTAGCCAAGTACATGTACGGCTTTCCCCAGGGCAAAGAGTTAATTCCCTATCCGGTACTTTCATTATCGCTCTCTCCCCATTTCTCATCCCATTCTTCGTTAGACCGACTCTCGGGGTCATTTCCTGCCACCGGCTCTTTGCTACTGCAAGCCTCCACAACGCCCAAGCAATTTTCTTCAGGTCCTATCGAGGAAGTCATCACTGTAGAAGAGACTATTGAAGGTCTTTGAGAGAATGCAATGGATAAATCCTTTTCCCTTAAAGATTCTGTGCAACTCTGGCTTGGGCTCTCCTCTCCTACATATTCATCATCTACTTTATTGATTTCAGGATCTGTTGCATCTATGAGTCCCACTTCATTGTTCTCATCGGTTTTAGCAAAATTTCCGTTTTCAATGTTTCTCTTGTACTTTTCTCTCCCTTCTCTTATGGTGATTCCCTTCTGAGTCTTGCAGCAGCCAGAAGGATGTTCTTTGAAAAGTTTCTTAACCCAACACGGAGTCTTCAGAATATCGCGTCCCCATCTTGGATAAATATCCTTGAAATAATGAAACAAATGCCCAACAACTATTCCTAGCACATCATCTATAGATATTGATCTCCTTGTTAATAGCATGAATCCAGGAAGAATAAATGGAAGATAGAATGCAGGAAACGAAATAAATCCAAATATCTGAACAATGGCTCTTGGATTTCTCTTTGTCCAAATGTATGTTATAGTTGAAGAAAATGATGTTCCTAGTGCCGATATACCGTAGATGTTCGATATGGCAAAAAGAGTAGATGATATTACCAATACCAACCAGAAATATTCGGAAGTGTTAATGCATCCCTCCTCGAGCATCCTAGAATAGCGGTACAAAAAAACCACATGCATGAACATGTCCAATGTTGGTTTTCCAAAATAAAGGAACGATGTGAATATTCTCCATACTTCGAACTTCCTAAGAAACAAGGGAGAATAATAAAGGCTGTATGGAGATACAGCATCCACATACACAAGAAGAGATACCATTGTTATAAGTAAAACCATGCATCTTGTGATAGGAGGAACCCGGAGTATCTGTCCAAGAAGAAGATCATTGTTCATTTAGGGATATAAGAGAATGCAAATTTATGAGGATGCCATACCAAAATCAACAAATAATCATAACTTTAATTGTTCCTTGGGTGCACGTCCTATTTCCTCCCGGGTCCTTCTTGAGTTCATATATGGCTTATAAGCCCATTCAAACTCCCCATCCACCTCGAAAGTTCCTTTTCTTATTTCATATGCTCTAAGGTCCATTCCAAGACTCTTGCTTAAAGTGGTTTTATCTCCCTTCTCTATTAAATAGTGCCGGAATGCAATAGTGTCGTTTCTGTTTACTAAACTAACTATTCTTTTTGCTCCATCGCATCGGGGAAATAGTAGCGCCATTTTCTCTTTGATTTTTATCCCGACGGGTCCCTCCATATTGTCGCACACAAAGTACATCTTAGGGGAAAGAGGATGGGATCTCCTTGTCAAGAAGTGATCTATTATTGTGAATCTCATCGTAGGCCCAAACGGAAAGTAGGAAACCGCAAGAGCAGACGGCCTCCCCCTATTCTCATGTATAATGATAACACATGTGTATTCATGTTTGTGTGCCAAGTCACTTATTTCTTCCTCGCATAGTTGTCCACGAATGACATTTTCACCGTTCAATACTAGAGATAGATGCTTTGAGAAATGCAGAAGTTGCGAGCTCGGACTTCTCGATGTAGTGACCATTATCTTTGGAAGTCTATGCTCTTCCTCAATTTTCCCTTCGTAAATCATTTCGTTCAGCAATGTAGCTGCGTCTTTTTTAATGTCGTGAGGGATTTTTGTGTTGGACTCCAATGCTTCGTCTAGCTTTTGCTTTTTTCCCTCCATTTCTTTGTCAAACCTTTCTCTTTCTTTTTGGAGCAAATATTCTCTTCTCTCTCTCTTTCTTCTATTCATTGGGAATGGGCTCCTAAGAAAAGAAATCAGTCCTTCAAGATCTTGGATGCCAAAAATATATCAAACTGCTCTTTTATTGCCAATCTTAGTTGGAATCAACCTTCTTGGTCTCTCGCCGATGTATGGATTCTGTGTTTCCTATCATAGATCCCACAAATACTTTGGCGAGACCACGAATTCCAAACTCGTATATATCTTTTCTATAAAATTTAACCATCTCTTTCAAATGAAGCTGTAATATCTTCAGGGTGACATTGTCTTCTGAAAGAATAGAATGATAGTTGCTATCATAAAAGCGCATTAATACATCCAGAACCTTCGACAGCTCCTCTCTATCATCCATTTTTAGCGACTTGGAATGTCTCCATATAAGTTTTAACAGAATTTCTTCCTTAGAAGAGACCAGCATTTCTAAATATACTTCTAAGACAAGACTGGGCCTGGAATTGAGGCAAAGATTAATCAGAATTTCTCCTATAAGCGAGGTATCTCGAGAAAAAAAGCCTGGAGAAGATACCTTTGCATTATAATCCTTGGTATTCTGTCTTTTCATTATCTTTACGAGATCTGTGTTGGCACTGAGCAGGGTCTCTTTTCTTAGCTGCCCACAGAAGAGCTTGTTCTGGCTGAGTTTGAAGAAAACTTGAAGAATCAAGTCCGAAAAAGAAGGATTGTGGAGTACATCAAAAAGCTGAATTGAAATAGAACTAACAATGGAGTTTGAAAAAGACAAAAGAGATCCAATCTCTGAATCTATGATGTTCATGAGTCTTTTAAAGGCTACTTCGCTGACCCCAGGATTGGAGTCAATAAGATGATCTAGTACAAGCTCCAAACCGCTTACCTCCCTTCTTTGCTTTTCAGGGGGAATAACTTCCTTTCTAACTTTCTTCGAGTTTGGTGTGAAAACTCCGGAGACAGAATGTATGCTCAAGGCCTCAAAAGAAGCTTCAATGTCGGCATCTCCAACCACAAAGGAGTCATCGTGAATGGATGGAACCTCCATGTCTATTTCCTCTCCATCAATTACCTTTTCTATGTATTCCGATTTCTGAGAGCCTACCTCATCGGATGTTTTTTCAAAATTCTTTTCTATTTTTACATCATCACAATCTTCATTTCCTGTAGACATAAAACTTCCCTCAAGCTCATCTACAAAGCTTAGGAAGTCTGGGCATCCCTTTATCGCATCTTCAACCTCTGTTTTTCCTCTTTTCTTAATCCCTTCAATAAATTGCTTCTTGTCCCCTCGGAACATTCTGTACTTCCTTACTAGCTTTAGTATCTCATTATTGGCCTCCTTATTGCCTATCTTTTGGTAGACCAGAAAAAGCTTTGTAACAGGATAGACCCTGTCCATCATCCCCAACTCCTCGCTCATTCCGTTAGATAGAAGATACTCCACAAGCTTTTTGCATTCAAACTCCTTCAGAATATACTTATTAGAAATAAACGATAAGAGTGTCGAGTTGATAAATGCTTCTGAAGCATTCGATTGAATAAGAAAATCTATGAGAAAATCGCTGACAATCGTCTTATCTATACTGTCGAATAGGTCGTAGACTTGATGAAAAGGCCCTTTGTCCATCATTTGGATAAACTGAGGAGTGAAAATCTCTTCTCTATTTCCACTTCCCTTGGCCCTTTGCCTACTGATGTTATTGAGTAAAACATCCATTCCCACCTTCGAATGCTTCTTCTTGCTTGCAGAGTCGTCTTCTCGGGAAGACAAAGCCACATCTTTAGAATTCTCTCTTGTGTGGTTAGAAGGTGTACTCTTTTTTCCCCTCAAGACTTTGCTATCCCTAGTATCGGGGTCTTCTATCTTCATTCGTCTTTCTGGTGTAGTCTTTTTTTCCAGGCCGGAAGAATTTCCATCTCCTGCTTCTTTTTTGCTATTGTTTCCTATTATTTTATTGATTCGAGGAAGAGCATTATGAGTGACCGTGCCTTCAAATATGTTTCCGTACTTCTTGTGGATTTCAGAAACTACTTCCATTGCCTTGTTTCTGACCTCTCCAACCGGATCAAGAAGGCAGTTTCCTACCATCTTGATGAATTCCTTGTCATTCTGCAAATCTCTCAATGAGTAGTCTAACAAATTTAGTCTAACCTGGGGATTTTTATGCCCTAGAAACTCGGCATTGCTCCCACTTATCCTAACCCCAACCTTAAAAAGGATTTCCTTTATCTTCTCCGAGGTTACATCTTTCTTCTCCTTGAGCCTCTCAACAAGCCCCTTTATAATTTCAATGTTCCTAGGCTTTAGTTCTCCAAGAACCTCCAAAGTTGTATAAAATACTTGATTGTTAACATCCCCTATTCTTCTACAAAGAAGACTATTCAGCTCACTATTGTACTCAACACATCTAGCTATTTTTTTGATCCCACGCATGGCTTCTAATCGGACCTTCCAGTTATCATCGGAAGCTCCTTTAAGAAGGTCTCCAGATAGACCCACAAGCTCCTTTTTATCCTCCTTCTCTTCAACAAGATTACACTTCCCGAACTCTTCCATTAACTCTTTCTGCTGTATTGGCTTCAAATTACTTAGGTATGGCAAGAGCAATTCTCCATTCCTTTTGTAAAGCTCTATACATAGCTTGAATCCTTCATTTCTGACTCCCTTGTCCGCATGCCCCATTACTTCCCCTATCCTTTCACCAATGGGCTTCAAGCCACATCCTCTACTTCTAACAACGTTGCAGATGGCCGATAATGCCCCAGATACATTTCTAGGAGACTTAGAATCCAAAATTTCACACAAAGCATCCATAAGTTCTTCGGTATCTTCCAGTCTGCCAATCAATGCATCGATCCTTGTTTTGATACTAGTCTTGGAGTTCCCAATGTTGCCAAAAATCTTTTTGACATCGCCGACTTTGAGATTATTTACATTTAAAAGAGCATCTATTGCTGCCTCCAATGCAGGAATATTTCCCTCACTTTGGAGCATCTGGACAACCTCCGGCTCTACAGCCCTTCCCTCTTTCCAGAAGGAACCAAGCATGTTATATGCTTCTTGTCTATCCTTCCAATTCTTCGAGCTCAGTCTTTCCATAAGTCCTGCCTCTATATTCATTTCCGCTTTCTCCATGCCCTTCCCAGGTAATTTTTATTTATTCTTAGGTCTCCACAGAGACTAATCCCAGACTAATAAAACCATATGTGCCGATATAATTTATTTCGTACTCACATATTCTGGTCGAGATATATATATCCCATAATATTTTCCCAATTGCAGTTGACATCCATTATCTTTGACTTCGACATGAATTTGAGTCCTCCATCTGTGTTAGGAAGTATTAGACATCCATATATCATGGGGGAATCCTCAATTACGTTTCGCCCGTCATATCCCAATGAATCTCTTAGAAAGTTGCGAATGCTATAATTGGAGTTGTTCAAGAAAAACAGATAATTTCCAATACTTTCTAGATGCTTAATGTATTCGTTATGTTTATACTGGTTCATCTTTCTAGAGATAATATTGAAGACCTTAACATAGTCTCCCTGGGAGACAATTATAATTGCATTTGTGCACAAGCTTTCAAACCCCGCCCACATTTCCTCAGATAGGCTCTCGGGAGGAATCTGGATTTTCATTCTATCTCCATAGATATTTTTTTCTATGTCCCTTTTGTTCATTAGAATTATATTCTCTGGATTCTTGAAAATCATATCCCGGAGGCTATTGTAAAACGAAAGATGCGTGATTATGATCCCGAGAATAATAATTATGGAAATTAAAACACTATTCACTAAACCTGCCTTAACCTTCTTCTCCATGCCCTCTATCTATGGGCTGTAGTTTTTGTACTTCTAAGCTACCCCTCTTCACTCTGGAATTAACCAATTAACTTAATATAAAGGAGCACATAGAACATCTAATGGAAATCCCAAGAGTCAAAGTTCATCAAAATTTTTCAAAATTGGTGAATCAAAATAATAAAAGGCCCCCTTCAATCTCTAGGATGGATCTACTTTCAAGGTTAAACAAGAAATATCTACTAGGTCCAAAGGCCTTATATGTTGCGATTAGCATGCAGTACTACACATTGCACAAGTTCAGGCCTCTGTTTGCTAAAGAAATGTTTGGAATTGGAGAAAGCGAGTTGGGTGCAATGGGGATCTTATTGTTTGTGACTTTCTTCACCAACATACTTCTCGCAACAATGAACGATAAGTTTGGAAGGCCAAAGATCTTCATGGTTGCCCTGTTGTCTCTATCCTGTATTTTTTTCCAGCTGTTCTATATAGAAAGATATTTCAAAGGAGTCCGCTCTATGTTCTGGATAAATCTATTTGCTTATCTAGGAACTAATACGCCAATCATGGCCTTACTGGACAAGATTGTGCTGGACTATCTAAACAAGTTTTCAGATGAAAACACCAAGGCCTATGGAAAGCAGAGAATCTGGGGGACAGCCGGGTATTTGATCAGCATCTTTGCTCTTGAGGGAATCATAAGAACAACGAATTCCAAAAGTGGAATTGATTTCTCAGGTCTCAGATACTATTCTCTTGCGACAACAATAATCGCAGTCATTCTGGTGGCTACACTTTTAGAGGATTCAAAAAGCGAGTGCAGAGGACCCAGTTACAACATTATGTCTGAATGGAAGGAATTACTGAGAAATAGAGAGTATTTGTTTTTCATACTTATAATTTTCCTGAATGGATTCACGCGTGCTGCAATGACACTTTACCTTCCGATCTATGTTAAGTATGTACTTAAAGTGAAACCATACATACTCCCTGCATCTTGGCCTGCATGGGTAAGAAGCAGTTTATGGGCTCTTAACAACTTTCCATTTGGGACTATCACCATGTTTGAAATCTCCCTCGAAATAGGAATTCTGTTTTATTTCGATATAGTCTCCAAGAAAACAGGTCTTCTCTGGCCACTACTTCTTTCTCAGATATCCCAGACGATCCGATTTGTACTGTATCTTATTCTCCCTCCTACTAATCCACATGTGTTCGCCTTTTGTTGTATGTTTGAGATATTTAAGGGAATAAATTTCGGCCTCTCCCATGGGGCTGGAGTGCAACTGGCCGAGAAATTATGTCCCCCTCATCTAAAGGCTACATCTCAGATGATATACAACGGTGCATTTACCGCTATTAGTTCAGTAACAGCGGGGCTCTATTTCCGGTATGTATTCAGAAACAATGAAACCTTAGACCCAGAAGAGATTATTGCCAGGAGAATCGAGTCATTTAGGATATTTTTTATGTCAAACATCCTTGTCACTACCATCTCAATCTTTCTTTTCCTTATTAAGTATGGAGTTAGAGATAAGAAGCCACTCAATGTTCTTTTTTTCTGTAGAAGAATATCTCAAAAAGCATAAATGAAATCAAACCGCCTTTGAAGTAAAATATCAAAGCGCCATTTGGTACTACCCAAAGCCGAAAAAAAAGCGAGAAAAGAACCTAACCAAGGCTATCTTGGCAATAATTCCGCGCCGTCCAATGAATATCAAAAATTAATTTGATGGGAAAGATTTTTGACTCTAAATATAAAGTTGATGTACTCCTTAAATATATTAAATTTAATTTACTAGAAATCTATAAATAAAAGTTCATGTTTGGAGAATGATGATAGAGTCTATAAAAAAACTAAACAGGAAGTTTCTAATTACGCCAAAAATTTTGTACTTTTTTGTGAATCTCCAGTACTACACTCTTCATCAGTTCAGAGGGGTATTTGCAAAAAAGAAGTTTGGAGCCTCGGACGGGGATCTTGCAAAATACATGGGCCCGATGCTTGGGACAATATTCTTTACCAATATTTTCATTGGTACGATGAATGACAAATTCGGAAGATCCCATCTATTTATAGTTGGTGCTCTTCTTCTTACCTGCGCTCTTCTTCAGCTGTTCTATGTGGATTTGTATGTAGGTATCTTTCCGGGGATGTTCTGGATCAACTTTCTCCTTTACATGGCTTTTAATAATGGGATTCCTCCATTGCTCGACAAGGCTGTATTAGATTACCTGAATGGGATTCCTGAGGCGGGGGCCCGAGCCTACGGAAAGCAGAAATTGTGGGGAACGGCAGGATACGGTTTGTCTTGTAAGGTAATAGAAAAATGCATCAAGTTTGGAGATGATTTCAAATTTGAGAATCTGAGATACTACTCTTTAGTGACCACTGCTATATCGGCATCCTTAGTGTTTCTCTTGCTCAAATCTCCTGCAAGCGAGGGAAGGGCTGTTAGGAGAGATATAACTGCAAACTGCAAGGAACTAATGAGAAACAGATCTTATCTGTTCTTCATACTCATGATACTTTTGAACGGAATAACAAGACAGGCATTGTCTATATACCATACAGTATATCTAACAGATGTGTTACAGATCAAAGGATACGATCTCCCTGACACATGGCCCTCCTGGCTTCAATCTTTAGTTGGCTTTTTTAATGAATCTCCAGTAGCCACAACAACCATGTGTGGAATGGTTTTTGAAGTTATAATGCTTTATAATTTCCCTGCTATAAGCAAAAGAATTGGGCTAGTCTGGCCCTTTTTCATTGCTCAACTTTTCCAGATACTCAGGGTCGGATGCTATTTCGTATTAGACTACGACGATCCTAATGTGTTTTTGTACTGTTGCCTTATTGAACTTACAAGGGGTGTATACTTTGGGCTTCTTCAGCCATCTGCAGTTCAACTAGCCATGAACCTTTGCCCTCCACATCTCAAATCCACTTCTCAGATGATCTACCACGGAACCTTCACGGCTCTTGGATCTCTTGCTACCTCTCTTGTATTTGGAAATCTTTTCTCCGAAGACAAGATGAAAGGAAAGGACATTCCTATAGAAGATAGAGCTGCAAACTATAAGTTGTTCTTCTTTGTAAATATCTGCTTTGCGTCTGTAACCACGGGATTATTTGTCTACAAATACTTCATTCTGGACCGGATATCCAGGCATAGCACAGATCAAGAAAAGAAAGCAATAATAGAATCCCAAGAAGAGGGAGTGGCAAATAAATAGAAGCTTTCTTGTAGATTTTAATTTTCTATCTAAACTGCTTTTTTCAGCATCTCCCTTAGAGTGTCATTCCTTACCTTGCCCCAAGGAATGGAGAAGAAGATAAACGAAGAGCTCTTGAAAAAAGAGTTTGCTTCTCAAGAAGACCTTCGAAACCATGTGTCGCTTATACAGACAATGATAAGAGATTATGAGAAGGATCTCTACGAGAGAGGAGAATACGATGACCTGTCTAAGAACAAAGTTAAAGATTGGAGAAATAAAGTATACAGGATCATTCAAGAGCACAAGGAAACTTCTGAAAGTATGGAGAACATCGATGAACTAGAGAATACAATAAAGCTTGTTCACAGACAAATAGGAAAGGCCGATTCCAATCAACAAATATTAGGGAAAAGTACCTTAAAGCTCATGGGATTGAACTATACGAACACTGACATCGAAAAAGCTCTAATGGACACAAGAAAAAAACTCAAGGAGAGCCAAAGACAGGAAAAAATCGAAGGATTTCTAGTCTTAGCGGCCCTCCTTGTCTTTATACTTGTATGCATCTTGATACTGTTTGACAAGTTTGTCTCAGGTAGATGAGGCTTTGTTTCATTCGTAGTATTTAATTTGGAAAGATGCAAAGTTTATGTTAAAATTTATAATAAGTCTGCTAACTCTGATTGTCTCCACCATGACACTTGTGGTGTCCTTAATGAACAATCAGAACAAGACCATTGATATACCTCATACGAAAGGCACAGGAGGAAGCGAGATGGCTATGCCGTCGGAAAGCGGATCTGACGACAATAACACAGGAGAAGTCCTAGACCAACAAGGGAGTAGCCTAGTGTCTAGAAGCGGTTTAAGTCCTTTTAAAATATCGGCCAACCATTTCTTGAGGGGAAGACACTCAGGTTTAGCATCTAAGGGTCCAATTTCTGGATTGAAAAACAGGAATTAAAATATTCTTTGATACAACTGTAACTTTTTCTCTGATGTGAAACCGCGTTAGCCCCGTGTTTCAACAGTGCTTAAAATATCGATGAAATGAATCGAAAATGTTATTCAATACATTCTTAATACTTGGCTCGGTTACTGCAATTGCAGAGTACTACAACCAAAATCTTATCCCATACATAGACAGAATAAGTAACAGGGAGGCCTATTCCGACTACAATGGAGAATCCTCGATGATATCCGTGAGTGAGTCCAACTTGCTTGAGGCTGGGGAAAACAACGCCTCAAAAGAGACCATTGTTGGCGAAAAGAGCAAAGATCTTGACTTTTCTACCTTAGACTCAAGTAAAGCTGAATCTCCTGCTGGAGCCATCAAATCTCTGAGAATAGGAAAGTTTAAGATTAATCCCGAGAGTATTAACGACCTGATCCACCGTGAGATGGCAGACATGAGTCCTGACCTTCACAACAAGATTGTAAACACCCTGGAACGTAACAATGTTGACCACAGAAGATACAGAGACCTTTTTCTCATAAAGAAAAGAGTCATTGATGATGGTAGAAGGAAAATAATCAACTTCAATATCAAGGAAAAAATCATTCCAAAGGATGGGGAGGAGAATCTTCCAGTTACTAGAGACTTCGGGACAAGGGCACTGCTTGGAGGAATTCTGTTCTTACTGGCTGGACTGGTATTTACAACAACCCTGAAGATGTACCAAAGTCTCATACAAAAGAACTACTTTGGCTTTGAGGAAAAGGGAGAAATGTTCCCAGAGACCAAGCAGACCTCCTAACAAAGAGATCCAAAGAAGGATTTTGCAAAAAAAGCCTAATAAAAGCAAATTATGTCATACTTTATTCATCGATGCTTGCAACATCAGATTCCTCATGGCTATTATCTTTACTTTCAGACTCTTTCTTATTCTTTGAGTCATCACTAGTATCTTCTTCGGATTTTTCTTTGGTCTTTTCATCTTCTTTCTCCTTTTCCTTCTCGGCCTCTCTTTTCTTCTCTTCAACCTCCGCTTTAGCCTTTTCTAGATACTTCTGGATGTCACTTTTGACCTCGGTTATAAAGTTTCCATCAAACGATTCTACATTAAATAAATTCAGATCAAAGGTCTTGAGATACTCGTCTAGTTTGTAAAGAAGCCCCTGCAACTTGTAGAAACTAGGTGTAAAAACCTTGGAGTTTTCTCTTTTGAACTCTTCGATGGCTTCCTTGTGCTTCCTAAGGTCCTCAGACACCGCATCCTCATAGTCGCTAAGCTTCTTCGACACAAATTCAAACCTCGATAAGATGGAATTCCTAACCTCCTCTTCTTGGGCTACAGTCTCGGATTGTGCCATGTCAAACAAGTCCATGGCCACTTCCTTGACAGTATTTAGCTCGTCTTCACTTATTATATCTCCAAATCTACTATATAAAACATCCCCAAGCCCTACTGCCATAGTTTCTAGCTCATTTCTCATTGCTCCTATTCTTTCAAGGCCCAACTCCTCGTCTCGATACTTTATCTCTAGTGCCTTAATATCGTCCATGTCAATCTCCGACAGCCCGAAAGGCTTGTATTTGTAATCTACAGAATCTTCACATTCCACAGAGGTTACACATACTGTTCCAAACTTTCCTATCGAAAAAGACACATGGATTGCCTTTGGCTCCTCTGTCTCCATCTTCTGGATTTCAAGAGTCGAAATAACTTCCCCATCCTCTAGAATTTCTATTCCAAAGCTTCCCTTTCTATTGTATGTAATCTTCTTTGGATTTCCTTCAATCAGTTCGGTGGGACTGAAAATAACTGTGGGGTTAACATCCTCTCCTTCAATCTTTATGGAAATTTCTCTTCCAACAATGTCATGGAGTAGATATCTTGCCCGTAAGGATCTGCATGCAAGTCCGAGGGCTGCTCCGATGGCAGAGGCATCCGAAACATCCAATGTAGACTGGTATTTGATCTTATCTTTCAGCATATTCTTAATAAGAAACGAAATTGAATTTCCCCCAACAACCTCGATCAGCCCATCAAACTTTGTTTCTTCCATAACAGAATCAACAAAAGAACCTAGATCATTTAGATAAGTCTCAACTGCTTCCTTGTATTCATCCTGTGTAACAACCACCTCCAAAGGGTTTTCAGTAATAAACAGTTGGATACTGCAGCACTTGGTGGAGTTCAGTGTTGTTTTGATTTTGTCAAGGTTTCTTTTAACTCTCTCTCGAATCAGTTGGCTTTTTTCCAGAGAATGCTTTTCGATGATGATGTCAATCAGCTTCTCATCAAACTGCATAGATCCTATCTTCACAGCCTTGGTATATAGAGGCTTGAACACGTTCTTTTCAAAACTAAAGATCCCAGCAGTAGACTTAGAATATCCGAAATCAAAAAGAAGGAACTGGCTAGGCATACCCTCTCTCCTGACACATGCAAACATTCCCATTCCAGATATGTCTGCGACAAGCCCCTCAAGCTTGAAGCCCATAGCATTTGCAATATCCACTAGGGTTCTTCTTTCTTTTTCCTTAAAATAAACCGGAATAGTCATACACACAGGAGGATGGGTAGGTGTATTCCTTTTCACTACCCTATCAATATACTTCATAAACATCCCGAAATTCCCCCAATCCTTCTTGTCCGACAGAGAGTCCCTGAAGCTTCTGCTTCTTACTTCAAGCGAGTTTTCTGTGTCATTGGTCACACTATTTCCAAACCGTCGTATCGGCATGCTAAGCTCCATTATGGTCTTTATAGACCTCTTTCCTTGCTCGTCCCCATACACCTTTCCGTTGTCCTTGGAGGATGCTATTACTGTTTTATAGTTTCCAACGTCAACTCCAACAAACTCCATGGGGACACCACTAGGCCCTGTTTTATCTTTTGAAAGTTCTAGAAAAATCGGTTAAAAAGAAGGGTTCATACCTGAGCCTGCATTTTATTGATTTATGGAAGTTCTTTCGAAGAGGAAATAAATACCTTTACTTAGTACTTCTCAAGAAGTTCAAGCTTCTCCTCGATAGTGGTTATGAGATTATAATTTTCGTTAACTAGACACATAACTTCATCTTCTTCGTCCTTGAGAGTTTCAATAGTCTTGTTATATTTGTCGCACACTCTTTCGAATTCTCGAATACATGTTAGAAGCTCGTCTCCAGTCCCCTCAGGAACCTCTTCCTGGAAGCTGCACAGCCACTTTTCAAAAAAGTCCACATTCTCTTCTGTTTCTGCAATTACACGCTCTTCCTCTTCAATTTTGTTTCTTATTAACTTATAGTTGTTCAATGATCTGATTATTCTTTCGTCCTGCTCGAAAACCTCCTTTGCCTTCTCTTTGAAGACCCTTATGTTTTCTTCGAGCTTTCTTGTCTGCTGTTGTATAATCTCTCCAAGTGTCATTTGTATGAAGCTCACACCCTTCTCTCCTACAGGCTGATTGAAAACAGAAGCAGGTGTTCTGGCCTTTCTGCCAGAAGAGCTTGAGTCCTTTGTCTCAAGTGCCTGGCCCAAGGTGTCTGGTGTAGAGGGAGATGCTTGTGAATTGAATGTTTCGTTACTCCCAATATGTGGAGCTTGCATTGGTGCAGCAAACGAAGGCGAATTATTTTGTATTCCCGTAGCTGGTGCCATGCTTGATGTTGTATTAGCAAATGGGTTTGAAGCTTGGAGATTGTTTCCTCCTGCCTGTGTTGCCTGGGGTTTTAGGCCTGGAATTCCTCCAAGGGGCTGTGAAGTTCCTACCCCGCTAATTGATCCTATTCCCGAAGACTCCGTCCCTTGACTCGGTGCAGACTGTGTTCCAACAGAAAGGGAATTCTGTGCAGATGTAGTAAATGGGTTAGTAACTTGCCCAACTCCAGCTCCCTGTGCTCCAAAGATGTTACTTGTTTGTGGTTGAAACTGTGTCCCAAATGTATTGCTTGCTTGGTGTGATCCAAACACCCCAGAAGAAGGAGGAACGGCAGTCTGTGGCTTGAATAGGTCTGTTGATGGTTGAAGAGTGCTCTGGCCTCCAAATATTGAGGTGTTTCCACTAGGCTGAATGCTTGCGGGCTTCCCAAACAAAGAGGTTGGTTGAGCCTGTGGTTGCTGTGAACCAAACCCAATACTTTGGTCTTGCTTATTAGGAAATCCTTGTGAGCCAAAGCCCTGTCCATTTCCTCCGAATCCTGTAGATGATGAAGGATTAAACATTCCTCCCGGTTGCTGTGCCCCAAAGGCTCCCTGCTGAGGCTGGCTCCCAAAGATGTTCGGCTTGTTCATTTGGCTTCCAAATGTATTTTGCTGAGATCCAAAAGGTGTGTTCAAAAATGGGTTCTTCTGATTATTATCATCTCTGTTTTGCTGATTGAAAAAATTGGAGTTCATGCCAAGGGGTTGTTCGCTTCCAATAAATATAATTCCATCTCTAGCCGGAAAAAGGACGGGAGCATTTCAGATCTGTTTCCTTTTCGATCCTCTTGCCATACTCTAAGTTCCAGGCTTACACCAGAGCTCTCTTTTCAAGAAATGAAATGAAAACACCAAGTACTTTCTTCCCATTTTCATCTACCACAAAGGTAAGCCTTGCCAGTAGTTTATCAAGAGTAAAGGAATACTCCTTAAAAAGATCTTTTACTATAGAGAGCAAATCCGAGGATACTTCTCCCTTCGAAAAATACCTTTCAACAGCGGGATTTTTCATCTGTGATATTTTTGAGGTAAACCAGGTACACTTCATCTCCTCAAGATCATTCATCGATTTTCCGGATTTTTCGGGGAAGAAATTCAGATAATCGTCCTGCATTTGAAAGATTAAAGCCCCGAGGTTACAGAAATCCCAAAGATACTCTGGCTCCTTCTTTTTGGCAGATATATACCCAAAGATGGCAGGTAAGTAAAAGGTATAGGCACCTGTCTTACTTTCCGCAATGGCAGTATATGCTTCAATGTTGTATTCCGCCCTTGTCTTTCGGATTGTATCATGTGTTTGTCCAATACAGGTCTTGAATATTGAGTATGAATAGGGCCTTTTCATCCTTTTGTCTATCATCTTTCTTATAACTCCTAAAAGAAAAAAAGCGTCTTTAATCACTTTTGTTCCTCTCTTAAGATAGTAGCAAGGCTTCTCTCTTCTCACCTCCGAATTGTCCATTAGGTCGTCTGTAATAAGTAGAGCTGCCTGGAGTAATTCAATAGTATATCCCACCGTAAGATTCTTTTCATTCATCTCTCCATTCAGTGCATTCAGAACATGGATATACGCCTTGTATCTTAATTCCTTGCCACCCTCTAGGTTATAGTCCAAAAGAAACAAAATTTCAGACTTGTTGTAGTAATCCGATAGTTGAAGAACCTTCCTTTTTACTATTTCTTTTATCATTAGGGATCATTTGGATTGATTTGTTTGGTTCACCTGGAAGAAATCGGAGATTTGTTGATTTTCTCCTCACATAATTTGTTTTGTCTGCAAAAACAATATGAACCCGGCAAAATTACTAAGAACAGACTGTCCGGCACTTTACGCTGCTTTTGTTGTCTCCCCAATAGTCGGGTATGTCCCACAAATACTTGCAAGGGATATTCTTCTTTCCCCACTTATTTCGACATTCTTCATAATGACAAACATACTCAAGATATTTCATTACAGCTTTGAGAGATACTCACAATTTCTCTTGGCACAATATGTTTTCACCATCATACTGCATGTCTTCCTTATAGCTATAAATAAGAGGCCTTTAAGTACATATGAGGCAAAGATACTTGGAAATAGAACTATGAGGGTGATCTACAGAAGATATGGCCCAAAAGGAAGTGTTTTGGGAATAATATGTGTTTTTGTTTTCTCCATAAATCTATACGGGACTCTCTATGGATCTTACGAGCATTGTGGAAGGTTTTCATCGGTTCTTGAAATAGCTGTTAATCTTTTTCAGCTTGTACTGGAAAGAGAAGAAAAGACTTTTGAGTCTCCAAAGAAAGAGACTAAAAGATCACCGAAAGAAGTATATTTTTGTTGGATAATAGGCGATGTGATAAAGATATGGCTTATGTCAAGCATAAAAGCACCTATAGTCTTTGTTGGAACAATAGCGATTCAAATCTTCATCAATCTCTTTCTGATTCTTTCCTGAAGAGACCTTTGGGCCAAAAGATTAAATAAATCAACAAGTGTGTAAAATTCCAAACAGAGGTTTAGAAAGGAAGAAGGCATTTACTCCCTCAGACAAACTCGACTTATACTCGGAAGTCCTCCATGATAAATAAAATTTGTACTACCCTTAGAAAGATGTCGAAGGACACAGTGTTAGAGGACTACCTGAACAAGGATTTCGACTATACCAAACTAACAAAGACTCAGCTGCGTAAAATTATGTATGAGAACGGAATTGAGCCTATTCCCCCTGCAACATCCAAAAAGTCGGAGCTACTGAGAGCATATAAAGAGAACATTCATGATCGCATTGATGTGTTGATAAGTAGGAAGAAGAACATCTCCTTGGAAAATTCGTTCCAGAATGCGTCTCCAAGAAAGAAATATGGCTTTACAGAAGTTCCGGATGTTCCAGAAACGAATAATAAAGACGGAATCCCAAATAGGAAGTCTCGTGGAACATCATCTAGTCCAGGGACTCCTAAAAAAGGAGAGAGAGCTTCTAAGGAAACACCCTCAAGAAACTTCTCTTTAAGGGATTTTAGCTTTTCAGGAGATGCCCCTATCCAGGAAAAGAAAGATACCTTAAAAGAAACAGAAGAACAAGATCCCTCAAACCAAACTCCTGGATCAACCATGTTTAACAACTCAACAGTTGATTTCTCAGGTTCTTCGCTCTCGTCATCTTTCATCCTTTCGTCTTCTGAAGAACGTTCGTCTCTTTCCAGAAGAAGCGAGAAAGAAACTGGTAATATAAAAATGAAGAAAAGAGCATTCACTTCAGATCCAACCCTGGACAAACCTGATTTTCAATCCAAGCATTCTTCTCCCAGGTCGATGTCCAGCAACTCTACAAGGATTAATATTAGTAGGCCTAGACCACAAAGAAGGAAAGGAAAGTGGTGTTTTGCAACTCTTTTAATGATTATGGTTTCAGTTGGTATATACTTTAGGTTTGTGTGTCCGTACTGTTCGGGAGATAAACTCCCTTGCATTCCCCCTCCAAGGCACTCCAGAATTGTAGATGGAAGATTAGTATGTGACAAGGGCTTTATGGTCAGGCATGGGATTTTCAAAGATTACTGCATAAAAGACGACCGACGGGAGAAGAAAATGGAAAAAAAGGTAAAAGAACTAAGAAAAATATTAGAGAGGAGGAGTGGAGATTTCATGTATAGAATGGCTCCTACCAAATCTATTCCAATTGAGCTCTTGACTAAGGACTCGGAAGTAATAGAAAGACTGAAAAAAGAAGTTGGGATAATTATCTCCAATGAAATGATCTATTCCGTAAATTCAAGAGTGTCTGTGAAGACTTTTTTTAGATATTACTTCAAAAGAATACTCATGATATCCATTCCACTATCAATCGTAGTGGTTGTAATCAGGGTAATTAGAATGTTTAGGAGGAAAAAGCAAGAAAGGTTACAGACAGCACGGAAAATAGTAAAGGACATTGCAGATGTCCTAGTGAGACAAATATATGTGTCTACAAAGAATACGAGTTTCCCTAGTTATGTATATATAGAACAGCTTAGAGATTGCTTCGGGGTTGATAAAAAGATATGGAAGGAGGTTGAAGATATCATTTTCAAAAACTCCAACATAAGAGAGTCTTGTGTTGAAGGTAGGAAGGCTTGGGAATGGGTTGGGCCCATTCTTTATAAACCAGAGTTCAACGGAAGTCTGTTTTAGTGATTAACAATGACTTTTCTTGTTCGAGAATTTTTCTATCAGGTAGAAGACCTTAATTAATATTAACTTTGGAGTTCCTTACAGGAGACCATTTAAGTTAGGGTTTATTGTATGGAAGTTTGAATTCTATGCTTCTCAACTGCCAAGGCACATGTCAATGGGTTGTCCACGGTTGAGTCCATTCCATTCTTTAATGGAGAAAACTCTTTCTCTCTAGGAACGTTCATCACACCGTTCTTTTCTGTGTATTCAAAGCTATCAAATATGAATGTCTCCTTCTTGAATCCGTTAGGCTTTTCCGGTTTTATAAGCTTTCCATTTTCAGTGTATGGGATTTTTTTGAATGCCTTGTGCTCAGGAAGATCCACATTCTTCATTTTTTTTATGAATGATGTTCTGAACAGATGGTTACAGATGTTACCTTGTATTCCTTGTCCATTCGCGTCGTTCTCACCATACTCCTTGATTATAAGTTTCTCCTTCATTAAAAATGCCCCAACGCTTTCCTTCTCTTCCTTGGTCACAGACTTGCTCAGAATGTCGTAATCTCCGCTGTAAAATGCCCCAACAAACACAGGATCAAGAATCCTTGCAAGGATGTTATCTATGGAGATAACATTCAAGACCTCTACCTCTTCAAAATTGACTTGCTGTATTGCCTTGAATATATCTCCGTTCCCATATGGAGATTCAGCATATCCATCGTAGAGTTCTAGAGGCTTTCCATCTGTTCCCACACATAAGGAATTTTTCTGCTTGAAGAAATAAATCTTTAGGCCGAAGTTCCCTTTCTCTTTCTGAAAGTAATTTCTAACTGCTTCATCTGTAAATGAAGACGTCATGACAAATACAGTTATATCTGCACTGTACTTGCTTATAAGCTCCTTTATTGTCTCCATATGCCACTCAAAAAGAGTCTTACCCTTTATCTTGAACAATCCTTTTGGAGCATCTGAGCCGAGCCTGGTTCCTTGCCCTCCGCTCATTATCACCACACCCAGCTTCTTTTGCTTAAGCATGTCTTCCCCTATTTTCTTATACTTTTTCCCCGACTCATTAAGCTCAACCCCATCATATGGCTTAATAAGGCTACTGCTATTCATATTAATATATCCCATAATAAAGCACATAATTTTTTCTTGATTATATAGTTTTTTGTATCAAAATGAACCAATAATGTTATATTCATTTAGGCCTTATTGGCTTTTTCATGGCCGTTTAAGATTATTAAGTTTATCAAATACATAAAGGGTTCTAATAGTCTCTAACTATACTTTATAAATTAAAAAGGAGTGATATCTTTGATTAGATTTAATATCATGTAGCCCAATTGATTTTGCTTAGATCTATTCCCTCCTTGACCATCTCGTAAAGAGGAGACATTTCTCTCAACTTTTTGACAGCTTCAACAGTCTTGCTTGCTACTATATCGATCTCCTCGGGTATGGTGAATCTCCCGATTCCAAATCTTATTGAAGAATGTGCAAGTTCATCATCTCTGCCAAGTGCTCTCAGTACATAAGATGGTTCCAAAGAGGCCGATGTACAGGCGCTTCCACTGCTGAGTGCAATGTCCTTCAGATACATCAGAAGGCTTTCTCCTTCAACAAATGGAAACGATACATTCACACATCCAGGGTTTCCTTCCGAAGACCCATTGATGATCACTCCCTCAATGTTCTTCTTAAACATGCTTTTTAACTTATTTGAAAGCTTCTTAATGTATTCAAAATCTCTTTTCATTTCTTTGGAGCATATCTCTGCAGCTTTTCCAAACCCTACAACCAAAGGAGATGCAACAGTCCCGCTCCGAAGTCCTCTTTCTTGCCCTCCTCCGTTAATTATTGGCATCATTCGGACTCGAGGCCGTCGCCTGACATACAAAGCCCCTATTCCCTTGGGACCATAGATTTTATGAGCACACATACTTAGGAGATCTATGTTCATTTCATTAACATCGATTTTAATCTTTCCAGCCCCCTGTGCTGCATCTGTGTGGAAAAGGACCTTTTTTTCCTTGCACAGCCTTCCTATTTCCTTGAGAGGTTGTATTGTTCCTATTTCGCTGTTTACTGCTCCTATAGATACAAGGACTGTATTGTCTTTTATATTCCTTCTAATGTCTTCAATATCAACTATCCCATCCTTTCCAACAGGGAGATATGTAACCTCCACACCATCTTCTTCTAGGTTCCTGCATGTATCAAGAATACACTTGTGTTCGGTCTGAACTGTTATTATATGAACAGGTTTTCCTTCCTTGAGCTTAAAGCTAGCAACACCCTTAAGCGCCAAGTTGTTGCTTTCTGTTGCTCCACTGGTAAATATTATTTCTTTCGGATCACATCCGATGAGAGAAGCCACTTGAGATCGGGCCTTCTCTACTGCAGCTTCGGCTTGCCATCCGTATTGATGTGTTCTTGAATGAGGATTTCCAAACACCGTTGTGTAGAATGGGAGCATTGCATCAAGAACTCTTGGATCGACAGGAGTAGTCGATTGGGCATCAAAAAATATTCTCTTCTGAACCAGATTGCCGGGAGGGATTTGTGGTGGAAGAGCAGGCTTGAGAGAAGGAGACTGCCCTGCAAGACTCTTCAAGATTCCTGCCATGATGGCTAGGGTGGAAAGGAATTGTTTTATTTTGGAAATACATTCTTATGGGTTTCTATTTTGCGGAGATCCTTTATCAACCATCTTTTGTCTCTTCCTTTCATAGAAACGTGTTTAGGCGAGTAAATTTTGAACCCATCGAAATGGCCAGGTCCTATATGTTTGATAGTAAAACAACAGAAAACAGAAGAAAAATGAGGGAGGAGCAGCAGGTTGAGCTTCGACAGCAAAAAAAAGAGGAGCTTTTGAACAAGAAAAGAAATCTTTCCATTTCTGCATCAACCATTTCCAATTTCATCCCTATGAAGGAAAAGCTATTTAGTAACGATCTAGAGCAAGCTCATCAGGGTGTTTATGAGTTCAGGTCATTGCTGAGTGTAGAAGATTCTCCCCCGATTCAACCAGTCATAGACTCTGGATGTGTTCCCAGGTTTATAGAGCTTATGAATATATCCTTTTTAATGTCATCCGAAATGACAATGAGCGGAATCCCAATCTCCAGGATACAGCAGGATATGCCTGAGTTTGGTGTTGCTATGGATATAATAAATAAAATTAGGGTAGAGGCTGCGTGGGTCATAACAAATATCTCATCGGGATCCACTCAGCAAACAAAAGTAGTTATAGATTGCGGGGCAGTCCCTCTTCTGATCCAGATGCTTCTGGACACAAATGACGCAGTTCTGGATCAAAGTGTATGGGCCTTGGGAAACATTGCCGGAGATTCAGAGGGGATGAGAGATATAATACTTGAAACAGGAGCCATCGATACTGTTCTCGGACTGCTTCAAAAACTCCATGAAAGCGTGATTCACATAAAAATAGTTAGAAATCTTACCTGGCTCCTTTCGAATCTCAACAGAGGGAGAAATCCACCGCCAAATGAACAGAACATGAAAAAGTCATTGGAGGTCCTTTTCAAGCTAATTAACATAAGAGATCCAGAGGTTGTTAGTGATGCCTATTGGGCTCTTAGTTACATTGTAGATGTGAGCATGGAGTGTGGAGACATAGTGATTGGAAGTGGAACAATGAGTAGAACATATTCTCTCCTGGAAGCTCTTACCAATCGACTGATCGGAATATCTTACTCGTCGGAAGACGCAAAGATATGCCTGTGCGCAATTTCTCCAATAATAAGGATGATAGGAAACATAGTAACAGGCTCCGATGACCAGACAAGTGCTCTGATACAAATGGGGTTTATGAAATTCTTCAGACCTATATTCTACAGACTGGAGAACAAAAAGCAGCCAAGACTAAGGAAGGAGATATGTTGGACACTTTCGAACATCACGGCTGGAACTGCAGAGCATGCAAAATCCGTTGTAGATGCGGATCTTGTTCCTCTTCTCATTGACTCGATGTCGTCCTACGAGCTGTTTATAAGAAAGGAAGCTTGCTGGGCAGTTTTGAACTTAATGTATCATTGTAACAATCTCCCTAGTAGTTCTGACACGAAGTTTGAATGGCTTAAGACTCTTATGGACAATAGCTTCATTGATGCCCTGCAAAGCTATTTAGATGTAGTTCCAAATGTTCCTGAAATGCAATGCCAAATACTTGATTGCTTTAGATACGCCTTGAATGGAGGAAGACAGTGGGAGCTCCGATACGGTAAGAATCCCATATATGAGAAGATTGTTGAGGCAGATATAGTCGACGCAATAGAAGGGCTGCAGGACAGTAGCGACAGAACTGTTTCGGACAAAGCATATTCCATCATTGTTGACTTTTTTGATGGAATTGATAATTAAATTTTTGGAACCATAACCAATTAACAATCTTTTCCCTTTTAAAAACCCATTCTAAAAATTTCAATTGTGCTTAATCCATGGAAAATACTTCAAAAGTTCAACATCTCGATGGAAATAGGAAAAAGAAGAAAAAAACATTGAAACATCTTACAATACTGAACAGTTCGAGAGCCAATAAAAATAAGGAACATATCCCATCAATTTACGAAGTAACTATTGATTTGCTAGTCTTGATTGCAATTATTGTTATAGTAGTAGCAGTTATTTATTTTTACAAAGTGTTTAAAGACTCTTCGCAAAATGAGTTAGGAGCAGATTCTCCTACTCTGATATCGTCTTCGGGAGGTCCCCATTCATTCCCTAGACCCCCTTTCCAATTCGAAGGAAATCCACCCGCAGACTTTCCACCGCCGCCATCTTATAGTAGTTTGTTCGGTCCGGATGCAACTCCTCAGCCGAGTTATACGTATGGACCTCCACCACCTTATACACCATGACTTGAATTCATCATAATCGCCAAGCTCAAGCATATAATTTCCTAAACAAATAAATGAAATTTAGAGATATTCACTAATGCTTATATTCTATTTTTTCACTCTAGAGAAGTGTTGTTCATTGAAGCTTTTTTCAGCCTCTTCTTCTGTTATAGTAACGGAAGCTAAAATTTTCAAGTCAAAGCCCTGGTATGTCTGAGAGCATTAGAGAAAGCACTTCAAGCAAGACCTTGTCCAAAGATCAAATGGAGACATCTTATGTTAGCCTTAAAACATGGATTGAAGACTCTCTTGACTTATTCAAGAATGATCTCCTCCCTCTTTTGTATCCTCTGTTTATTCACATCTACTTCGATTTAATACAACAGAACAAGACCAACGAAGCAAAAGAGTTCTTTGAGAAGTACAGAGATGACCATTACAACAAGTCTGAAGAGATCAAACAATTTGAAAGCATCTATACGGTGCAACACATCCATGAGAACAACTTTGCCTACACCTTCAAGAGTTCTAAGTACCATCTTTCGATGGGAAGATATGCATTTGACCTTCTTATAAACTTCCTTGAAGAAAGGAATCTGACATACATACTCAAGATACTTAACCAACACCTGGATATTAAGGTGTATATTGGACCTAAGAGCGAGGACAGGCCTCAGGGAATTGAGACAAGTGTTGTTGATGCCGAAATCGACCTAACCACTTTTCTGGTTTCAAAGGAGTGTGAAGATGCCATACTTGGAGACGAGCAATACAGGTACGACCATCTTGAAACATATGTGCTGCAGCTCCGAAAACAGAGGGAGATGAAACCAAAGGATTCAGCTTACAAGCCCAATGCATCGCAGATTCATGCGGAAATTGAGAAGCTGAAAGACCTGTGCAAGAGAGTTGCCGTGAACAAAAACAACCTTCCTAGCATCTGCTGTTATACGATACATAACACCTACGAAGGTCTAACGGCGGCGGAGATCAGCAACGACCTAAAACTATTAGCATGTGGATTTAAAGACAGTTACATAGAAGTATATTCGCTAACCAATGAGCCCTTGAAGAAACTCAAAAGCAGCTCTGAACTTGCGAAGTCGGATATCAAGACTCTAAACGAAGAGAAATTTGAGGAGGTTGGAAACAGCTACAAGCTTATTGGACACTCTGGGCCAGTGTATGGACTGAAGTTCTTCTCTTCCAACAAGTTTCTCGTTTCAGGCTCCCAAGACTGCACAGTATGTTTATGGAGCCTTGATCTTTTGTGCTTACTTGCTGTTTACAAGGCACATGCATTTCCAGTCTGGTGTGTGGATGCAGCTCCCAATGATTACTTTTTTGCAAGCGGAGCAGGAGACAGGCAAGCCATTATATGGTCTGTTGCGACATCCAAGCCTGAAAGGCTTATAATCTCATCTCTAAGCGATGTGACTGCAGTAAAGTTCCATCCGAACTCGAACTATTTATTTACAGGGTCTTCCGACCACAGAATAAGGATGCATGACATAAGTACGGCATCTGTTGTAAGAATTTTCTGTGGTCACACAGACACGGTGACATGTATGGATGTTTCCCATTGCGGTAAATTTCTGGTCAGTGGGAGTAAAGATAGGACGGTTCTTCTTTGGGACATTCAAAGCTCGAAGCTCCTAGGAAAGTATGCAGGCCATGAAAATACAGTATTTTCTGTGTCCTTCTGCTTCTATGGAAGTGTAATTGCATCCTGTGGTGCAGACAATAGCGTCAGACTTTGGGATAGAACCGATCACAAAGGAAGTTGCTTAGGAACATATTATACCAAGAGTACACCGCTTCTATGTGCCAAGTTTGGATATAGAAACATAATATCGTGTGCAGGTCCCTTTATAAGCTAGACCTACTTGTTGCTAAATAAAGCTTTATTGATCTATATTCAGCCACCTAGAGAAAACCTAAAGACAGTATAGATGCTTACTACGATACTCATTATTATCATAAAACAACATACCATTGTTGGCACAAGAGATCTGGTTTTTCTCATCGACAAGTAGTATATAAACGGATATACAAATGCCACAGAATTGGAAAACGTAGCTCCAAGAAATTTCTTAATTATCTTTGTCTTAAGCTCTTTCATAAGGTTCAGAAGTACGGCTACAAACCACAGTAAGACAACCATTGCCTTTCTGTTGGGTTCTGTTCGCCTTTCCAAAGGAAGGAGCTTGAATATCATATCTCCGACTGGATTGACTTGAACTGGATACCCTCCAAACAATGTAATCATTATTCCATAGATTGCCATTCCAGACATGATGTTATTCTTATCCCAGCCTTCCCTGAGACGTTTGTTGATTGGGCTGTCCATATCAGAGAGCTCTGTTATAATTTCCCCAGACACACCGTTTCCAAACACGAGATATCCAAAAAGTCCAATAAAACAGTTGATGAGCATTCCTCCGACGGCAGCACCTAGAGACACAATCACAATGTTTCTGTTGCCTTTCTTCTCCATTTCCGTATATATTTTGACCATATTTGCCTGGCACACCATAGAGGAAATGAAAAAGGGAACGGCTTCCTCCAAGGATCCGTTAAATGGTCTTGCCTTTCCGCCCACAGACGAGGTTCCTACAACAAGGAATAGATAAATCATAAGAAACGACAGATATAATACAGATGCAATACTCAGATAAGACGTAAATACAAGGCCCGACAGTGTCTTCTTGAAGGACAGATACAGAAATGGAATTGAAAGGGCAAGAACAACAGCCTTCCGAGACTTCTCGTAGTCTCCGGTAAGATTTTGGATATAGTATGAGTTCTTAACAATTAGATCCGATAGATATCTGTAGAAATTAACACCTGCAAGATATCCATTGAAGAAGATGGAAATGTTTACTGCATACCCAAGTGTTGTAGAAATATCGGATGCTAAGCTAGAATATGTGGGATGGTTCTGGCCTGAACGCTTTGCTGCATAAGAAATGCAATAGCATGACACGGCCGTCCCCATTCCAAAGAACATCATAAGAAATATTGCATTAAGATATCCTGCGGATTTAAATGCATATGGCATAAAGGTTATCCCTGTCCCCATCATCGCAAGAATCATGGCTATAATTGCATCCCTGTTATTTAAACCCTTGGTCATTCCAGGGCTACATACCAACTTTACTTTCTTGGTTGAATCCCAGGGGAATTGGTAAAAAAAGAGTCCGATTAAACCTTTACCTTTATTCTCAAAATTTTACATGGAAGCCGATCATGTGTTGATTTTGAAGAGGATATGTCTTGCAAACGGAGATTTTTTGAGGTCCTTGACAAAAGGCCTTAGTGTGTTCTTAATCTCTTTCCGTACTCCTTCTCCAGAGGAATCGTACAGACGCTGCACAACATAGTTCCCGTACATGTCGGTGCACATAGAATACATCCCAGGCTTACCACCTACAGGCTCCAAGAATTTCTCCAGAAACTGCTCTCTTTGGCCATTGTTTGAAAGCTTAACACATTGCTCAACAACGTTACTTGAGAACTTGCATTTACTTAGCTCATAGCTCTTTTCAATTATTCTTTCGATGACAAGGTTCCTTTCTTCTTCTTTTCCAACTGCCAGAATATGTTGTATAACATAATTCCCGTACTGGTCATCAACAAGTGTCTTTATGTTTCCTATGAGGACTTCCACAATACCTTTGATTTCGTCCTTCTTGCAGAACTCGAGCATTCTCTGAATGACTCTACACCCGTACTTGTGAGTGGCCAGAAACAGAGAGTTCTCGGAAAATTGTTGTAGGATAATTTTCCTGTCTTTACACTTCTCTATGCATTTCTGAATAACATGGTTTCCATTTTGATCCTCTATTAGTTCTAGTAAGTTGCCCTTTACCTCCTCTAGGATAAAATCAACATCCGAAGAAACATCCACCAGCTTTTGTACCACTCTGCATCCATAAGGATGAACAGAAAGAAGATGAATTTGCCCAACCAGCTTTGTTATTAATATTGTTCTCTCTCCTTCGGTTAAAAGAGGTATAATCTTTTGAACGACGTAGTTTCCAAACAGATTAGCAGATAATTCCGATGCCGCTTCTACAATATTATTGAAGAACCATGAAATCTCCTCCCTAGAAATGCTGTCCATTTTTCTTTGGATGCATCTGCTTCCCTCCTGGTCTTTGCTTACATTGATACATATCTCTTTCATGGTATTACCTCCAAATATGTTTTTACTTCCTCTTCCACTTTGCTCCTCGTATACTTCTAGGAGCTCTCTCAGAAACTTGCTGTCCATAGGAATTCCTTCAATACCCCCATCGGGAGGAGAGGGACGGCTTCCTTGGGAAGTGGTTTCTGTTCCTTTTCCCCCCTTGAGATTTAGCATCGCACTAAATGCCTCGGTATCTAATACATTCATATTCCCTATGGGTGTTGTTGCTCTTGATGTGCCCTTATACTCACTACTCTTCTCAGATTCCGGGTAATCCTCGTCAATTCTTTCTGCAAGAGACCTGTTATTTTCCAGCTCCGCAGAGGACTCTCCAGTAACCTTTATGTCAAAAAACCCGGTGTTTGAGAACGCCTTGGTTATCAAGTCATCATATTGGCTAGCCCAATATCCGCTTTGCCCCCTTATAAAAAAGCTCGGTGGTTGCAGTCGAGGCTCGTTCTTACAATTTCTTCTGTAAAAAATAGAGTAGTTCAAATCTGTTTGTATATCCCCAAGCTCCACTTCATCCTCAATGAAGAACTTATCCACTGGCGGTGCAGATATGGGCCTATGTCTGCCGCCGCGGAAGTCATCGTGGTAGATGCGGCAATCGTTACTATCATCTATTTCTTCTCTCTTCATTTCTAATTTCTATTCCGGTGAATTTGAAGGGTGTTTTCATAAATGTTTGAAAAGGGCATCTCCTTTTTGTAAAGGATCATCAGACATATTTATTTGTGTCTTATCTCCTAAAAGACGGAGGTTAACTGAAAGACAGGCCTGGCCTCTTATAGATGTCTCTCCATTCCAGAGTTGCTCAGCCTTGGAAAAGATACAAACCTTAGATAATAAGGAGAAAGCAGATCTTGCTTAATCTCCCAGGAAAGAAATTGTGTGGAGGGTGTTGCCCAGATGAATGCCCATTGCTCCATTTTGTGTAGTGAGAATTGGACATTCACGATGAAAACCGCATGAAGGCTGTTTCATCTCCACGTGGTAAGTGGGGTGCCTTTTTTTTACTTTTTTATACCGGTTGTAAAACTCCTAGCCCTATGATTTTTTTAGATTCACTGCCCTCTTTTTAACCAATGAAACCCTTAGTAGATAGTTTGTACCAATAGAACTTTCCAGAAGCATATGTCTATATAAAACAAAATAAGCCCAAGGGGAGTAAAAACAAAGAAGAGAAAATGTTAACAAGAATAACACTCGATAAGATGAACGAGAGATATGCAGGGGTTTACTATTCGCCAAGGCCATCAGAACTCCCCTCCCTAGAAACAGTCCGCATCGTTCGGCTATCACATAAGCAAAAAAAGAAAATACTCACAGCACCCGCCATGAAATCGACGATTATTGGCTGTGCACTGCCAAGTCCTTCCGGAAAAGATAATTAACATCCAGCAAACATCTCCTGAAAGAAGGGATTACTTGGAAGTGTCCAAGAAAGTTCTGTTTCTTCTAAATATAATAAATCAAACCGCAAAATGCAACCAAAGTTTAATCCCGCTTGAACTTCAACACCTTTATATCAGTAGGAGGCATCTCCATTAAAGTTTTCTTCTCTTCGGATATCTTTCTTTCCAGGTCAGAGATCTTGCTTTCAAATTCCTTCCTCTTTTCAACTACTTGGTTTGCAAAGTTTTCCTTCTGAGACTTAAGTGTCTCAATAGTAGGTTCCACTTGACTAGGGGATGTTGGAATTGGAATCTTATGCTGACTTAGATAGAGAGCTAGATCGACAGGAAGGCTGATCTTCTCTCCAGACAGGTTAAGAGACCCCATTCTAAATATTATAGAATCAAACTTCGAAGGATTAAGCTTCGACTCCTCTTTAGAGAGAATGTTCTTTTGCTCCTCAAGAGCATTTATTCTCTGTTTAATCTCCTCCTTTTGCTTCTCAAGTGCCTGTGCAATAGCCATCTCTTCAAGGAATTTATCGTACTCAACCTCCTTCTCTCTTATCTTCTCCTGTTGTGCCTTTATCTTCTCCGAAAGATCGCTTCTCTTGGCTTTGAGTATCTGAATGTTCTTCTCATACCCCTCAACAGCCGGATTCTTAGGCTTTCCTTGGTCGCTTATCTCTTTAAGCTCAGCCTTTATTCCATCTACAACAGACTGCCTCTCTGCTATCTTCTGGCTCAGATCCTTAATCTCTGCATTCAACGAATCAAGCTTGGCTTTCATATCTACAGCAAGCTTGCTCTTCTGCTCCATCATCCCGATATTCTTCTTCTGTTTCCTAAGATTTTCCATTTCCATCTCAAATATCTTTTCTGTTTTGGAATCACATTTCGAAGAAATCAGCTTGAGGTTTATCTCCTTCATGCGCGCATCGATTTCCTGTGCACTCATCATTTTCTTTCCCTTTTCCGGCTGGATCTCACTCTTTACATTCTCATATACTCCCACAACATCGTTTTTAGAGTTAAATGCTTTCGACCTATCCTCCTTCAATGCCTTTATCTCGTTACCCAGCTCTTCTAGCTTCTTGTATAAATTATTCTTTGGGGAGTTTTCTCTCTCCTGCTTGTAAATAGCTGATATCTTATCTCGGAGGTCGTTTATCGACTCATTAACCTTCCCAAGCTCTTGCCGAAGCTCTCCTATAACTGCTAGGTATGAGTGAATACCTGGAATCCGTTTCTTTCTATTTTCCTGGTGCATTATAAGGGGGCAAATTTTTAAATTATAAGTTCCTTCCAAGCAGCACTACAACTCCTTTTCATCTCAATCCTTCTTCTAGTTATACTCTCCTAAGCCCAGACCAAACCAAAAGCTAACTACTTTTATTATTTCGGAATTCCCCCAGTTTCACTTTCTAAGTCTTAGCATACTCAAAATTCCAACTCCAACCGACTCCAAGAAGAACAAAAACATCAGAATTTTTTGCAGAAGCTTTACCGTACTCTTGGAAAGCTTATCAATCGTTTCTGCACATCCATACTCTCCTCCACAGCTGGATCCATTTCTGTCGGCTGGGTTAAAAAACCCGCAGCATCTAAACTTCATCTGAATAAAGTTTCGTTGTTCTTCACTCAATAAACTCCATCTTTGATCTGCCCATGAATGTGACTTCTCGTAGATAGCTGAGTTCTTGACCACCGCCATGGCCTGGGCATTCATGAGGATAAGTGTGATTAGGATGTAGACAAGCATTCGAATCTTTCTTCTCGACACCAATGCCGTGTATCCAAGAATCCCCGATGTCACTTCTAGAATTCCCAATGTGTACGAAATCACAAGTGCCTTTTTAGGTATCTGAAGGAGTTCGTGTGCAGTTAGATAGACTGTTGTTCCAACTATCGACCCTCCAACCCCTGAAATAAACACTAATGCCTGGATAAAGAAAAACAAGACTTTGAATGTCTTTTTGACTGTGCTCTTATGATGCATATGTTCTATTGAGTTTTTCTTAATTTACACAGATCTCTTGCATTGTTTCAGTCCAAGGCGTTAGCAGACAAGATTTTCAGGCCGGACTCTACACATGTGTCACGGGGCAGGGACTTCAAAGAGTTACAACACATCTATCTGGAGGGCAATCAGCCTTTTCTTGATGTTTCAGATCCTCTATTTATAAAAATGCGGCTCGAAAACAACATGAAGAACGAAAGATGCATAAGAGATCTCTACAATGCCAATAGTATGTCCGAAGAGATTTTTTGCACAAACGAGTATGGATTCGTTGTAGATAGCTTCAACTCCCAGGCCAGAGACAATCCCGTCTCCATCAAAAACGAATGGTACGATCTCATAGCAAGATGCAAAAATAATGGAGAAAAGCTGCGAAGAAGCGAGGCTGCGAGAAGATTGATATACCAAGGAATTCCTCTCTCCCTGAAGTACAGATTATGGGGACTGTTTACTCCCAAGGCCTCGGGATTCAGTTACTCAAGTCTAATATCAAAAAGGAGTGGATATGAGCATCAGATCCATGTGGATGTTCAGAGGACTTTCCGAAGACACTGTCTCTTCAGCAGAGAATATGGAAGAGGGCAATGCGAATTGTTCAATATCCTTACAGCATACTCAAATTACAATCCGGAGGTTGGATACTGCCAAGGAATGTCCAGTGCTGCAGCATTGCTCTTAATGTATTTCCCTGAGGAAGAAGCCTTTGAGATGCTTGTCAGCATCATCAAGAACAACAATCTAGAAGCCTTGTTTGACAAGAAGCTGAGCAAGGTTCCTCGGGTGCAGAGAGTGCAGGATGAGATTTTCCGGGCTTTAATACCTGAGGTGTATGGCCATCTACTACATCAGAGCATAGATATCGGGGTTTATGCCGTGGGCTGGTATTTGACGCTATTTACAAGGTTTGATATCAAGTTGGCTCTAAGAATGTGGGATTTTTTCCTGTTCTTCGATTTCTCTGTTTTTATGTTCTTTGCTGCAGCCATCCTCAGGTTCTTTGCAAAAAAAATACTGGAGCTTCAGGGCGAGCAGCTCATTGAGTTTATAGGAGCCTTGGATTCCAAGGAAGTGGATGTCGAAAGGATTGTCTCATATGTAGTGGAGTGCTTTAGAAATGGAGAATATGAGTATTATAGAGATAGAATTTAAAGTAAGAAGACTGTACTATTTATTTCAGTACTTGAAGGTTGATACCTTCTAAACTGATTATAGAAAGATCCAAAATAAATGCAGTTTCCAATCTTCAGTGTGCCAGGCTTGTAGCTTTTCCCGCAACAATTAAAATTTACTAGTTTGGGAAAGTGGGAATCTTAGGAAGACTGGGCTTTGGCGCCCATATACCATGTAATAGTAATTTTTATTAAAGAATCTCCCGGTACTAATTCATTACATGGTTCCTTTTTGGAATTGAAGAGACAGACATAGGAAGAAAAGCCTTGGGGAGAATTGAAGGGATTAACAGAAAATGGATGGAGTGGAATCTATTCCATCTGCCTTGAAAAGTTCAGGCTCATATAAGTTTATTTGTAATTTGGGGAATGATTAAATCTTGGAGTCAAAATTGTGTCAAATATATCACCAAATTTAATTTTGTAAACAAAAGAATATAAACCTTAATCCCTGTGCCATTTCATGGCTTCGTTGGATCAGTTATCACAGAATCAGAAGGATGCAAACATCAAGTTAGTCAAGGGTCCATGGAGGCATGAGGAGGACGAGAAGCTATTAAAGTTGGTAAAGGAGTTTTCCCCTAAGAACTGGTCGTTTATTGCAAAGAGGCTTGGAAGTAGAGTTGGAAAGCAATGTAGAGAGAGATGGCATAACCATCTTAACCCACAAATCACAAAGAAACCATTTACTGTAGAGGAGGAGGCACTGATAATTGAACTTCATTCGAAATTTGGCAACAGATGGTCGGAGATAGCCAAGTATCTTCCTGGAAGGACGGATAATGCAATAAAGAATTATTGGAATTCGTCGATACAAAGGAGAAGCGAGAAGGTAAGGAGAAGAAGTATGTTCTGTTCGATTGATGAATTTCAGAAGGCTCATGGGATAACGCAGGAGAAAGGTGAGTATGGCTTTGGGCTTCAGAAAGGGGACATGGGCCGGAAAACCAAGAGAAGCATCAGTGTCCAGAATCTTCCGGAATACGTCCCTAATGGAGGGTCCTTGGACGAGGACGACTTTGATGAGATGGATGAGATTGCCAGCCAAGCCCTTCTGCGGATATGTATGTCATTTTAAATAAACTTGTAATGTATATTGGTATTTTGAGCTTGGTTTTAGCCCCTAGAATGATGCTTTATAGGGTTATGGACCTCATTGTCCGGGAGGACACATTTAAACTGTTTACAAGCAGGACGGGAAATGGGATATTTGAAAGACTTGAGGAGGCGCCTCGGATGGAGACTGTTGAGGATCTAGAGGAAAGAATTAAAGGATATTTTCAAGAGATTCTGAAGGCGGCACCGGCAGATTCCCTCTACTTCAACGAGGCCTTCCGAATGTTCAATTTTGTGGAGAGGATCTTCAAGGAACTCCGGGATCTTAACGAATCGGCAATGGAAAGAAGCATAAGAAGCCCTATGGATGATGTGATTCGACTATATTCCGAGTCCCTAGGGAAGTTTATTGAAGACATGGACATCCCCATATTGCAAGAGCATGTGAGATTTATCATATCCTAGAGAGCAAGATTTCCAAATAAATGCAATGATGTTTAATGTTTTTAAGGACTGACCCCAGTTGAGATGGGATCTCAGGCAAGATATAACATGTTCAAGATATTCAATCCTGAGGGATATGTGAAGCAGCTTGACTTCATCCAACAGACAACAGAGCTTGGAAACACAGTTGTTGGGCTTCGGAACAAGGGAGCCGGGGTATTGATTGCCCACAACGAAAAGAGATCGAAGCTTGCAGATACCCAGAAAAAGGTGTTTCCAATTGACCGAAGGTCTCTGTTTACGTTTTCTGGCATTACCAATGATGGGCAACAGATTGTGGATTACTTGATTGACAAAAGCGTCCAAGAAGAGGTCATCAAAGGGAGACCTATTCATTTTTTAGATGTTTTTGAGGATCTGCTAAGAGATACTTTTGAAAGAACGATAGTTGATGGGAGAAGGCTTTATGGGGTCTCGGGGCTTTACATGGCGGAATATGAAGGAATAAGGCTCGTTGAATTCAACCCAAAGGGGTATGCCAAGGAGGTTTCTGGAATGAGCATAGGTAGCAGAGCACAATCGTCCAGGACTGTATTGGAGGCCTACTGCTCGGAGTACGAGAAGATGAATGTTGAGGAACTCGTAAGGGTTGGGATTATGGCTCTGAAGAATGCACACCCGGAAGACGATGCTTTGACCAAAGAGAACGTTGAGATATGGATTCTCGAGGCAGGAAAGGTTGTATACAACATGGATGCGGGAATGTTTTTGAATTAAAGCAATATGACAAATTTTTGGTCTGTGTTTAATTTTAGAAAAGGTTGCCTTGTTTAAAACACCGTTCTGTGTTTGGGAATTAGACGGGACTGCTGATTATTGGTACACCCTTAGGATCTTTTTTTGCAATTATTAGAGTAAACTAGAAGCCCGAAGGTTGGAGGAAAACTCGGCTTCTAATAGGTTTCTTTAGGTCTATTAAGACCGCGAATAAATATTAAATTTTGCAGACAATCCCCAAAGATGCCTAAAGAACCGATGTTGATAGCCTCTGGGCAGCCGGGGGGAAACTTCTCGAATGTAAGAGTGGTGCAGAAGAATCTTGTTTACATAATATGTATACCGCAGAAGTATGCTGACGAAGGTGTACTGAGTAGGCACGAGTTTTTTGGGCAATTTGGGGCGATAAGGAAGATAGTAGTCAATAAAAGAACATCATCTCTGGAGTCGACAGCAAGTGCTTATATTACATACAGCACGGACGAAGAGGCAAAGATCTGCATACAGGAGGTTGATGAAAGCCTTTTGGATGGGAAGGTTCTAAAATGTACCTATGGAACGACAAAGTATTGTACATTCTATCTGAGAAATGCATTGTGCCAAAACAGCGATTGCATGTACTTGCATGAGCACAGGTCGCAGAAAGACATTCTAACAAAGGACGAAATGTGCAATTCAAAACACAAGCTACACGACTTTGAAGTTAAAAACAAAAATAAGAAGAGGATAGGGAAAAGGTATGACTTTGATGTTCTCAACGAGCTTTTCAAGCACAAAACATCTCGAGTTTTCCGAGCCCCAGATAGGATTCTTTTTGAACCCTTAGACTTCACAAACTAACCCATTAAAAGAATAATATTTTTCCGTTTAATTCGATCGTCTCCTTTTCTCTGGAGGAAGTTGAATTCCTCTTGCATCATCTGATCCGGCCATTCAATTCGACCTTGCAACCTTTAATATATCTTTTTAAATAGGTGGCAATTCCCATATTTGTTTTATCTCCCTGGAGTTGGATCGACGACTTATCGTCAAGGAGTATTCCTCCACAACCCATCTCCTTTTTGAGAGAGGACAAAAGACTTTCCCTAAGCTCTTTTGGTATGTTTTCAATGATTGTTACCTTCTTTGTTCCTTTCTTCTGCTGAACCTTCACACGAACTATGCTTCTTTCCTCTTCAATGATGTCACTTTCTCCATAGAGGCTCGTTGGCGTGCCTTCTACTGTGTTTGTTTCTTCTTGTATTCCATTTGCATCTTCGTTCTTTTCTTGGGTTATATCATTTCCCATATGGGGATTAAAACTGAGGCCAAACTTTTATTTCTTCTTCAGAACACACAGCTTGGGATTCAAGCCTCTCCAGAGGGAAGATAGACTCAAAAGGAACAAGATATTTATGGATTGTTTAATCAGTCCTCCTTAACCCTCTTCTTTTCAGATGGCGTGGGGGCCTTCTGGAACAACATGTTGGATTCAAAAGGCCGGAGGACAGGTCTGTTCCAGACATACGCAGCATAGAGAGGGCTGAGTAGGAGATTTCTTATCGGCACGAACGATTGGACAAAAAGCGGCTGGATTACCTTCCACTTCAAATGAAGCACTGTGATGATCAAGAATTGAATTATGGATGTCCGACTGATCTTGGTGAGCTCCGATTCATCGTAACTAGCATAAGTCATTTCCTCCTCCTCCTCTTCATTGTTGTCTCGGAACAGAGAGGCTTCTCTTTTGATTTTGACCTTGCGAGTATCATTTGTCTTCTTGATTCTCTGCATTATGTAAAGTGAGAACATAAGCTGGATGAGATTGGAACATAGATAAGTCACCCTTAGTATCCATATTGCCTTTGGTGTCTGGAACATTGGTTTTCCAGAGATCTTCATTGACACTATCGATAGAGCAAAGTTTACAAACTGATCTACAGAGACAACACTTAAGCTCATTTGGGGTAAATATTTTCTAGTATATTAAACCTTTGTCTACGCCCCAAGCGGGAATTAAAAGCACTACTAAAAGTTCTATCTATCATTGAGCCGGCGTAGGCTGGGAATTAATTCCCATCTTTATTTCCTTACCATCTAACTTATTGTTCCCAATCCCTTCAAATATTCTGTCAAGAACATTAAAATTATGAATTACAAGATATGTTAGTGCATTTATCTCTCGAATGCTCCAAAGATACTTGAGATACCCAGGAGACAAATCTCCGCAGCACTTGCAATCGAATATTTAGAGAACATCGAGTCTACACCCCTCAAGGGCTAGCATCATTCCCTGCTCCACGAGAGTATTAATGAATTCAGTTCCAAAAAGCAAATGGCCGCTATTCAAAAGCTCAACAAAGTCTCTGGTATCCTTGGGCTCAATCAATTCATTTCCTTCTATAATGATTTTCCCAGTCTCAAAGTCGGCATGGTAGTCCGGTCTCCAAACCTCAAGAAGTCCTTCGTATCTCTCTTTGTTAAGTTTGTAGTGTCCTCTCTTCGAGACCAAAACACTAGGCTTGTTTCTAAATCCAAGGCATGTTTTTATATCGGAAATGGCGCAGAACTCCCTTATCGGCAGGTCGAATCCTCCGTCATAGGCTGAATCTTTGTACAAAATATCGTCTACATATATCTTTATATTTTTGTTTGTGGAAGAAATAGACTTGGCATCTGGTATATGCGGAACCATGCAACATTTTGTCGATATGAAGTATGAAGGCGTCATTTAGGGTTTCATGGTAGGCACCCTAATTGTAAGGCTTTTGGTTTTGACGACAGCAAAATTTTCACCCCAGATGATGGAAGAGATCTATGATGTCAGGCCAGAAAAGTTCAACGAGGCACTTAAATCTTATCTTAAATCAACTAACAAAGTGGTTCCTATAAAAGACCATGATATCATGAAGACGGGAGAAGGACGGGAGCAAGCACCTATTGATGAAGACTGGTATTTCACGAGAATGGCCTCTATTGTGAGGCAGATATCTATAAGGGGCACAGTTACTCCCGAGTATCTTGCAAATAAATATGGTTCCTCCAAAAACAGAGGATGCCGTCCCAGCAAGTATGTTGGTGCTTATCCAGAAATAGGGATCTCTGTACTCGAGAATCTAAAGAACATGGGGTGGATAAACGATCATCCTCAGGACATGCTCACAGAAAAGGGAAAAACCGTTGTCAAGGAGATTATTGAAAAAGTTCGGGAATAAAATTTTTTATTTATGTGATGCTTCTTCTTCTTTGCGCTTGGTTTCTTTGCAAAGTTCGTTTCTAAGGCTCTCTAGTCTAGCCTGCGATATCTTATAACTGATCTGGTCATTTTCCATTTGTCGACGAAATTCTTCATGGCAGCGAGGGTTATTGATGAAACAAAGCTCATGGGGATATATAGCTCCACAAAAGACTAGTGGATCCGGCTCCGACGTTCCTACCCTCTCAGCATCATATGTCTCTCCCTTTCCGGCTTTCTGTATAGCCCAAACAATCTTTCGGACCATGTTATGAAGAAATGCCCTGGCCCTTATATCTAGGTAATATACATCTCCCTCGTCGACTATCCTGCACTCGTCTAACTTCCTTTCGTACCGAGCGTTTTTGTCTGAATGCTTGCTAAAATAGTAGAAGTTTTCCATTTTCTTAATTCTAGATGCCATCTCCCTCATTCTGTCTGCATCAAGGTCCTCTTTGTGAAAATAGTATCGATATTGCCTTTGTATACATGTAAATCTAGCACTAAATGTATCTGGCACAGGAGCCCATCCAATCACACGTATATCTGAAGGAAGATGACTGTTTAATATCATGTCGTACTTATACTCTTTGTAGTCACTTTCCGTTACAACATAGCTTCTATTAGGCATTTCAATCCTCGATATAAACACTCCAGATACCACCATGCTTATTGCACTTACTCCTGCATCTGTTCTTCCCGCATACACCAGTTTTTCTCCTAGTCCTGTAAACTTCAAGGCATTTTCAAGATGCCCTCCCACAGTCTCTTTTCCACTCTGAGGTGCCATTCCACTATATCTTCGCCCATCGTAGGATATTCTCAGTGCAACTGTTCTTCTTGAAAGACATTGGAATGTTTTTCTTTGCTTTTCCTTGGATCTTCTCTCCGTGTTTTCTGCGTCCAAATCCTCGAGGTTTTCACACACCCCACTCTTCATTTCGGGACTATTTCACTGTTCCCATTATGGAGGGCACTTCTCGGCATTGGCAAATTCCTGCGGACTTATTGTTGTGTATAGTTTTATCAACCCAGGCAAAAAATTTCTCAAGAGTCTCTATTAGTTGATTTCTTTGGAGACCCTCAAAGATAGATGTCATGGACAATCAAGCTGTATCAATACTTTGGCTTGAAGTCCTTTACTCCATTTCTTTCTTTCATGGTTCCATACCTTGTAGAACAGAAGGGATTCCATAATAGAGAGCTTCATAATAACTTTAGCCCACTCTTTTTTATGTCCTCCATTGTTGTTTCTCTCTTCTCGTTTCTGATAATCGAGCTTCTAGGAAACAAAATGAGCCTCTTTGTCGACACGTTTATCGAGATACTTGTGTACCTGATATTTATGTTCATGCCGTTCAAAAATACCTTTCTGACAAAAACTGTCTATGTGCTTCATGGGGCAACAACGTCCTTTGGGGTTGTGATGAAGTCGATTCTCAACTCTACTGCTGAAGAAAAAGAAGACAAAAAAGTGATTCTATCAACGGCAATTAATATCAAAACATCCGTAGGTGTTATTTCATCATGGATTGGCCAGGATATCATAATGTGTGGGGGAAACCACTTTGTAAACATATCTATTTCTCTTCTTGGACTATCTCTTGCTCTGTTGACTGTACTGCTACTTCCTGCCACTTCCCCAAGTAAAAAAGAAGAGAAATTCATAGATTACATGTGGAACCCTATGGATGCATGGAAAAAGATCAAGGACACTTACAAGTCCCACGTAGTCCTTGTGTCCTTACTCTCGTCATCTGCAAGCATTCTTTACATATGCCTTTCCTTTTACTCGGCAGGAATATTCCTTGAGAAAAGGAAGAATGGAATGGAAAACAGCATTAAGGTCAACAAAATGCTGTTTTTTGTGGCAAAGCCTGTGCGACTTGTCTCCTATGCATTAATTAAGATATTCTCCAATTTTGACAACTCGATATCTTACCACTCAAATCCAGTCAAGCCCGTCATTATTCACGGATATATCGAAGGATGCTCAAAGATACTTTCTTCTTTTGCCGGGTTGCAGATATCAAGGTTCGTACCAGAAAATAGATGTGTTTCCTTAGCATTTTTAACATCGATAACCACAGTGGCATTCACATATCTCTTAGGAGCATCAAATTCTATGCCATACTCATATCTGTTTTATATTCTAGCCTCGTTGTCTTCATCCTTATGCAAAACAGTATCAAATATCGGGCTGCAAAGCGTATGCGAAGGATCTGGATACAAGTTTGTTCTTGGATTCAATTTATTTGTATCATCAATTATACACATATCAATCACTCACTATTCGAAGGCTTACAATCTAAGCGTCAAGTCGAAGCTGATGTCATACTTCTATGTTAATACCTTGTTTATTACTGCTGCATTTGCCATGTACCTTCTGAGTAGGGGGAGCACAACTATAGACGGATGAGGAAAATACATTAAAGTTGATTGTGTTCCAAGAGTTTTAAATTTTCGTCTTCCCATGGGTACATGAATAGAAGAGACCGCCTTCAAGTGAAGAGAACCCCCGACTCGACATTGAACTTGGGGATGGATGAAACAATCATACTTCAAGCGGCGGCTCCAAAGGCGAGGGCTAACAAGAGTGTAGAGCCGATGGAGGGAAATGGATATGGTCAGGAAAGGAAGGGTATAAAAGACTATCCCATTTACATGGCCATTGCCATTCCATATGTTCTGTTTTTCTACATGGCCATAAAGAGGCCAATGGACTCGATGATTTTGACAAATCTGATGGAGGAAATAAATATACTGAGGGAGGAAAACTCTAGGATAAGTAGCCAGATTGAAATGATGAAGCATATAAAGGAAGTGAATTATGCGAAGATCGAAGAAGGGGCAAGAATAAGAATTGAAAGCATGTCTCAGCTGTTTTCGTATGGATTTCTGGGCTTTAGAAAGCACAAGGAACCATCAACTATATTTGATGAGAATGTTGGTATTGGAGAATGTCTAGCATTCAAAGGGGCTGGATGTAAGTTTTCCATCGATCTTGAGAAGGAAGCTGCTATCAGCAAGATTGGGCTCTACCACCCTGTTACAAAGGATACAAGTAGTGCAATTCGTGAGTTCGAGGTTTTTTCTAATAGCCCTGAGGGAAATCTACTTCTGGGGAGGTTTGAATATGACACAAGCACATGTGGGTTCCAGACCTTTGAATGGGAGGAAACACCAATCAGTTCTGTTGAGATTGTTGTTCGAAGCAACGGAGGAAACAAGAAGTACACCTGCATATATAAAGTATATCTTTTTGGTAATAAATAATACTTTAGGACAAAATCTTTGTGGTCTTTCGGATTTGAAGTCAAAATGGTTGAATCCCCTATCAGATGGGAAGAGGAGAGGAAAAGACAAATCCTACAAGACTAGCTGTTGTTAACTTCGAGCTTTGTAAGCCATCCCAATGTGCGTCTGAGTGCAGGAAGGCATGCCCTGTGAACAAGACGGGAAAGGAATGCATAAAGATAGAGAAGAAGTCTATAATAATGGAAAACCTATGCATTGGGTGTTCTGCATGCCAGAAGAAATGCCCCTTCAAGGCCATTTCCATCATCAATCTTCCAACAAATCTGAATAAGGAGATAACGCACAGATACGGAATGAATGGATTCAAGCTGCACAGGCTTCCAATCCCAAGGCCTGGGAAGGTACTTGGGCTAGTAGGGACAAACGGAATTGGAAAGAGTACGGCACTAAAGATTCTTTCTGGAGAAATAAAGCCTAATCTTGGGAAGTATGATGATCCCCCTGGGTGGGAGGACATCCTGGGGTATTTCAGGGGATCTGAGCTCCAAGGATATTTTACCAAGATCCTTGAAGGACACCTGAAGATAACATCTAAGATACAGTACATTGATAGGCTTCCAAAGTTGTTGAAGAAGAAATTTAACGCCAAGTTGAAGAGTTCGCTGGAGAGCCTATCGTTGGACGAAAGCAGAGAAACATTAAGTGACAAGCTACTTGTCAAAGATGTACTTGAAGAGATGGACCGAAGAGGGAAGAAGAGCTATTACATAGAGAAAATGTATCTTGGAAATATACTCGATAGGGATGTTGAAGAGCTAAGTGGAGGAGAGTTGCAGAGATTCTCCTTAGCATTAGCATGCATGCAAGAGAGCGATGTATATATATTTGATGAGCCTTCGAGTTATCTTGATGTCAAGCAGAGGCTTTCTGCTGCAAAGGAGATTAGAGACCTTTGCGAAGACAATAGCTATGTGATTGTTGTCGAGCATGATCTTGCAATACTGGATTTGATGAGTGACTTTGGATGTGTACTATATGGGCAGTCTGGTGCTTACGGGGTGATTACTGCGCCATATGCCATAAAGTCTGCAATCAACATCTTTCTCGATGGCTACATCCCGACGGAAAACATGAGGTTTAGACCTTCTGAGCTCAAGTTTGACATTTCTGAAAGACCTACTAAGGACATGGAGAAAAGGGCCCAGTACTGGTATGGAGGCATGACAAAGACCCATGGATCATTTAAACTGGAGGTGAAGGAAGGGAGCTTCAGCGATTCCGAGATCATTGTGTTTCTAGGGGAAAACGGAATGGGAAAGACTACTCTTGTCGGCCTAATTGCCGGTCTCATAAAGCCAGACGGAGAAGAGGAGTTTACTAAGCTAAGCTATAGCTTGAAGCCCCAAAAGATACTTCCCAAGTACAAGGGCACTGTCAGAGAGCTCTTTATGTCAAAGATCAGATCGTCGTTTCTTGACCAATCGTTTGTAAATGAGGTTATAAAGCCACTTGGAATCGAGTATACCTATGATCAGCGGGTTCAGAACTTGAGTGGAGGAGAGCTCCAAAGGATTGCAATAGCCATATGTCTTGGGAAAGACGCAAACATATACCTTATTGATGAACCGTCGGCATTTCTCGATTCCGATCAGAGAATAGCAATATCGAAGATCATAAAGAAGTTTATATATTCAAATGGCAAGATAGCATTTATTGTCGAGCATGACCTTATAGTTGGGACATATCTTGCAGACAAGGTGATTGTGTTTGAGGGAGAGCCCGGGGTTTCAAGTGTGGCCTCGGCCCCAATGGACCTTCTGACAGGCATGAATATCTTCCTTAAGAACTTGGATGTGACCTTCCGAAGGGATCCAAGTAATCTAAGGCCCCGTATCAACAAGCCAGGGTCTGCAAAGGATAGAATGCAAAAGGAAAACAACCAGTACTTCTTCTCTTAAAAGAACATTAATATTATTCCGTCTTACTTTGTGTATTTCTTCCTATCTTTCCTGCTCATTGTTGCCTTGTTTCGTGTTCCTTTTCCCCCTTCCCAAAACGACGTTGACTTCTTTAAATTCATTCCACAAGAACACTCCTTGCCTACACCCTGTTCTTTTGAACAGAGTCCGCAAACCATTTTGTTAGCCATCTGATGTACATGTCCACTCTCTTCGTCATGGCATATATCGCAGGGATAAAGAGAATTGCAGCATGGAAACCTAAACCATCTGTAGGATTTCTTGTAATGCCTGCAAGTACCTTTCTCAGGCAAGGGCTGTCCTGGCTTTAGTGTTTCTCTCTTTCTTTGTATGAGGTTTATGCTAGATATCTTCAGAAAGATATTTGAAAGGCATTCATAGCATTTGATGCGAAAAGCATCACCTATACTTAGTTCGTTTGTTTCGTAGTTCATATGGCAACCATCGCAAGAAAGCTGGTATCTGGAGGGGTTGAAGCAGATAAACCTACACCCATGGAAGCTTAAGGACCCAAGAAACTCGGAGTCAACAGAGGGAATGTACCTTATCTCAAGCACAGATCTACACCCTGGGCATTCTCCAGCCCCTGGCATCCTTAGGACTCTTCCACATCTGTTACATCCTACTTGTAAGTTAAGACATTCGCAAGAAACAATGGAAACATATCTCTTTTCCACCTCTATGTTTATGTTCATCGGTCCTTTCCTGCCAATGGGAAACTTGTAGTCGGACGGAAGCTCAAACGGCCTTATCACCTCCTCCTTTTTCTCTGGCTCTTTTGTCTTGGGAACCTCTCCTTTAAAGAAGATCTCCAAGTTTTCCTCCAGAAATCGCGTATACTCTTCTAGATCTCCTCTAAAGAATCCTTTCATGTTGGCCTTTATGAACGCCGGTATTGAGTCGTTAACTACTTCCACATCTTTTTTAACTTCGTTATATTCTATCACTATGTCATCTATGTCATATATAAAGTCTTTCGGTTGGTTCAAATATATACATATGATGTTTTCCTTTTTCACAACCTTGTTGGAGCTCAACCCTAACATCGGCACCTTGGGAGATAAATGGAATAGTTTATTTAACATCTCTATTATTCTGCAGGAAAAGGGGATGAGATACTCCTAAGCTAGTAATAACGGACTCTGTCAAAAGCTCCGAAAAAGTTAGTTCTGAAAACAAAGTATATCAAGAATATAAGTGCAATAATAAGGATTCCATACACAAATATTCTTTTGATTCTAGTTGCTCTTATCTGGTATTCCAAAGCAGACTCAAGGTCCGCATTTGCTGCTGCAGTGTTTTCCTCTCCAGCAATGAGATCATCGTTTATGGCCTCAACCACCTCCGTGCGTTTGGAGACTTCCTGGCTGATCAGATTTAACAAGTCTACGATCTCCTGGACCATCTCTTCTATTTTCTTGATGTTTTTTTTCCTATTCTCAGCCTCCTCGAGAATTCCTTGTGCCGAATGTGCCCCTAATGCATATGCAGAGGCCACCTTTGTCCCATCGTCATCTCCGATGAAATCCTCTATTTCCTTCTCTGTTGCATCTGGCTTTGCAATGATGTACTGGAGACGGAATTTGTCCACTTCATCCTCTCGATGCTTGATCTGTGACTCTCTGTATCTATTTATGGCCTCGGTAAGTTTCTTCGATTGGGCATGCAGATGAATCTTCCTTGTTTCATGGTAGAACTTATCCTTCTGATTGTGCTTCTCAAGCTCTACTGTTTCAGAGGAGAACTTATCTATTCTTTCCTTGATCTTTCTTGAAAGTACTCGAAACCGTCCGTTCAACACATCGATTTGGTTATTAAGCCCCTTCTCCTCCTCTTTACTTAGAACCGAACTGTTCTTCTGTGAACTTAGGTAGTCAATACTATTTGTATATGAGTTCAGTGTCTCTATGTCGTTTAGGATTCTCTTTGAGTCCTTCAAAAAGTCCTGCATCTGCAGTCAAGGCAATGGCTTGATTTATTTTTAAACATTTCAGTGGGGATCTAGTCCTTGGCAGAATGGCAAAGATAATTGGTGCACATCTATCGATAAGCAAGGGGATTCATACAATCCAGGCACAAATGGAATTGCTCGGGTTGGACACATGTGCCATATTTCTGAAGAGCCAGAGGAGGTATCTTGCACCACCCATGAAGGATGGTGCTGCAGAGATGTTCCAGGCACATGTTTTACATCCAGAATTGATAGTTCCTCATGGTTCCTATCTTATAAACTTTGGAAATCCCAGTCTGATAGACAAGAGCATGGAATGTCTTGTTGACGATATGGAAAGATGTAGGTCTTTAGGGATTAAGATGTACAACATGCATCCAGGGAGTGACAAGGGAAAAAACAGAAGAGAGTGCCTAAGAGGGGTTAGTAGCCACATAAACACAGCACTCTCGAGGGTTCAGGGTGTCACTGTGTTGATAGAGAACATGGCAGGGCAAGGAAATGTTCTTGGAAGTTCCTTTGAAGAGCTCAGGGATATCATAGGAGGCATTGAAGATAAACAGAGAATAGGCATATGCTTAGACACCTGCCACTTATTTGGAGCTGGATTTGATATTTCAACAGAAGAGAAGTTCACGGAGGTAATGGAACGGTTTGATAGGATAGTTGGACTAAGTTTTTTGAAAGCCATGCATATCAACGATAGTAAAGAGGCATTAGGATCGAAGAAAGATAGACATGAATCAATTGGAAAGGGAATGATAGGGGAAAGAGCATTTAGATTCATTATGAACAGTAGGATTTTTGATAACATCCCACTAATTCTTGAGACTCCAGATCCGGAAAAGTATAAGGAAGAAGCAAGTTTCTTAAGAGGCTTGGTCAATAAATGAAAGGCCAAGGATTTAATAACCTTGAAAAGCTATAGTCTTTCAGGATTAGAATTATCAGAACTCATGAGAGACACAAATGCAGCACCTTCTAGGGAAGCGTTTCCAAGGAACTCCAGTCTTATGTCGATGTTTGGATGTATTTCCTTTACATTTTCTTTGAGGGCCCTCCGAAGGTCTTCGTAGGAAAAGGTTGTTCCATTCAGAATCAGTGTGACATACTGCATATCTTTCATACAAGATTCAATTACGGCACTTACCAAGGATGCCAGTATCTTCATTCCTCTGGCATTAAAATCGTTAATTATGGAAGCCAATGTTTGTGACAAATCGACGTCTTCCTTCAATATACCTTCATTCTGTCTTTTGATAGCTAAACTGATGGCTAAAGATAATTCCTCCTCACAGTCTATATATTTTTCATACAGCTCTGGATGTAGAGTTTTAAGACTGTTTAGGATCATGTCGTTGAGTTTACAGCCCCCCACCAAAACATCAATGATGCTATACGAAATCTTTTTGGTTTCCAGGTCTGTAATAACGGCAAGGTCGGCTTCTGTTAGCATACTTCTTGGTACACTTGTAGATCCCCATTCAGAGTTATAGAGTGTCACACTGTCTGTTCCGTTCTTCTTCACACAGAAAGAAGAGTTGGTTCCCGTCCCCAGAACAATCCCGATTATGTTGTCATATCCCCGAAGCGCCCCTGCCATATATGTTGCTGTAGAGTCATTGATGACACAGCTAACATGAACATTGACATTCCTGTTTCTCAATGAAGTGTTAAGAGCCTCAACCACATCCTCATCAAATGTGTGGTCATCGATCCGGAAGCAGAAGTTCTTTGTAGCTCTCTCCATTTTTGCATTGCTAATCGATGTTTGGAAAAGAGGATACGAAAATGTCAAAGATGCATTAATCTTCTTTTTTGGAAGGTCTTGGCCATAGAACTCAACCATCCTCTCTGCAACCCAATCGTTCCAGGTTATTTTATCTTCGTTCTGAAGATTAGAAGTGTCTGGATACCTGTAAAAAGATGGAATACATTCCATTGCACCATCAAAGGACAGAGCGCCTTCTCTTTTGGGCAGGCTAGAATCAATGAAAACTTTACTTATCTTCAGATGTGTTCCTCCAACATCGACAACTACTGTTTCATAAACTCCCCTGTAATATGTCTTCACCTTATCAGGATCAATGTATGAGTTTAAGAAGTCCCCATCGGAGAAGATCTCTTGTGCCTTTGCAATTCTTTCGGCAAAAGTTCTTTTTATTTCAATTGCCTCTGAGTTCTGAATCGGAAATGTGGTTGTATTCTTACTAGTTTCCTCCCCGTTTACAACTAATAACTGTATTCCAGGCATTCCAACTAGGAAAAAAGTAAACAAATTGATTTGTTTCATAGTAATAATGTCCAAGGATGGAATCTCTTTTTTATCAGGTTTTGGGCTTCATTAAGGTTAATTAATGACACCAATCTAATTAAATGTACCTTATTTTCCAAAGGATCTTTTCATAGCATTCCAGTAAGCTAGGACTCTTGATCCATTATCATCTAAAAAAAGAAAGATCTTCCGATCTGAAAGGGTCTATTATCAACTTCTTCAACACTTCTATTCCTTCTTTTCTTTCTTCGTCACTTATTATCTTGGATATCCCCACATAATCGTCTTTGGATACTGCATTTTTTATCTGGACATCCCTTGACGAAGGGAAAAGCTTTATGGAGCCCTCTGAAAGTGTATTTCCAGTTATCCTCCTTCCAAATCCCTTCTGTTCATCTCCAGGACTGAACAAGAAGAAAATATTCGATTCTACCTTGAAAGCAATCAGAAGTCTATTTGATCCGTCTTTTCTTTCTGTTTGGGAAACCACTTCCTCAACCATCATCCCAAATAGATGCTCGAGGTCTATATCAAAGAAGATCATCTGCTTCTCCTCATTGATGAGGATAAGTGTATTTTCGTAAAGGATGAACAGCTTATCTTCGAGACATCCTCGAAGTTCTAGATACACCAATGTCTCGATCAGTTTTTGGTCCATAGGACCATTCGGAAGATAGAAACGATCCAATCCCTTGATAGTTTCTGCAGGTGTAAGGCTTCTTTTGGGCACCTCCTTCATCTTAAAGATGTACTTGGGAATTACAGATTCCGAGTATATCGATACGCTTCTTGCCTTTTCATCAATATATATGCTGAACCTTTTTTTTCTTTTATAGAGGCTGAGCATGGCCCTGCTAATGGGAGATCCGTTTGGAAAGTCCGTAATACTGATGTTACTCCTACTCCCTGACATTGTGTAGAATTCAATCTTGTTTTCTTTTGGTATCCCTAGAACATTAAAATTCTCGGAGGCCCTGTTTCCTTTGAAGTACCCCATTTCATCCACCGAATCCTTTATCAGTTCTGGAAAAAATGTCAATGAAAGGCTCAAGAGAGACAGCACAAAGAGCAACTCAACTATCACCTTGTCATTTCCCATTGGGGTTACTTCTAAGAAAGTATTTCAAAAGGAGTCGACTGTCCTGTCTGTCTCCTGAATGGAAAATGAAAGGAGTAGTTAATCCTTTTTTATTTCGAAAACTTCGGAAAATACTTTTCCTGTCTTGACTCCTGCTCTTAAAGCCTCATCTGTATCCTTGGAAGTCATAGGGAACACCGGGTCCTTGCTAGCCTCGTCTTTGGAAAGTGGTCTGAATCTCCCATGTGCCAAAATAACTTCCACCATGTAATCAAACAACTCCTCCACATCTGTAGATACATACAGCCTTCCCCCATCTGCAAGTATGTACTCGTACATCTCCATCATCTGCTGACACACAACACGTCCTTTCTGTTTTCTCTTCTTAAAGTGAGGGTCGGGAAACAAAATAAAGATCTTAGACAGTTGACCTCTACTAAATATATTAGGTAGAAAGATCAATGCGTTTGTTCTCATAACCCCAGCATTTGGAATTCTCAGAACCTCGATTCTTGCCTTGACATATTCATACACCTTATCCCTAATTTCCAGTCCAAGAACATTATGCTCAGGGCTCTTCTCTGCAACTTTCAAAAGAAATTTTCCATATCCACATCCTATATCAACAAAGTCCGGTCTTTTGTTCTCTACAAAGTAAGAAGACCAATCTATCGACTCGGGACTTTGGGGAATAACAATATTGCTATCTTTGAACGGATTTGCATGTGCTCTCTGTCTGTAAAGGCCTTTCTTGATGCTCTTTGCTTCCATTTCCGGGGTGAAATCCATTTCCTCAAGTCTGGTTGCTAACTGAAAGGGCTCCATCTGCCTTAAAGATGAGAAGTCTAGGCCTGCGGAATCATCATCCCTGGGGTTTCAAGAGCTTCCAAGTCAATCGCTACTCCATCAACAACAAATCCCTTTTCTCCATAGAAGGTGTTTGGCGTATCTATTTGTATGATGACTATGTCCACAAAATATTTCGTTGTGATTATGTGGTTCACCTCCAACAGAATGCTTTCATAGTCGCTGATCAGCAAATCATCCGCCAGTATCTTAATAGATACAGCGTTTCTGTTCATGGATATGGACCATGCATATAAATCAACAATTTTGTATACATTCTCTACTCCTAGCACATCTGTCTTCATTCCATCGATGTCAAGATCCATAGGTGTTCCCTCGGCCAGTATGTGGATGGCATCTCGGAATACAAACCCCGTGGATGTCAAAACAAGCACAGAAAAAAACAAGGTACAGACCACATCGACTATTGCTTTTGAAGGATAGAAATACGTCACCATCCCTGCGATTATTACCCCTACAGACTGAATAAGATCTCCAATCACATGGACATAGGTAGCTCGGATGTTTAGATTCTTATGCTTAAGCTTGTGCTGGTATTCGTCATAGTGGAGGACGTAAATACAGATGCAATTCACAAAGAAACCGACAACTGCTATTGCAAAGAACATCCCTCCATCAATCTCGCTGGGATGAAGGTACTTGTGGAATGACTCGATTGCGAGATACCCCACGGCTGCCCAGATGAGCCCGATGGAAACCAAGGATCCAATGATTTCTATCCTGTGGTATCCAAATGTCATTTTCTTATTTGGAGGTCTCTTTGCCCAGCTCAGAGAGAGAAGACTAACTATAAATCCAAATATGTCCACAAGCAGATGCAACGAATCTGCCAGGAGGGACAAACTGTTTGTTTTCCAATGTCCCCACAGCTCCAGGAACATAAACATTAGAATGATGAAGAGTACCTTTGATATCTTTTTTATATCTGCATCGTTGGAGCATGTTGTATGTGAACATTGTGATAGATGCTTTCTATTATGCATTTTCAAGTTGTGGCAGGTTTTTTTTATTTCTCATCTGAAACCGGCATGATGTTTCTTGTCTAGTTATTTGTTCTGTAAGAAAATACTTCGCTTCATCAGTATGCAATTCGGAATTAGCCTTGAAAATGATTGATGTCCATTGTTTCTTACGAAATTCCATTCCGAAAAACATCTCTTGACTTATCTCTGCATCTACAGGTAAGGTCTGACTTTCTGTAGTTACAAATGTCTCTGGCAGATATTCTGTTCTTTTTGGAAAGGCACCTTCGAATAAGTCTCTCCAAGTCCATGTCTTTACACATTTCTTGTGGAAGTTTTGCTTGTTTAATCATTTCAAAGAGTTCGTTTCTATTCTTCCCCTCAAAAGGCTTCTTTAGGGCTAGTAATTCGTATATTGAAACACCTAGACTCCAAATGTCCACAGAGGTAGTGTAATGCCTTCCAGATACCATTTCGGGTGCCATGTACGAGGGCGTCCCAGCAATTCCAGATATCTGCCCATCCTTGCCGAGCTTCTTCGACACAGAAAAATCACAAAGTTTGAACTCGAGCATCAAGCCTCCTTCCGCTCGAGCTCTGTTTGCAAGAATGTTTGATGGTTTCAGATCTCTGTGAATGATTTTCTTGGAGTGTAAATATCTCAGGCCGCCTGCAATTTGTGTCAATACAGACCATGCCAAGCGATCCGTGGCTCTGAAGTTGCTTTCCATAAAGTAAATCATCATTTCGTCCAAACTTCCACAATCCATATACTCAAGAACAATAAATAGGCCGAAATCGGATGGAAAGAAGTCAATAAGCTTTACTATTCTTTTGTAAGATATTGAGGAAAGTATCCTGGCTTCGTTCTCGGCATGTTTCCTGTACCTCCATAGAACCGACTTACAGACTACCTTTTCTCTTTTGGAGTCTGTTGTTTCCAGAAGATACACTGTCCCATGTACCCCTCTACTGAGCTTCTGTATGAATCTGAATCTCCTCATAGCATGAATGGACAGAATAAAATCAAAAGCCCATATGAGAGCAGAGATCAATGATGAGTATGGATTTATTCACGAAATAAGACCCAATAGAAATCCCTTGAATAAAAGGCAGAGGAAAAAAAGGGCATTGCAACACAGATATGAGGACCTCAAGCTTGTTGTTCCATATCCAGAGCTTTTTGAGTTTGAGGATGTAACATGCCCAGATCCAATAGCTCACAATAAGATGAAGGGACAGAGTAGTGTTCCGGTCCCCAGCAATTGGAGATCAAGCTCTGGAAGAATGTTTCCGCATGGATACCATAAGCCTGGATATCAGATTCCCTGGAATGTAATGAAGACAGGGATTCCTGAGTTAAGAAGAATGATGAAGGAAAGGGAGGCGGGGATGAGTCTTCGGGAAAGGGTAAGGGAAAAGTTGTATCCAAAACTGGGGAAATCCTTGGTCGACCAACGGATACTGTATGAGGCGTTTTCCATAGAGGAAAAACCGCATCTCAGTAGTTATGGAGAATTTTTCAAGCCGGGGACGGACTACTTTATAAAGAAGAGCTCCTCTGGTACGATGAGCGTTGAGCTCATGGAAGCTCTGGGAATCGACAACACCACTCCGCCGCCATGGCTTTTCAAAATGCAGAAGTATGGAATGCCGCCATCCTATCCGAATGCAAGGATTCCAGGGCTGAATGCACCAATACCTGAGGGATGTATGTATGGATACCAGCCTAGGGGTTGGGGAGAGCCCCTGGTTGAGGCAGAGGCTGGAATAGCTGAAAACGGCATTCTTCAAGAGAGTGTAGAGGTTATCTATAACACTGAGAACCAGTACACTAAGCCGGTGTACATTGAGGAGTTGGAAGAAAGAGTTACTCTGGAAAGTAGTAGGGCTGAAAAAGATGAGGCACCCGAAGAAAAAGCTGTTGCTAAGGAGGAAGTGGAAGCGAAAGAAAAAAGAAGAAGCAGAAAGGAAAAGCTTTATAAGAGTATTAAGTTCTAGGCCAGAGTCATTCGTCGGAGTCGGAAAGAGGAATGGTATGGCCAGCCTTTTCCTCAATCTTCAAAAAGAATTCTGACTTATTTTCAAGGAGCTCTTCGTATACGAATAGAATGGCCAGGGAGACACCGTCGACACTATCGTCTAGGTCTATCCCTGACCTCTCGAGCTCGTCTTCCAAGTAGTCTGATATATGTTGCTGAGCTCTTTCTCTGCTGTACTTATTGTTTAATAAATATTCTGTGATATTGACTGCCATGGAATTCACCTTGCCCTCTTCTAGGATGTTTTCAATGAATCGGAACAACGACGACTTGGAAAGAGTGGTAAGCACCCTGCATCTTAAGGCTTCCCTGTCCATTTTGGGATTGGAAATCTTGAGAATAAACTCGATATGGAGGGTAGGAGGATTCTTCCATATCTGATCTTTGTTAAAGCCTAGAGAGTGGAAGGGGTAAACAATGCCCAGGCAGGAGTCCCAAAAGAAAAAGCTAACCAAGTTCCCGATATCAAGATTGAAAAGGATAATGCAGCTGAACGAGGACATAGGAAAGATAGGGGCCTCGGTACCTGTTGTTGCAAGCAAGGCCATCGAGATGTTTTTGGCAGAAGTGGTAGGACTCACCCTCAAGGAAGCAAAGAAGAAGAACTCCTCGAGGATGTCTCCCGAGTTTATTGTAAGAGCTATAGAGTCCAATTCAAAGTTTGAATTCCTCAAGGGCATGGAGCAGCTCAAGAACAAGGAATAGGCCGTCACTGGAGATTGTTTCTCCGGGCAGAATGTCGGCCCAAATAAAAACGGAACTTTCTAGATAACTCCATAACTTTTTATTAAAGCTTGTCGAAGAAGGAGTCTGCTGTTGGAGGCTCGGGGTTCATTTTCTTGAGCTTCCTAACAGTTTCGACGGTCTTGAACATCAAGGAATTTGGGTCGTCGAGGCTTCCGGGCAAGATGCTGTAATGAGAGAACCTCATGGATGCTCCGGCCTTTCCTCCGGTCCTAGACTTCAAGTCCTCATTGAATGTAAAGGACTCCCTCACAGGAAGAGTCCCGGTAATCATCGTTGTGTCGTTTCCAGGAAGTGTCTTGAAGTCCTCTGCAGTTCCTCTCTTCGAGAGAAGAATAGTGGTGGCAGCTCCGGAGAAGTCGTTTGGAGAGGTTATCTCTACTTCATATATTGGCTCGTAGAGAATGGGGGTTGCTGCAAGGAGGAGTCCTTTGCAGAGACTCTTCACAGGCTGGAGCAGCTGGTTGATACCTCTGTGGATTGCATCGGCGTGGAGGACTGCGTCTTTGAGCTCAAACTTAAGTCCACGCATGACTTCTCCAATCAATGGACCGTCATTGACTGCTGCACGGAATCCTGTGTTGACGTGTTCCTTTATTTCGTTGATGATAGAGATTCCCTTTGTTCCATCCACAAGAAGATTCAAGGGATTGATCTCGGGTGCATAGCACCATATCTTCTTGATCCAGTCATCTCTTATGTCAAGCATTTCTCGGAAGTTGGTTGTCATTGTCTTGATCTGGTCGGACTTGACGTCATTCAGATTGTCAACTATCTTCTCCTCGAGTGGTTCAACAGTCATGTAAATTCTGTTATGCTTGTTTGCAGACTTTGTCATCTTAGGCTCTGTAATCGAGGATGATATGCCCTCGAAGTATGTCACCAACGGATCTTCGGAAATGATGGGTACCTTGGCATATTGATCTTGGAGATCCTTAAGGCAGATCTCGAGATGTAGGGATCCTGCACAAGCTATAGTGTTTTGGCCCTTGTCATTTCTCTCGACCAGGCAAAGAGGATCTGACTGAGCAAGCTTTTTGAGCCCTTCCTGGAGCTTTCCAAGATCTTCTGGCCTTTTGGTGGAGACAGCCACCTTAACAACTGGGGACACAGAAAACTTCATCGATCGGATGTTGTACGAGTCCTTTCTGTTTGTTATGGTTCCAGTCTTCTTCAGACAGTCATCAACCCCGACAATCCCTATGATGTTTCCGGCAGGACAGTTGGGCACGTCCTTGTATCCCCTTCCCATCATAACAACAGTTCTCAAGACAGACTTTATGTGGAGCAGAGGGGATCCCTCAGAATCCTCTGGCAACGGTGTATATCCCGGCTCTTGGACCCTAATCTTCATTCCTGGATATATCTTCCCAGAGAACACCCTTCCAAATGCTATGAACCGGTTGTCGTTTGAGGAAATCATCTTCGAGACATACATTGTAACCGGAGCTTCTTCGCTTGCATCACAGTTCATGATAGCAGTTCCTACCTCGTCATCCTTTGGGCCTTCGTATAGATAGTCATATCGAAGCTTCTGGCTTTGTAACGGAGATGGAAGTTTGAGCGCAATCTGCTCCAAGATGCAGTCTGCTGCAGGAAGCCATGCCTTCATAACCTCCTTGAACAAAGACTTTCCACTTCCAGTGAGTGTAACTCCCTTAAAGTCTACCTTATAGAATTTCAGGTATTCCTTAATTTCCTCAATCTGTCCGTTGTTGCAAAAGTCCTTGACTTTATAGATTGGATTTAACACATACACAACAAAAGGAGATCGTGCAGGATTAGGCTTGGCAATGTGCTTGATGTTTGGATCAAACGGATCGTCTGATGTACAGGACACCTTGTGGGACCACAGGAAGTTTGTCAGCTTCTTTTCTCCCTCAAATCCACTCATGTTGAATTTCTCAAGATAGAACCTTGCAAAATGCCTGAGGGTAAATCCCCATCCCTGTAGTCCAGAACAGAACGAAATATCATTCTTCTCGGGCATCAGAGACTCCACCTTGAAGTTGTATCCTAGAGTGCTGAGCTTGGCATTGAATCCCTCCACCCTTCTCCTAAGAACCTCTCCAAGCTTCTCTTGGGGATACTCCAACTCGAGAATAGCTCTGTCGAGCTTGTTGAGGACAAGAGTTGGAATTATTCTCTCTCCCATGGCTTGCCCAAGCACCGTTTCCGTCTGCACACAAATTCCATCAACACAGTCCACAACAACAAGAGCCCCGTCGGTCACTCGAAGTGCTGCTGTAACCTCACTGCTGAAATCCATATGCCCTGGGCTGTCAATTAGATTGATCAAAAACTCGGTTCCGTTGGTATCTTCCTTCTTTGTATATGCTTCCAAAACATCCTTTTCAATCTGGAAATGCAGAGATATTGCCGAACTCTTAATAGTAATTCCTCTTTGCTGCTCGTCTTCACGAGAGTCCATGTACCTGCCTCCTCCAGAATCCTTCGAAACTATCTTTGCCTTGATCACAAGACAATCTGTCAGTGTACTTTTCCCGTGATCGACATGTGCTATCACAGAAATGTTCCTGATGTTCTTCTGGTTCGTCATAAGCTCGTGAACTTTGCTGATATGAAAATCTACCATTCGTAGGGTGAAAATTTTTCCGTTCTTTTAAAATTCCCAGGTGTATCTTAATCATCGGTTTTCCCACACCGCTACAACTCATCCTCCTATCCATACCCATCTTCGGATTTATCTTGTCTCATCTACCTTGTGTTTCATCGCATGTAATATCTTTTATTTGTTTTCCCAAATATAGAAGCCCCAATGGACATCCACAAGGATACTATCCATAGCATCGAGACTGACTTCAGCCAAAAGAAAATTGTTACGTCGTGCTCCGATGGAATTGTACGTGTCTTTTCGAAGGGCACTGCAGACTCTCCTCACAACCTGGCTCTGGAGATGGAGCTGAATGGAAACTCGGGCCCGGCAACAAAAGCGATTTTTCTAAATCAAGGTGAGTTTATTGCATCATCTTACTTCAGCGGGAAGGTCATTGTTTGGAAGTATGAGAACGGGAAGTTCAACAAGAAGTATGAAAAGCAGCTTCTTAATGGATCGGTAAACGACATTTCGGGAAGATGGAACGGAGGCTCGTTTACCTTGTTCTGTGGGTGTTCGGATGGAAATGTAAGGGTCCTAGCAGTTGATTCCTCCTTTGGCGTAACAGAGTCAGAGATCTTCAGCCACCGGTTTGGGGTTTCATGTGTCAGTGCTACGGAAAACGGGTTTGTAAGTGGAGGAATGGATTACTCTGTGGCAGTGTGGGAAGGAAGCGAAGAGGTTGCACGGTTTAGGGATCATAAGGGATTTGTAAGAGATGTTTCTGTCTGCCCGCCGAATTCCTTCAAGCTGTTTTGCATGGCAAGCTGTTCTGAAGACGGCACTGTAATGATCTACACTAGAAATGAAGGAGAATACAAATTGCAGAAGATTGTCCTGGATGAGCCATGCTATAGCCTTTCCTGGAGCTTTTCTGGATTTAGTCTCAGTGTTGGATATGGAGACTCCCGATTCAAGTGTTTTGTGCCCGACAGTAGTGGAGAGTTCAAAGAAGTGGGTCTCAAGAAGATTGAGAGTTGAATAAATTTAATTTGTTTGCTGGGATGTTTATATTTGAAGCAATTTCCCCTCCTACACAAGAGGCCTGAGTCCGTTTCATCCATGTCCAATGAGAGGAAATAATCAGGCTAGAAGAGGAGTCTATCTCAGACGATTGGGCATGACCTCTAGTTTTCGAAACATTGTCGGGAAAGCGTTTTAGGAAAAATATTTAAATACCTAGTGGGAAAATGACACGAACGCATGCTACTGTTTCTACTTTGTCTCTACAACATGGAGGTGCGGAGTGAAACCAAGGTAAGCCCTGATGCCATCCATCGCAGCAAAGAAGCAAATACAGGAAAGGGGATGGACTATGGAAATAGATCTACCCGCAACGCCCGTATTAAGATGAAGGTTCATAGCCGCCACGATGACGATAGCAATCGTCGTGTTCATCGTACCCATCATAAGGGAGGCCATAGGAAATATGGAGGAAGCATCAAGCCTCATAATAAAAACCATGAGAAGATACTTCGGAACATGATCAACAGTCATGGAAACAATCCGGAGAACCTGTCCCATGAAGAAAAGGATCTTGCAAACATGGCAGCTCACGGAAACCTCGATGCTCTTGATATGCTTTACAACGACGGTTCCATAACACCGGATGTTGCAGAGGATGTGGAGAGTTCTATTCTTGGAAGCCCAAGTGCAAGGCCGGCCACTGTTGCACCGTTGGAGTCGGAGCTTGTTTCTGTGGAGACACCACCGGACTATTCCAACCCTGAAGAAACATATTTCTCGGGTGGAGTGGCCACTGGAAGGACCAACAAAGAGCAGGCAGAGATCAACGCTCTGACCTATAACGAAAGTCCAATAGATGATGAAATTCCTGAAAATGCATATTCCTCGTTGGTTCTAATGGGGCATTCTGTACCTGTTGCACAGGGTGTTGCAGATGAGATTAAAGATGCCAATGCCAAAAAGGCACTGAGGAAAAAGAGGGCAAATACGATTTCTCAGCCACTAGTGAATCCTTCTTATATTCCTCAGGCTCAACTTGCTAAGATAGTAAATTCTAAGGATGTTGTTTCTGAAGCAGACAGGGATATGCTTGTGAAGAGTGTGTATGAGAAATATATCGAAAAGGGATCTCCTGAGGAAAAAGCAGGGTTTGAAGCCTATCAAGCAGGATTTTTGATTGATAAGTACAATGAAGCTTTGGCAAGTGGTCTGTCTCCGGAGGTTGCATATGCAAAGGCCATGAGCCTAGCAGATCTCAATTACCAGCATGCAACCAGGTCTGCAGCAATTGCCGGAGGAGGGCAAACAGCAGCACAAAGTGCAGAAGATAGGTCTTTGATTGAGGAGAAGAACGCAAGGGAAATAGTAAGGACACCTAGTGGACTTCGGCCCAAGGCTCTGAAGAAGAAGGAGGAAGAGATTAACGAGAAGAGACTTGAACGGGCACGAGACATAAGCGATTACCTCTCTAAGGTCCATATAACCGAGCCTATTAACAGGGCGCTTCAGAAGCTCAGCCAGGCGGCGGCATTGAAGGAAGCAGCAAGTGTTGAGGGGTTGTCGAACCCTGTTGTTCAGGAGAAGATTCTGACAGATGTGGCGATTTCGAGTGCAGAAGATCTTGCAAAGGCACATGAGAACCTGGAGAATGCCAAGGCACAGCTCAAGCCGAGAGGGCGAAAGACAAATGCTCTGAACTTCCTTTCGAAGGTTTCCACCGAAAAGGCAATTGAGGAGATGAATCGTAGGAACGAAGAGATGCAAAACGAGGCTATAAGAGTGCAGAAGGAAGCCAACGAGAACAATGCAGTAAAGGAGGCAGAGGAGCATCTTGCAAAAGCAGCAGAACAGGAGATCATCAACAATGAGGGAAAGAGTGCATTTACAAAGGTTTTCGAGAGCACTGGAGACATAATGCAGGCCGAAAAGGCACGGGAAGAGGCAGAGAAGATAACAGAGGAGACATTGAACCATGAAAGAGAGGTTAGAAAGGAGGAGGTGATGAAGATGCTGGGGCCGATGGGAATGAACGACTCGATCCAAGAGGCTGTCGATCACATGGCTACAGCACATGCCGGACTTAATGTTGTTGGATCGAACCTTGAGGAGCTGAACAAGAAGTATGAGGAGGAGATGGCACACCAATCAAACATTGAGGCACTAAGGAAAGAGACTTCTACATCGAACCTCAATGTTAAGGAAATTATTCCTCCAACCACCAGCAGAATTGGGATTTCCGATGGAAAAGTAAAACTTCCTCTGAAGGGATTCAGTAATGAAGAGCCAAAGTCTGAAGAGGAAGTGATTGTACAGAGCAGACAGAAGAACAGAAGGAATCAAGTGAGAAACAAGGTTGTTGGGACAGCTGTTGAGAGTGGATTGAATGTCATTGAGATGGAGAATGGAGCAGTGCATATCTCTGAGGCAGCAAAGGCATTGAAGGTGAACAAAGGGAAGGTTATCTTCCCTGAAGGAACAAAGGAATTGATGGAGAACCAGAAACTGGACACCTCGCTACTTGAACACCAGTACAACACAGGAGAGAGACCCGAGCTCGATAAGGGTGTTGGATACTACGAGGCAAATGTGGATGGATTTGTCCTACCTCTTCCATCTCCTCTTGATCCCGTTCCTCCATCTACGATGACTGATGGAAAGAAGAGCTTAAACATTGGATCGGCATCTGAGCTGGATATTGAGGATGGAGAGCTTATACAGACGCCATGGAACGAATTTGTAAAGGAAATGAGGCCGATGATTAATGGAAGGCTGGCTCACGAAAGCGAGGTTGCAGCAGCTTCTGAGATGAAGGCCAGAGTTGAGGAAGAGAAGAAAGCAAAGAACCTAGAAGGGATCACAACAGAGGTTTATACAAACCCTGATGGAAGCAAGTTTGTTGAGATTTCCTCTCCATATGGAGTTCCCGAGATAATGACGATGGACCAGGCAATCGAGAGTCTTAATAGTGTTGGGTCTTCGACTGTTGGAGCAGTCAGCGAGGAGCTTAAGAAGAAATCCCCGGACGTTCCATTGGACATGGCAGTAACCGACTCGGTGAAAGGATCTGAGGAGACTTTCATAAGTAATGTGCTTTCCGAGATTCAAAAGTCAGGGAACGGAAATGAGGTGGCCAAGAAGAATGTATTCAACGGAAAGATTGATGGAGAGAAGGCAGCAATAGTCGACGAGTACAACAAGGAGTTGATCAGCGAACACATTTCAACCTCGACCAGCACTGAGTCTCAGGTCAGGAACAACATCATAAGTAAGGCTGAGAGCTATGCCAAAGGGATGAACATTTCTACAGAAACGTTCCTCAACATGATTTCTCAGCTTCCAGACTCTACAATTAAGGAAATGATAAGCTACAACGAAGCATCTCCAGAAGCTCGTAAAGACATCACAGGAACAAACTTCTATAGCCAGATAACTAACATTTTACCTGACAGCAAGACCAACGTCGGGTCGATCACCGAGATGATATTCAACAACATATCGACGGTGACCCACCAGCCTAACACAGTTGGCGGAGAGATACTAGAGCAGATGATTGTTCCCAATCTGAAGAGCGTTGAGCAGATTGAAACCAAGAAGACACCTACAGGAACAACTGAGATTTCTGTATCTGTACCAAACGACCCTAGAAAGACACAAGTTCTTGGGGAGGTCAAGTTCAAAGGAAACCCAACCGTAACTCCAACCCCAACAAAGAATTCAACTGGAGTCCAAGCAGGAGCATCTTCCACTCCAGGGAGGACGGGAACGGCAAGTAACACAGGGGCTGGCCAGATTCCGGGGTCCGGGGTACCAAGCAGCCAACAAAACCCGTTGAAGCCTGAAGTTAAGGCATCTCCGGCCACAAGCAATACATTTACAAGACAAGTTCAGCCCGGGCAACCCGACCATACAATGAATGGGCTTTCCTATTCGTTCCCAGGCGCTAACGTACCAACCACAGGAACCCCACAGCTTCCAGCCACAGGATTCACAGGACAAATAGCTCATTAAGCCAAGACAAGTAATAATAATGATTTTTCTAATAAATCGTTGTACTTTTGCTTCTATTCAGACAGATTTATTCAAACAGAGAACCAACCAGTTCTTCCTCGACTCTGTCCAACTTGGCAGGAATGATCAGGGAGTGAAGTGGGTCTCCAAAAGACCTCAGTTTTAAGTCGGCGATTCTTTCATAAGCAACTTCTTCTGTAGGAGATCCGAACCTGCAGATTGCAAATATTCTTGTGTCTTCGTTGATAAGCGAGGAGCCGGTGAGGGTGGCTGCTTCTAAGATCTGGTCAATTGCCTCATTAACGCTCATGAACCTATGCTCGTCAGCTTTAATGTCCAGAAGACATAGTGTGTGAAGATTGTTCTGATAGTTCTTTACTATATTGTCGTAGAAGCTTGTCGGCCTCCATTTTCCTGCAAAGTACGGGATGGACACCACCTTTCCAAAGGTATAGGAATAAAGCCCACAGCACCCCAACACGTTTATTATGGAGGCATTGTGAATAACTTCGACTCTTATTCCCTTTTCCTTCGCCCTTATGATTATGTCTGTGTGAGTTGTTGCGAACAATGGTGATCCCACTACAAGCAAGGTGACATCCTCTTCAAGGGACTCATCAACTATTTTGTCGGTTTGCTCCATCATCTCTCTGTCTGCCAGGAATACCTTCTTCCCTATAAGCTCTTCAAACTCATCCAACGGTTCTCCATGGATTGATGTGTAGTTCTCCAGATACACTCTTGTGCTGCTCTTGGCAGCCTCCAATCCTCTGAGAGTTATATCCTTGTACGAATGCAATCCGAATCCAACTAGATAGAGCATGCAGAATTTGGGGCAAGAGATTTATTACCCTAGAATGAGTGATTCCTGTTGTAAAATACGGAAGGAGGACTATGAGAAATATGTGGACGAAACACCTCTTGTGGCCTATACATCCTTGGCCCTGGTAATGGTTGTTCTCTCTATCTTCTCAATACCCTCGTTGTTCATATACAGCTTCATCCCTATGTTTATGGCTATGGCCACTAGGTCCCAGAATCAGGACCGTGTGCTTCTGTCCATTCTGGGGTGTATGATGGGATTTATGACACCTACTCTCTTAAGGAAGCAGTAAATGAGAAAATAAAGTCTTGGAGTTGTAGATACTCTCTTTTCTTTACCCTGTAGTTTTGGAACTGGAAGCTACCCACCAAGAATTTTCCAGAAAAGTGAGGGAAAAACCTCATGACTTTGGACATCTAAAAGTATTTAAGGACGAAGGAGATTTGAAGTATGAATGCAAAGAGGTATACGGAGCGAGCACAGAACGCTTTAAGGGGGTGTCTGGAGGAGGCAATTGCAAATAGCAACAATGTTGTTGAGCCCGAGCATCTCCTGAAGGTAATACTGAACGATCAGACATCTGTGTTGTACAGTGTGTTGAACCCTACTGAGAGGAACGACATTAAAAATGCACTTATAAAAAAGATAGGAGGCTTTGCAAAGCAGTACAACTGTACGGAGCCACGGGTTGGGGAAGCACTTGCAAGGGTTCTAGCGGCAGCCGAGAAGGGGGGAGATGGATATGTCTCTGTAAATGCATTGGTGCTTCAGCTTCTTTCAGTCAAAAGTATCAAGGAGCTGCTCATCAATTCCGAAGACATAAAGAAGAGAGTTGAGGAGCAGACGAAGAACAAAAGATTTGATTCCCGAAATTCCGACGATGCGACAAATGCAATGTCGAAATTTGCTGTTGATATGGTTGAGCAAGCACGGCAGAATGTTTTTGATCCTGTGATTGGAAGAGATGAGGAGATAAGACAGGTCATTGAGATCCTGTCGAAAAAGACAAAGAGCAATGCAATACTGGTTGGAAAGCCGGGGGTTGGAAAGACAGCCATAGTGAATGGGATCGCACAGCTGATAGCGAACGGCGAGGCACCCACTCTCCAGAATGCAAGGATCTACAATGTGGATGTTGGGTCGATGGTTGCAGGAACAGCACACAGAGGAGATTTTGAGGAGAGATTGAAGAGTCTAGTCAAGGAGGCTGAAACAACGCCAGGGGTGATTCTGTTTATTGACGAGATCCACATTGTGTTGGGAGCCGGGAAGACTGATGGGGCAATGGATGCAGCAAACATGCTCAAGCCTGGGCTTGCAGCCGGGACGATCAAATGCATTGGGGCAACAACACATGATGAGTACAGAAAGTATGTTGAAAAGGATCCTGCATTTGAGAGAAGATTTGTGCAGGTTGTTGTGAATGAGCCATCGATCGAGGACTCGATTACGATGCTGCGGGGGCTTAGAGAAAGATTGGAGGCATATCATGGAGTTAAGATAGCTGACAATGCTCTTGTGTATGCAGCAAACTCATCGAAGAAATACATTTCGAACAGAAGACTTCCCGATGTAGCAATTGACTTGGTGGACACGGCATGTGCCAGTGCAGTGATAGCACTAGAAAGCGAGCCGCAAGAGATTCTGAATGCAAGGTCGAAGGCATGGTCTTTGGAGCTTGAAAAGGCAAGCTTAGAAATTGATCTTGCAAGGGAAAAGGACGAGCATACAATGAAGAGGCTGGAGAACGTGGTTGAAAAGATAGAAGAGGTAAAGAGAAGTATAGAGCCGATGGAAGAGGCATATCTGAAGGAGAAAAGACATGTGATCGAGGCCAAGAAGCTAAAGAAGAGGTTGGAGGATACTAAGCTGAGGTTAGCCCAAGCTGAGAGAGACACATATGTTGCATATGACCTTAAGATGAATGTGATTCCTGTGATTGAGAGTGAGCTCAAGAGACTCGAGAGTGTAGAAGTAATTCTTCCTGTGAACATTGCCGAGGTCATAAGCAGATGGACAGGAATTCCTGTGAAGAGGTTAACCATTAAAGAGAATGAGAGGCTTATGGAGATGAGCTCTCGAATAAAGAGACGGATATTTGGGCAGGGGCATGCAGTGGATTCGATTGTAGATTCTATCTTGCAATCCAGAGTGGGACTGAGCAGAGAGGATAAGCCGATTGGAGCTTTCCTTCTTCTTGGGCCTACAGGGGTTGGAAAGACAGAGCTTGCCAAGGCAGTTGCAATGGAGTTGTTTGACGACGAGAAGAACATGCTTGTGCTTGATATGAGCGACTATGGAAATGAAATGAGTATAACCAAGCTAATTGGAGCATCTGCAGGATATGTAGGATACAATGAAGGAGGAGCTCTCACAGAGCCCATCAAGAACAAGCCCTACAACGTGATTTTATTGGACGAGGTGGACTTGGCACACCAAACAGTTCTGAATGTGCTATACCAGCTCTTGGACGAGGGACGTGTTACGGATGGAAAAGGGACGGTTGTGGACTTCAGGAACTGTGTACTGATTATGACCTCCAACCTAGGCCAAGAAATAATGATGAGGTCTCCAGAGCTTAGAGATGAAGACAGAAAAGAAATTGAAAGATTGGTGCTGAACCGGTTTGGGCCACCTCTTGTCAATCGCATTGACAATGTGATATACTTCAATAATCTTGATAGAGAAAGCATGTACAAGATTCTTGAGTATCAGATGGGTCAGCTGAGGAAGAAGCTGGACGAGAAGGGGATATCGTTTGAGATCTCGGATAGAGTGAAGGACGATGTGATTGAAAAGGCATATTCCTCGACATACGGGGCTCGGCTGTTGAAACGATTTATTCAGTCGAACTTTGTGCATGCATTAACAAAGATTCTTCTGATGAGGGAGACCGAGGACCCCATCAGGGTAAGATGCAGCCATGTCTCCGAGGAGGGGGAAGGAGTCCGAATTTCCGACTATGTCTATTCTGTAAGGCCCCAATGACTCGAATAAATTGTTTATGAAAATGTTTTTAGTGCATTCCGAGTAATTGGGATAATTAAAAGATATCCTAGGGATGCTTTTGTTTCTCAGGGACTTCTGGATCGAAAAAACTATTTACAAACAGGTTTACAACACCGAGCATTGGAAGGAAGAGCAACAAATGTCGTTCCATGGACAGTTGACAAGGATTGGGCGGGAACTTAAGGACGGGTCGTTTGAGGTGTGTGTGTCGGACTCCAGGCATTTTATCGGTGGAGTCCTGGCAAAGGAATCGATAGAGATGTTCCGAAGAGAGATAGCTTGTGGAATTGAAGATATCCAGGGATGCTACATCACAGTTGACAGGTTTCATTACGAATATAGCTTTGAAAGCAAGAAGTTTTTTCTGCGAATAGAGAAGTTTACATATTGCGGAGGAGAATGCGACACATACGGAGATCCGGCAGACATTAACGAAGTGCACTTTCTAAAGACCTTGTCTAATTCCCCCTTGTACATGAGGCCTGTATGCGAAGAGCTAGTGATACACAGGGCTAGTATCGAAGATATGTGCGAAGGCAAGGAGGGAGCCTACTTGATGGAGGTATTGAGGCAAAACAATGATATTTGCGGAGATGAGTGCCGTCTATGTTCAGGCCTCAAGAAAGGGGATTCGCAGGAATCTTATCGGCCTCAAAAACAGAAGGCTAGAAGATACAATCCGTTTATGGAGAGGCCTGAAGAAGATATGGATATAGAAGCAAGAAGAAAAGAGATGAAAAAAATATATCTCTCAGATGGCGTGTATGTTGAGAAAAAAGCTGATGAAAGAGATGTATCGGGGCCAAAGAATAGATATCTAGATTTATGTTCGGACAGCGAAGGAGAAGAGCATAAAGATTTATTGTGATGGAGTACTTTTAACAGAGAAGCATCATGACCATAAATGGTGGCATCTACAGCACAGATAATAAATATTCAATGCAACGTCGTCTTCGCTGCCTCTTGTCTGGAAGTACAGCCCTCTGTTGAATCCACAACTTCTACAGTTGATTTTCACGGAAGGAAGTGTTGGGTCCTGAGCAAGATCCCTTGCGTACAGCTCTATTGAAGCATACTTAGGCCTAAAGCTTCTCACATAAAGGCGATGTGATTTTGCCTCCTGGACGTGTTCACAGTTCTTACATGCAAGAAACAGAGTGTTGTCGTCTTCCTTTGGATAGAGAAGGTTGTTGCACTCTTTGCAGAAGCGATCGCTCATTGGGGTTGTGAGGAAGATGTGGATAAAGAGTTTGGATCTGCGGTTGAAGGATTGATCTGGAGGGTAGCTCAAATGAATGTTTTCGGAGCCCTTTGGATGCAGAACGATGAAGAGTTCTTTGTTGGGGACCAGGAAGACGAGAATACATCGTCTGACTTGGAGCTGATTGTGGACAAGGCTTCTGGAAAGGAAGAACAGAAGGAAGAGGCCGAGGGGCAAAACATCTTGGACTACGACATAGAAAGCTTTACAGATAAGCCTTGGAATAAACCTGGGGCAGATATCACGGACTACTTCAATTATGGGTTCAATGAGACGACTTGGAGGGAATACTGTAATATGCAGAGAAGGAAAAGTGAGTTTGCACGGGGAGGAACAGAATGGACGGATGAGAAGTATGGAGGAGTGAGAAGAGGGTTCAGTGAGATTAAGAAGGAAGGAGAAGGGGATGGAGGAAGAGGAAGACGAGGTAGCAGAGGAGAGCGAGAAGGAGGAAGGAGAGGAACTGGAGAAGGACGATGGGAAGGATGGAACGGGAGGAAGGATGGAGGAAGACGGCGAGGAGATAGAGAGGAGAGAAGCCAAGGAAGATATGAAGAGCGGGGAGAGGGAAGGAGGCAAGGATACCGAGACGGGGGAAAGAGGCAATGAGGGTTTTTTGGTAAGGGAAAGAATATATCTCCGAGGTTGGTGGGAAGCAGGCGATGGGATTCTTATGTAAATGGAAATAATGAAAAATTTGCAACCCCAGAATGGGAGCTATCAACTACCTCAGGGAGATCCACAGGCGCAAGCAGTCTGACGTGATGAGATATCTGCTAAGGATTCGAGTGTGTGAGTATAGGCAGAGAGGAGAGTGCTTCCGGGTTGAGAAGCCGACATTTTTGGAAAGGGCCAGAACCCTTGGATACAAAGCAAAGCAAGGATATGTGCTGTACATTGCACGGGTGAAGAAAGGGAATATGAAGAGGAATTACCATAACGGTAACACACGAGGAAAATGCGTGAATGCAGGAATCAACCAGATCAAGCCATCGCTTCGGAAGCAGGCGACAGCAGAGATGGTAGCAGGGAAGAAGTGCTCGAACCTTGGGGTGCTGAACTCCTACTGGGTGGGGCAGGATGCAGCCTACAAGTACTATGAGGTGATAATGGTCGACCGACATCACCAGGCCATAAGAAATGACATTAAGATAAACTGGATATGCAAGAACACGATGAAGCACAGAGAGTGCAGGGGCCTTACGTCTGCGTCTCGGAAGAGCAGAGGACTTGGAAAGGGAATCCGATTCAACAAGTCGAAGGGAGGGTCCATCCGATCCTGCTGGAGAAGAAGAAATACGTTGGTTCTTCAGAAGTACCGCTGAGATTAAAACGTGATTATTTCAAGAGTTTTATGTATTTCTTGTGTCCCGCCTTGGGATCCACTTGGATTTGTAAGTTTTGGTTAGGGGAAAAGATGTAAACAATAGCCTCTTTGTTCCTGTATGTTGTTTGATTTGGGCGGCGAATAAAAAGACAAATTTTACACCTTGAAAATAAAGGGATCACTGTAGATGGACGAGAAAGGATACAAGCATGAGATAAAAGATATACTTGAGAAGAGTGATCCAAAGGAGGTGGACCGGGGTTTTATGGACGATGTGCTAGAGAAGATAAAGAGAAGACGTGAGGTTACGCCGCAAGAGGTGGCAAGAGCAATTCTATTTATGGCAGACTTTCCAGATAGGGAATGGAATCTCCCTGCGATCGTTGGGTCGATGAAAAGCAATCTTGAGGAGATCAACTGGAGAGATGTGTATTCATGTTTTCTGGACGTGAACTTCAGCATATGGACTCTAGAGTCTCTGTATGTGATTGTCGATTGCTGGGTTCACATCAGTGGAATCATCACTGTTCCATATGAGATATTTTTCAAGAGATGGAAAAATGAACGAGCACAGATGTACTTTCTGAGGCTGATTATTGAGAGCGACGAGAAGAGGACCCAGCTGTATTCAAATGTATTTTTCAGCAGGATCATCAGTATTGAAGATTCACGAAGCCATCGGTTCAAGAATGTGATGGGATATGAAAGCAACTTCAACTGTGTGGAACTTTTCCAATGCATTGGGATGCTTGGGTCCATTCCATTAGTTGAGCTGATTGCCCGGAAGTCTCCTGAGTGGTGTGCAGCAGGACTTGGCTTTGTACAGCCGAAGTTTGGACGGATTTTCGAGGATCTTCTAAGCGGCTTTGCCCGTGGAGCACCAAACAGCTTTATTTTGCATGTATTATTTAAGAACCATCCCGAGATGATGCTCCAGAAGTCGTTGGTTCTTATCCGAGAGGGGATACCTGTGTCTCGAATTCTTGACATGTTCCTAGAGCACAAGATGCTTCCTCTTGTTTCCGAACTCCTGAATCCGCCGGAGCTCTGTTTCGACATTATTGTGCTGAGTTCGATCAGGGACCACTTGAACCTTGGGATATGGCTGTCAAACAACCTGACGACACGAAAGGATGAATTTGTCAGGTCATTAGTGCTGTATTTGGATTCTAAGATTTCGAAATCCAATGAGCCCGAGAAGATGTTTCCTCTGAATGTTGAGATTATGGGGGTTTTTACAAAGGCTGTAGAGCAGTATGTAAGGATACTGAAGCCTGAGACTGTTGGGATGTATAATGAATTCAAATCTAGAATTCCCCATGGACTCCGTACACAAAGGAGCAAGGAGGTCAGAATTGAGGAGGAAGCAAGCAATTTCATTTCGCAGATAATCAATTCGCAGAGAGGAATCGAAAGCAGCATTAATCAAATCAAGGAGTTTCTAAAAGGGAATGCATTGAGCAAGGTGCTGGCATCTCGGATATTTTCGGCACTACTTGAGAACTATGGATCTCTTTACAAGCTCCCAAACTCAGACCTTATTGCACTGCTGTATGGAGGGTTGATCAAGGAAGGAGTGTTTCCAAAGCCATACCGCAGAATGGCTATTGAATATATAAAGGGATCCTTGAAATATCCCGAGAATGACAGAGAGTACTCGTTTGGATTCCGATGCCTCGAGGTATTCCTCCCATCGTGCCCAACCATTCTTGCAGAGATAGAAGAAATAGAAAGTGTTAATAGCATCCTTGTCAAGAAAGAGCTGATTCTAGTAGATTCCACCTCCCATCCATTGCTTGATGAAGAGGATATAGTGAAATTAATATTTAAGTGTGGCTCCAAGAACGAAAGGACTGAGGAGATGATCAAGTCTCTTGAGATTGAGGCTGAAGGAGGAATTGAAAGGCTTGGAGAATTTCTTGAAAAAGGGATTCTAGATAGGGAAGAGGTGGTACTGTACATTATTCAGAACATTGAGGTGGAGAATGGAAGAAGGCTTGTAGCTATTGTAGAAGGGTTGGGAAAGGAGTTCTATTTGCGGTTTGTTCGAAGGTCTTTTGAGTTTCTTAAAATGTTCTTGGACTACCGGAGTGAAAATGAGATAGGAATTGCCAAGGGCTTGGGATATGTCCTTGGAGGAGTGATGCTTGCCAAGAACCGAATTGTAACTTCTGAGCAGTTTGACTTCAAGAAGTTTGTTGTGAAGTCTGTGGAGTGCAGGAGGATTCGGTTTGGAGTGAGCTTCATAACGAGCTTTCTAAAGCAGGGAAAGAGTGGAATCATATTTATTCCAAATAACCCGTGGATGATGAGCATCTTGAATCTTCTGTCGGAGATATATAGCTGTACTCCAAAGCCTGTAAGGGATGAGATCCAAGGGTTGTTCAACCACTTTTCTGTTGACCTTGTCCCCAGAGAGTTCAAGAACTTAGGGCTGAAGTCTAAGAAGTATCTGGCAGAGTATGTTATTGAGGATAGAGACCTTGTGGTTAGACATGTGATATCACTTGCCCTGGATCTAAGTGTTCGTGAAATATGTGGGCCAATTGTGGAGAAGGCATGTTCTGTTGCAATCCAAACGGGAATGGAACTTTTCAGGACGATGGCGGTTGAGAAGGGGATGGAATATATCCTGTTTAGAAATATGGTAGTGAATCTTACGAAGTTCCTATGTCTAGTTTCTGCACAGGAGCCGATCAGGGCATGCATTTCTGGAAACGTCTCATACTTCATGAAGCTTTGCTCTCTAGACTTTTCCACCGAAAGAGTGTTTAAAATAGCCCAGGAGAATCAAGAGGTGTGCTGCGATCTTATCCAGAAGTCGGGGGCTTCGAAGGTTAGTGAGTTGATCAGTACTTGCTACAACAATCTAGAGTATTCCAATGGAGAGCCGAAGGGAATGCACCTTTCTCTTCTTGAAGATCCTGGACACATTGAAAAGATAGTAATCAAGGCAATTGACAACGGAGAGTATCAGGAGATAAAGGCGCATCTTGTACAACTAAGCAAGAAGATTCCATATTCGAAGAAGAACATCATAGCCGACGAATGGCATGGGCTTTTGAACGAGGGGAGAGAAGAAGTATTTAGGAGAATACTGGAGAGCGTGGAGAGCAGTGAGGATAAGGACGAGGAATGTATCCGGTTGTGCAGGTACATCACAGGACATCTTATCAAGAGCGGGAGCAAGGAGGACTTCCTGTTTGAATGTATGGAGAAGATATTTAAGATATCATTCAAGACTCAGAAGGAAGTTCTGGGCTGGCTTATTTATTCCAACGACCCACGGAAGTTCAGTGTCAGTCTTGTGAGTAAGTTTATAGAGCACAATCTAATCAATGTTGTGGAATACGACCAGGCCCTTTCGAAGACTCCGCTTGCAGATGGGAATCTTGACTTTGTGATCTCGCTCCTGACATCTCTTATAACTGCAGAAGTGCAGATCTGTACGGTCTACGACTTTATCTGCACACTTGAGATGCTTGCAGGACATGGCGACAACCCTCGGGTCTTTGATTTTTTCCAGAAGATTAGCAATTTAATGATGCACATCGAAGCAAAGGGGGCATCTGATTACGACGAGTATGTCCGTAGCTGCAAGTTTACAACTGTTCCCGAGATGTTTCTTCCTGAATTTATGGAAAGGGCCAACTATCCTGGATCTGTGGACATACGATCTGCATTCAAGGTGTCTTGGGACCACTTTATAAGATACCACAGAATCCCTACTTCATATTGTTATTTGAAAATAGATCCTCTTCCAGGACTCATCAAGGAGAAGCTCTATGAGTCGATCAAGGAAAGCTTGTTTGTGTTTCTGGAGGCATATAGAAAGAGGAATTATCTATTTTTCAAGCTTTACACAAGATTCATTGTCAAGACGCTGGATATCATGGAGGACACGCCCACAAACAGGTCTTTGGTCTACTCTGTGCTAGAGGTTCTATCTCCGTCCCAGGTTCCGGGATTTACATCCTGCTTCCTAGAAATCCTAGGACATAGATTTGTCTTGAGATGCTTTGATTCTGAAGAAGGAGTTATTCTTGCAATGGAAGCCCTAAAGTGTGGATCTTACAGCTCAAAGCTCATGTATCCTATAACACAGATCATGCAGTTCTTCAAGAGAAGTTCTGGATATGTCAAGATGTATTCCTCATATTTGGCCTACTGCTGTCCCCAGGAATACCCCCACGTAAAGAACTTCATCAATCAATTCCGAGACCGGATTGTGCCTGTAGAGGGCCAGAATCCGTTTTTCAGATTACGAACTGCTCTTCAAAACAGGACGTCCGTAAAGGTGACGGATCTTGGAATAGGAAAGAATCTCTGGGTATATCTAATAGACAACCTTAACGAGATGGATGCCATTTCGTCTACAGTGATTGAAAGTATCAAGTTTATGATAGAAAGAAAAATGCATCTTGAGGAGATCCTGACGATTCTCTGGATCAGGATGAAAGCACCAGGTGCACCAAAGGCCCTTGCAGCTTGTTATGATGAGATCTCCTCTTTTGATTTTTGCCGTGTGTTTCTAAAGTCTCTTGAAAATCATGGTTATAATAAACTGTAGAGTAAACCAGATGTAGTTTAATGAATTCCACACGGGACCCATGGACCAGTCGGACGAGTTGATACGTAGGGTGTTGGACGAGAGGTCACTGGAGGCCCTTTCTACGCTGAAGCACATAAATAAGGAAAAGGGAGAGATGCTGCAAAGTGCACTTGCACAGCACTTCTATTCCGTAAGAAGGCCTATCTCCTACAGCGAGTACATCGAGATTGCAAAAAAGATCGAAGAAAAAAACTCCAAGCCTAGTGTTAATTTCAGGAGAAGAGGTAACTTCTTTGAGTTGGACGACATATAGCAATAAACCGTGTTCTTTGGGTTGAATTACCCTCTATTGCTTTCTCAGAGGCTCAAAATCTTGGGAGGATATATTCTTTATTTGATCACCCGATACTGCTGCCGGTCTTTTCCAGGAAATTCCTATCATGCATCAAGAGATTTGTGATATGCCAGTATCTTCGAATGGTTTTTGTAGTGGAATGTAATTACAAAATCTATCTCCAGTGCAGCCTTCAGCTCGTTGATTATTGCCCCGCAATCTGCTGTCGATGGAATGTTCTTCGACCATATGCTAAGCTTGAATCTGTTGTCCTTGTGTATCCCTACAATTCCGGTGGGCTCAAACGTCTTGAAGTAGCCTGTACATAGATTTACAAGAAGTCTCTCAAAGTATCTCTGGCACACCTCTTTCTTAAGCATAAGACTCCAGTCACATCCATTCATATTGTTCTCGTCTTCCCAAACAGGGCTGATTCCCTCTTTAAATACGTTGATATAAAATTGCTTGTCTATTTTATCGAAGTCTTTCAAGTGATGCAACAGATAGGAAACATGTTCTTGGGACTCCAGGGTGCATATACTCTTCAAGTCCTTCTCATAGGTGTCTTTGGAAATTTCGTTGCCGGAATTCTCAAGGACTTTGAGGGTAACATGGAACCTTGATGGAAGCTTATTCATGGGTTCTTCTTGTCTTGGGATTTTAATTCGTATTTGCTTGGGGTCCGCAATACTATAATACATAGATTTTAGAAGAAAAATTTTTGATAATCTTCTATTACCCATATTTAGTAAAATTTTGATAATTCCGTTTATAAAGCAGTGTATGAGAAGCCCTACAATGAAAAATCATCATCTTCAACTCAAGGATGTTGTTCTCGTGGCTCCTGGCCAAGACATGTCCTATAATGAAAGGTTTGATATAATGATTAAAGATGTCGATGTGGAGTTTAGATCTGAAGAGATATATGCTTTTATGGGAACTAGTGGAAGTGGAAAGACAACAATAATGGAAGGTATATCAGGTCTATTTCCAGAAGAATCCATGACAAGCGGGCAGATACTAATAGACAACGAGGAAAGAGACTACTACAAATGGCACAGCGAGCATTCATGTGGGAGGCAGTCTGGATACTCAATTGAAGATCTAACTCTTGACGAGTTCATTTACTATACAGTTCTGTTTTCTTTCCCTAACGAAGACAAGGAACGCATTAACGAGGTCATAGATATAGTTCTTAAGGATGTTCTCAATTTGAATGATGTACGCCATCACAAGATGAATATGTTGTCTGGAGGAGAGCGTAAGAGAACAAACATAGCTACTGCTTTGATTAAGATGCTTTTACTGGAGGGGAAATTGAGAGTAGTGCTTCTTGATGAGCCCACAAGTGAGCTTGACTCAGGGCTGGCAGTAAAGGTGGTAAGGTTTGTCAAGGAATATGCTCGAAGGAGTGGCGCAATAGTGATATTGACGGTTCATCAGCCAGGGCCCGAGCTCTTCAATCTTTTTGATAGTCTCCTGTTTTTGAACAGAGGGGCAAAGGTATATGCTGGTCCGCCCGATAAGTTCATTGATTTTCTGAATACCAAGGGAATCTACAATTCAGGTTTATCAAAAACTAACATGGAATTTCTGTTCAGCCTCTTCACAAAAGGAAGTAAAGAGTCACAACAGTACGAGACTCAGATCAATAATATGTTGAGGGAGATGAAGGAAGAAAAGGAAAAAAGAAGAAAAGTTAAGGAGATAAAACTCAAGGTGGAAGAAGATACTAGAATTTCCCTTGTCCCCAGCCTTTCATCGGCCATCCTCTTGATCAAGAGACAGTTGATTTTAAGCGGGGTTCGATCACGGGAGATTTTACTTAGCTTGGCCATAGTCCTAGGATTATCTATCGCAATCTTCTTTGCAGAAGTTAATACTAAGACAGGGCGTCAAGTAGCTTGCATCCGTGACCTAGTTTTTCTCCTTAGCTTGATACCTTTTTCAAATGCAATACTAGAGAAAAGTCTTCATTATACCAGAGAAGAAATCAGTAAAGGATTGTACAATACTGCAACCTTCTGGCTTTCGTCGGTAATTTTTGAGTTTTTGATGATTGTCATTAGATGCACTTTAGGATTAGGAACTCTCTATTGCTTCGGGACTATAGAAACAAGAAACCTTCCTTTCTTTTTCACCAACCTAATATTAATGTTTTTCTCTTCCTGTCTTCCTCGCATGATGATTGTCTCTGTGGCTGAACCCTCTACAGGTCTTGGAAAGATTTTATCTTTTGTAGCTAATTTGGTTGTCCCAATACTCGTAACTCTAGGAATTCCCAAGGTCATAAAAAACCTGCTACTACCAAAGGAAATTTTGGGTTTTTTACCCCAATCGATTTCTTCTTTCCTTGAACTTTTTTATGAAACTATCTTTTATGTTCAGAAGCCCTTTAGGTCTCGAATAGATAAATTTTGTAATTTACTAGTAGAAAGTGTAAAGGAGAAGAAGGAGAAGGAGAATATCGGATCTATCTTCCCCATGCTCGTAATGTTATTTATTTCTTTTCTCATTATTAGTATTATAAGTATTCTTCTTCTGGACAGAAGGCTTACTCCCTCTGTGAGGCTTCAGTTGTCCGATGATAAGACTAAGGAAGAAAAAAGCCTTAAGAAAAAGTTCCAATCTCTCTTCAGGGGCCCTTGGCTCAAACGATTCCTGGTGTCTTTGGCTATGGTTCTGGGAATAACAGTTGTATGGCTTATTCTTTGGAAATATCTCTTTGGATTTTCAAGAATGGAGGAAAAGAAACCCTGTGCCGGATGATCTTCGAGATCATGGCCTTCAATGGTAAATAGCCTCGATTAGTTATTAATAACCATTAAACTTTTTCTCAGGCCAATCAACACAATTGATATTAATGAAAGCCTTAAAAATTTATCAAAAAGATAGATGTTGTACCAAATATGGACTATTATGCCAATTTTAATAAGTACAAAATGGCTTATATATTTGCTAGTTGATCCTAAGATATGAGCTGGAGCACGACCTTCCAGGATCTTTTGGACACAGAGCTTCTGGAGTCGGATATGGACCAGGATGTAAAAGACTTGTGTATGGAAGAAGGAGGAAAAGCAGAGTCCTCTCTATGGGAGTTCCTGGAACAGGAGGTTGAGGGAGAAAGTGCTATCCACAGGTTCTACATGAGATTTATGGAGAATAGAATGAGGCCTTCAAGCCCCGATGCAAGGATAAATCCTCGAAGTCTTTACGGTAACTTCCTGGAAATGAAGGAGATGGACGAGAATGTGGAAGAAGAAAAGACAAGAGAATTCGGTGGTTGCGATGTCCTAAGAGCAAAGCCCTCTCTCTCGTATGCACAGATAATAACGAGAGCCATAAGGACGAGCAAGACTGGAAAGCTCACGCTTAGCGAGATTTACAAGTGGATTGAGGATTCGTTTGAATACTATCGATATGCAAATCCGGTGTGGAAGAACTCCATACGGCACAACCTGTCTCTAAACAAGTGTTTCAAGAAGGTTCCTCGGGATCCAGGGACACGGGGAAAGGGAGGAAAATGGATGCTTGACCACGAATTCCTGTCCAAAGAGGAGTTTAAGAGACGAAGGAGAGTGAGGCAATACAGCACAAAGATTCTTGACAGATCCGAGTCGTCTGGAGATTGCTCCAACGACGAAAGGGACTTTGAATCTTGTGATGTTGATGTATCTACGAGTTTGGTGAGTCAGATGAAAAGGTTTGTGGTTTCCGAGGTCAATCCAAGTAAAATGTAAATAAAATATAAGATATAATCTAGATTTAGTTGAAGGAAGCATGGGGATGCTATGGATCGAGAATGTTGATCTGGAAGATAACTCTGTTGGAGAGACTTTCCGAAGGTTTTGGAAATGCCGTGACCTCGGAGCGGTATCCAGATGCCATCAGAACGGCCTCTATCATTCCACACACAACCGAATCTGCGGAAAACCCATCCCATTCGGTAGGCACAGACATGAACCTTGAGAGGACTCCATCGGCATCTGTGAGGAAGTAGGTCTTGTCGGAGTCTTCAGACTTGTCAATCCTCTTGTCACTGTCTCCAACCAAGGAGAGAAAGTCAAATGCAATTCTGTAAAGAAGTGTTGGAATATGTACTTCTCTTTCAAAGTTACATACCTCAAGAAGCTTTATGCCGATTTCGTATCCTATGGTCTTGAGACTTGCTTCTACATCTTTTTTTTGCTCCAGTAGGTATTCAACAATGCCGCAGATCAGATATGACATAGTAGACACAGGAACTTCTCTTTTCATAATGCCTTGAAGGCCTATCTACATTTTCTTCATTTCAACTATTTTGTTTACAACATCTTGGGCATCCTCTTTTGCTCTTTCGGCATTCCCCTTTGGATGCTTTGCCCATCCAACATAATACACAGGCTTTGTAAATCCTAAACTTCTGGGATCTGCCCTGCTGAAGCCCACACTAGATATCACTGTGTCGAAGTATTCCTCGATGGGAATTCCACCCTGCTCCATCTTCACCTTGTATTGCCTTCCAACTCTTTCTATTGACTTTATGTTAGTGTTGAACATCAGCCTGAGTCTTTTGGCCCCCTCTCTGACTCCTTGGAACAGCCTTAGTCTTCTCTCCTTCCACTTATTAATATTGTCTTTTTTCCCATCATCTTTCTGCAGATAAGTGAATTTCTGCTCAAGGTCTTTGGTCTTGTCTTTGTCCGGGCAAGATATGTCTTTTGGCGAGGACCAGCTGAATCCTAGCCTTGGAATTTCAAGTACGCTTCTCAGCCCATGGTTGGAGAATGAACTTTCCAAGACATTTCTTCTAGATGTGATGGTTACATCTCTAACTTCTTTTACTCTTTCAAGAGCATTTTTCGGAAACTTGAACTGAGGCCCGGCCCATCCAAAAAGATATTTTGTAATGTCCATAGAGACGTCTCCCATCCCAACAATCAGAACCTTGCTTCCTACTGTGTATTTTGGCTCTTCTCCTGCCCACGATTTTGCTATGTCAAGACTGCCGATGCAATGGTCTGCTCCAGGAATTGCCAGCTTTCTTGGCCCTCCAGGTCCTGTAGCAATAACGAAAGCATCAAATTCCTTTTCCATACCACTTAGCTTCTCAAGATCAATTTTGGAATTCAATTTCAAAGAAAAGTTCTTGTGCTCCAGTAGTTTCGTAAATGGAGACATTCTCGACTCAGGGAGCAAGGAGTATCTGTACAGCCCCCCTAGCTCTGGTTCCTTCTCGTATAGTGTTACATTGACGTCTCTCGATAGTAAGGAAGCTGCAGTGTACAGTCCTGCAGGTCCTCCACCAATTACACATACCTTCATGGGGAGTGCTTTCATCTACTCTTTCGATCCAGTCTGAAACAAGCTTGGGATGGCGGGAAAGGGAGATATGAAACAGTGTCTCGAAGTCAGGTATAAAACGAGCTGAGTTATTTACAACATCTGATGAAAGGCCAAAGAACAGTTTTTCTGATGGGATGCATCACAACCGGAATAGTTATGGTCCTACTCGCGATAGATCTCATGGGACCAAAGAGAAACTCTCTTAAGTCTATGGGTCTTGTCGAAAGGGGAAGAATGCCTCTGTTTGGGAAGAAGACAACGGCGGGAAGTTCGCCGAAAGGAAGACCGTCGACAGGATGGATGTCCTGAAACAAAAGATAGATATGGTAAACAAGAAGCTGGACAGAGTGATTGAGATTGTTGGGGAGCTCAAGTCCTCCAACAGGTCTAGCTTGGAAAAAGATGAGTTTAATAAGAGCGAAAGCACATACCATGTCCCCAAGTACTCATATCGTTATTCCGAAAGGACCCCACTAAGTTCCAAGTCTCTATTTAACAAGCCATACTATCTTGGAGAAAAGACCCAGATTGGGGACATTAGTGATGTGGAATTGCCTGAAAAGAGCTTGGGAGTAAGCAGCGTCATAAATTCCCAGGGCTCAAAGTATTCGGGGGATCTTGATCTTCATGGAAAGGCAACTGGGGTAGAGATTCACGGGATTTCTATTTCCGGCAAACCCAGCTCGTCCGCTGAGATCGAAAGGAAGCCTGAATCTTCCAGCACACCCTCTTCTAGAGGCTTTGGAGTATCTGGGCTTCCTGCAAGTAGCAGCTCAAGCAATACAGTTGAAAATGTTGTTTCGAGTGGAGAGAGCCTTGAGAAACTCATTGGAGAATTCCTTAACGAAAGCTTTAGCACCGTTCTCAAGCCATCGACTTCAGAGGTACTGATTGAAGATGGTAAGCAAGCACAGGACAAAAGTAAAGCCTTGAAGGAGAGTAACTCGATGAAGAATGGCAATGGGCAGCTTGATCTTGGGAGCAGCCAAGGCTCCGTGTCTCGATCCCCTTTGAGCAGTAAGGAGAAGAAAGAAGACATAGTATATGCAAAAAAAGATGGGGAGGAGACCAAGACATCATCAAGTCCGATTGTTGATAGAAAGCTGGAAGGTCCCATCAGTAGGGAAGCTAGCGTATCAACCGAGAGGACTTCAAAACCTCTCAAGCCAGAAGCAAAGGCCTTAAGCAGTGGGCTTCAGGGAGGGAATGAAAAAGGGCTTAGTCATACCACCACTCTTCATCTTTCAGATGGAAGCACAAGGGAGAGAGCCACTCTGGTATATCCGTCGGAGAGCGAAGCAAGCTATGAAGATGTCTCGAGTAGTGGAGGTGATGATGAAGGAGCCACAGACCTGAGAAATAGGGGGCCTAGGCCACGAATCTCGGTCATCAAACTATGAAGATGGTCTAAAAATAAGTATTAAATCGCCATGGTTATTTTCTTTGTTCTGATAATGATAAAACGAGAGAGACAATCCCAGGAATGCTACTCAAGGGGGGACGTAAATGTGACAGTATAGAGAAATACGAGAAACTTTGCAGAATATCCTCGGGTAGCTTTGGAAATGTGTACAGGGTGAGGCGGAAGACAGACAAGAAGGAGTTTGCTCTAAAGAGGATGAATCCGTCGATGTGTCACGACACCAACGGGTTTTCGATCCTATACATGAGAGAGGTGATGATTCTAAAGCATGCAAGAAACAAGAATGTGATGGGGATCGAGGAGGTGGTGGAAGGATGCGAGATCAATGATTTTTTCATCGTGATGGAGTGCTGTGACATAGACCTGAAGTCCATTGTTCTGAAGACAGGGGGGATTGGTATGGAAGTGGCCAAGTTCTTTACATACCAGATTCTTCAAGGACTTGAGTTTCTGCACGGAATCGGAGTAGTCCATAGAGACCTGAAACCGTCGAATATTCTTCTTATGAGGAGCGGAGATCTGAAGATAGCAGACTTCGGGCTTGCAAGGGCTGTTGGAAGCACAATGACCAATCTTGTTGTTACCCTGTGGTATAGAGCCATTGAAGTATTACTTGGGTCAGAAACCTACAACGAGTCGATTGACATGTGGTCTGTCGGGTGCATTGTTGGAGAGATGCTGAAGGGAGGGCCAATTCTACCTGGGGAAGGAGAGATAGACCAGCTTGATAGGATATTCAAACTTCTAGGATATCCTGCAGACGAAGACTTTGCAGGGCTATGTCTTCCCCATCTCAAGAACATCAGAAGACCTGGTAGCTTTGAGGCAAGCTTTGGGCAAGACTTTGGATGTTATGGGCAGGAGGTAGTCGACTTTGTCGGAAATCTTTTGTCTTTTGATCCTAGAAAGAGACATTCGGCCTCTCAAAGTCTCAGTAGCTTGTTCGTAGCAAATGGAAGAGATTGCCCAAGAGAACTCATCAAAGACATGATGGACTTGTGCATCAGAACTCCTAATACTTGAACATCCTGCTTGCAAGGATCGAGAGAAATCGAAACAATTAGAGAAATAAAAAGTTAGGTTGGGCAAGGGGGATGATGAATGTTGTACAGCAAACATTTGCAAAGCTAAGCATAGAAGAGCCAGTAAAGGGGATGGAAGGAAAGGTTTATTCTGTCAGCGGTCCTGTTGTTGTCGGATGTGACATGGTTGGATGTGCAATGTACGAGCTTGTGAAGGTTGGAAATGAGGGACTAGCAGGGGAGATCATCAAGATCGACAAGGACAGAGCTACCATCCAGGTGTATGAAGACACCAGCGGGCTGTGTGTTGGAGATGTGATTGTTCGGACAGGAAGGCCGTTGTGTGCAGAGCTGGGGCCAGGACTCTTTGAAAGCATCTACGATGGGATTCAGAGACCTCTAAAAGAAATCCAAGAAAGGTCTGAGGGGATCTTCATACCCAAGGGTGTAAACATTCCTTCATTGGACAGAGAGCGAGAATACGAGTTTGTCCCCGAAGTCAGTGTTGGAGACTATGTTGTTGGGGGAGACATTTTTGGGAAGGTCTACGAAAACAGTCTTATTGAAACAAAGATTCTTGTTCCTCCAAAGGAGAGCGGAAAGGTTGTTTTCATAGCAGCCCGTGGAAACTATACCTTGAAGGATGTTGTGATGGAGCTTGAGACCAGCAAGGGAAGAGTGGAGATGTTTATGTATCATACATGGCCTGTTCGGGTTCCCCGGCCTATTGAAGAGAAAAGGAATGCCACACATCCATTGTTTACTGGGCAGAGGATTCTAGACTCTTTGTTTCCTTGTGTTCAAGGAGGGACTACGGCGATTCCAGGTGCATTTGGATGTGGGAAGACGGTGATTTCCCAATCTTTATCGAAATACTCAAACTCCGATGCAATTGTATATGTTGGGTGTGGAGAGCGAGGAAACGAGATGAGTGAGGTTCTGATGGAGTTTCCGAAGCTGACAGTAGGAGGAAAAGAGGATAGTATTATGAAGAGAACTGTGCTGGTAGCAAACACATCTAATATGCCTGTTGCAGCAAGAGAGGCGTCGATCTACACGGGGATAACAATTTCGGAGTACCTCCGGGACCAGGGGATGAATGTGTCGATGATGGCAGATTCGACATCAAGATGGGCAGAGGCACTGAGGGAAATAAGCGGAAGGCTTGCAGAGATGCCTGCAGACAGTGGATATCCGGCGTACCTTGGAGCAAAGCTTGCATTTTTCTACGAAAGAGGGGGATCTGTTGTATGTCTTGGATCTCCCAAGAGAACCGGATCGGTGACAATAGTTGGAGCAGTCTCTCCTCCTGGAGGGGACTTTTCGGACCCGGTGACATCGGCAACTCTTGGGATTGTACAGGTGTTTTGGGGGCTTGACAAGAAACTTGCACAAAGAAAACATTTTCCATCGATAAACTGGAACCTGAGCTACTCGAAGTACTTCTCAAACCTGGAGCCGTACTACAACAAAGTAGATCCAGACTTTATTGTGAACAGGACAAAGTGCAGGGAGATTCTACAGCTGGATGACGATCTTTCGGAGATTGTCCAATTGGTAGGGAAAAACGCTCTTTCAGAGACCGAGAAGCTTATTCTGGACATATCCAAGCTGATAAAAGAGGACTTTTTGCAGCAGAACGGATACTCGAAGTACGACAACTATTGCCCGTTTACAAAGACAAGGATGATGCTTCGGAATATCATTCTGTATTTTGACAACTGCAAGAATGCCATAATGAACTATAGGTTCAGCTGGTCCACTGTCCGGAAGGAAACCGAGGATGTGTTCTATGGCCTGATGAAGATGAAGTTTGTGATTCCGGGGAAAGAGATGGAGTCTAAGCTGGACAAGCTAAAGAGGGAGATAGACGAGGTGTTCCAGAGGATGTTAGGATGAAATAAATCACTTCCCAAGAAGATTGTGTGCTTGAAGAAATTTTTCTTAAGGGCTTTGCCCTGATGGAGGTCCGAGATGTTGGGACAGTGAATAGAATCAGTCTCCACTCACACATTGTGGGGCTTGGATGCAATGAGGATGAGGTTGAGTACAACAAGGATGGACTGGTTGGACAGGTTAAGGCTAGGAAGGCGATGGTGCTTATAAGAAAGATGGTGGAGAGCAACAAAGGGGGAAAGATAGTTCTGATTAAGGGAGACCGAGGAAGTGGAAAGACCGCATTGGCAATAGGACTATCGAAAAGCCTAGGGGGAGTGCATTTTAACTCGATCAGCGGGACAGAGATATATAGTCTGGAGATGAGTAAGTCCGAGGCTATTACCCAGGCTCTTCGGAAGTCTGTTGGGCTAAGGATTAAGGAGTCTGTGCGGACGATTGAAGGAGAAGTTGTGAGCTTGAGTGGAAGGAGAATTGTTCTCAAGACTGTTGATATGGAGTCTTCGTTTGACATAGGAGAAAAGATGAGGAATGAGCTTGATAAGGAGAAGGTAAGCGCCGGGGATGTTATAAGGATTATCAAGGAGAGAGGAAGAGTGTATAAGATTGGAACGAGCATGGTGAAGAAGAATGAGATGGTAGGGATGGATGCACGGTTTGTTCCTTGTCCTGAGGGGGAATTGATAAAGATCCGAGAGGAGATTCAAGAGATATCTCTTCATGACATCGATGTTATAAACAACAAGGCTGAAGGATACCTTGCTCTTTTCAGTGGAGAAACGGGGGAAATTCGAACAGAGACAAGGGATGAAGTGAACAAGAAGGTATGGAACTGGATCAATGAGGGAAAGGCTGAGGTGGTCCGAGGAGTTTTGTTTATAGACGAGGTTCACATGCTTGACATCGAAAGCTTTGCCTTTCTAAACAAGGCGATCGAGGAGGACTTCTGCCCAGTGATCCTCGTTTCAACCAACAAGAAGGAGTGTGTGATAAAGGGAACCGACGAGACAAGTCCCTATGGAATGCCAAAAGACTTTATTGACCGTGCCTTGATCATTTCTATGGAGAAATACAACCGAGAAGATCTCGAAGCAATCATCAGACACAGAATACTCGAGGAGGATGTTCTCATCGACGGCAGTGCTGTGGATGCCCTTGTTTCGATCTCCGAGGAATCTGGGCTGAGATACTCTATGAACTTGCTGACAATATCTAGCCTGAGGGCAAGCAAAAGGGGGGGAAAGGTGGTTCTTGAGGACATCAAAAGAGTTTCGGAGTTATTCCTGATGAGGCCCGCGGGATCGAAGGCTTCATGGTTAAATAAATCTTATGTCCTCCATTGGCTATATCTCTGCCTCATTCAATATCATGAACGTAGGCCTTCCGTGAGGACACTTCCAAGGCCTGTCCAAGACGCCCAAGCTCCTTACTATCCTCTTCATGTCCGCTGCAGAAAGAGCGTCGCCTATCATTACGCTTGTTCTACATGCCTTTGAAGCAATTATGCTCCGAATTTTCTTGAATTCATATTCTTCGTTCTTCACATCCTCGAGAAGTTCCCTGAACTCCTTGATTCCAAACACCTGGTTTCTGTAAACAGGAATCGTCTCCAGCATGCCATTCTTCACAACAAATCCATTTTTTTCAAACACCTCTGAATTCTCGTTGACAATCATCTCCTCAATGGGTGTGAGGTCCAATTTCACAGGGACTATCACACTCTGTTTCTTTAGGTAAAATGTTTTCTTGATATTCTCAAAGTTCCTGATTTCATCTGCTGCATGTTGGTCTACAGCTATAAGATAGGTCTTTTCGTTTTTCTCCAGTTTTGCAATGATAAATCCGTTGTTAAACTGGCCTATGATTTCAAGTCTGTTGAAGTCGCTCTTTGAAAACGAAATCTTCGGATGGACAAGCTCGTCGTATTTGAAGAATGAATATGCTCCTGTTGCCAGATGGCCTTCGTTTTCGTATATTTCTTCTTGTTGTTTCTCCTCGAGAGGTGGCTCCAACTCTTCAGAGAGGTTTGATGAAGAAGGCTTCACTTCGGTGTTGTCCAGCGACCCAATTCCTGATGAGGGTTCTTCCACCGACGATGAATCCTTGCTCCTTTCTTCATTTTCTTCTGTCATTTCATTCTGCTTTCTCTCCCTCTTTCCCAGGGAGGGAGCTACTCGTGATAGTCTCACAGCCGGATGGTGCACAGCTGTTCCAGAGAAGTTACTTCCCATAAATCCTTCTCCGCTATTGTCTTCTGTTTCGTTTCGGGCTGGAGAATAACTTCCCAGAGTCTTGGGAATGCTCCGAGAATGCATATGCACCTCGGAAGAGAAGAACCTGCCAATCTCAGACTTCAGAAGACTCAGAATCCCACCCTCGTCAGAAAATATAACCTCGCTCTTGTCCGTGGATACATTTACATCCCCATACCCCTTGATCACCAGGACAAACGTCGGGATTCCTTCGCTATACAGATTGAATTCATTCTTTATTGCAGCCGATATCCTTTTGTTCGAAATCGGCCTTCTTTCCAGAAACATCAGCTGCTTGGGCTCTCGGACAGATGCCGGAAGCATAAAGAATTCCACCTGCCCATTGCACAGCTCCATATACTTCCCGACAAAGGAAGGATAGTTGGATTCGAAATACTCTCTCGGCGTCTCGTACCCTCCACAACTTAGAAGAACCTTTCTCTTGTGGAACAGGGTGAAATTTATCTTGTTGGTACAGCGGTATGATTCAATCAAAGCACAGATCCTTCCCAGGTCCTTCTTTAGCCTGCTTTCGCTTGCCGACCTTCTTAAAGGGCAATTCTTGAATAGATTTCGAACACGGACAGTTGTGCCTTTCTCCCTCGCACATCTTGAAACGATGCCTGTTGAAAAGTCTTTTTTGAGTCCAAACGGATGTTCTGATCGGGAAATAATTTCCAAATCACACACCTCCGAAAGAGAACTAAGGGCTTGTCCCCGGAACCCATAAGAAGGCTTCTCGACTCTGTCGACACATCCTAGCACATAGTATGCCATCGACTCCTTCGAAGTACTTCCCTCAACTCCAACATCACGCAGATCGCTTATTCCACATCCATTGTCCTCAACCACTATAGAGTCATCGACTTGTATCCTTATCCATGTGCATTCAGAGTCAATCGAGTTTTCCACCAGTTCTTTCACAACAATGTAAGTGTTTGGAATGGATCGCTGGGCTTTTATTCTTCTCCCTATATCCTCAGGGAGCCTCTTTATCATCAGCCTCTCCCTGTCTTCTTTGGCATATATTCCAGGTATGGAGGGAAATCTTCCCGCCAATGACACCGACAAAATGCATTGACCGGGAATCGAACCCGGGCCATGAGCTTGGGAAGCTCACATAATAACCACTATACTATCAATGCTCATGGAAGTCCCCCATCCCCCGCAATCTCACACAAAACTCCACTTCTCCCCCCTCTAACCCCGGAATCCATAAACATAGAACAATAAACCACTTTAATCCATTAAGACCACTCATTCTTGTACAAGAAGTTAACAAACGGCGGAAGAGATCCAGATGCCTTGATCAACTTCAGAAGATTCCCTTCGGTCCTTAGACTCTGTTCCAATCTGTTCTTCACATTCATAGACTTGCTGCCCTTGTTTCCAGCTTTGACAATCGTCTGCCGGAACGCATGTATCGGCGGAAAACTGGGCATGAAGTCATATATGTGGATGTACTTCTCAATACTTGACGCCAGAGGACTGGCAAACTCCTTCTCCTCCTCCTTAACCTCTTCCTCGTACACAACATTCTCAAAGAAAGGAAATTCAAATCTTTTTCCCTCTATAAAGCGTAGGAAATCCAGCAAGGTAGAGTGAGACTTCAGCCCATGCCTGGAGACAGACACAACTGCTTTCAAATGCTCAAGCATATAAGTCTCGAGAGATCCCATGTAAACTTCTAAGGCTCTCTTCTCAACAACCTCATATCCCACTTCTCTCAAGTACCTCATCAGTCTGTCCTCTAATATCCGCCTCATTAGGGCTCTATCCAAAATTCATAAATCTTTCAATCCCTCAAACACTCTATTTCCTCAAAACAAGATACTTCTCCTTGCTCCCTTCGTCAGTCTCAAACGTGCAACTTTCTCTAATAAACTCCTTCACCAGCTCCTTCTCCTCGTCGTTGAGCCCAAATCGCACCTTCACCCCACGAAGAAGATCTCTCAAAGCAATTCTTCCTCCCTTAAACATTCCCCGAATCTCGTCCTTTGTAAGAACTTTGTCCACCTTTTCAACCCCTTTCGTATCCTTCTCCTCAGAACTCTCGCTTCTTTCTTTCTCCTCGTAGTTCTCCATGATGTTCCTCATCCGCCGTCCTGCACTGTTTAGCCTCTTCTCCCTCACAATAAACACATTCGCATCCTCTCCATCGTCGTCGTCAAAGTCGTCATCAAAATCAATCTCCTCCCTCTCTTCCGTTGAGGTTCCATCCCCATCTCCGTCTCCGTTCTCTTCTCCAATACCCTCGCCCTCGTACTCCTGGATAATGTCCAGCTGTGACTTCTGGCTAAAGCGATACCATTTGCGGACAGGAACAACCTTCAGATACGTCCCGGTGTTGATAAACACAAAATAGCACGAGTTACTTGCCCCCAGGTCCTGCATCTTTCCCGAGTATATTCTACTCTCACCATCTTCAAGAATCAACAAACATCCCTCCTTCTCCTTCAGCTTCTTGTATTCCTCATCCTCATATTCAACTTGCTCACTCTTCTTCTTTGTGCTAAACACAACCTCTTCTCGTAGAGGCCTCTCTCGTGAAATCATCACAGGTGGAGAGAGCTCCTTGACATCCATGTTGGTGAATAGAAACCTCTTTTCCCCATGCTCTGGCTTGTACACAAGATTGTAACTTTTCATTGGGGTTCTTTCGCCGCCGTCTTCAACTTCCTCAACAATCACAAAATAAATCTTTAATCAACCAGACTACTAGTCACACCCCAGAGTATTCTCTTCGGAACTCCCTTCTCACAGTCCTTAGGAAGTCATGGAAGTTGCTGTGCTCTCGGAACAGGTTGTTGGCCTTTTCAAGATCATACATCCTAGGAAACAGATCAACAACAGGCCCTTCCAGAGACAGGTCCAGAGTTACAAAACACTCCACACTGTCTTCAGGGCATATTCTGCTGAAGACAATCTTGATTACATTCTCCCGGACAGGAATGATGTCCATTCCCAAATATCTTCTAAACCATTCGGCCTTCGCCTCCATAAGGACCTCTCTTTGCCTACTCCTTTCCGAAACAAGTTCCATCTTCTTTGTAAAGGCGTTTTCAATGCTTTTCTTCTCTCGGAAGACTTCCTTAAGGTTGAGATTTCCCATCTCGAGCTCTCGGATCTGGTTCACAAGCTCATGTTTTTCATCCTCAGAAGCCCTTAGGTCCCTTACATCTTGCTCAATCCTCAGCCTAAGTCCATTCCTTTCGTCAACTAGTCTTTCGTTCCTTTCCTTCATCTCGTTCAGTGTGGACGTCACTGTTTGGAGAAGAACCTCTCCTTCTTGCTTATCCCTGCTGATTCTACCTCGGAGGAACCTTGCATGGCTCTTGTACATCTCGAGATACCCTTCCAGATCTCCTATGATCCCATCCATCACTCCTTTTATCTTCTCGACATTTGCCGGCGTGTGCTCCGTGCCCATTAAATGTGATCTTCGATCGAAAAATTTATCCATGGAACACAGATGTATAATCTGCACTGCAGCTCCAAACATCCGAATAAGTAATCTGGACTACTGCGACACATGCTTTGAAAAGCAGTTTCTTCACAAGGTTTTTCGACACTTCAGGAAGCTTCCTCGTGGAAGTAAAATACTCCTCTATCTGGATGGAACACTCCAGTCACTTGTGATAGCTCATGCCCTTAGTCGATTGAAGAACAGATCGATACACAAGTTCTCAGTGGCCTCCAGCTTCATCCAGGAACTCAAGAACTATCTTGGAGATATGGGTTTTTCTTCCTGGATAGATCTTCGCCCCGAGTCTGATAAGTACGTCTCCTCTTCTACTAGGCTAGATCCACTTCCTAGACAGACCATTGAGATAGCCCAATCCCTGGGATTTGACATTGTTGTGTTTCAGGCAGATGCCGAGATAGAGTCTTTGATTGCACTTCGGTCAATCTGCAATGGATTAGGAGTGTCTGAATCGATCGAGTCGTATGTCTCTGGAATCCGAGGAATCCGAGTGGAGAATGCACTCAATAGGATTAGGTCGAAGGAAGTGGGATATTACTTCTACCTCAACAGAGGGGAAATTCCTACTACCTGGACAAAACTCTCAATGTCTACTATGGAGGCGGCTCTCTTGATGTTTATCGAGAAGATAGAAGACAGAAATAACCTGGCAGTTTTCAACATTCTGAACACAGTTAAGAAGATCCAGGAGGGAAAGGAAGGGATTGATACCTCAGACGGAGGAGGTGAATCAGGTGTGTGAGAGATAGCAAAACAAAGTCCTTGGAGCCAAAACATCTGTTTCAAACAAAATATTTATATATTTTCCGAGAAAGAAGCACCAAAACCATGTTTCTAATGACATCATCTCCTCTTTTGCTTCTCATTGGGTTGGTCAGAGAAGGCTTTGCATTGGCATCTGAATACAACTTCGGGGGCTTCGAAGCAGATCCTGCATGTACAAAAGACGACAAAATCTATCTGGTTAGTCTGTATGCACACTTTGACAGAGGAACGATAGATGCCATCTTCTCTGCCTTTTCTGATTGCAAGGATGAAAGAGAAGCTGTGGAACACTACCTGAAGAGCAGGGTGGTGGGGCCTTACAACGAATTCCTATCGAAGTACAAGGTGAAGATTGGATTCGATGCAAAGGACTACGACGTCAACGAGCTTGTGCCAACAAAGAGGTTTGACAGTTCCTGTGAGCTTGTGGAACCTGTGAGCACAAGGACAACCACTGTCCACGAGCATCTCCTCAGTACATACAAGGACAAGAAGATAGGAATCCATCTGTTTCTGTGGAGTTGCCCATCTCATAACGAAAACATAATGTCCAAGATAGTAATTGGCGAGCCGAAGGAATGTGCAAGGTCAATAGGTGTGTTGTGGAGAGGGACAGAAGACACAATAGACTTCATCAAGTCAGGAATATCCGAGGCCATTTCCGGGGCGAAGGATCTGTTTCTCAATCAGGAGTACCCGAGTCCTAGGGATGAAGACAAGCTTTCCTATGTTTGCCAGTATGTAGATACTTGCATAGCTTCCAAGCCCAGTGTTAATGGAGCAATAGTCTTTGGAATTGATGACACAAGCGATGAAGACATCTCTACACATATCGATGTGGACAATCATCCGAGGGAGGTGTACATCCCGCCAGAGAAGGGAGGTAAGAACCAGAGGGTGATATACATCAACGAGCCTTCGGACTCTGGTGATGATGACTGCAAGTACTAATGCATATATACAAGGTCATTGTGAAGTTTGAAATTAAACTAATCTTTTAAGATCCTGTCTTTTGTGCCTTGTCTGTTCAATCCTAAAAAGTGTCCTGAGACTTTGGGTTTCAGATGGGCCAGGAGCCTTATTCGATCTTGAATGTCAAGCCCCTGGATGAGTTTGAAGGAGAAGTTTGATGTATTAAGGAACAGCATTGCAGAGTGTGACCAGGCCCTTAGAAAACTGGAGCAGAGGTCGAAGATCCTTACCCAGCATGTGGAGACGTCTATTCTGATGGCAAAATCCAGAGAAACAAAGAAGCAAGGAACAGGAGAGACGCCATCTTGATTGTGTTTTAGATCAAAGTTCTAAACAAGCCTAATAAATATTTTCGAAAAATATTACGGAAATGGGTGGAAAGAAGAAAGTAAGCGAGCTCCAAACTTTGAGCATCATTGTCAGGAAGTACATCCTCGGGATCCCGCAGGCAAGAATCATTGTGTTTCCTGTTCTCCTGAGCATCTTTGCAGGAAAGTATTTTGAAGTCAAAGTTGCAAGTTGTATAAGTTACATATCCGAGGGCCTAGATTTGGAGGAGGTTCCCCGAAGCAGGATAATCATGTTTCTTGTGATTTCTCTAACGGGCATCATCTTCACAGAGTTGCAAGGATTTGTGTTTGTCAGTGCAATCCAGTATGTTTACAGATACACCCTGAGAACCACTTTCGAGTACTTTATTCGGATGGAAACGGAGATGTTTGAGTCTTATGGATCGGGAACAATCCAAAGCATCATCACCCGAAAGAGCAAGGCAATCAGCGACTTTGTGGAGGTTTCGATCCAGAATCTGTTCCCAGTGGTGGCTTCGCTAACCTTTGTTGGGCTTGAGGTGTATCTGAAGCTTGGAGTTCTTGCCTCTTTTATTGTTGCTCTTGCTGTTGCTGCTTATGGTTTCATGACGATATCGATAGCTCTGAGAAGGAATAGGATCAGAGGGGCTCTGAACAGTGCTGAAAATGCTGCATCCAACATTGTGTACGACACCTTGAGTAATCACGAGTCTGTTATGTCATTCAACAACTACTGCATTGAGGTAAGAAGATACGATGGAAAGCTGATGGAGATTGAGAGGTTTGGAACAAACCTATTCCGAGGACTGTACATTCTAAACATGCTGCAGAAGCTTATATTTGCATTTTTGAACTCTTCTATGATTGCACTTGGAGTGTATGGACTGCTTTCAAGTAAGATGGATGGAAGGGTTTTGATCTTCTATGTCACAACAAGCAGGATTCTACTTATAAACCTCAACAATCTCGGATACACATACTGCCGATTCACAGAGGCCATGCTGAATGCTCGGGAAGTTCTATCGGAGGATTATGATCTGAAAACAAATGAAAATATTTCCATGGTAAGGTTTGGGAAGAACATTGTGTTTAAAAACGTCCGCCTGTATTACGGAGACAAGAAGATTCTCAACGATGTGAATCTTACAATCAAAAAGGGGGATAAGGTGGCAATTGTGGGGTCTAACGGATCTGGAAAGTCGACCATTCTAAAGACCTTCCTGAGGTTCAACAGGTACCAAGGCTCGATATGCATCGATGGAATCAGTATCGACGCCATAGAAAACGGTTCGTTCAGGAGGATCATAGGATATGTGCCTCAGAACTCCTCTCTGTTCAACGAGACTGTGATGTACAACATTAAGTATGGAAACCCCAATGTTTCGGACTATACTGTTGTCGAGCTTGCAAAGAGATTCAACATCCATGATAGCATTATGAGGCTTGAGAAAGGGTATTTTACCAATGTTGGGGAGGCAGGAAGACACATCAGCGGAGGAGAGAGACAGAAGATTATAATACTGAGAGCTCTGCTAAGAAGGCCAGAAATCCTTGCCATGGATGAACCAACCTCCAATCTCGACAAGGAGGCGGAGATAGACATCATAAAGAATATCATAGATTTCGAAAGCTCGGTTACCGTGATGGCCATAGTCCACAACCTCGATCTGCTTCCATTATTTAACAAGGTCTGCTTTGTCGACAGAGGATCCGTCAGGATGATAGACCAGACAGGCACAAGCAGTGAATCTGCAGCAGAGGGGCTGAGGAGTTATGAAATACCAGGAGTTAAATAAATATATTCGCCATATTCTTTTGGGATTTATTTATATAGAATAAGACTCATGATTCATGGATTGATAGGACGGCATCTGCCATCCTGTCGAAGATCTCTTCTCGCGTCGGCCTTCCAATATCAGATGCTTTAGCTATGTCCTGCCTGAGGTCTATAGAGCCCAGATAAGGAATACCGTTTGATTTAGAATAAGACTCAACCTCTGTATTGACAAACACGTTTTTTTGATGGCTGCATCTTGGACATACAAACCTTTTCATGTTCTCTATCACCCCAAGCACAGAGATCTTTGCTTTCCTGCAGAAGTCAATCTGCCTGATAACGTCCTGCAGAGAGAACTTCTGCGGTGTTGTGACAACAATTGCAAACTTAGGTTTTATGAAGTTCACCATCCCAAGATGTTCGTCCGTCACATTTGGAGGAGTATCCAGAAGCAGTACATCCACACCCTCGTAGTTACACTGTGCCAGAAACTTCTTTATGATTCCTGTCTTAAAGCTAGAGCTGAACATGATTCCTTCTCCACAGTCTTGGAGATATCCAACAGAAACTACTTTCAAAAACTTGTTCACCTCTATTGGCTGTATGATGCCACTTGTTTCACACATCGACATTCCGTCTGTTCCCGTAAGCCTCGGGATGCTTGGCCCAGATAGATCTAAGTCCAGAATGCATGTTGTGATTCCCCTTGAAGACACCGACTCTGCTATGTTCCGGACAACTGTGCTTTTTCCAACGCCTCCCTTTCCGCTCATAATAGCAACAATGGTCTTTACTCCTCGAAGATTCTCTTGGATTATCTTGATGTCTGGGTCTGGCTGGGCTGGTTGCGAGCAGTATGACGCATTCGGACACCCTTTGCATTCCTTAGCTTTTCCTGCATCTTTACTTGACACACCGGGACAGCTCTCTCCCATCTTCAGGCCTAAGATATATTTCATTTTGAGAGGTGGTCCTCTGGTTATGGAAATTCCAGATAAAACCTCGGAAGATGGGATACCTAGAAGGTCGATGGAAAGTGAGTTTGAAGATGGGAATTTTGTGTCGAAGAGTGCTTGTGTGTACGGAGGGTTGCTGGAGTCTGTTTTCATGATTCCTTTCAGGAGGCTTGGATTTCAGTCCTCGGCTCCTGTGTTTCCTGTTTTACTAGATCAGATTAAGGTGAATGTGGACAGCCAATCTTCGTCAGCCACAAAGTATACAGTAAATCTGAGCTACGGGAGACAGAAATGGAAAATAAATGTAGGGATAGTGCAATTGTTTTCCTTGAATGCATATCTCCATTACAGAGGAGTCACGGATTTAAGGAGGGACAAGCCCAACATATGTGGAGAGGGACAGTTTAGAGGTGTTGAGGAGTTTCTTAGGACTGTCCTCCATCGATCCCGGATCTTGGATATTGGCAAGGTGTATGACTTCTTCAGGATATCCAGATATTCGTTCAATGGTACAAAGATGTTTGAAGATAAGTTCCATGTAAGCATAATGGACCTAAACGAGAGCAGATGCAGGACTTCCTGTTATGGAGTCCTGGAAATCTCAGGGAAGATATATGTTGTCAGTAAGAGATCGCATCTAGTGTTTGTTGATTACAGAAACGGCTACAGAGACATGAATGTTCTGTTCTATAGAAGGGATCTGGATGTCAAGTATAAAGCAGATGTGTTTTACAGTAAGATAACCATGGTGAGAGACGGGAGGAAATATGTAATTAAGTCGTTTAGACACGATTCTGTACTGCAATTGTTCAATGAGATTCAGAAGGGGTTGGAGGAAAGAAGGGGATCGGAGAGGCTTTTCTCCTTCAGCCCAGTGAGGAGAGGAAGCATGATAAACTTTTATGTGGATGGGAAAAGCTATTTTTGGAATCTTTACGAGACATTGCATCTTGCCCGGAGAGAGGTTTTCATTGCTGGATGGTGGATTTATCCTACGCTTTATCTTCGAAGGGAGTATGTTGGAGGGAAGTTGGATGAGAAATACAGGATTGACTATGTCTTGAAAGAGTTGGCCGAGGAAGGAATAAGAATAAGAATACTTGTATATGGAGAAGTATTTGGGGCACTCAAGATGAACTCCAACCACACCTGCGAGTTTCTGTCGAACCTGCACAAGAGAATCGAGGTTCTCAGGCATCCTGACAGTATAGGACATGCACCGATATACTGGACACACCATGAAAAGCTGGTTGTTATAGACCAAAGGATAGCATATGTTGGAGGGATAGATTTGGCACCAGGGAGGTACGACACACAGGAACATTCTCTCTTTAGGACGGAATGGGCGTGTGGAGGCCTGGGAACAGACAGAAGGAAAGAAGAAGTGTTTTCCAAGATACTGGAATTACCATGGCATGATGTCCAGTGCAAGGTTGTGGGGGGTTCTGCATTTGACATATCGCAGCATTTCATCGAACGATGGAACTTTGTTATTTCCAAGTATGATGGAGAGGGAGGGAGTGCAAGGCTCTTAATCCCAAATGAAGAATTCATAGAAATAGAGCAGACACTCGGAGACCTGGAGGTAAACAGAGCATTTCCAAAAACTCAAGTGCTGAGATCTGTTGGGAAATGGTCTCTTGGATATGATGAAGATTCGATATCAAGAGGATATTCCGAGGTGATTCGTAACTCCAAGAGGTTTATATACATGGAGAACCAGTTTTTCATCACAAAATGCGACCTTGCACCAGGATATCCGGAAAATACCATTGGAAGGGCACTTGTGGAGAGAATAATCCAGGCAGATAGAGCTAAGGAGGAATTCAAAGTGTATGTTGTGATTCCTCTCTGTCCCATATTTGATGGGGGATTCATGGTTGGTTTGACTCCTGCAGCTGAGATAGTAAGAATCCAATCAGAATCGATATCAAGGGGAGACACTTGCTTGCATCAGGTGCTAAAGAGGAATGGGGTTGATTCAGGACGGTATATTGTATTTATGTGTTTGAGGAAGATCCACTTTGATGGGAAAAGAATTGGACAGGAGCAAATCTACGTGCATTCCAAGATGATCATTGCAGATGGGACATCGGCAATAGTAGGAAGTGCAAATCTTAATGACAGAAGCATGCTGGGAAACAGGGACACAGAAGTAGCGTTACTGGTGAGGGACGAAAGAGAGGTTGTCTGTAAGCTGTTGAAGAGGCTGTTGAAAGAACATCTCGGAGCCTGGGAGGAAGACCAAAACAGATACGGACCAAAAGACTTTTTGGAGAGCTGGCTTCTCGGCAACGAACTTGATCTTGCAAGTGACGACGTCTTTACTAGGATTGTGGCTAGGGCAAGAGGGAACACAGAGATGTTTGAAAAGATGTTTGGAAACATCAAAAGCTATGCAGGAGGGCATCTGAATCTTTATTCGGTGGAAAGTGACTTCATCTGGGAAGTGCTAAACGGAATAAAGGGCCACCTGGTTCTGTTTACAGACAACTTTCCGGTTGACAGGGAGGTTGGGAGGAGTATTTTCGGCATCCAAGCATTGATTCCATCGGTGATTTACTATTAGTCCTTTAGAACAGGAAATCTCTCCAGTTCGTCTGCATATGCATTCCTCGGAAACTCCTCTATTTCGATTAAAGATTTGTTCATATCCACTTGGCTATCTTTTGCAAACTGGAGGATCTTCTTCTTTGTCGAGACCACAGGATTAGAGTTTTGTCTAGCTCTGAAGAAGGCATCTGCTTTCTGATTCATGGTTCTTACATCTGCAGAGACCGAAAAGCTCCAGGAGTTATTTTCTGTCTTGTCGAAGCCCATATGGTGTACTTCCGAAGCAATAATTTTGGGATAAAGGATTCATCAAGGGAAAACTTCGACACCATCTACGAGCAGAAGGAGGGAGTCTTCCACCTATGCAGTGGGAAGGATGGAGTTTTTGTGGTCAACAAGAACTATGTGGCAGTGATCAGAAAAGAAGAAGGAAGGAAGAAGAAGATAGTTAAGTTCCATAGAGACGTAAGCGCCATAGATGTATATGAAGAACTAACGGTGTGCGGGGATGAAAGTGGATGTGTCAAAGTGGTTGGAAAGATGAGGAGCATTGTCCGGCAGTACCACGAACATGAAGCCAGGGTTAATGAAGTAAAACTTAATGGAACAATGATAATAAGTTGTAGCGACGATATGAAGATAAAAATATTTGAGCTATCAAAGGAGGAGTCTGTTGCCACCATACTTGACAACACAGACTATGTTAAAAGCATTGCTGTTGGAGATGGGGTTGTGTTTTCGGGGTCTTACGATGGATTCATCAACGGATACTGCCTAACAACGTTCAAAAAGGTGTTTGGATACAATACCCACCGCCGTGTGTCGAGGATTTGCATGCTTGGAAGTGGGCGTGTGGCTTTTTTATCTGAGAACGAGGTTTGTGCAATTGACGTCCAGAACGGGGGAGTAGAGGTTGGAAGAGCCTTCCATATCAAGGAGGCGACGTCTATGGTGTTTTACGAAGGCAGGCTGTATACGGCGTCAGTGGATGGAAATGTAAGGGTATTTACAAGAGATCTTAAGATGATATCAAAGGTTGGAGTTCGAGGAGGAATCCTGAGTCTTAGTATCTTCAACGATGTGTTGTACCTTGGGATAGAGGATGGAGGGGTGCTGGAGCTGGCAAGGAATAAGACGGAGAAGGATTCTCCCCAGCTGAAGGATAGAGAAGATGGTATTCACGACGAGATAAAGATTGAGATTGTTCGGAACCGCCAAACCAAGTTAACATACTTAGAAAAGAAGCTGAATGCATTTGAGTACAAGAAATCGATGATGCATGCAGTAAGGAAAAGAGATATTCAGGAGGTGTTCTCGGTGATGAGCTACATATATGAAAGACGGGAATTTGTACATGCGCTTCAAGATCTGAATAGAAGAGAACTAGAAAGTGTCCTTGATGTAATGATTGAGTTCTTTACGGTCAAGGAGCTTGTACCAGTCTTCTCTGAATTCATTGGATTTATTCTTTTCCTATATGAAAGAGACATAAAGGATGATGGCATGCTTTGCAAGAAAATAGAAATTCTTGGATCTGTCATTGACGACGAGTTGTGCTTCCAGGAGCAAAACCTCCGATCGATAGCCTTTCTCGAATGTTTTCTAAGATAACTACAATTGGACAATAAAGATCCTTAGAATATTAGAATAGTCTTCAAACAACAAGAGCTTGCCCTCAAATGGACACCAAGCTGATTGGAAAGATATGCAAGTCAATAAGATACAGGGACTACGAGACTGCTATTTTCCTAGCATCATGTCTACTCCATGACAGGCCTGAATACAGGACACTCATGTCTATAGTGCTCTATCTGAACGGAGAGTATTCCCGTGCCCTCTTTCATCTCCATAAGCTTAACACATGTACTTCCAAGTACTACGAATCTCTTTGCTACAAAAAGAGAAAAGACTACAAGAAGGCCATTAAGAGTCTAGAGCTTATTCTCGAGGGAAAGGTGGAGAGGGATCCCGACGTGGATGCAAGAATACAAGAGATGTTTGTTGATCCGGACGATGACGAGTTTCTTGAGTCTCTCCTCGGAGACTTATATACCTTGTTTGGATGCAGAGAAGAAGGGATTGGACACTATCTAAGGTCCTTTGGGAAGAGCTTTCTGTTCTCTCCTATGGAAAACCTCCTTCTTGAGAACAAGATTCCTCAGAAGAGGGACAAGGAGAACATTCAGCAAGCAGGGAAAGGAGGGATTGAAGAGGAGTATGTGTGGGACAGCATTGAATTCCACGAAAGCCTAGCGAACTCTCTTGTGAAAAAGTATTTGGAGTATGTTCCTGGGATCGGATCTTATTTTATTTCGAATGCGGCACGAAGATACTTCAACCTTGGGATGAACGATAAGAGTAAGGCATGTTTTGAGCTGGTGAGAAGAAAAGATCCGATGTTTCTCTACAGTATGGACTACTACTCAACTATTCTCTGGCATTCGAAAGATGTCTATGAGCTTGGAATGCTATGCAAGAATCTGATTAAGCATGCACCTGATTCTCCCATCACATGGAAGGCTTTAGGGAATTTCTACAGCCATCAGGGCGATTACCAGAAGAGCATCCTCTGCTTCAAAAGAAGCCTGAGGATAGAAGAAGACTCATACACCTACACACTTCTTGGATATGAATCGATCCAAAGAAACGAATACGACATAGCCATGAAATACTTTAATCTATCGTTGAAGATGCTTGGAGATAACTATAGAGCAATGTTTGGATGTGGGCTTGTTTACACCAAGACAGAGAAGATGGAAAATGCGGAGTTTTTTCTGAAGAAAGCCGTAGAGACAAATCCCGGGAATCTCCAGATCAAAGTGCATGCAATGAAGTTCTACACCAGAAAAGGGCTTACAGATCAGTCGATAAGGCTCTTCAAAGAAGCGTTTGGTATGAAGTACACAGATATCCACAAGATTGTCGAATGCATTCTGTCCAGAAAGGGGAGCTTCAGCAGTGTTGAGGAGTTTCTGATCCTCGAGTTTGTGGAGATCCTTGTTCTTCAAAACCTATCCAAACTTGCAGCAGATGTCTTAGGCTGTGTAGAATATAGAGGAGAGTCCTACAGTAAAAAGAAGGAGCTTCTGATGGACAAGGTAGAATAGCATAAGTTTATTGATCGCAGGGCCTACCGTTCTACTCTTTGAATATCAAGATTCTCCTGAGATGCATGAATCCAAACTTTGGAATAGTCACAATGAACAGACTTGCAACACAAATCCAGAACAAGAAGATGTTCCACCTTATAATGAAGTTGACAGCTGTAAATGCTATCAGAGGGAACAGAGCTATGAAGATGAGATCGGGTGTGCCCTCCAGTTGCTCGGAAATCTGTTCCCAAAATGTATAGAGGCTGTATCTGTCGTTGAAGGGATCCCCGGGGATCATGTGGAAGAAAACAAAGGTGGAGATGTTGTAGATAATTAGTGAGAGCTGCCATCCTATGCTGTCGTTGAAAACCACCGAAAGCGTCATCTTGAGGAGAAGTATAACCAGCACATGGATTATCCAACTTCCTCGTTGCAACGTCCAGGCCACATTTTGGGAGACATCGACTTTCCTGCCTTTATTTTTACTCCCCATTCGATTTTATCAGACGTTATTCCAGATGGTTTATTTGTCTTGTTTCAGGTCAGGGGGCCTCTCAACAGCAAGATGGCTGACCCGTCATTTTTGACTTGGAGGGAGGAGATCTTGTAACTGAAAACTCCCTTTTTTGCCATTAAACACAAGCAAGAAGTCCATAGCATGCTGTCTTGCCAGAGGGGAGAGCCTTCCTATCTCTCCAAGAAACTTATCTTGTGTGTCTGGCTTGACTCTCAACAACCGGACAACCTGGTCATCTGTCATGACATAGTGAACGGATTCATCGTTGTTCTTTGCAAGAAATCTCCGAAGCTTTAGGAGAGCCTTAAGAATGTCGTTGTCATTATTACTCTTGATTCCGTACCTCACGGCAATATCCTCCACCTCATCAATCTCTTTGGAGCAATAGGTTCTTGTCTCGACACCTCTTTCTAGCATCTCTCTTATCTTTTGAACTCCTTTACACAGAACTTCAAGAAGAAACTTTGGCACCGGGCGTATCCTCCAATCAATGAAAACCATATCCGAAGAGATTTCATAATTTCGGAAGCATCCAATGTGTTTAAAGTCCTGTAGAAGCCTTTGGACACACTGCTCGCAATGGACTATCTTTGGAACTCCACATTTCAGCAATGCAAGTCTAGGAATGGCTGCCCTGAATCTTATCGCATCTATTATGTAGATGCAGCCCTCTGTGTCTCCCACCGAAATTAAACATGAAAATCCTCTATAGGACCTATAAGTGTGATCAAATACCTCGATGGCTGCCTGGGTGATTCTCTTGTCTACATCCAGCAATTGATCAAGTGTCTCTACATACACTGTACTTCCAAATGGCTTGAACTCGTAGAAAAATGGAGTATGGCTGCACTTGGAATCTTCCGCATCAATGGATTCTATTCTTGGCTTAACTATCTCTTCTCCTAGGACGCAGACAAGCTTTTTGTTTTTTGTTACGATTACAACAGAATCAGACCTGGCATGTTCTCCTTCGATTTCCTTGAGAATCTGCTTGAAGTTCCTTTCCGAGTCCTTCACAAGAAGCTGCACTTCGTTGATCTTGTTGACAAGCTTCTCCATTTCCAAAACATCTAAACTATGTCTTCCCTGGCGTAGAAATAAATTGACCTCTTCCACCAGCTTGACACTTAAGTCTAGCAGATTCATGAGAAAGGGGAATGACTATCCCATGAAAACCAGGGAAAAGTCTGAAGAGTGGGGCGATAAAGCTCCAAGGAGCACATACATAGAAGATAACTGCAGAGAAAAGGAAAGAAGACGTGTCGGACGGGAATATGCATGCAATATATGCTACTCACGCCCCGAAGGCCCTGTGCTGACGCCATGTGGACATCTGTTCTGTTGGGGATGTTTATACATATGGTCTCAGTCGATCAGAGGATGCAAATTCTGTCCTTCATGCAGAAGTAGAATGGGGATTGAAGAAGTTATATCTGTGTTAGCTGTGGACTCGAAGAAGGAGAGCAGAGGACCTCCTCCAAGGCCGGCCAATAATAGAAAACTTGTGAAAGTAATAACACCTGGAGTAAAGATCAACGGTACAAGATTTGGAAACTGCCTTTTGCAGGAAGAAGAGACAAATGTGTTCTCTTACAGGACAGCTATAGGGCTATTTACGCTTATGTGCCTCCTTATTTCCATAACTCTTAGGTCGTATGGACCTGATTGTTGAAATCCGCCAAACTTTTTATTATTATTAAATATGATACTATTTTTTATATGTCCTTTGCTGGGAAGGTCTCTCGACAATCTTCTCTTCGACAAACAAACCTTTTTTCTTTCTTATTCCCTCTATCTGCTTGCTGAAGTCCAGTCCAAACTTGTATCCTACATCTTTCACCAGGAGATATGCTGTTCCCTTGGTCCTTATTCTGATTTCCTCAAGGAAGTTTGAATACAGAAACTGCGGAATGAGCACTGTAAGGACGTAGAAGCCGGTCTTGTCTTCGTAGGATTCTTGGATAACAACATAGCTATCCTTCGGTAGGCTTTTGTATGTCTCTCCAATAAACATCTCCTGGATCGATATTGTACACTCATAGAAGGTTGGTGCAATAGATGGAGAACTAGAAAGATATACCGAAACAAGCGAATTCTTCAAGAATGAATATAGTAGGTCTGGTTCAATGGCATCTGCATTCCCCTGTATATCTAAAACAAATCTTGTGCTGTATATATTCTCTCTTATCAACGCCCCACTAGAAACAAACATCTCCAGAACATTGGTTGCCATCTCTAAGCACAGGGTAGATACAAGACCAAACCGATTTCCATTCTTATCCTCCCATCTCCTGAAGTGAACAGCGCTTTCTTCTACTCCACATACCTGGGAAATCCATACCCTCAGGCTGAGATCTTCAAGGGTAAAGACTCCACTCGAGGACTTCGTGGAATACTCACAAAACTTTTCTTCAAGATCTCCAACCGAGAATTCAAATCCAGAGTCTCCAAGATCTGTAATTATCTTTTCAGACTGTACCTTCCCTGTGCATGAAACCTCTATCTCCTTGTATTTATTAAGCTTCACCTTTAGAAACTGCTCAGTACAAGACATCACCCGAAAAACCTCCTTTAGTTCATCGAGCCTGTCTATGTTGTTTAGGACAATCTTGAACTTGTAGAAGGGTGTTATCTTACTCTGAATATCCATCCTATATGCAGGAACATCGGTTATCACTGAGTTCTTTCGAAAGCTGCCTCCAATACAGATAAGGTCCGGCCCAGACACCTCATCCCGTTCAATCAACTCATTTATTCCGAACCGGTACAGGCTTTCTACTGCACATTCCGAGATATTTTCTCCATCGGCAGAATATACTGTGTCTCCCACCCTTAGAGTCCCATAGAACAGTCTTGTGACAAAAAGTACAGAGGACTTACTGTACTCTCGAGGCGTTTTGAGGACTCCATAGACAGTAACTCCCATTAGCGAAGGCTTCTTATCCGATGGTATTGGATTCAGCTTTATTAGATCAGATCCATAAAACTGTTTCATACAGTCCTCGGTGTCTACTCCTATTGAATTGAACACACACTCAGATAGAGGGAGCATTGCCAAAAGAATATTCTTCCTGCTTCGGACCGCCACCTTGAATCTCTCGCATATCCTGGCCACATCTTTCTGGTCTATTCTGTTGTAAACATGGAACAGAAGGTCGATGGCGTTCTTCAAACTTCCATCCCTTCCAACAACTTTCTGGAACATCTTTTTGTTGATTCCATAGCACAGTGTTGCACAGCACAATATGATGTTATTAGCATCCCATCCAAAAACTTCTCTACCAGAAAGCCCGTTGATCGAAGTCACCACAGATTGTGTCTTTTGAAGTAGCTCCTGGGGAGAAGATATCTTGTCAATTTTGTTTATGGCAAGAACACATCTCTTTCCTTTGGCATACTTCACAAGTGAATAAGTTCTCGGTGTTATTCCCTCATTAACATCTACAAGAATAAGAAAATTATCGGAGAGTATGGAACTAGATTGGATCAAGGACTCAAAGTCGACGTGTCCTGGTGTGTCAATGAACACATATCTGTGTCCTCCGTAGTCCAGGGAGATAGCGCTTAACTTTAGAGTTATTCCTCTGGCTTGCTCGTCCTCCCTTGTGTCGAGGAATCTTATGGACCCGGCAAGCGCCTTTGATATGCGTCCTTGGGATGCAACAAGGCTGTCCATTAGTGAGGTCTTTCCATGGTCTATATGCGCCACTATACTAGTTATTGTAGTGTCTCTGCTTTCCATGGTGGGGGTTCTATCCTCTCGAATACATCTTCTGATGGCCTGAATTTTTGCTCGGATCCCTAGACCTATGAGGCTCTTTGCAGAGGATAATGGAAAGAAACCTTTTCCGCCGTGCGAAAATACCCGGGATGTCTCTCTGGGATCTCCAGACACATCTCAGCAACTGGGAAAGTACATTGTGAACGGATTGGAGATGCTTTCCTTGTCGGATATCAAGGTTGTTGTGGATGAAAAGAAAACCTCGTTGGATAGTGTTTCCAGTGAGAGCCCAGATACCCTGTCTGGGTTTGGAAGCCTTTCAGGGGAAAGCAACGAAGACTGTGTATATCTTCCAAGTATATATAAGACCTATGTAAAGGTCAGCGAGAAGATCGACAGACTTATAAAGGGGGAGTACTTTAGCAAGGAATTTGTAAAGTGTATTCTCCGAGAGGTGTGCCGAGGAAACTTGGAAGGGGCAAGAAGCATCATATGCCAAGAGCTGCAAGAAAGGGATCCTTTTTTTTCTCCAGATACATATTTGGTTGAGAGTGGAGGATGGAACTCTGTAGGAGAGCTATCAAGAAGGACCCATGAGCTGATGGAAGACCTAAAAGAGATCGAGGAGATAAGCCATAAGCTTCATCGAATTTTCTTTGAGATGAGAAGTAGGAGCTTTGAAGCAGAGCTAGGATATGCTAAAGCCACAGGGGAGTTTGTGAAGCAACTAGACAAGTGCTCAAGAGAAATGGAGGGCATGAGGAAAATAAATGGTCTGGTTAGTAAGGATATTACTGAAGCAGCAGAGGATTTTGGGGTTGATGTGGATATAAGAGATGATGACCTGCATGGTGTGCAAAAAGCCTTAAGAAGCGTGTTCAAGGAGATGAGACGGAGAATCAAGAACATGGAGTCTTCTGGACTGGAAGTGCAACAGAAGGAAAAAGAACACGAGAAAGTCCTCAGAGACTATTTGGAGCTGAAGAAGGGGATGGATGGGATCAAAGCTGAAAACTCCAACTTTTCTGAAGCAGTGGCAAAGCTCAGTAGCAAAAATTCCAAGATCAGAAGAGATTACGATACTCTGAGAGAGACACTAAAGAGAACTCTTGAGTCTAGCAAGAGGAAAAGCATTACCATAGATAGGCAGAAGAAGATCATTGATATTCTTCAGAGCAGGGTTGGAGATGGCTATGTGCTTCCGGTCAACGAGCTACAATCGAAGATTGACGAAATCAAGAGAAGAGCCGATGCCGAGCCCGATTCGGATAAAAAAAGAAGACTGGAGGACGAAATCACTGACTATGAAAGAAGAATGTCTGATTTCATATCTCTTATGAACAGGGTAAGCAAATAAACAGACTCGAGTAAGTTGGGTGTTTAATGGTGTTTGTGGTTAGGCCTTTTTGTAGAGGGAGACAGAGTACAAAGTGCCATCAAACTCATATTCTCCCTTTCCGCACAGGACTCCCAGATTTCCAAAGGAGATATCGAAGTGCTTTCCCACAATACTCTTTAGATCAGAGCACTCAACATCCACCACCACATCGTCACTGATGCTTAGGCCCATGCTCTTTCTTAGCTTTTGAACATAGCTGTGGAATTCCCTTGCAACCTTCATTTCAACTATGTCCTCGTTCAGAGTGTTATCAATGGCTATACTGAAGTCTCCAAACTCCTGGGAGATACCCTCTGCATGTTTGATTTTCTTCACAATCAATACGTCGTCTTGAAGGATCTCAAGGCCTTCCATATTCAGAGACGAGCTTAAAAGGACATATGCCTCATCACTTGTTAACTTTCGGATAAGCTCCATTTTTCTCTTCATGGTATCTTTGTTCTTTTTCAGATTCTGGAAGTTGGGCTTCACCGTAATGTCGAACATAGACTTTCCTTCTTCCTTATGGAGCAGCTCCAGGACATTGCACTCCGACTTGATTAAATCCATATAATCCCTGATTTTCTGATATAATTCGGTACTACTTATCAACGTGGCGCTTTTGAGCGGAGTCTTCAGAGATATCGAGTTCATTTCCCTAAGACGTCTCACTGCAGTTATAATGCTCTTGGCCGTCTCAAAGGGATGGATTCCACTTTTGCATACCGGATACTGCTGGAAATGGACACTCTCTCCAGGATTAATCGATTGATAGGAGTACTCACTGAAAAAAGGAGTAAATGGGGCCATCACTATGGAGAACTTCCGGAGTGTATCTCCAAGAACAGTATGATGGCCTGCCCTTATTTCTTTTCTGTGCATCCTGATGTACCAGTTGGATAGGTCATCGACAAATCTTAGTGCCAAAGAAAGCACCGAAGAAAGCTCATATCTCTTCATTTTGTCGGTCAAAGACACAGTGAAATTGTCAAATGTTGTTCTTATCCAGTCGTCCATAAGTAGACGTTCTCCCCGGGGCTCCAAATGCCTGTTTTCAAGGTAGAATCCTAAAGAATTGTACCATGGAATAATCAATGTCTTCAAAACCTCCTTGACCCCGTTCTCATTGAACTTTAGATTTTCCGCCTCAACAACAGGACTTGATATCAGATACATTCTGAGAGAGTCTGCACCATAGGTGTTGAATATAACAGAAGGATCTGGGTAGTTCTTCAGCCTTTTGCTCATCTTTCGCCCATCCTCTGCAAGCACTATTCCGTTGACAATCACATTGAGGAATGCCGGTTGCCCAAATAGAAGCGAAGACACCACATGAAGAGTATAGAACCATCCTCTTGTTTGGTCGACTCCTTCTCCAATAAAGTCGGCCGGAAAGTTCTCCTTCACAAGTTTTCCTTCCTTTCCTTCTTCCACAGAGAGGTTCTTAAGGCCTGCTTCTAGCCTCTCCTTGAATGGCCAGTGGTCTTGTGCATAAGGCATGCTTCCGCTTTCAAACCAGCAGTCAAGAACCTCCTCAACTCTTCTGTACTCCTTCCCATCCTTGTGTATGACAATGTCATCAATAAACTCCCTGTGGATGTCATCAATCTTCCTTCCACTCAGTCTTTCAAGCTCTTCCACAGACCCCACACATATTACATCCTTGTAGTCGAGAGTGGTCCACAAGGGAATAGGTGTTCCCCAAAACCTGTTTCTTGAGACCGACCAGTCTCTTGCATTCTCCAGCCAGTTGTGGAATCTCTTGTATTTTATGTCCGGAGGTACCCAATTTATTTCCTCGTTGTTTCTCAAAAGAGAATCCACGTGGTCCTTAACCCTGACAAACCAGTTTGGAACAAGCTTGTATAAAAGAGGTGTGTCAGATCTCCAGCAGAACGGATACTTGTGCACTATCCTTTGGTTCAAGAGGACCTTGTCCTTGATGTCCAAAAGAATGGCCTTATCGCAGTCTTTGACATACTTCCCTGCATAGTCCTTTACCTCACTTGTGTATCTCCCGTTCTCATCAACAGGACAGGGAACAAGGTCGTTCTCACGTATTAGTCCTTTCTCGACAAACACGTTGTAGTCGCTCTCCCCAAATCCAGGTGCAGAGTGAACAATCCCTGTTCCATCTGTATCCGTGACAAATCCAGATCCATAGACTCGGAAAAACCCCTTCTTCCTATACTCCTCAAAATAAGGAAACGGTTGTTCATACTCAAGACCTTCAAGCTCGCTTCCTGAAATCCTCTTCAGAATCTTGGCATCCTTGAAATATTCTTCAACTCTATTAACATGCATCAGGTAGAACTTCTGCTTCTCTTCGAAGATTCCGTACGAAAACTCGGGGTTCACCACAAGTGCACAGTTCGACGGCAGTGTCCAGGGAGTGGTTGTCCATGCAACCAGAGATAGCTTGTAACCCTCAAAAGGCTTGAGAAGAGGAAAGGCAATAAGAACAGATGGGTCGCTGACGTCCTTGTAGTTTTGGTTGGACTCGAAGTTACTCAGAGGCGTCGAGCATGCCGTAGAAAAAGGCATCACTCGGAACCCTCTGTACACTAGCCCCCTGTTAAAAAGCTCCTTGAAGATGTTCCACACACTTTCCATAAACGTCTTGTCCATAGTCTTATACCCATTCTCAAAACTTATCCATCGTCCCAGCCTCTCCACAACCTTCTCCCATTCACTGCTATACTTCATCACAATTCCTCTGCACTCCTTGTTGTACTTGTCGATTCCCATCTTCAAAACCTCATCTCTACTACTTATACCCAACTTCTTGTCAATCTCATACTCAACAGGAAGACCGTGGCAATCCCATCCAAACCTCCTGTCCACATCATACCCCTGTTGGTAGAAGAATCTTGTAACAGTATCCTTGATTGTCCCGCTAAGGATGTGGCCGTAGTGTGGCAGTCCTGTTGCAAACGGAGGACCATCGTAGAAGGTGAACTTCTTCCTGCCCTTACTCATCTCACATGCCCTTTCAAAGCACCTTCTACTTTTCCAATATTCAAGTACCTCTTCTTCGCACTCAACAAAGTTGGCATTCTTCTTGTACATTCCTGAGGATCAGAAAAAATTATAATTATAGATCAAGGCACATTAAAGATATTCCATCTCCAGCCCATCCAGAGTCCAGCCATCAATCTTGATAGATCTCCACCTCAAGCTCAACATACTGGTGATTCCCCGGATGGACTATGCGGAGTCCGTGCTTCCCCAAAAGCTTGTTTGCATCCGATAGATATTCCTCAACCCTTACGAAGACATTTTTTGGACTCCCTACCAGAAATGGAATAATAAACACGGTTTTGATAAAAGACATCAAGGATGGAGACTCAAGTTCGTAGAATATATTGTTCAGCCCAGATACTATCTCCTCCCACTTCTGGCTTTCGATCTTCCCTTTCATCTGCTCAGGCATCGATACTATAAACGAGGTTCTGTCTGTTCTCGGGTCCCTGGGTATTTGTATATACATGGAGTTCCTTCTCATATTCCTTTTATGGTGAAGGCCTCTGGCATGCAATATTTAGAGAGGAGGACTTCTAAATTGTTCCAGATGAGATACCCATGGAATTTAAACTTCCGGAACTCGACTATCCATATGATGCACTTGAGCCCTTTATCGATGCAGAAACAATGAAGATTCACCATACAAAGCACCACCAGGGATACATCAACAATCTCGAAAAGACACTCCAGAGTAACAACATTAAGGGGAGAAGCCTCAACTACTGTGTTACAAAGAGCCGGGGAATTGTGGGAGTTCGAAGTAGTGTAAGAAGAGACATATCAAACTTCTCTGGAGGACACTACAACCATAGCCTGTTCTGGAAGATGATGTGTCCTCCTGGAACTAGCGATCCCATAAGTCCGACTCTCCAGGAGTATATTAATAAGTCCTTTGGATCCTATGAGAAGATGGTTGAGGAATTCAATAGTGCTGCAGTGTCTTTATTTGGCTCGGGATGGGTGTGGATATGCTACAGACAGAGCGAGGGTATTCTTGTTATCAGAAAGACACATAACCAGGACTCGATATGTATGAAAACCTCAAACACAATTCCGATACTTGGCTTGGATGTATGGGAGCATGCATACTACCTGAAGTATAAGAGTGCAAGGGCCGAATATGTAGAAAAGTGGTGGAATGTTGTGAACTGGGGAACAGTCAACAAGCTATTTGAGGAGATTGCTCTTGGAAACAAAAAACTATGTGTTATGTCTGACGGATCGATTAAATTCAATTGAAGCTACCATTTACTTTTCGGCAAACATTTTTCACAGTCTACATTTTCTCGGCCATGAACCTCCATTTCACATAAGCCCGCACAATAAATACAACGGCAACAGAAACAGGGAATAGGATGTAGTCGATAAGACATTCACATTCAAATCTTATTTGGCACAAGTATGTGAAGACATCCGATGCCACCATTCTTCTCTTTTTCATCCCAATCAGAAATGCTACAGCCCTCTCCTCAGCCGAGGATGGAGGGACCATCTCTTCAATGGCCTTTGTGTATGAAGGCTTTGTCTTGTTTTCTCTCTCAAAGCCCGGAGTCAGGATGGATGCCGTATTGTAAAGATAGAGCTCCACTCCTTGCCTCTCCATTTCATCACGAACAGTACAGAAGAGCGAAAGGAGAGCAGTCTTTGTTGGGGAGTATGAAGAAAACCCAGGAAATGTAAGTAGAACAAGTGTCGATCCTATCATGACAAACTTAAAAGGCTTTTTGTTAACTTCTGCGTAGTGCTTCAGCATGGCAACAGTCCCTAGGTAGTTTGTACTCATCGTATCCTGAAAAGTTTCAAGCGGTTGGTCGACAAAGTATGCAGGATATGAGACACCTGGACAGCAGAATATGTAGTCGAAGTCTGTGGATTCCTGCCCGCCTACAACATTTATATCCAGTACCTTGGTTTCAAAGCCCCATTTCTTTCCAAGTGGCACGAGTCTTTCCATTGATCTTGATGTTATTGTGACGTTGTTTCCTTCCTTTTTCAACACACGAGCAAAGGCCAGGCCAAGTCCGCTGCTACCTCCGATTACTAGAATTTTTTTATTCTTTATTTCATGTGTGGTGCCGAGTCTTACAGCAAAGTAAGCAATGGCAAGAGCCACAAATATCAAAGAAATAGCAAACATCTTTTGTTTTGATGGAGAGAATTATATTTTCTCTAATGCGTAAAAATAGAGAACCAATTGCTTAGAGAGGGGAATGTGGGAGTTCGTTTAATTAACAGGTATAGCACGTTTGCGATGGCGGGAGATTGTAGATTTAATTTGGAAATTTTTTAAGGCCAAAAACAATATTTAATTTGGTCTAAAACAAATATTCTTCATTTGTTGGAAACGGCAGTAATCTCTGCGACGAAAATATAAATAAAAAGTTTTATTTGCAGTTTAACATGATGAGCCACAACAACTTCATGACACTGAATTCCCAAATGGCATTGATAGGGACCTGTGGGGAGGACTTTGGAGTAAGAGAGGAAAAGTACAGAATGAACATTGGAAAGAAGATACGTACTGTGATGAGAGAGATGGACCGGAACTCCTTCAGGTTACCGGTGAGCGATCTTCTCAAGTGTCGTGACTTCCTATCAAAGATAAAGAGGAAAATGGATGAGAAGCATAGTACCTAAAGTATGTGTTTATCCAATAAAGCCTCGGATCTTCTCTTTCTAAAAGTTCCTGTAAATAGGAGTAAAACGAAGTTTATTCTTAAAGGATATTGTTTGTAAAAGCCTGCTGTCACATCCTGTTTTCCCTACTAGACTCTGCTTCAAGTCTTTCCACATAGTTCCGAATCTCTCGGTTATACTTGATTCCAAACAAGTCTGGATGCATGGAGTATACAATGAAGAGCATAACAATCTAAAATTAACTTTTTCACTTACTTGTAGAGCTAAGATCGTGGCAGTCATTAAGGCCATGATGTCCATTTTGAGAAACTTCTCTGTGTTGGATGTAATTAGTGGCAAGTGGAAGACCCCGAAAAAAAACGTCACTATCGAGAGAATTATCCATTGGATCTTCATCTTCGTCTCAACACCTCTTGGAGACCTTGCCCTGTGAAGAAATACATCGTTGAGGTTCTGAACTATCACAAAAGTAAAAAGAGAAAGGCCTGCATTTGCAAGAAGGAGCATGTAAGTGATCTGTATATTTGCATTCTTGTATATGCTTTTGGAGTTTGGGATTGAGGATATTAGTGCTCCGAGAACACAGCTGGATAGTAGCAACAAGATGTTGGTGAGAAGAAGGCATAGAGTCTTGAATGTTGTTCTCATCATTTTATGGGTTGGCTTAATTTTTAGATCTCCTTAGGGCCCAGGCCCTTTCTTCTCCTAAAAGCCAATAACCTTTTTCGGATGGCAATAGTCTATCTTGCACCAGCCAGACTCTTGAGTCTATTTGGAACTATCCTTTGGAGTTGCGGTTTGATCTTGAAGTCTTGAACATATAACTGGACGCTACAAGTCCTAGGGCTCCGTACATTGCAAAGCTCCACATGTCATGGCGATGAGAGGAAAGCAGAGAGATTGGGTCTAGAAATGTCAGTGCCATAATTAGGAGGTTTCCTACAGCCACAGCCAAGAGCCACATGGATAGGGCTAGAGACTTCATTGTCTCTGGAGCCTCGACATACATGTACTCCATTCCAGTCACATTCAACATTATTTCTCCAACCGTCATTATGGCATATTGAGGTACTTGCCATAGGATCGACAGCTTCTCTTCCGAAGATACAAGCTGAACTATCCGATGCTCCAGATATCCAGAATAGAAGAAGGCAAGAGATCCAAATACAATCCCAAGCCCCATCTTGTCTTCTCGAGAGGAGAAGACTCCAAGCCATCCAAGCAGCGGATAGACAAATCCTGAAAATATAGGTATGAAGAAAAGAATAAATATAGGATTGAGGGCCTGCATCTGGGAGGGAAGGATATCTACTCCATAGCCAAATATGCTTTGGCGTATACCCATCTTCTGGCCCTGTTCCACCCATGAGGAGGACTGCTGATCGCTAAGTGTCCAGAAGAACATTGCCGGCCCCAAGATCTTGAGTATCTTCCAAATCCTTTTTTTTGTATCTTGCGAATGTGATGCGGAGACGGCCTCTGCAGCTGTCTTCCCACTTTCCTGAGTTTGCTCCTCGCAGCTTTCAGGCCTTTTTTGGAATAAGCTCTTCAAGTTCTCCACCAAGAAACGAAACTCATTTGAAAATTGTTCTTTTCTTGCTGGCTTGATGACGTAAAGCTTTTCTCCAGCAACAAATAAAAATATGGAGGCTCCAAGCAATGCACTCGACATTCCAAATGCCAGAGGATAGCAAGACAGCTTCCCAAGGCAAGCGACGTTTGACATGGCAGGGACGAGCATCATGGAGACCATGCTGCCAATGTTTATAACAAAGTAAAAGATGTCAAAGAACTTTCTCAGGCCTTCCGCTTCGTTGGGACCAAACTGGTCTCCACCAAATGTAGCAATACAGGGTTTGATCCCCCCTGTGCCAACAGCCACCATGGCCAGGCTTGCCATCAGGACCCAAGGGGACCCCGAGACAACGGAGCAGTAAGTGAGGATGGAAGTTCCTGTAAGGTATAGAGGACTAAGCACCAGGATAGTGTTGTATCGTCCCAAGAACCTGTCTGCAAGAAGTGCTCCAAGAAGAGTGAACAGATAGCTCATGGAAATGAAGAAATGGAGGATCATGGTCGAGGCCTTTATGGAGAAGTTGTACTCTGTTTTTGCAAAAGAAAAGAGAAGGGACTTCAGACCGTAGAAGCAGAACCGCTCGCAGAATTCATTGCATATTATGAGGAACAGGGTTGTTCTATTCATTGTTGTGGTGTTCATAAAGTATTTTATCTCTGTCTTGAAACAAGTTTTGTTTTCTATATCATCTTTAGGTTGAGGCCTCGAGCTTATATAGGCCAGATGGAGGATTTTCTAAAACAGATTTCCCACGGATACGTAAGATTCCAATATACTCCGATTGAAAAGAGTTTTGACAGAATATACTCTTTCCTTCCATATTTTGATTCTACACTGGTTGTGCATAGAAAGCCTGGGACTGTGCCTCCATTTAAGCTGTTGAGGATGTGCAGAGGCCGAGTAAAAATCGTTGTGACAGAAGAGCCATTTCAGGTGATTGTTGACCATCTGGGAAACTTCAACATGTTTATATTGCTGGATTTTGAATTTAATGACTTTGAGCACGAATTCCTAAGGCAGGCTTGCATAGCCAACAGGAAGTCTATCTTCTTGTTTTCAGGTGCACAAAAAGACCACACGATAGAGGGCCAAAGCTATCAGACTGTAAAGCTCGATCTCGACTTGTTCGACTCACCAGTTGGTCTATGAAACAGACCCGAACTTAGAATTCCAGTCGGAATAGATCTCAAGATCTCTTTCGGAAACACTTTTCTTTATCTGCCTTGTAGCCTTCTTAAAGTCTTCGAGGGAAATAGGCCTTGTGTCTTCATTCTTGAAGTCTTTGATGTCATCGATTTCCCTCAAAGGTTCTAGGGAAGCCTCTCTGCATAGATTAAAGATATCAGATCCAGAGTATCCCTCTGTCATTCCTGCAACTTCATCGAATTCTTGGGGCCCGAGGATGTTTCTGTAATCTCTGATCAGATGCTCTATCATTTGCCTCCTGCCCAGATGCTCGGGCAGAGGAACATAAATTCTCTTCACCAACCTGCGTCTTGCAGCTTCGTCTATCTCGTGGGGCCTGTTTGTTGCGCCGATCACTAGTATTCGGTCGGAATTGGAAGTTGATGCTCCATCAAACTGGACCAGAAACTCTGTCTTGATTCTCCTGCTTCCTTCGTTCTCGTTGTCGCTTCTCTGAGAAAGGAGTGAGTCAATCTCGTCGATAAAAACAACCGATGGCTGCATTGACCTTGCTAGATAGAACAGCGCCCGGACCATCTTTTCTCCCTCTCCAACCCACTTCGAGGTCAAAGATGAAGCACTTATCGAAAAGAAAGTTGCCTTGCACTGGCTTGCAATGCATTTTCCTATCATAGTCTTTCCTGTTCCAGGAGGTCCGAAAAGAAGAAGCCCCTTTGGGGGGCCCCGAAGGCCAGTAAACAGATCTGGACGCTGCATGGGCCAAAGAACAATCTCGTTGATGGTTTTCTTAACATCCTTTAGTCCGATGATATCATCCCATCCAATGTCCATCACCTTTTCGAGAATTTCGTTCCGAATCCTATCCACTATGTAGCTTTCTACGTTACACTCTCCATCCACTTCGTTCTTATCTCTCTGCTCTTTCTTGGCAATCTTCTTACCACTTCCTGTTACAAAGTCCGGATATCCGTCCTTTTCCGGAAGGAGAGGGTGGAGGTGCTGGCCGGCCCGGAAAAACTCGCCCTTTACAGGCTTGTATTCTGCCAAGAGCTTTTCGACTTCCTTTATATCGATCTCAATAGGGAGTCCAGTCACAAACGAAAGGATTGGAATCAAATTGTTATCTCGAGAAACCTCACAGATGACCTTTTCGTAAAAATCCCCTAAGCAGCAAGTTGTTTCGAGATCTCTGAGCTGGTGTGGTAGAAGAGATGGAAACTCTGGAATCCCTTTTTTTCCAAGGGCCTTTTGTAGACTATAGAAGCTTGCATCCATGGAGTATGGGGAGAAGATGTTTATTATCGGTCTCTTCATGAAAAGAAATAAACTCTAGTGCAAAAGCCCTTAGGAGCAGATGGATAATTACACGATTGCTATATGCTTCAAGAACAACCCAAGCAGAATGATAGGTACATTTCTTTCGAACGAAGATGGAATGGTGAAGCTGGAGAATGCATTTTTCGAGATGAACCCTGGGATTGTGTTTCCTACAATCTCTATTTCCGAAAGTGACATAATCACGGTGAAGAAGACAAATGAGGGTGTAAGAGAGAAGAGTGAAGACAAGAGCATTCCCTTGGAGACGACGGAGAAGGCCAGCAAAGGAAAGGAGACTTCATCTTGGGATTCGTTCAAAACAGATTCTCAGATATCCAGAGCGGTCGAGGTAACTGCTCCTCCTCCAACTCCCCCAAACGAATCTGCAACTCTTGAAAGATTTTCAGAGGAAGGAAGCAAGGACTGGAACCAATTTGAAGCAAACTCAAAGCTCTTCAACATAGACAATAAGTTTGACGAGTCGGAGTACATGGAGGTCCTTGACAAGAACTCAGAATCGTACAAGAGAAAGCTCTCGATGGCAAAGAAGATTGAGAAGGAAATAATGCTATCCACGACTACGGATCCCCACAGGCTTGAGGAACGAGGTCTTGGGATGTCGGAGGAGAACGAGGACGCCTACTCAAGTGTGGTTGGGAAGGAACACAAAAAGGATTCGGGGAAGTGCTCCGCAAAGGGCCATGAGGAAGAAAGCTTTGACGACGAAAAGAGCAAACAGTCTGAAGACGAGGGTACCCGAAGGAAGATGGTGATAGAAATCGAGGGCCTATCCACTCCAAAGATCAAGGAGGAATGTGCAAGCAAGGGTGAGAGTAACAAAAATGAAGAATCGTCAAATAGCCAAGAAGAGAAGAAGGACTCAAAGCCTAAAAAGAGTGTAAGGTATGGATGGATGCACACCAAGTTTGATTCCTCGAAAAATCTCCTTAGAATGATAAAATCCAAGTTTAAGGGGATTTTGGACACCAACGGGGGAGAGGCGAAATGGGGAACAGGCCCCAACTGGGAAGTGGCCGGAAGAAATATAATCAAAAAAACCCAAAAGGGAGGTAGGACGCCGCCGACAGCAAGAAGGACGGTTAAAAAAAGCCCTGTCTCTAAATAGTCATCCTCTGCATATATATTTATTGAAGAAAGTAAATTAAGTGACTCAGAATATTTCGTAGCACAGTCTTCTATAACATATCTCCCTGATCTCTACACAGTGGAGGGTTTTAGGTGTTCCGCCCTCAAGCCTCCCATAAATTTCATATCTCTTTCCGGTCTCTAATTTGTCCGACGAGACAATCACACAGTTATCCGATGCATCCAATCCATAGTACTCCTGATCTGACTTGGCGTGGGTTACTGTGACAAAGAAAAGCTTGACCACACCATGCTCGCATGTAGATATGAAGTTGAATGCAATTCTCGTTCTAGGTTCGGGATATTTTGTTCCAGAAAGAATCAAGGACGACTCAAATGCAAGACTCAAGTTCTCCTCATTCGCTGGAGAATCCTTTGGATCCTGAGGCTTTTCTGCCAAGATGTTATATTTATTCTTTGGCATTTAAAGGGCTTGTTTAGGGGAAGAGAGACCTTACTCTTCCCATTTTATTGCCATTCTACAGCTTGGACATACTCTCTTTGTGTCCAACCATGAATAAATGCACGTCAGGTGAAAGGAATGTCTACATACAAGCAATGCTTGCGACCCTTTAATGTACTCGAGACATATGCAGCATATTTCTTCCGGTTCTTCTTCCAGCTCCTTGGTCTTTTCTTGAAATATGAGTGGGAGTTCTGGATCCATACGCTCTTCTATGAAGAAGAGCTCTCTAACAATGTCCTCAACTCCTTCCTCAAAGTCGTTTCCCATAGCGTGGCATAAACCCCACCATAAGCCAATATAAGCATTCAAGACATTTCACAGTTTATTCTCCGTCCTTGTTTATCTTGTGATACCTGGAGTGGAGCATCAGCTTACGCTTTTCGTCAAATGTTTTCTTGCAAACAGGACAGAAAAGGGGATTGGGCACATCAGAGGAACCCTTGTGAAGAGCCCTGTGAAGCTCCAGCTTCTTGAAGGAGTCAAACACCCCTTCACAAGACTCGCATCCAAAAACATCCCGGTACGCCTCTGTGGCATGCTTCTTTTTGTGGATAGGCTTCTCTTCCGATGCCCACATTGTAAACATCAATGGCTTTCCTCCGACCGTGTCCACCTCTACAGGAACCCTAACAAACTTTCTTATCTCATCTCTTGCACATTCTCTTGCTGCACACGACTGAGACTCCAGCACCTGGGGAACATCCGAACCCCTGGCCTTTCGCATTGACTGGCCCTCTCTTTCCCTTGCCCCAGATTCTCCATTCAAATTCTCTCCGGCCGTAGCTTGTTCCTCCTTCCTCGGACTTCCGATCTCCATTGTTCAAGGGAAAGATCAGACAAGATTTCTCATTGAAATCAGAAACCATAGCTTAGACAAGACTAATTTAATGGGCTATATAGTACACAAAGAGAATAATCAGAACTGCAAACACTACATAGATCCAGTAGTCGTTCAACATACTCTTTAGATGCATCCTCTGAATGTTCTTCTGCATCATCTGTGCCTCGACAGTCATCCTGCTTGCAAGACCTTTCAAGTTGTTTATGTTCTCGTCTCTCTTAATTATCATGTTGAGAGATTCCGCCAGAAGTCCCTTAGTTTCCTCAACAACTGCCATTCCCTGGGCATAGTTTGAGTCTCTGTTGAACCTGTCAGACATGGCTTTGATTGTGGGGTCAAAAGTGTAGTATGTTGTCTTTGGGTTATCCACATATATCTTCGCAAAGCCTTCCACAACCAGATCCATATACTCGGATGCCAGTTTTGAAGAGGTGTACCTGTCGCTTATCACTGCAAAAACAATCCCAGTATGGACCTTGAAGTAGAAGACAAATCTTGTGTCCAAAGAGTTGAATGTGTAAAAAGACGAAGTCCCACTACCTGGGATCGACTTAATGGTGTTTCTCAACTCTTTGACTATGTCGTTTCCCGGTCTAAGGGAGTTGCTCTGAGGCGAATACTCTCCTGAAAGAATCCTATAGTCTGGAAGCTTTATTATCTGCGTATAAAGAATTGCCATTCAGGGCTATGGTATTCAGCTTTAATTATTGGGTAGGGGCTCATGGGGTAAAAGCCGGCATGGACAGTAATTACAGAGAACTTTCTAGACACTCCAGAATCGCCTTGGGATGGACATCGTTGTGGAACCAAAGGCCATGGATTCTGTTTTCCTCTTGTTCGGTTATTGTCATAAGATTTCCTTTTATCCCGAAGGATAGCTCCTTTGATAAGTAAAGGGAAAAGTCTTTCAGATCTTTCCTATTAAAAACATGTATTCCAACCAGAGGGTAGCATTCCCTGCTATACATCACAAACGTCCCTTCAATTCCTGCCTTATCCCAATTCCCATCAGTATAGTAGTACACAGAGACAAAGTTAGACACATATAAAAGGTCCCTGAGAGATTGATCTGTCTTCCTAACCTCCCTCATTAAGATTTTGCCCTCTTTCTCCCCTAGCATTTGGGGCGCTTCTAACAATAAAACTTATTGCTCCTCCACCCAAGCGATGGAGTTACCAGAAGAGGGGGAAATCTTAGCACACAAGAGGTTCACTGTAACAGAAATGAGCTATGAGAAGATAAGGGTCATAGGAGAGGGGACCTTTGGCCAAGTCATTCTTGCAAGGAAGGGAAGGGCTAGATATGCACTGAAGAAGGTAACCAAAGAGAAAGAAGGAATACCAGTGACAACAATCCGGGAAATTCAAGTCCTTCGAGCAATGAGCCATCCAAGCATAATAAGACTCATGGAGATGGTGGTTGAGCCTGGAGGAGATGTCTACATGGTGTTTCCGTACTTTCCATATGATTTAAATAGATTCATAAGAAACAACAGACTAGCACCCGAAGAGGTCAAGCATATATTCCATCAGATTGCCAAAGGTGTGTGGTACATTCACAACAAGGGGATTATGCACAGAGACCTAAAGAGTGCGAATATTCTTTTAGACCATAAGCTGAATGCCGCCATTGCAGACTTTGGAATGGCAAGATATGTGGCAAAGGCAGGCATGCATACCCCGGGAACAGTGACCTTATGGTATAGACCTCCAGAGATCCTTCTAGGATCTTATAACTACACCTATGCTGTGGATATCTGGTCATTGGGCTGTATATTGACGGAAATGTATCTGGGATACATGATATTCCAGGGAAATACAGAGATTTCACAGCTGGAGATGATCATACATGCCTGTGGATCCATTAACGAGAATAGCTATCCAGGCGTGCAGAATCTTCCCGGCTTCCGCAACTTCAGGCTTCCCCAATCTCCCCGAAGGATTGAAAAAATCATTGAAAGCCACGACGAGTCGGCAGTTCAGATAATCAGTAGGATGCTCTGTCTTGACCCTTCAAACAGAATAACTATAGACCAAATTGTTAAGGATGAATATCTTAAAGACAGATCCTGCAAGGATGCCTCGAATGCACCGCTTCGCAACTTCAATCCCAAAGAAGACGAATCTAGCCTCTGTAAAAGGAAAAACGACGATTAAATAAGTCACCTGTAGGAATTTATCTCTAAACATCATGTTCCAAACCCATCCCATCATTCGCCCCAACATCTAAGGTCTTCCATGTCGATGCCTATCGCTTCTAAAAACAATCTTGCACCCTTTGCCTCATCACTCTCGGGTTCCTTGGATACCTCCGATAGGTAAGGTCTTGCTTTTCTCACAATAGACTTTTGTTTTTCTTCATCTGCAATCGAAATCATAACAGAAAGAAACTGCCATCCATGCTTGCTCTTTGTAAAGGACCAACCAGACTCCTTGATAATAGCCTCATAAAATACACCACACAAGGCCTCGTTTTGGATAAGCAGTAGAGTGGCCAGGATCAACCCGCTTGGAAAGAAAAGGAATGTAGAAACAAATCCCTCCTCCAACTCAGCCTCGGAAACCTGGGGCATACACCCGGCTAAAGACCCAATAGAATTATAGAACGAAGGAACATCCTTGACTAGATGGAATGTTCTTAGAAGCAAAACTACAACCTCCTTCTTCTCCTCTTCCTCTGCAAAAGGAAAATACTCCCCGAGAAAACTAACAAACTTTGCGATAGAGATAAACACGTCAAACTTACAAAGAAGTTTCTCCCGGAACATTTCGATATTCTCCCGGAGATCCTCTGGGGAGAGTTTGCAATATCTCCTGGCTGTGTACAAATCAATCAGCTCCTCAAGCAGAAACATATCCCGCATCGGCTCCCTGATGTTCTCCACTTCCACCCCACAGAACGGCCTTGGCCTCCTTGAAGACTTCTTATTCTCCTTTCCAAATATCAGGTTAACACTTCTCTTTGGCTCTCCATCATCACACTTCACCTCAATCTTCTCTTCCCCCTCTCGAAAAAGCACTGCATAGTCGATGTCGGATCGAAAGTATCTCATATTTCTTTTGAGGCACTCGGCAACGTAGTCCTTTTCTTTGGACGTCATGAAGTTCTTTCCCCCCATTCAGGGGCTCCTTCTCCTTACATATATCATGTCCTGCATTCATATTTTGCCGCAAAAATTTGCCCAGAGATGATTCCAATAGCAAGCCCAATAGCATCAGAGTCCACCACAGAGATGATAGCCAGCCTTGTAAGAGACCAGGCAGAAAGAGGAGTTCTGTCCACAGGAATCAAGAAGTGCCAAAAACGCATTTTAGAGGGGTCAAGAGGCTTGCTGGTCCTAACGGCAGACACAACACCCATGGACCTCATCACACACCTTCCTGCAGTCTGTGAAGACAGAGGCATTAAGTATGTCTTTGTAAGGCGGAAGGTTTCCCTTCCAAACGGATTCACCTGTGTCTTTCTCGAGATGGATGGAAGCGACATGCTCGCCAAAGTGCTCGAGACACTTGCTTGATTGCTGGAATAGATCATATTTCTAATAAATCACTCCTTACCAATCCATCAGCCCATCCGAGGAATATCTTCCCTTTTCCGTCTTCTTGAGGACATTGTATAAGGTTGTCCTGTTTGTAATCAATGTCTCATCAAAGATCAGCTCTCCCTTCCCCACAAGGACACCATATCTTACCAAAGGCCCATCCTGCTCGTAAACCTCGTCCAGAAACTGGAATACCCCACTGGACATAAACTTCTTGTTCATAGAAGGGCAATAAAGAGATTCTTTGTAGTCTGGTTGCAAAAAGACAAGATTTTACTCGGAAGAAGAAATCTCATTTTCCTCAAAGTTCAACAGGTTGTATCTTGACTTCTCTCCATACAGCTTTGGTTGGCTTACCACAGAGGCAGTTCCCCCCTCCTTCTTGATGTTTGAAATTAGAATGTCGCATGCCTCTCTCACCACTTCATAGGCCTTGTCCTTATTGCTGGATACACGTGTCACTGAATATGTAGGTGTCTTGATCAGACAAAACTCAAGCCTTGGATCCAGCTTCAAAGCATCATCGAAGACCTTCTTTATCGAGATTATCCCTCCTCGAGACGAACACACAACATCTATATCCGCACGCACTTTATATGTAGAAGCCTGGAACTGCTCTCGAATCAAGCTCTTAATTGTTAGCCCTACCTCATCATCTTCTATGATGTCTCCGTTATCCTTAACCCTTGCAAAGAAGTAGTACAATGACCCAAACTCTTCCTCTTTGTCATATCCCATCTTTTCATACAGCTCTGATACTTCCATCCCTAACTTCTTTGCAGCCTTGAGCATGATATGGTATGCAAGCTTATTCTTTGCACTCGTCTCCTTGCATTCGGACTTCTCGCTTTCTGTGACCTTCGACATGCTCAGGTCTATGTATCCCTTTTGCTCATCCACCTTCAGGACATTGCATATCTCGATGTTCCCAATCTTGGTCACATGCTGTATGCTCTTCACCCTTCTTTTCGACAACTCTCCCAGAAGAACTAGTCCTTCTAGATCTCCATACTCTAGGAGATTCAAGGTCAAGCCTTCTCCCCCTATGGACACAACCCTTCCCATGACTATTTCTCCCTCTCGGGGATACTTCCTGGAGTGGAGCCTACATTCGTATTTTATCATGGCCAAATAATTTTCGAAATATTTTATCATTGGGTGGCACCGGCGTACTGCTTGGGCCAGCCTCTAGTTATGACCCAAGATAAGGAAGTTATGAAATCTCTGGAAAGTTCTCCTGCTGCGTACAATAAGACCTCTTTCAATCACGTCCAACCTCCATACATCATCTTCGGAAAACGCCTTCTTGAGAACTAGAGAAGAATGGTCTCCTATTCTTTCATAGAAGAACTCCGGCAGAGACACTTCCTCTTTGAGAAGAATGGAGTGCAAGTAGAAGAAGTAAGGACACACCGACCTCAGGTCAATTACTCCAGGCTTGGCGCTTATATCCTCCAGCAGGGACTTATCTGGGAAGCCCTCGGCCAGCTTACAATGGTCGTTTTTCAGAAGAAAGGCTACAAGGAAGTATGGGACCTCCACCTTCTTGTTTTCTGGAAGGATCCTGGATCTCTGTCCAAGAAATCCGAAGTTCTGCACCTTGTGCTTGAATACAACCTGTATTCTTGTTTCGTTCAGAAGGATATCGTCGGGGTCGTAGTATTCCATGGGCTGTCTGGGATTGGATCCTTGGAAAAATTGATCTATGGGCCATCTCCAGAGCCCATGGTGGTTAATAAAATTTCAGTTGCAGATCTTGTTAAGTTTGAGGAGGGAGATAGGATTGATATTGGAGAGCTTGAGGAGAACAAGGAATCTGTGTATGCAGCGGTAAGAGAAGAAGCCTTTGATGCAATTGAGCAAGGCCGAAGGAAGATGGCGAAGAAGAAAGACGAGGATTTCTATGAGATTATTCCGTCGACGAATTTGGAGAAGTCTATGGACAGGATTCTTCATGGAGAAAGAAAGAAGGAATCAAGGGCAATAGTCTTTGAAAAGAACCTCAAGTATGAGTTTGATAAGAAGATGAGAAGGATCAAAAGAATAAAAAGCAAGACATATAGGCGTATCCGAAGACAGAGCAAACTTAAGAGCAAGGAGGCAGGAGAAGAAAAAGAAGGGGAGGATGTTCATGAGGACGAAAGACAAAAACGCATTCCAGACATACTCCTCAAGGAGATAGAAGAACCTGAGGATGAGAAGACACCCATACTCAGCTTTGGGGGAGATGAGGAAGAGGAAGACGGCCAGGAGAAACTTGTAAGGCTTGCATTTAAGGATGATATGGAGGAGAACGAAAAAGCCTTTATAAAGGAAAAGGCAGAGACTGTGGAGAAGGAAGCGCCAAGAATAGAGGAGACTGTCCTTCCTGGATGGGGAGAATGGGCAGGTCCAGGGTTGGAGATTGTCAAAACAAAGAGTAATACCATAAGAAATGTCGTGGAAGGAATAAAGTATTCCAACAGAAAAGACTTCAATAGATCACACGTTATAATCAATGAAAACATATCTTCTGTAGACAAGAAATTCCTAGCAGAGCTACCCTTTGGATATACCGAGGGCGAGTACAACGAAAAGATCGATGCTTCCATATCCAGAGAGAGAAATACACTTCGAATTTTTAGAAAGCTTGTCCGAACAAAAACAGGATATAGAAACGGAGAAGTAATCGAACCGTTCCACTACAACCTTGAATGAGGACAATAAAAAATTAATGATTTACTTTTCAAGACCAAGGAGGTCTTCCTCCACAAGGAAACACTGTGCGAGCGAGGTGCTGTCGAAATGCTCCATCGCTTCCAAGACAGTATGGTATCTCCTTCTTACAGCACTCGAGGGGTGGAAAAGACCCTGAAGCACATATCCATATACAGCCTGCGAGGATAGGATTGTAACAAAAGATTCCATACATCCGTCAAAGGATTGTTGTACCGCCAAGCTGGGGTCAAGAATGTTTGCCCAGACCAGATTGAGCAGATGTATGGCAAGTTCTATGTCCATAGTCGATGGGGAATGGTTCAACACTATGTGTCTAATAAGGTCCATTCCAAGACTTCGATATGACGGGTCCTCATCCATCATTGCATCTTCGATCATAGGGAGTATCGAGTATACATATCTGAGAGGAACCCGATATGTCTGTTGGAAGAAGTGGCACATGGCCTTAAGTATTCCTTGTTGTACAAAGGCACTTGGTGCTCCGTAGTCTGCCAAGAGAGTTGGGAGAATAGAAAATATCCCATTGTACTCCCCTACCACAGAAATCCCGAGTGAGGACCCGGCCCTTTGGTTCTTGTCCTCGGATTCAAGACTGTCCATAAGGATGTCCAGTATCTCTTGGGGGCCAACTATCCTGGAGATGCATCCTAGTGACACTGTGGTGTTCCTTCGAATCTCTTTGCTCCAGGAAGACAGTGTAGCAATCAACTCATAAGATATCCTCATCCATTCTCTCATGCTTATCTTTTCACATTCCTCAGGTGCATTCATGCATATAGTGCGAAGGAGAGCCACACAAGATGCAACCGTCCTTTGCTCTCTGGACTTTAGAATCGGAAGGATGGTTGGTACAATCTCCGAGGCCGGCCGGAACCGATAAGAGTTGTATATACTGCATATTGCCTTAATAACAAAGGATAGTGTGTCCTGGTCGCTTCCATCCACATTCTCCATCAGAATGTTTCCATAGTGCATCAGTTCTTTTCTTTCTAAGATCTTCGCAAGGCCATCGATGGCTTTGAGACTTCTGATTCGGACGTCCTGTGAGGGATTCTTTAGAAGCTTGAATGACTCGGATGCCAGTACCGACACATGTCTCTTTTGTAGAAACATCTTAGAGGCAAGCGGAAGTACAAGACTAGCTGTAGTTTCATCACTGCGGATGGCATTACATATGGCCCTCAAGTATATCTCCACCTCCTCTCCCTCAAACTTCAGCTTTTGGACTTTGCTAAATATCCTTGAGATCATTCCTGCATTCAAAGGATTGCTATAGTGGTCCAGAATTCTTTTGAATACTCTAGGCTCACTTCCAATCTTAATACAGATGCTTATAACCAGATTTGCATTGTCTCTTCCCTTAGAGGAAAAAAGAATCCCGGAAATTTGGTCAAAGTACTCCCAAGAGTCTTCGGCTTCAATTTCATTGCAGATCCTCTCGAAGGCCTTAATATTTGGAATCTCTTTCTTCCTAGAAGCTTTCAGGAAGCCAAAAACTACCTTGGAATGCTCCTTATTATTGGAACATAGATGCGACATCGCATTCAAGAGAGAGTTGAACTCGATTTCTCCAGACCTCGATATCTCCTTCTTAAGAAGTTCAAAAACACTGTCCATCTGTGCAGTCCTGACCGGGCTCACAACCTTGGATATGTAGGACATTGTGTTGGCTGCATCCATTCTTACAAATCTATTTCTGTCTGTAATCAGTTTACAAAGTGTTCCTAGCACTGGCCCCAGGTAGGGAACAACTCTCCTTCCTATGAACTCACAGATTGCTGTGATACATTTTGCACAGGCTCTTCTAGACTCAGTGTCCTTCCTTCCTGCTAAAGATTCCAGGAGAGTGTGGGTTCTTTCCATCCCAAAATGATCCACAAAAGTGCCCACTACATGTCCTGCCATCTCCCGAACATATCCCTCCTTACTTCCAAAAGCTCCTTCAATGCTCTTTACTGAAAAATCAAATCCTCGCTTATAGACAAGAGCGAGTACAGGTATACACATCCTTCGGAGAGAAAGAAAGTAGGAGTATGACCCCACCACAAATAATATTTCCCGTACATACTTTACTCCATCCATGTCCACTCCATCCAAAAGAGAATAAAGTAAACCTCCTATCTTTCCTTTATCTTTGTCGTCAAGTTCCAGGCTCATTGCCATAAGAAGCACTTTCTCCAGCACATGGTTCACTTCCTTGCTTTTAAGAATCCTAAGACCACGGATGCTCATCTTCTTACTTCCATTCTTCACTAGTAGTATGCCCTTGTATATATCAACCTCATCCCCATCCCCAGCCTCGAGTAAAGGCATGAAGAAATCTCTTTCCTCGGCTGGAATATCAGGCAAATCTGCTATGCTTGGATCTTCATTTCCAAAGGTCTGGACAAAATCGTATCTCCTGTAACCTTTCGACGGTAGACACATGTTTATCTCTCTTAAAGACATCTCGGAGTACTCGGCCATCCCTCCCGTGTCTTGGGTTTCTCTGTCCCAAATCGCTCCAGAGCCCATTCCGGATCTCCTCCACAAGTCGTCTTCTACCCTTATGTATCCCAAGGGCGTCTGATCCCATTTCAACCTCTTCGACTGTGTTGCTGTGCGTGGTGTAATCTCCCATTTGCTTACATTCTCCCTCCCAGGGTCTACTTCTTCGTCCCATTCAGACATCCTTTTCCGAGCCGACTCCCTTGAATGATCCTCATTGCTCATCACAAGGACTCAAGACTCCAATGACAAATATTAAGAAAAGTTTATTTGGAAATTCCATATGTTACGAGCTGCCATACTTCTTCATTTCTTCAAGCTGCTCGGGAGTGAAGTTTTCAAACAATGGGCATATCCTGCCTCCTATCATATGTCCATCAATTATCTGAATCGACTCTGGAAGCCCTGTCTCCTCGAGATTACACATCCTTAAAATTTCTACAGAAGCAACAGGCATAAAGGGATACAAGAGAGTCGCCAAAAACCCAACCACACTAAATCCAAGGCAGAAAAAATGAGACTTCCTGGCTTTGTTCCGGACTCCCTCCTGAATATACTCGTTCCCGCGTCTTGAGATCTCCATGACCACCTGTAGTCCCTCTCTCAGCTTTATCTCGTCCATCTTTGTTATATATCTACGATAAAGCCCATTAATGTCCTCAACAAACTCCTTATCCTTTTCATCAAGCTCGAGAAGCGATACTCTCGAGTTGCACCTGGATTCTATATATTTCAACACACGGTTCACAAAATTCCCAAGGTTGTTGATCAAGTCTGCCGTCACAGACTGCTGGAAGTCGTAAAAGGTGAAGTTAGAATCCTTTGTTGACTCCGGCCGTATCTTCATCAGATAGTATCTCCAGATGCAGGGCTTCCCGAGGTTCCCCTTAACAAGATCCAGCCCAAAGATCCCATGTCTTCTGCTCTTCGAGAACTTTTGGTTCTCAAACTGTAGGTACTCGGTTGCAGACAGTCTTTTGATTATCGGATACTTCTCTCCAGTTGCATAGATCATGGCGGGAAATATAATGGTGTGGAACGCCACATTGTCCTTCCCCATAAACTGTACAAGCTCCGAGTCCTTGCACCATTCAGAAAAGTCCTCTCCAACAAGCTCCTTTAAAAACGTCAGATATCCTATCGGCGCATCAAACCACACATAGAAAACCTTTTCCTTAAACTTTTCCAAAGGAACAGGAACCCCCCACCTGAACTTCAAATCTCTTGTCATACATCTTGGGTGGAATTCCATCGAAATCCACTGGTTGAATATATTCTGAGCATTCTGGCTCCACAGATGACCATTTTCCTTGTAGGTCTCCAAAAGATGAGGCCGGAACATCTCTAGATCAAAGAACAGATGGCAAGTAGATCTAATAATAGGCACAGTACTGCATATAGAACACTTTGGAGACAGGAGCTCGAGAAAATTGTATGTCTGCCCACATGCATCACATTGGTCTCCTTTGGCTCCCAGATCTCCACAGAACTTGCATTCTCCCACAACATACCTGTCTGCAAGAAATATCCCACAGTTCCCACAATAGAACTGCTCAATCTCCAGCTCCTTGAAATGTCCGTTGTTGTACATCTTCATGAAGAGACTCTGCACCATCTCTGTGTGTTCGGGTGTCGAAGTAAATCCAAAGTAATCGAAGTCGATGTTGAACCAGTCATAGACCTGTTTGTGAAGCCTCCTGTTCTCCTCACAAATCTCCAAAGGAGGTCGTCCTTGAGAAACAGCCTCCATCTCAATGGCTGTCCCATATTCGTCTGTTCCACAGATATACAGGCAAGTCTCTCCCTTCTTTTTGCAGTATTTGCTGTACACATCCCCGCTAAGAACGCTTCCTATGACGTTTCCAAGATGCGGCTGATTGTTTACATAAGGTAAAGCACTCGTTATAAATTTCTTCATTCTCGAAGGGCTTCCATAAATTTCGCTAGAAGCGTATTCGTTCTTGGCTACCTAAGCCCGTTTACATTCCAACGGTAATCCAGAACTGTTAAATATTTATCTTTGACATTATTAATATAAGCGTTAAGCAATTTATAAGTATTTAAAGAATCAAAAGCACTCCCCTAAAATGAAGTACATTTTTGTTTCCGGAGGAGTTATCTCTGGAGCCGGAAAAGGCGTAGTAAGTAGTAGCGTGGGTGCTTTACTAAAGTCAAGAGGACACGTCGTAACACATATAAAGATTGATCCATACTTCAATTATAATGCAGGGATGCTTGCACCTTCTGAGCATGGCGAGGTCTATGTCCTTGAAGATGGGTCTGAGTGCGATCTTGATCTTGGAAACTACGAAAGATTCAGTAGCATCAACCTTGAGGCTTCAAATGCAATAACGTCTGGAAAGATTTTTTTTGAAATGATCAAGCGTGAGAAGGAGGGTCATTTTCTTGGAAAGACATTACAGATTAATCCACATGCAATAGACGATGTTATCAGAAGAATTAAGATGGTGGCGGAGACTCCTGTGGAAGACTTCAAGAGCGGACGTAGGGTCATCCCAGACGTGGTGATTATCGAGCTTGGGGGAACTGTTGGAGAGAGCGAGTCGTCTATATACACAGACGCCTTTGCAAAGTTCCAGAGAATTGTTGGAAGGAGCAACTGTGCATTTGTGTCTGTAGACCATCTTGTAGAGCTAGAGAGTGGGGAGCAGAAAACAAAGAGTATCCAGATGGGGTGCAGGAACTTCAGGAGATTCGGGCTCAGCTACGACATCATTGTGTGCAGGGGAGTGCGGGACCCCAGCAAGGAGACGCGGGAGAAGATATCGAAGAACTGCTGGGTGGAGCCTGGGAATGTGTTTGGGCTTCCGAATCTGGAGTCGGTGTATCTTGTGCCGAAGTTCCTTGAAGAGCACGGAATGGTTGAGTCGCTGAACAAGGTGCTTGGGATTTCGTCGAAGGAGGGGGATCGGGAGATACTTGAGACGTTTGAACGACTTGTGCAGAAGCACGAGGACACAGTAAGGATCGGGATAGTGGGGAAGTACTCGCCGGAGTTTGACAGCTACACGTCTCTTGTGCATGCATTGAGGTTCTCTGGGGCGTCTGTGGGGGTGAATGTTGAGATTGAATGGATCAATGCAGACTCGTACACCACAGAGGATCTTGAGAAGTGCAATGGAATTATCATTCCGGGAGGATTTGGAGCACGGGGGATCGAGGGGAAGATCTCGGCGATCCGGTATGCACGGGAAAACAGGATTCCTCTTCTTGGGATCTGTCTTGGATACCAACTATCGATTATCGAGATGTGCAGGAACGTTCTTGGGATGAAGGATGCATCTTCCGAGGAGTTTAACCCGTCTGGGAAGAACCTTGTTGTCAGGTTTATCAGCGACAAGAACGGAGTGGTTGATAAGAAACTGCGAGTTGGGGGATACGAGGTGGAGCTTGAGGACGGACTTGTGAAGAGGTTGTACTCTGGAGCGGAGAAGATCCGAGAGAGGCACCGACATCGGTTCGAGGTTGTTCGATCCGAGGTTTCCTCACTATGTTCGTATGGCCTGAGGTTTGTAGGATTCAGCGACGAGAGAAGAGCAGCAAAGATCTTTGAGCTTACATCGCATCCGTTTTTTGTCGGAGTACAATTCCATCCTGAGTTCACTGCAAGGCCTAACCAGCCGCATCCACTAATAACTGGTTTAATATCTGCATCCTGCCGGAAATTGAATTAAATTAATCTTAAATAATGTTGGTACTGCTTCTTTTTTAGTTGGACTCTGGTTGGAAGCTGGAAGCAAAAATTTTATATTTTTAGGAGTTTCCAGAAATGCCCATGGATGTCCGAAGAACAGCGTTGGAGCACATATGAGCTCTATGGAAAGTCCTCGGACGATGCCGAAAGGGCCATCTTAAGTGATTTCTTTCATCATTGCAATAGAATAATGCTGTTAGGTATGGTTCTACCCAACTGAATGAGGCTTACTCTTGGGCATCCATCTAGTTTTAATCTAAAACATTTTAATTTCTTTATAATTAAGTAGAACCTTTCCCAAACAAATGGCATCCAAGGAGATCCAAAAGGTCTGGGCTGACGGGTGCTTTGATATGTTCCACTACGGCCATGCAAATGCGCTAAGGCAGTCCAAAGCATTGGGGGATTATCTGATAGCCGGAGTTCATTCATCTCTCAGCATAAACCGAGAAAAGGGATTACCTGTGATGGAGGATGACGAGAGGTATGAGGTCGTCCAGAGATGCAGATACGTAGATGAGATTGTCAAGGATGCACCATTTGTCACAGAGATGAGCATGGTTAGGGAATACGGGGCAAGTATAGTAGCACATGGAAACGACATAATACTCGATTCGAAGGGACAGGACTCGTACTTCCAAGTGAGAAGGACAGGTATATTCAGAGAGGTGGAGAGGACGGTTGGAATCTCGACGACTGAGACTGTCGGGCGGATGATGCTGAAGAATAGGGGAACCTGCTTGGATGGAGAACACAAAGAAAGCAACAAAAACTCTAGATACCATGATCAGTTGCTTGAGCTATTTGTGAGCTCGATGAAAAGGGAAAGGAAAGGAAAAGTGGTGTTTATAGATGGGAATTTTGATTTGTTCCATGCCGGACATGTTGTATCCTTGAAAATAGCAAGAGAAATGGGAGACTATCTTGTTGTTGGGATACATGACGACGAGACCACAAGGGAATACACTAGAAACTATCCCGTGATGACGACCAAGGAGAGAATGCTTACATTGGTGTCATGTAAATATGTTGACGAGGTAATTATTTCGCCCTATCTGATTGGAAAGGAGTTTATTGAGAAGCATGGAATCGACATTGTAGGGACCTCTTTCGACACAAAGGATCTATCGAGATACGATAGCATTAAAGAGGTTGTGGAGCACAGCTATGCCGAAAATAGGTTCAGCTATCTCTCTGCGGAGCACATAGTTAACAGGATAATCTCGAACTACCAGGATTATGCAAACAGACAGAAGAAAAGGATGAAGAATTAAAGTATTCTTTTTTGATGATGTATCTTAGAAGCTAGATGAAGATGTTACGACAACAAGGCTGAGTTGATCAGCATTCCAAAAATTGCTGTGTGGCACGGTGTCTAGCCATGGGAGTCTTCAGTAAAAGGCAAAAGACTCGTTCTTATCGGCTAGGCAAGCAAGGGGTCTTTTCAAAAAAAATATATGTTTCTGGGGATAGGGAAGATAAGTGCGGACCCCTGGAGAATTGGGAATGGAAGAAAGAACGGTGTTCAAAGGGATGGAAACAGAAATACGCATCAATCGAGAGATTCCTCCAGAACTGTTTCCCCTAGCCAAAGACAAGAAGGACTCCATAGCAGAGGAGGAAATAATGGACTTGCTAATAAGTACGGAGAAGAAGGAGGAGAGATCTGGAGAAGAGAGTGTTAAAGATAAGATGGGGGAGATTTTCTCGAAGCTTGAAAAGAGCCAAGTTCTGTTGATTGAAGGAGACACAGGATGTGGGAAGACAACGAAAGTCCCGAGATATCTTCTTGAGAGATACAAGAGCATAGTGTGCACGCAGCCCAGAAGGATTGCAGCTGTAAGTGTTGCCAAGAAGGTTGCCCAGGATATGAATGTGAAGATAGGGATGGAGGTTGGATACTCTGTAAGATTTAACGATGTATCGAGTAAGAAAACGAGGCTTAAATATGCTACAGACGGGATTTTGCTTCGGGAGATAGTCAGTGATAAATGCCTCAATAGATATGATGTTGTGATTATCGACGAGGCACATGAAAGAAGTGTCAACATAGACATTCTTCTGGGATATCTGAAATCGATTCTGAGCAAGAGGAAGGATCTTCGGGTGATTATAATGAGTGCAACGCTAAGCTCTGAGAAGTTTATTTCGTTTTTTAGATGCCAAACGGTTGAGATTCGCCACAGAATGTTTCCATTGGAGATATTTTTCTTGAAGAAGGCTGGGGCTTTGGATTATCTGGACGAAGCTGTGAAGACAGTGGTACAGATACATAGGACAGAGGAAGAAGGAGACATATTGGTGTTTCTAACGGGAAAGGAGGAGATCAACAACGGGAGAAACATCCTTGTAGAGATCTTAGGGAACGACGCCGAGGTGTATTGCATATACAGCATGCTTTCACCCGAGGAGCAGGAGCTTGTGTTCAAGAAGACGAAGAAAAGAAAGATTGTCCTTGCAACAAACATTGCGGAGACATCGATAACCATTGAGGGTATAAAATATGTTGTGGACTGCGGGCGAGCCAAGCAGATGAGATACTCTGGGGCCTTTGGAATGGACATCTTGGAGGTGGCATGGATATCGAAGGCACAGGCCAAGCAGAGGGCAGGGAGAGCAGGGAGAACCCAGGAAGGAAAGGTGTTTCGGTTATACTCCAAAGAGGAATTCCAAGAGATGAGCGAGAATACAATACCAGAGATTTTCTGCTGCAATCTTGCCAAGGCAGTGCTTGAACTGAAGTCGATTGGAGTGAATGACATAGTGAACTTCGACCTTATAGATAAGCCCGATACCTCGAATGTGAGGAAGGCCCTAGAGTTGCTGTACTACCTCAAGGCCATAGGAGGAGATGGAAAGATAACACCGATTGGAGCCAGAGCCTCGAAAATCCCTCTAGAGCCGGAGCTAGCGATTTCCCTGATTGTATCTTCGGATCTGGGGTGCCTTGAGGATGTTTCAATCATTGCAGCCATGCTAAGTGTGGGAAACATATGGCTGGACATTCCAAAGTACAGCCAATCTCACAAGGCGTTTTTGGATGCAAAGTCATTGTATTTTGATAGAAGAGGAGACCATTTCTCGTTTCTTAAGATATATAGGATGTGGGAAAGAACTGGATTCAAGATATCACATCTCAAGAGATCATTTCTAAATGTTAGAGCAATGCTTCAGACAGTGAAGATAAAGAAGCAACTATGTTCCATGTTCAATGGGCCATGCAAGTCTGATGAAAGTAAGATTGTTCTGTCGTTCTGTGCAGGATATTTCATGAACGTTGCAAAGCTTGTCGAGGGATCCTCGTATGTCTCTATATTCAACGATACACAGTTCTTTGTCCATAACACAAGCTGCATGTCGAGAAAACGTGCAAAGTACATTTTATACCACAGCCTATGCAGGACAGGGAGAGAGTTTGTAAGATGCTGTGTGGAGGTGACTCTGGAAGATCTGCTCAAGGGGGCTAACCACATGTTCAGCAAGGTTGAGAAGGATTTGGATAGATGCTGATTTATTTGGTGCCATACTAGATTAGAAGAATCTGTTGAAAATCAGAAACAATAGAATTACGGCCAACTGGTATGTCCTTCCTCTAAGCTGCTTCAAGGTCCTTGCCTCTGAGTTACTCTTGAGATATTCCACCTCAGTCCTCAGCTTCTGAACGTGGTCTGGGTCGGATGTGATTATTAGATAATTTGTTTCGTCATCTCTTTCTACGCTTCTCCTGTTGAAGTTTGATGAGCCTATGATGGTTGCAGCTGTTCTGCCCTTGAATCCCCAGAAGCCTAGAAATTAACAATTCCACTTACCTTTCAGATGGAATGAATGGCCGTCCCTCTTCAGCTCGTGAATGGAAAGGCTTGAAATTGATCTGAGAGTTCTGTAGAAGCTATATGAATAAGCTGGGCCTATGAATCGCTCCAAGGGTCCAAACGAGTCGAAGGTGTTCTTATCTGGGCATGAAGCATAGAGAGACACCTTCTTTCCTTGGAGCATTTTGAAATAGCGAGCCGGAAAGTTCAGATATCCTGTGGAAATGTGTATCTCGTCGAAGTCTTCCAGAAACGACTGGACTATGGCAGGCTCCTCTTTCTCTTTAAACATACCTACATACACTGGAAGGCCCTGGCATATAGTTTTTCCAGCCTCCAAAGGGGGCCTTATTCCAAAGACTCTAGATCTGATCATATCCGCCAGCTCCCTACTGTCAATCTCGAGATATCTTAAAATTAAAATGCTTCACTTACCTATCTACTCTGTTTGTCATGTACGATGCATCCATGTTTGCACCAGATAATATGGTTAGGCCATCGAAAACCAAGGCCTTAGTATGGAAGGTTCTGAGAAGTTCATTTAGTCTCCTTGGAAGCAGGAAAGACGTAGAGAGATCTACAAGATGAAAAAATGAGCCAAGACCCCTTCTTTTTATAGACTCCAGACTTTCGAAGACTGTCCCTCTGTTTTTATCGATGAAGATGATTGTCATGAGATTCTTCCTCTTTCTTTCTTCGAGAATGTCGATGATGTCCTCCATTTCTCCGTTCTTTCCAAAGAATAGGGATGCTATACATACTGATGTCGAGTTCTGCATAAGAAACTTAATTCTTTGGTAGAACTCCCCACTGTCTTTCAATATTCGGAATCCAGAGACATGCACAGAATCCAGTACATCGAACTTTTCTTCGGAGATATCCATTTTGGCATTCCTTGGTCGGTTGTTAAAAAGATCTGGAAAAGGAGCTCAAAAGGAGTCTAGGGCTTATGAACAGTCTGGAGCTCCCATAGGCCGAGGGGAGTCGAGTCCTATTAGAGCCTCGCAAAAATAATGTAAGGAGTAGTCCAGGAGTTGGTTTTGGACATTGATTCTTGAAATCTTTTTGGAATACCCATAGAATCGGAGGTTTATGAGAGATTTAGAAGCGTCCAAGAACTACAAAGTAGAAAACAAAACGGCAGAGGATGAAGAAGAGTATGAGAAAGTGAAAAACAGAACAAAGGATAATAAACCAGAGGAAAAGAAAAGAGACATCAATAACGATATTCTTGGAGCATTGATATATAGAAAGATCTTAAAGGACTATGGAATAAAGAAAAAGCCCAAAACAGAGAAGACAAAAGATACAAGTGGAGGCACAAAGGGAGTCCTTTATCTTATAATAATTATCCTTGTGTTTGCATATGTAATATACAGAATAATTGTCTCAGAAGGAGGAGGGAGCATTGGAAAGACGTCTAAGGAGAAGGATGAGAAGATGGAAGATCAAGACAAGCCTTCGTTCCGTGATGGATCAACATTTGAGAATGTTCCTTATTTTGGGAAGGAGGATTTGATGATACAAGTGATTTCACAAGTGACAAAGATTGTTAGCCTTCTAAGGACTGTTCCCGAGAAGGAACTCCACAAGACCATAGAAACAACACAAAGAAACTTCCTTTTTCATGGGCCTCCTGGAACAGGAAAGACCCTTTTCATGAAGAAGTTAATATATCTTGTTGATCTAAATATCAAGTTCTTAAAGATGAGAAGCGAGATAGGGGAAGAGGAGTTTGACCGAATGGATCACAATGAGAAGCTGGTAAGGGCAAGGCAAATGGAATCGCTCACCAGAATAACATTTGTGACACCATCTTCGCTGAACAACAAATATGTTGGAGAAACAGAAAAGAACATCCGTGCGTTGTTCCAGAGTGCAAATGATGGGAACTACTGGGCGAGCTTTGTGTTTATCGACGAAGTGGATGTGTTCTTTTCTAAGAGATCGGATAGATCACAGGATTACACGTTAAAGGCACAAACCGAGTTTTTGAACACGATTGGGGGAGCATGCGATAAGGTGAACAGCAATGTGTTTCTCTTTGGAGCCACCAATCTATACGACTCACTTGACGATGCTTTCAAGCGTCGATTTTCGGGAGTTTACGAGTTCCAGCTTCCAAACGACGAAGAAAGATTGGAGATTCTTGAGGAGTATCTTGGAGATTGTAAGAAGGAAATAACAAACAGATTCAACGATTTGATTAGAATGACGAATGGAATGGCACAGTCTAGGATTGTGGATGTTTTGAAGAAGATATCGTTTGCAAATGATGGAAATGTTGATAGAATTAGTTGGAATGACCTAGTAAGGGCTTTAGAGGATGGAGACCCGAAGAAGAAAGGAACAGATGGAAGCGATGTTAGTGTGGCGAAATCCTTGAAGAAGTTCTATTTCCTAGAGCCAAAGCCCAAGAGAAGGGATGCGGAAATACTAATTACCAAAGAATAAAGAGACTAGTAAAAATTTTAAATGTTTATGTTTCTGTGCAACCTGTCTACATGTAGTAGTGGGGTCTTGAGATGCTTATTCCCACCTCCTCAAGGGCCTTTTCAAGATCTATGAGTTGGAATGTGGGTTTCTTCTCTTTTGCAAACCTCTTATCCTTCTGTGCAGCCTTCTGGTTTATTCTGTGATACTGAAAGGAAGAGATGGCGATGTCGGTGACAAACTTGTGGGCCAGTAGGGAAACAAGCTTTTTCATACTCTGGTCTGAGGTAACCATTCCGGCCTTTTCCATAAAGTAGTCGATCACTGATTCGGGAAGCAGGGGGGTATAGTTGTCTAGATTCTGCTTGAGCTCATTGAACTCTTCCTCCTTCATGGGGCTGCTTCAGTGGGTGTTTTTACAATCCTTTCATGATGGAATGATGGGGCCAAGGAGTCAATGGCAAGCGCATAAAGTGGAGAGAAAAAATTTGCCCATGAGCGAGGAGTACCAATATCAGGACGCAGAGTATCATTCCGAGAGCATCTCTATATCAGAACTGAAGAACGGGGGGATATTAGCTGTGGACATAGCAAAGCTGATAGAAGCAGGGTTTACAACAGTCGAGTCGCTGGCATTTGCTCCGAAGAGACAGCTTCTTTCGATAAAGGGATTTTCGGATGTTAAGGTGGATAAGCTAATCAAGGAGGCTGCAAAACTGGTTCCAATGGGGTTTACAACGGCATCGGCATATCACCAGAGAAGGTCCGAGCTTGTTTACCTCACCACAGGATCCTCGGAGGTCGACAAGTTACTGAATGGTGGATTTGAGTCTGGGAGCATAACAGAGATCTTTGGGGAGTTTCGGACAGGAAAGACGCAGCTCTGCCATACTGTTGCTGTCACATGCCAGCTTCCTCCAGAACAGGGAGGCGGAGGGGGAAAGGCTATGTACATAGACACCGAGGGAACATTCCGATCGGAGAGGCTCATTCCAATAGCAGAGAGATTTGGATTAGATCCAGATGAGGTCATGGACAACATATCATATGCAAGAGCATATAATTCCGACCATCAATCTCAACTTCTAATCAAAGCATCGGCAATGATGTCGGAGTCAAAGTATTCGGTTCTTATAATTGATTCTGCAACTGCTCTATACAGAACAGACTTCAGTGGGAGAGGGGAGCTTGGGGCTAGGCAGCTGCACTTGGCAAAGTATCTCCGAAGTCTTGTTAATCTTGCAGAGACATTCCGGGTTGCTGTCATAATCACCAATCAGGTAGTGTCCAATGTGGATGGAGCTGTAGGGATGTTTGCTGGAGACATCAAGAAGCCTATAGGGGGGAACATTATGGCACATGCAAGCACAACAAGATTGTATCTGCGTAAGGGGAGAGGAGAAACAAGGATATGCAAGATATATGATTCGCCCTGTCTCCCCGAGTCCGAGGCAGTCTTTGCCATCACCGAGCAGGGTATCAACGACCCTGATGAGTAAAAAATCCAAATAATTCCAAAAACTAAATATGTTTAGTCAAGTCGATAACACTCCACTTCTCTCTCTTTAGCTGTTGAAGGAAGCCTGTAAACATAATCTATTTAGGCAAATCTACTTTTCTATACCAGAAGAACAGCATTCACACATCCGTCATTCTCGGGGTTGTTGGTTATCTGAGCATACTTACCCCATATGATTTTCCCTGCTCCATTGACAAGCCCAAGGGGACTGACATCCACCTCTATAATGGTCCCCTTGCTCAATATTCCAAGCCCTGTATAAACCTCGGAATGGGGATTTTTCTTTAGCCCTATTATCTTGAGATTGAATGTAGAGCTCAGTTCAGGATGGCTTACATGTGCAGTTCTAAATCTCATTGCCATCGGCCTTATGAATCTCTCATACTTCGGAGGTTTTCTTGTGAAGTCACTTCCCACAAAGCAAGGCTTAGTAACCATTCTCTTCCAGTGCTTTGATCGTCGCTTTCCGCTTGAAACTACCCCAAATACTTCCTTTTCTGGGAGAGGATGAATCTTAGGTAATGGAACAGAATACTTCGATCCCTTTTCCTGCCTCTGCTGCTTGATCTTGTTGTTGATGTCCCTGGCCCTTTCTTCCATTTCCCTGTCAAGGAGGAAGTGAGGAAGTGGATTGCTCTCAATACTAACCTCCATCTTTTTCTCCTTGAATTCCTTCATCTTCTGATCCTTCTTTAGCTGGATCTTTGAAGCACGCTGCTTCTTGGCAAACAGCTTAGCCTTCAGCCCAAACAGCTTCTCGGCCTTTCTTGAAACCATTTTCTCTTCTCTTCTGTCCTTCTTATACTGCCTTAGCTCGTGGTCCAGACGCCTTCCATACTTTTTTATATGTCTTTCCACAAAGTCGTTTTGAGGCATTTTCCAGGGGAAAAAAAATAGATGGTTTTGTTCTTGGTAAAAAGGCTGGTGTTTTCCATTCAAAGATTCTGTTTCCATCCAAGCCGGTTACATCATGGTTTCCTGAAGCCTCGGAAATATTTAAATGAGTACTAGATCCAAGGGGATGCACATAGAAACATGGAACATGTATTTCCCCGAGGAAGAGTTCACTGCTTTCAACGAGCTTGTCCAGATAATACTTGCAGTAAAGAAGAAATTGAAAGACGTTTTATCAGAGGATAAACTGGAGAGGATTCTAGAAGCAAGAGTCTACTATATATCGGAGCAGTATCTCGAGAGTCTTGTTGAAAAGAATCTTCTTGATACAAACGCAGGAAACTTACTTCTGTGTGTTTCCTGTGCTGTTTCCGAGCTACTCTATGACAAAGGGTATTTGTCGGTAAAGATCTGTACTAGGGTCGAGACAGTGAACAAGGAAGGAAATTTTGGAGATGTTGACAGAGCCAATCTTGGGAAGCTGGTCTTTATGGCAGGAACAGTATGCCGAGTGGGGTTCAGAAGAGTAATTATCAGTAAGATGTTTTTTGAGTGTTCCAAGTGTGGAGACGTAATATACGTGAATGTAAAGAACAACGTTTACAGACCTCCGGCAGGATGCAAAGGTTCGTGTAACTCAAGGAGTTTTGTTCTTATGCGAAATCATCCAGAGATGGAATGCAGAGACATGCAGGAAATCAAAATACAGGAGCTCTATGGGGGAATAGGAGAAGATGGAAAGGGAATCCCAAAGGCTGTGGACTGCATTCTTTACGATGAATTTGTGGGGATTCTAGTGCCAGGAGACATTGTGCAGATTGTAGGAGTGCTTGGAGTTGAATTAGAAAACGACGGCCTCTACAGATTGATGGTCCATATAAACAATCTTCAAATTGTCAAGAACAAGAATTTTTTTATAGAGAGCCTGGAATATCAAAGTAGAGACTTTGCGGAATTTAGAAGAATAGCAAAGGGAAAAAACACGCTGGCCTCTCTTGTGCGCTCGCTTTATTCGTCCGTGTATGGAAATGAACTGATAAAGATCGGACTAGTGCTTTCTTTATTTGGGGGAACCAGGAAGATGGCAGGACAGCATCTGATTAGGTCTGAAACACATGTCCTTATAATCGGAGATCCCGGGCTTGGAAAAAGCAGGCTGCTGTTGGGGACATGTAGTATTCTTCCGAAGAGCAGTTACGTGAGTGGGAGCTTCACCACAACAGCTGGATTAACGGTTTCCTTGACACACGATCCTGTTTCTGGGGAATATATGGCGGATGCAGGAGCACTGGTGGTGGCCGACAATGGAATATGCTGTTTGGATGAGTTTGACAAGATAGACGACCATGCAGCTTTATTTGAAGCCATGGAAGATCAGAAAGTAAGCATAGCAAAGGGAGGAGTGATCTGTAGTGTTCCAACAAGGTCTACTGTGATAGCAGCAACTAATCCAAGGCATGGACACTTCGATAGAACCAAATCAATGATGGAAAACATAAGATTTGACCCAGGCCTTTTGTCAAGGTTTGATCTTGTCTTTCTCCTTCTAGACGACCTGTCTGAAAAGGAGAGCTACATGATATCTGGGCAAATTCTGAAGAAAAGGCAGACATTGTCTCCAGGAATAGGAAGTGAATTTGACGATATTATGGAGACGATTAGAAGAGATGACTTTATTGAGGAAGTCCGAAGTAGAGGAGATGTTTATCCAATGGAGATAATGAGGAAGTATATTTCCTATGCACGTGCAAATGTGTTTCCTGTTCTGAGCAAATCGGCAAAAGAAGCCATAAGAGAATATTATGTTGAGATCCGGAAGCAGGGAGGGGTTTCTGCAAGGGATCTGGAGTCGTTGATTAGACTAACAGAAGCTCGAGCGAAAGCAGAATTGAGGAGTATAGCTACAAGAGCAGATGCAGTTTTTTGTATCGAACTACATAGGAGGACGTTTGTTCCTAGAGAAAAGATGTCTAATAGTAGAAGAAATGGGGATTTTTCTCAGGTGCTTAAGGAATATGGAAGGAAGAAGGGAGAATGGGTAGTTAGTGTTGAGGAGCTACGTAGACTAATAATATCTTTTGATTCCGGAAAGCCTGCCAATGATTTTATAGAAGCACTCAACCACAACGGGCTTATCATAAAGAAAGGTGCAGGAATGTACAAGATAACTCGATGATGCTGGATAGAATTTGAATGGAGAACATGTTTCTTGAAAAGCACTGGGATGTCTTGGACCAGAAGGAATTAAGGGCGATCTTATGGAAGTCCTTGGCTTAAGATGTTTACAGAAATTTTTGTTAACCCTTATGGAGGAGGAGATTAGAAACATAGAGGAAAATGATGGAATAAGGCTTACCTGGAATGTATGGCCTTCCAAGGGAGATGCTACAACAAAGGTTCCATTAGCATGTTTGTACAACATTCATCAGGAGACGGGGGTTCTTGAATGTGAGCCCATATACTGCATGAGTTGTAAAAGTGTCCTAAATCCTCATTGTAACATCGACTTTGGGAGACAAACCTGGAACTGTATAATATGCAACAACAATACAGCGCTACCAAGCCATGCACGAGGAATAACACCAGACAATCTTCTGCCTGAGCTATTACCACAGAATTCGACAATTGAATATGTTTTGAATAGGGAAAGCGTGTTTCCTACGGTATTCTTTCTTATTGTTGACATATGCACGTTTGATGAGCAGAGACACATACTTCTTAAGGATGCACTTAAGACGGTGGTGGAGGGGATTCCCGAAGATGCTCTAATTGGGCTTATCAAGTATGGAACAAACATCGAACTTCTGGAGCTAAGTACGGCATCGCCACGGAAAACACATCTGTTTTCTGGCAAGAAGGAATATACAGCAGAAGTCCTCAAGTCCTTGAATGCAGCCTCGAAGTCTGAATCGCAAGTTGTGGGAAGGTTTCTGAGGAGAAAAGAGGAATGCCGTGACTTTCTACAGAACATAGTGGAAGGTCTTGAGAAGGATCCATTTCCTGTTCTTCCTGCATACAAGCCTGTAAGATGTACGGGCTCTGCCGTGTCGTTGGCTCTTTCGCTGTTAGAAACAAGCTTTCCTGATACGGCTGTAAAGTACCTTCTGTTTACACAAGGACCCTGCACATTCGGGCCTGGGACGACAACACCTATAAAATTTAAGGAGAAGGGAAGAAACGAACATCTTGAGGAAAATGATCCGATGTATGCAGGGCCTGCAAGAAAGTTCTATACAGGGCTTGCGGAAAGGATGAATAGTGTAGGGCACAGTCTTGACATTCTTGCAGCCACAATTGTTGATGTTGGAATATGCCACATGGAGCGGTTGACCACAATGACTGGAGGGATGCTTATAATGGCACAGGACTTTGACAGAGATATTTATATCTCATCATGTAATAAAGTACTGAATAGAAGCAAGGAAGGATACCTGGCACAAGGATTTAATGCAAAGATACAAGTTAAGACAAGTAAGAATCTCGAATACAAGGGGATTATTGGGCAGGGAAGATCCTTAGGAGGATGCTGGAGAATAGGATCTATATTTCCATGCACAAACATTTCGATTCTTCTTGATAAAAAGCCAGATGCAAAGCATGGGGAGTTTGGATATGTACAGCTGGTTACGCAATATCAAAGAAGTGATAAGAAACTTCTGGTGAGGGTAACAACTTTTGCTCGACTATTTACAGATTCAAGGGAGGATGTAGTATGTGGATTCGACCAGGAAGCAGTTGCAGTCTTTCAAGCTAGATTCCTCCTTCTAAAGAAATATGAGGAGATAAAGGACTGTGAAAGAATGATCGATAAGAACCTTATCAGATTCACTAAGACGTTTGCCAGATACGATAAGGGGGAGCCTTCTTCGTTGTCTCTTCCCGATTCCATGGCATACTATCCAAACTATATGTTCTTTTTCCGAAGGAGTCTCCTGGTCCAAACAGGAAACAACTCTCCTGATGAAACAGCATACTACTCATCACTTCTGTACAACCAAAAAGTGTCGGATGCACTGAAGCTCATCAAGCCTACGCTTGTTTCATACCACTATCAAGGCGGGGTTGAAGCGGTGGAAGTAGACAGTAAGTCTTTGATGCCAGATGTGGTTCTTGTCCTGGATACATTCCACAACGTAGTTGTATGGAGAGGAGAGTATGTTGCACAGTGGGTCAAAGAAGGATACCATGAACAGGCGGAATACGAGTTCCTCAAGAATATATTGAAGAGCAGCGAGGAAAGAGCCCGAACCTTATGCAACGAAAGACTGCCAACACCCCAGTTCTGCATTACCGAGCAGAACAAGTCGCAGCAAAGGATTCTCCACCACTATGTTAATCCCAGCGGAGGAGGCTCTATAATTACAGAGAACATCAACTATGAGAAGTTTGAGGAGGCGTTGCGTAGGGTTGTTGTTTTCAATAGCGAATAAAGGAGACTGTTTTGTTCATAGGTTTTGATTTCCGATCAGGACGGCCGTTAAGCTCTCCTCAAAAAGATGAAAAATTTTCACCCTTTGTCTATGAGCACACAAACCGAGGCTGAAGCGAATATTTCCGAGATCATCAAGAAGTATACAAAGGATATTTCTGTTCGACCCGAGCTTTTTGGGAAGATAGCCATCCAGATAATAATATGCGACGGAGGAGAGAAGGTTATGGTTGTTAAGGTTCCAAAGAGTATTCTTCATGGGGTGCAGATGAACTACAGCAATATCATCAAGGCAGCCAAGCAGCAGTTCCACGATTACTATATAATTTTCATTAGAAACTTCGAGATTGAGAGCGATGTCCCGGAAGGAGCCCATTGTAAGCCAAAGGAGATTGAGAAGGAATGGCTGGCCAATGCCTGTTTCCCGTTTCTACTCACAGGAACAAGGACAGATGTCCGGGGAGTTGATGATATGGTTGTAAATGTTCTTCTGGAGAGAAGGACATCCTTCAGTAGAGCCGAGATGGATACCATAGGGGCTGGCCTCAACAAGCTACTCGGAAAGAATTATATTGTTGATGTTAACCATCACACCAAGAATTAAAGACGCTTAGGAATCTTAGACTTGCCGACGATTTCGAGAATGGCCTTGAGATTACAAATTTTTGTACCGATTGTGAAAGTTTTTCCCGGGAATGCCCTTGGGCATGGCAGAGGAATGCTTAGCATTAAGAAGAAAGTTTTTTGAAAAAACTACAGAGGCCCAAGAGGATCCTTGGACTGCCTTGGACCTCTGCTCCCAAGGAATAAGAAATATATCCAGGTCTCTATTTGACATGAGGTTCATCAGAGTCCTGAACTTTACAAATAACGAGATAGAGGTGATTCCAAAGGAGATATGCAAGCTGAGACATCTTGAAGTCTTGAATCTTAGTAAAAATAAGATTAGAAGCATTCCACCAGATATCGGGAAAATTGTTAGCTTGAAGGAGCTTAACCTAAATGATAACTTGATTTCAAATATTCCCATGGAAATAGGGACCTTGTATAACCTGGAAGTCCTTGAAATATCCAACAACCCGTTGATAGTGCCATTCAACACTCTTCTGAGAGAAAAGAAGCTTCTTCAGTTCTGCAGAGAGCACAACACAGGATATCCTCCACCAAACGATAGGCCATGGATCGAGTGTTTAAATAAGGACGTTTTGTATGGCGACACAATAAGCGTCGGAACCTTCAATATTCTGTCGAATGTCTGGGCTGCAAGGTCGACCTATGCGCCATCGTGGGTGATCAATCCAGAGTTCCGAAGAGAAGGGATTCTCCAGGAAATAGTTCTGTACAACGTGGACATATTGTGTCTCCAAGAGATAGAACTGTATAGTTTCTTCGACTTCTACAAGGAGCAACTTGAGATGAGATGCAACTACGACTCAATCATCTATCCTCGAGGAAGGATTAAAAACGTTGCAGACAAGAAGAATGTGGATGGATGTGCAATCTTTTGGAGGAGGAGCAAGTTCAGATTGATTGCGCAATTTCCAATTGATTTCTGCCAGAAGATAACTCAGGACACAAGGTTCAACATCAATCAGGAGCTCCTCGATAGGTATGGAAAGAAAGACAATATAGCCATTGGAGCTCTTCTTGAGAGACCCAATGGACAGCAGGTTCTGGTGGTGAACACTCATATATTTTGGGATCCCGATTATTCCGATGTAAAGCTGCTTCAAGTGATCCTCCTGATTGAAGAAGTAAGAAAGATCAGTTCTCGGCATCCAAATGCATGTCTGCTACTGCAGGGAGACTTCAACTCCCTCAAATCCTCATCTGTCTACAAGTCAATAACAACCCAAACAATAGATTTAGCAGACTTTCGAGGAACTATGCACCATCTTTCCAGCCAGGAGTTTGGCGAGGGTCTAAAGCTCAACGACTCGTATCGGAACCAAGACCTTGGATTCACAAACTTTACACCTCTCTTCAAGGATGTTATTGACTACATATTTTATGACAGTAAAGTAACGTTAACGTCTGTACTGGCTCCGGTCGAGGATGAATATGCAGAAAACATAGCAGGCCTTCCCAACATGCATTTTCCTTCGGACCACATCTTCTTGGGCGCGAAGTTCACCCTTCCTTACAGAAGTCCAAACCAAAATTCGTTTGGCAGAAACACAAGGTAATAAAGCAGTCTTTTGTATCATAACAACATTTCCCGGCTTGTAAGAACAATAAGAAACGTGAAAAGAATCACCCCAAGAAAGTGATGAAGTCAAAGTTATCCCTGGCTGAATAGTGATGAAGACTTTCTTCTGATTCTTCAATTTTATTACTTAAAATATGGAGAGTGTATGTGGGCATCTACCTTGATGAACTCCTCTCTTCTTTTTATTTTCATCACCTCGGGTATCACCTTCTTTGGAGAAGGGACAAAATGCCTCTTGACTGTTTTTGTCTGCATGCAAGACTTGAAAAACAATCCCAGAGGTCCTTCCTCAACCTTATACTCCTCCTCCTTCAAGGAGCCCAAAAATTCCATTTCCTCCGTTACGTCCTGGAGATACCTTCTCTTTCGTTCTATGGGATCATATACAATCTGGTACAGAAATGTCTTTCTTGCTTTGAAAAAGTCATCTAAATAGTTCTTTGGGACAGGCTTTCGGTGTTTCAGATATTCAACCACCCTTTCAATTGTTCTTTCCCTGGAGAGAAGCTTGTGGGCAGTTACAATGCCAACACCTTGTATGGAAGACAGGTAGTCGCATCCACTCAGTATGGAGATGTCGAGAATATTCTCTTCAAAATCTTTACCTCTTACCTCGGCAAGGCAGCTCCTACTAAATTCCCGTACAAAGGTGTTGTCAAACTTATAAAGTATCCTATTCGACCCATAAGGAATTAAATCGCTATCCTCTGTGAGAATGTAGTCTATGTACCCTATTCTCTCCAAATAGCAGAGTTGGGCATCGGACTCGTAGGGCGAAATAATATACTCAACATCTATTCTTTCCAACATCTTCGTAATGTCAGACACCACTCCTCTTGTGACACTTATGCACTGCCGCATAAATGCTTTGGCCTTTTCAGGATCATTCTTCATTAGCCAATACTCAGCCTCTTTTCTACTCTTTTCTTTTCTGATCTGTCTTTTTCTGTTTGTCTCTTCCTTACTGGACAGCAAATCCCCATCCAAAACAATAATTGGTGTGATTCCATAGTTTTCTAGTAGCTTCACCTTCTCCTCAAACATGCTTACATATCTTTTGGTAGGAATCCTGAAAAACATCTCTTCTGCCACGCAAGAGAGAATTTGATATAGCCATGCATGGCCGTCTATTCCTAACCTCTTGTGGCGATAGCTTGATATATGCATCTTCACCAGCTTGGAAGCCACAATAGGTAAAAGCCCTGAAATCCCCATCTAGGGTTTAATCTCCTGCAAAAATAATAAAAGTGTCCAAACGTTTATTTTCGTATATCGCCCTATCTCTTCTCAAACTCACTATATACCGTCTGGATCCCTCCATACTTCTCCTTAAGTCTCGAGTTAATAATCCGGAGTCTGTTGAAGATACTTCCCGGTTGAGACCCCATTATTAGCCTGCACACTGCATCCTTTGCTATTCTTATGTTTTCGATCGTCCCAAGAAAATGTATTGTTTGGTCTTGGACAATAATTTTCGATCTACTGAACTCTTCTATGGCGCTTTTTGTCTTCCCTTCTCTTCCTATGATTCTTCCAATGGCTCTTTCAATATGTAGCCCCCTCAGCGTCTTTACCTCTGAGATCTCAAAATGATCTAGAAACACGTCGGCAAACTTCAATATTGCAATTGCATCTTCAATAGGAAATCCGATGTTCACCGCATTAATGTATTGCGCAGACCTCTCTAAGTAGGAGGAATCCTCGGTATGATCGCAAGTTCTCATTTCCACACATCTTCCTTTGATGTTCATGCGGATTTGGATCTTGCATATTTCGACTATTGGTGTATAGATTTTCATCCATTCTTCCTTCATCCCTCTCATCTTCTTGGGATGGATAGGAACCGATCTGGTTTGGATCTCGGTCATGGGGCAAGATAATACAAGGAATTTAGAATGATATAATCACTTTTGAGCCAAACTTCCGGTTCAACAAGATGAATCCCCTTCTTTCTGTGGGCTGCATACCTCACCTCCAACCTCCTCAAAGAAACTAGGATGGCTGTCTGTTATTAATGAACTATTCTTACCTGTCCCTTTGCGACGACTGGGTTCTTTCTTCCCTGTTAGAGGCTTCTTGGGGCTCTTAAGTGTTCTTTTGTAGGATCCTAAGCCTATTTTCTCTCCAGCTTCTGCTAGGCTGTGTGAACATCTACAACCGGAAGATCTGCAAGATGCTTCTGTGGAATGGCATGCGCTTATAAGTGATAAAACAGCCTGGGCAGTTCCCAAAACCTCTTTGATTTCCTTCTTCATATTGCTTATCTCTCTTAGAAGCTTGGTGTAGGAGACAACAACTCCGCTTATGAATTCGGTGTCCATATTATGCATAAACAGATTGGAAATATTCAAAAGCATTCCTCTTTCCAGAACCGCATTTATTTCCTACAAAACAAACTTATTCCAAAACCATAAATATCATCCTAAGCAAGGGAATCGAGGTATAAATATGGAAAGGAACGATGATGAAAACACACTACCAAAAGCTACAGTGGACAAGATGGTGTCATCTATGCTTCCCAAGAACTCCATTGTCCCAAAGGAATCCAAGGAGATTTTCCAGAATGCGTGCATCTATTTCTTGAATATGTTAACACTGGAAGCAAACAAAGCTTGTGAGGAAGAAAAGAAGAAGACAATCAGTTATGAACATATCTACAAGGCTCTGAAAAACCTTGGGTTTGAAGACTACGTCGATAGCTGCATGAAGGAGCATGGGAACTATGAGAATTATATCAAGCAGAAACCGTCGAAAATCGATAAATTCAAGGACTCTGGGCTGTCCATGGAAGAGCTCCACAACCAGCAAATCAAGCTCTTTCAAAATGCAAAGCTCCAGTTTGAGAAATCCTTTGAAGATGACCATTATGATGGGAATGAGGAATGAAGATGATCTGGAAGGGGGGCCTTTAGATACATGGCCTTGCGACCAATAAAATCTTAATAGCGTAACTCAACGAACTTTAATTCTGAATGCTTAGGTTAATTTCAACATGCGGAAAGTTCCTGAGGAACTGGACCACCTTTTCCAGCTGCTGATGTGTGGCCTCGAGATAGAAGTTCCTAAGGTGGACAATCATTTTATATCGGCTCCATTTCTTTGTACCTTGTCCGGACGGGTTTCTTAAGGTCGTGATGCTTTCAATCTTTTTAGGCAAAACTGTCTCGCGCTCCAGATTGTCAATGAATGTCTTCCCATACTCGTAGAACTCTCTGCACACCTTGTTGATTCTCTTTTCCTCGAGGCTTGCCATATCTATGCAGACCTTCATAGTCTCCATGGAGACTGTTACATCTATGTCTTGTTTTTTCATCTCAACATCCATTTCAAGGGGACCCTTCCCTGAAAATTTTTTCTGCAGACTCTCCACGGGGCAAGACACATCAAGATGTCTTAGGGAAGCCCTACTAATTCAGCCCTGGGAAAGCCCTTAACAATAGTTATACTTCTATGGACCACTGGGCGAGGAACTTCCTTGAAATTAAGGAGGATCATACTGATCCGTCAGACTATGAGAAGTTCTTTACTTGCTTTAGAAACTACTTGAAGAATGAGCCCTCCAGTCATTGCGAAGTGTCTAAGGTGCTTGTAAAAGCTCTGGCCATGTTCAAAAACACCCAGCTTCTTTCCATAACTTATCGTCTCCTTTACTGTCTTGACATACCACCAAAGATACCTGAATCATTGCTTAGAAGACACTTTAAAAGTTTATATCTGCGGGAGTACATGTTCCCACTGATCTCCAAGTTGGATTTACATTTATTTGATTTGGCCTTGCAGAAGTTGCTGTACAAGCCTCATTACGAATGCAAGAGCTTTTTTGATTTGATGAAATCCAGAAGAAACTGGGTTGTGGAGTTCCTTGGGCTAAAAAAAAGAAGCCTTGCTAGAAAGCAGATGGTTCTTATGGTCCGTACAGCAATGTTTCATAATCTAGAGTACTTCATAACCTTCTTTGGAAGCAGGGACAGAAGCTTGTCGTTTCTTGCTTTTGAGGTGTTTAAATTATTCATAGAAGAGCTTATCCGTAAAAAGGAAAACAAATCCTTTGATGTGAAAGGCCAGCCAGTCCTTCTACATAAAGAGGCCACATTTAGCATATGGATAAGGGATGAAGATGCTTGGATTGCTCTAAATCCACGTTTAAAGGTTGAAAGTTCTTTCAACTTCCTAATTCATTTCATAGACTTCATGTCTGAAAAGAAGAAGCTTCAGCAACTCATTGCCACCAACAATAGAAATGGAATGGAAGCCATAGTTGGAAAATACATAAACTTAGAGGAATCCTTAGCAATTCCTGGGCATAGATGGATTTCCAAAGAACCCCGGTGCCAGGAAATTCCTAAAGAGGAGGAAACAGAGAATATCTGCTTTGAGTATCTCTTCAGCGGAGTAACATATAAGGAGATGGCAGACTGCATTGAAATATAAGGAAAGGTACAGAGGAAACACCCCTATGAAGGCAGGAAAGGCTTTGGTGGTTCTTTTTGAGGAGGGTAGTAAGGTGCTCTTCAAGGCCATCACAAATACAATTTCAGATATTATGCTTCGAGATCGGATGTCTAAGACGGAAGCAGAGATGATTCTGGATGTCACGGCATGTGCAAACAAGAACAAAATGAAGGATTCATTTCTAAGGATGCATGAGGCCAACTCTAAGGAAAGAGGTGGTTCTCCATATATACAATCGAAGATACTCGCTGCTTACACCGTTCTGTCGGGTACAAGCCCAAGTTTCTTGGAGGAGTTCCAATCTAGAGAGAAGAATCCATCTGGAAAGGAGCAAAAAGTTCTTTCTACAAAGAATAAAAGAATCCAATTTTGATTTATTCACACATCTGGCCTAAAAACAATTCTAGATATCCTCGAGTAACTTGAATGGAGATTCATTTGGAAATGTCTTAACAGAACTTAAGATGGCAAACCTTTCAACAGTCGTTGCATATCCCAAAACACAGCATGTGTTTACAGTTGCATTATCTTCTATCTTTGTATTCCATCCCACAATACTATCTCTTATTGTCACATTGTCTCCTATTTCCACATTGTCGAAGATTGCACTGTTTGAGATGGTGACATTCTTTCCTATCTTCACATTCCTCCCTATAACAACATTGTTCTCGACACAGAACGTTCTTCCGTCTTCAGAATGCTCATCTACATTTGCTTCCCTATAATGTTTCAAGTACATTCCTTGTCCTCTAATATAATCTGCAGGCTGGCCTATGTCCATCCAGAATCCCTCAAGATCAAATACTTGAAGTTGCCGTTCCTTGGCCATTTCTGGAAAGATCTCCCTTTCGATAGAACATTCCCTCAGCTCCACTCTATCTAGTACAGAGGAGTTTAGTATGTATATTCCTGCATTGATCCTGTTTGAAACGGCATCCTTGGGCTTTTCAAGAAAGGTCTCCACAACGCTTGTACCCTCCTCGGTGATGACGAGTCCATATCTACTCGGATCGTCCACTCTTGTCGAGAGAATAGTTCCTTCTTTTCCATGAGAGCGATGAAATGAAAGCATCTCTGATAGAGGAAACTTGCATGTTATATCTGAGTTGAGAACGAAAAAGGTATGGCCTTCAAGATACTTCCTTGCAAGGGCCAAGGGACCAGCTGTTCCAAGAGGTTCCTGTTCTTTGGAATAGATAATGTTGATACCAAATTCGTTTGAATAGTCCCGGACTTCCCTTATTATAACTTCGGAGTAATAATTGAGAGCCAAGATTATCTCCTTGATGCCTGCTTTGACTAAAGCTTCCACCTGATGCCTTAGAATCGGCTTGTTGGCAAAGGGTACAAGGGGTTTTGGAAGTGTGTACGTCAGAGGTCTCAATCTGGTTCCATATCCACCCACAAGAATCACAGCTTTAATCTGTTCCTTGGCATGAACCATCTCCCTTGTTTTGTAAACAATCGATAAAGAAGATTAAATAAATTGTCCTTGGCATCTGAGACTATAAAATACCGTTTGCCAAGATATGAAGAATAATGCCCTGTGTCTCAACAAGCCGAGAAACCCCCTTGAAAGGTAAAATTCCATGGGCGAGCCACCCTAATGAATTTGTACGACCTGGTGAGAAGTAACTCGCATGAAGAGATATCTCGTTTGGATCACCCGGAGTTCAACCGATTCAGGGCAGTTGCATACATAAACATGGGGAAGTTTGGAGAGGCTTTGAAGTATGCGGAGAAGAGATCTTTTGAGAGAGCTTATGCATTGTACAAGTTGAAGAAATACAAAAAAGCATTGAGGATTTTGAGGTACTTGGATACCGAAGGGAGCAAGGTTCTTGCTTCTCAATGTCTATACTATCTGGGATATTACAACACGGCTTACAAAGTGCTTTCTGAAATTAAGAAGGATGATGAGATTGTGATCAACCTTCAAGCTATGAAAAGCTTGGCAATATTGGCCGACAAGAACCAATATACGTTTGGAAACAAATTCCAGCTCAGAAAAAAGGACGACCTTGTGGAGTTTGAGGACTTAACAAGATATCACTTTAGTCAGAATGAAAGCCGGGTAGACTTCATATTTAACCTGTCCTTTGAAAACCTTTCGAAGGAAGAGACATTTGTAAACTTTCTTTCAAATCAATTGGAAAGGCGAGAGATGGTGGGAACAATTGTAGAGGAGCAGCTGAAGAATGTTAAGGGAGAAGATGCGAATGCTAATGTGCTTCTGAGAAACCAGAGGGAAACAGTCGAATTTAATACCGGTGCCATATCAAGATTTTCGAATCCACTACATTTCCAGAAGAACTTCCCGGGATCCGGTACACCAGAAGAAATGATGAAGGGAAACGAATGCTTATGGATCGAAAAGGTCTATAACAGCGACTTTGGGATCAAGGCCGAAGAAATTCCTCTGTTTTCTCCAAAGATGATACTTCTTCGAATTCTTACCTTGTGTAAGAATGGGCGTTTTCCTTCCAAAAAATTACTGGGCAGAGTTAGAAACTGGCCCGAGGTGCCGATCAAAAGATATCTGGAAGTCCTGGATTCCGAAACTCCCCCTTCCAAGGAGTTATATATTGGAATGTCAAAAGATATAATGAATTAAACAGCTTTTCTTCATGTTATTTCCTCTTGAAAAGCTCTCCTTTCTTTCAAGGAATTGTAATTACCCACGGCTTTGAATGATTCAGTCTCCATCCTTAAGCCCCTAATGCCTATTGTAGCTCATAGTGAAAATGGACTAACTTTTGATGTGTTTGCTGAAGGAGCATCCTGGGTCGAGTGCGATTACTACTCTCTGAAGTCAAACAAGGTGGCATGGGCTAAGAACAATCAAGTAAGGTACTATGATCTCAAGAATAAGAAGATGATTCTGGAGATGGAGATAAATAGGCCTAGGGAAATAGAGGCGTCTGAAAACGGAAATAACGTAGGAATACTTAATGGAAAAGGAGAGATGGTTGTGCTTGGAAAGAATGGCATCATGCTGAGAGTGGAGAATGTATCCAAGTTCAGGATTTCTAATTCCCTGCTTGCATATATATCGGGGGCATCATTTTTCATTCATCGGATCGGAGAAGATGGGATAGAGGAGTCTCCTTTCCATACTTCCAGGATTTCGATTCTAGAGTTCCTTATTTCCGGAGAGTTTGTTTTTCTTGCCACAAAAAAGCTTGAGAAGGATGGAATGCACAAGCTCCTTCGGATGGGAAAAGATTCGGTAGAGGTTCTTCATAGCTTAAAGGAGCTGCAAGGCTTCTCTTTGAAGGCCCATGCATCAAACAGATACATACTGCTTCTTCTAATGACATCCTATGTGAACAACAGCTACTTCCCCGAGTCTGACCTGTATTTCCATGATACTGCCGCATGCACCTTCAAAAGTCTTGGATATTCGCCAGTCCATTCCTATGTCTTTCTCTCTAATGGATTTGCAGTGTGCCATGGGCCTCAGCCTAGCAGTGTTTCTGTTCACAGGCTTGATGGCAAGCCTGGATACAACTTCCCAGAAGGTATCAGAAACAGAATGTTCTTCAACCAGCATGAAAACATTGCAGTGTTTGCAGGCTTCGATAATCTCTCTGGAGACATAGAGGTTTTCCATGTGCCTTCAAGGAAGCCTATAGCAAAGTTCAATGTGCTTGGAGCATCTTTGATCGACTGGAAGGAAAATGGATCATATTTCTGTGTCTCGACAACAAGCTACTTCCAAGAAGATAACAAAATAACTCTCTACGACTACTACGGAAGAAAGATAGACGAAAGGAAGTTTGAGTCTTTGTTTTCGGCCTGCTCCTATGGGGAAAAGGAAGAGTTTGTCGAGATAGAAAAACCCGAAAAGCTAATTATTGAGATGCAGAAGAAGTACGTTCCCCCCTCCATCCACACCTTCATGACAAAAACAACTTCCAAGAGCAGAATGCCCAAGAAGAAGGAGGAGACAGTTAATGAGAAACCGAAGAAAAGCAGCAAGGAAGATCTGTTGAACACTCTCAAGGAGATCGAGAGTTTGAAGAACAGGATGAAGGATGGAGAAGAATTATCTATAAAGGAATTAAACTTAATCCTAAAGGAGTATAAGTTGAAGGGGGAGCTGAAGAGCCTCGACTAGCCTTCGACTTTAAATAAACTTTATAATTCCATTAGAATTAGTCCAGAGTTGAAGGCACCGCGGATTCTATTGATTTTTTTAAAATTTTCAGAGGGGTTACGGGGATGAGTAACGAAAAGGTTGACTTGGACAGGATAATAGAGAAGCTTCTTTCTGTTCGAAACAGTAAGCTAGGAAGGCTTGTCCATCTTGTGGAGGAAGAAATAAGATACTTGTGCGAAAAGTCGACGGAGGTGTTCAAGCAGCAGCCTACTCTGGTTGAAGTAAAGGCCCCAGTCAAGATCTGTGGAGATGTTCACGGGCAATATTATGATCTTTTGAAGTTGTTTGAACATGGGGGGTTTCCACCCTCCAGCAACTACCTGTTTCTGGGAGATTATGTCGATAGAGGAAAGCAGTCTTTGGAGACGATCTGTCTGCTATTGGCATACAAGATAAAGTTTCCAAACAACTTTTTCCTTCTTCGTGGAAATCACGAATGTGCCAGTATCAATAGGATATATGGGTTCTACGATGAATGCAAGAGAAGATATAACACAACAATATGGAAAGTGTTCACGGAATGCTTCAATTGGATCCCTATATCTGCCCTTGTTGACGGAAGAATTCTCTGTATGCACGGAGGGATTTCGCCAGACTTGAAGAACATGGATCAGATCAAGGCGATTGCAAGACCCACCGATGTTCCCGATGAAGGGCTTCTCTGTGATCTTCTTTGGAGCGATCCGGACCCTGGTGTAAGAGGATGGGGAGAAAACGATAGAGGGGTTTCGGTGACATTTGGACCCGACACTGTGGAGAAGTTTCTTGAGACACATAACCTGGACCTTATATGCAGGGCACATCAAGTAGTAGAGGATGGATACGAGTTTTTTGCAAACCGATCTTTGGTCACAGTGTTTTCCGCTCCAAACTACTGTGGAGAGTTTGAGAACTCTGGAGCAATAATGGATGTAGATAAGGACCTTGTATGCTCGTTCCAGGTCCTCAAGCCAACCGATTTCATTAACAATTCAGAATATAAGAAGAAACAAATGGGGATACCTCGTAAGAAGTAAAGAGGCCGAAATACTCACAATAAATTTTCTTTTCTTGGGTTTTTGTGACAAATAAATGTTTACTGCAGTGGGGGAGGAATGAAGAGAGCACATTCTCTACTGGACTATGCCAAAGAGGTCAATGGAACTAAGACTGTTGAGCTAGAGGACCTAGATATTCACTTACTTGATCCACATATTTCTTTAAGAAAAATAGATACAAACGCCCTATACAACATTCTAAGCCTGGCTTACCATTTTGAAGATGTAAAGATGGAAGAAAAGGTGGTAACAACAAGCTCCTCAACAGACAAAAGACAGAGATATTTCTGCGATACCACAAAATGCTTCCAATGTGGGGAGGCAGGGCATGAGTTTAGGGAATGTACCAGGGCTCTTAAAAGGGATGTATGTGATCTATGCAGTCGGGAAGGACACGAAAGAACCTATTGTCCCTACAGACACTGCCCAAAGTGTAGAAGGTTCGGACATTCCTCAAAGAACTGTTCTTTTCCTGAGGATCTAAACGGATCGAAGATATGCAAAGCCTGTCCCACAGGAAGTCATAGCATAGCAGACTGCTGTAGAACATGGAAAAGATACAGACTAAATGGAAACACGTCGAAGTATACAATATATAAAGCATGTCCAATATGCCTATCTAAAAGACATTTTATCGATGACTGCTTTTCCGTTGAGAGGTCACAATCTTCCATATTCAGCTCCTCATACGCTGAACTTGCCAAGTTTTACAATAAACAATGACGAATAGTTACTAAAAGGGAATAGACATTCCCCTTGAAATGCTGGACATCAAAGTCACACCGCAAACAACGATTAGAGTTAAAAGAAACAAGAAGTCCTCGACTTTTATTGTACATAACAACTCCATGGAAAGCGTAGGATACAAGATCAAAACAACCAAGCCCAGAGACTACATAGTAAGACCAAACATGGGCCTGATAGTACCTATGCAGCATGCCGAGATTGAAGTAACCCTCTCTGAAACCACTGTTCCCGATAATACACACAAGTTCCTTATAGAGATCTACAAGTTCGACTGGAGAAGATCTCTAAATGACTTCAAGCATTATCTCAAGTCTGTCTCGCCTAAGCCATGCTGGACATCCAGAATAGGAATATTGTACGAAGAAGAGGAGAAGATAACCAAAGAAACCGTCGAGTGTTCAGAGGATCGAGGTGCCATTGTACTTTTTGTCCATATCTACATTCTTTGTAACGTTCTTTATCTATTTTACAGGTTCTTTGAGTGATAGCCATCGAGAGAAAGAAAGGAGAAACTTGGCCATGAAAAAAGAAATAAATATCCAAAGTATGTTTTATTTAATCAGTCATTCAATTAACAGCATCAAGAACTGCCGGCAGCTTCGGCCCATCACAGGATGTATGGTGCGTTTAAACACACAAGTACTATGCTTCTTCCCAAGCACACTACGGTATTCCCATAGTCCCATTCTCCACACTTTTTCAGAACGCAGTTACCAACGTCATCAAACGATGTGAGCTTTCCAGTCACCGATTTTCCATCAATGAAAGTTACTGTTATTTTTTTTCCTTTAAATCTCCCCAAGTCACTGAGTAGTTGAGTCTTTTTAATCTTGTCCTTATTCATCAGGGTTTAAGACAACAAGATTAACTTCAATAAATACCACCGCTCTTCCTCCAAGGTAAGAGCGAACAACATAAAAAACAGGGGTTTGCCCCTCAGAAACAGTTGTAATATAGACTGTTTTCCTGATCAAATCCTCTCTTGTTGTCTGTCCCTGTTCCGTCCTTTAATTTCTCTTTCAGAACTAAATTCCTTATTCGGATATTTATGTTTCGTAGATGTCCCAGAAGTGCAGCAGAAAACTCCGTAGACATCTTGTCTATCACGGTTTCTTGCTCTTCAAACAGCTTTTTGAGTTCTACCTTAACAAGATTGTCTATAACATTGTAGAACTTCTTAATTCCAAAGTCCTCGAGAACCGGCTCCGATGATTTCACCAATTCACTGGCCGACTCAGGGTCTTCGAAGACAACAAGATACTTTTCGGGATTGAGCCTCTTGAAGTTCACAACTTTCCCAAATCTCGCTGCATAAGCCTTGAGATTTTCTGGATTATGCCTTGACTCGTTTACTTTGTTGAACACCACCTCATTATTTTCATTTGATTCATTTGTTCTCCTTCTCTTTCCAGTCACCTCCCCGCTATCTATTCCTTCTTCTCTTCCCTTGGACCCTGTCTGGACAGAGCCTTCCCCACTCTTTCTATCCCAGCTATGCAAAAAAATGCAATTCTTTGCCTTACATTCGTCTCCATCTCGGCAAGTCTTCCTTTTGTACGCCATAACCTTTCCTACTAGTCCTTTCGCCTTCTGGTCTACTACAGGACTCAACGCCTCTACCAACTCGCTGTACATGTCTTCTGGAGACACTGTAGGTACCACCCCCTCGAGAATATCAATTACCGTAGAAGCTTTGTCTCCCACCTCTCTTCCTATCATGTCTTTAAGAGGCCCGGCCAACGGAATCTTTATCGGACAAAGCTGCTTGGACTGGCTTTTCTTTTCATTATTGGCATCTATCATAACTTTCTGGGGGGTTTCCATTCCTTCAAATACAGGTTGCAAATCCTCAATTCTTCTCTGTTACTTTCGAGTTCCTCATTTGGAATTATATAGTAATTTATCAAAAAGAATTAAACTGCATCCTTATATATTCAGCCACACTCCTCCCCCGATGCTAAAAGGAAGTTTCTTCAAAATAGAGCTGGGAGCTGATGAGCTTTCAAGCTTAAGGAAACATAGATTTATTGGAACAGACAACTCCATCCTCTCGAAGTATGTAATCCATCACTATGTCAAATGGTCACTAGAAAAAATACCTGCAACAGTAGCCCCAAATACACTAACTCTCTGTGGATTTATTGCAATGGCAATCAGCTTGGGCCTAACTCTGATATTTGATCCCTACTTATGCAACCCGCCCAGACTTCTTTCGTTGGTAAACTTTTTTCTGATGTTTGTGTACTTTACATGCGACAATCTAGACGGTGCCCAGGCCAGGAAAACAGGGTCCGGGTCTCCTTTAGGACAACTTTTTGACCATGGGGTGGATTCATGCTGTGCACTTGCCACAAGCATAGCTCTTTCCTCTGCATTCGGATTTGGGCTATCTCAGAAATTCTTGATATTCACATTGGCCATCATGATCGAGTTCTATCTTGCTGGAATCGAGGAAAAATTCACCGGGCACTTTGTTTTGGGAAAAATCAGTGGAGCTTCAGAGGGCATAGCATTTGCTTTGATATCGCATCTTATTACCTCTCTATGTGGAAAAGGCTTTTTCCAATATGTCTTTTCCGACGAGTTCCTCTGGCCCATCAAAAAGACTTACTCCTTGATCTTGAGAACAAACAACTTTAGTGCAATCTCGGCAATCATTACTACATGCCTGGTTGGCAATACTATATTGACCTTGATATCGATAGAATCCAAAATGCGTCCTCCAAGGAGACTTTCTTTATACTCAACTTTTCTAAGGATGATGTCCCTCATAGCATCGTTCGTTGTTCTTCACAACACTCTCAGTACAGAAAGTTTGTGGATACAATATCTAAACATTTTAATGTTTGGGCAGATATTTTCGATAAAGTATGTCAACGAGGTATTTTCATACATCATCGGAAAGGACTTGTTCCTGTTCATCCCCGTGTATTTGATGTATCTGATGATTTCCGTTGTCTTACAACTACAAAATCCTAAGAAGTTCCGAGAAGCCTTTATAGCTGTCTCTTTTGTCTTTTCCTCTGTTTACTACATCTTGGTGGCTTCAAAAGTGATCATCACATTCAAAGAAGCCTTGGGAATCAGCTTTCTAACAATCACAAAAAGAAATAAGCCTGAGGCTGGAAGATAGACCGGCCTGTATTAAACTTATACCCCTATGTTCATCTTTTTCCAGTGCGAGATTTGCTTGCAATATGGTCTTCGGTGGGAAAACCGGGTTTGGCACCGGGAAATTGCAACCCCAATGAACTACCTATATTCACAAGAGAGTCCATGGAACAGCGTCGAGGGATGTTCTGCAGGGTTCTTTATACCCGGGACACATTCGTTTCTAACATATAACGGGAACATCGTAAGACTCTGGAAGTACGGCTCGGGGCTGGTTTTGGTGAAGCAGCATATTCTATTTGAGAGAGTTTGCCAGGTGGAAAAGTATAGGATATCTCCAGACCAAGACGGTCTAGTTTTTCTGTTTCATAAGGCAAAGATTTCTCTTGTGAGGTTTGATCCTCAGGAAAACGAATTCAAGACAACGTCTTTAAAGTTTTTCGAAAAGGATGAGTTCGACATCAAAGACGAAGATATAAGGAATGTCCGAATAGGCACTGATCTAGGGATGTTTCAGATGAACAAGCGTTATTTTAGTGTCTTTCCTTTGTTTCCTGGGATGTTCAACGCAAAGGTCTTTAAGTTTATAGATATCGATGGAAAGATCAAGAATCCAATCGACTTTACTTTTCTGGAAAACTATTCCATTCCCACTGTGTGTCTGGTGTACGATTCGCTTCCTAAGAAGTACACAGTTGTAAGGAATTACAATGCCATAGTGTTTTCGATTGATCTAAGTGCAGGAAAATTCCATACTATCGACGAGTTTCTAGTTCCCCCAAAAACATTTAAGGTGGTATGTGCCGGTTCCATCCTACTGTTTATATCACACAACTCTATATTAATAAGATCTACAAGCAGCTCGTACTCGGTTCCTTTGAATAGGATGTCCGAAGCATGTGAAGCGGGCAAAGCACTTAACGACGTAGTTCTTTTTGATGTAAATTTCTTTTCGAGAGGAAACACCTGCCTGATATTCAATGGAAATGGAGATCGATATAGACTCGAGATATCGATGGACATAAAAAGAATCATAGGGGCATCTCTGGAGTTTGAGAGAAGAGGATCTATAGCCAGTTGCATAGGAGAGGTGGAGAACCTCTTATTTGTTGGATCTATAGGCGACAGCTCGGAGTTGTTTGAAATAAAGAGCCTCCGGCGAAGGACAGAAGAAAATGTCATCCCGGCTGAAAGAAGTGTACTGGAAGAGTATTCTAAACTGTTTGGAAACAAAGACCAAGAAACCCAGAAACAAGATGAAGAGTATGCCAAGCTTTTCAATGAAGGTTCTGAGTCAAGAGCTGGAGAAACTTTTACTCTCCATCAAGTTGACGAGATTTCAAACATCGGATTTTTGAATGAAGTGGCGATGAAAAGAGAAAATGAAGCAGTCTTTGTTGTTGAAGGACTAGAGCCCGGAGTACGCGTTGTAAGCAATATTATGCCATTGAAAATCTTGAAGTCTCAGAAGACAAGAAGATATTTGTATTGTTCAAGGGTCTTAGACTTCTACATTCTGGGTAGAGCAGGGGATACAAAGGTCTTTAAATGGCCTGAAAAGAGTCTTTTGGAAGTGGATGGAAAATATGCTAAAGATATGGACACGTTACTTTTTGCGGAGTTCGGCACTGGAATAATTCAGATTACACCTACCTTCTGGTTGGGAATGGATCATAACCTTAAGGTGGTAGAGGAGACTTTACTAGCAAAGCGGCAGAGGCAAAAATAATTTGTAGTGGATTATTTCTTGCAGTAAGGGATTCCGAAAAAAGACTTGTTTTTTATGATAGGGAGATGACCGTGGTTACCTGCATCCCTAACGTTACATGTTTTGCAGATATCGGGAATAAGGTTTTTATTCTTTCTGATGATCTTTTGAGCATCTTCGACATAGACAAACGGATGGGGCAATTTCCTCCTTGTTCAATAAGAGGCGTTCCATACGCGATAAGATTTTCATCGGAGACATCTGTACCTATAGATCTATCGGAGAAGAACGATGATGAAGCCGTTATAGAGATGGCCATGCTTGCAACGGGCACCAAGATTCTTATGCTCTTCAGATTGAAAGGAGGTTACATGGTTGCATATGAATCCTTCGGGCTGGAGGCACTTCTCAGGGAAACCCTTCCTTCTGAAGTAATCTTTTTCAAAATACATCTTCCAAGACACATTGCCTTCAATCTATCTCCGGAGACCAAGGCATTTTACAATGTGGGTACAATGGTATTCATAAAAGCAACAACCAACGTATTTATGGTTCCAACAGACAAGGGACATTTTTTGTACAGAAGTCAGTACACTCTAAATTCAATAGCTATGGATGGAGACGATGTGATACAACTCTCCAAAGGCTATCTAATGGTCTGCAGAGTCCCCAGCATTGAAAACGGATATGTTTTTGGAAGCGGATTTATTGGGAAAAAGATTCCAGTTCTTAGAACACCAAAGCACATCGAGTATGCAGATCGGTACATGGTAGTAGCCTCATGCGAAGAAGTTGAGTTTTCCCCAAAGAATGGAAAAGACTGTGGAGTTCCTGTAAACACCTATCGGTTCTATGTCGACCTGTATTCGGAGAAATACGAGCATATAAGTACTTATGAATTAGAAGAGAACGAGTATGTCTTTGATATCCAGTATCTCGTTTTGGATGATATGCAGGGAAATTATGGAAAGTCCCCTTTTCTACTTGTTTGCACAACCTTCATTGAAGGAGAAGATAGGCCTGCGAAAGGCCGGCTTCATGTACTAGAAATAATTTCTGTTGTTCCGTCGTTGGAGAGCCCTTTCAAAGACTGTAAACTCAAGGTTTTGGGAATTGAAAAGACTAAGGGATCGATTGTCCAATGCTCTGAAGTTCGTGGTAAGATTGTACTATGTTTGGGAACCAAGATAATGATTTACAAAATTGACAGGGGCAGCGGGATAATACCCATAGGTTTCCATGACTTGCACACATTTACATCCTCTATATCTGTGGTTAAAAACTACATTCTTGCATCCGACATTTATAGAGGCTTGTCGTTCTTTTTCTTCCAGTCCAAGCCAATTAGACTCCACCTGATAAGCTCTAGCGAGCCTCTTAAGAATGCAACCTCTACAGAACTTCTTATTACTGGCAATGAGCTTTCGATGGTGTGTTGCGACATCAAGGGAACAATTCATGCATACACCTACTCTCCAAATAACATAATAAGCATGGATGGAGCTAAACTTGTCAAGAGAGTGGAGATGAAAACCAATCTGGGAAGACTCTCATCTTCCAGAGTAGGGTTTAGGAAGAATAGTATTATGCTGTATTCAAGGTCCAACCAACTGGTCCATGTAAATGGAGTCGACAATTCTAGCTATCTTAAGCTTCTTGGAATACAGACGTCGATTATGGGGTGTTTTAAGGCTGTGTTTGGATTGAATCCAAGGGACTATCTGAACTCTGATATTCACCTCCACAGCTTGTCATTGAAAAGTCCAATAGTTCTGCACATCCTGAACTTGTTTAGTTACTTCGACCTGAGCATCCAGGAGTCGATTTCATCTTCTGTTGTGATGAGCAGAAGAGAAATACTAGACATCATTGCATCTTTGAATCAGTCCTAACACTAATTAAAACTCTTACCTTCTTAAATCGAAGTGTACTACGGGAGAATTTCATTAGCTCTTCAAATGAACTTAAAAATTTACATCCTGAGAATCGGACTAATGAGAACAAAACCAGAGTCCTGTGTCTTTTTTTTGAACGAAATGACGGCCGAGGAAGAATATAATATTGTCACTAGACAGCCGCCTAGGCTTCCAAAGAGGCCTGTGGGGAGACTGAATGGGAACAAAATCCTACTCTCAGGAAATAAGCTATTTGTGGAAAGGCATATTGGAGTTGTGGATCTTGAATACGTGGAGTCTGACGAAAAGATATTCAACTTACTGATATGTCTTGTCAGGCTTCCTCCCTTCTACAACTTTATCCTGAACTTCAGAGAGAAAGGTGAAGATATAGAAAAATGCCAGATAATGTTCAGAATTTCGGAATTTCTTCGCTTGCTGATGGAGGAGAAGAAAACCAATGCAAGCGATCTTTTAATGGAGTCAGATTCGAAAGTATACGAAGATATATATTCAGAACTTCTTCAGGCGATCCACGACGAGCTCTGCGAATACTACAACTTTGAGGAGGATACATGGAGTACCATGGGTAAAACCCAAGGAGCCAAGCCTAAGCTACTTTACAAGGAATATTCTCCAATTGTAGAGATATTTCAGGGAAAAGCTGTTTCTGGAAGCCAATCTCAGGAGATCTCTTTTGAAAAGAGTAGGGTGTCTTTAAAAGGATTCTCCAATATCCAAGAGGCCTTTGATTCGAGTCTAAAGGTTAAAAATAGAAAGATAACCAAGAAGCCGCCAGTTCTTGTACTTGTCGTAAAAGAACAGGGAGGCATCGATATACTGAACGGTTCGAATATAAGCCTTGGAAGCCACACTTTCTCTCTTTGTTCTTTTATAACAGAAGAAAATACCATGAGCTACTGCTATGTCAAGGACGGGGAAGGCTGGCATGGATATGGAGCAGGAGGCGTAGAAAAAATTTTGGAGATGAAAGATGTTTGTGGATATCCATTAATGTTGTTCTACACATGCAATGAATAGGCTTTTCTTAGGGCACATGCCTTGGGCCTAAAAGCAAATGACACCTAAGTCCTCTATTTATTAAATTTGCCTTCGAACTTCTCTATCTCACTTTCCATTTTTCTTCCGATGGCTTCCATACACTCCAAGCCCTCCATCATCTTCTTAAAGAGATTTGGAGGTGTTTGAGACGACTCATTGGAGAACTGAATGGTTAAGTTGGAAGCATCGTCGGAGGGGTGTGGGATGGTGTACCCCACGAGCTCCACATTCTCTCCATAGAAATTTTTACTTATACACCACCTTAACGGATTCATAATGGTGTGATCTTCCTTCTCCACTTGTATTGTCTGGGTATTCAAGATCCTTATACGATCCTCTCCTTTCATATGGAAGGGGTCTTGAAAATTTTTTACTCGACCAAACTAGGGAGCTCTGCAAACACAGCCTTCTCTACCGATCGGTCCTGGGGAAGTTTTTATTAAAGATTCTCATTTTGTCGTCTACATTATACTTCTTCTTCTCTGCCCTGTTTGAAACATAATATTCCACATTCTTTGTAAGGGGAGATCCCTGGGTCATTTCCAAATACACAGTCTCGTGCCTAAACATTTCCCTTTCAATGGTTCGAATCTGTTTTCTCAGTTTCTTTCTTTTTGCAAGAAGAGCTTTGAATCTTTTCTTCGCATCCAAAGACGTGTCCTCGATGTTCATGGGCCGGGAGTTTATCCAAGGAATAAGGCCCAAGGGAATCTGCCATAGGAGTTTCCTAAATGTTTTACAGCAAATATATTTTTGGCTAATATCCCGCCCTGTAGTCAAAATGTTTCTTTTGTTTCTAGTTTTTGTATTTGCAGACAACATCGAGATATCAAGAAGTTCGTTCGACACACTTAAGGTTGGAAATACATATATATCATCAGCTTCCCATGGGGCCTCTACCTGGAACTCCCTAAAAATCTCCTTTCCCGGATACTACAGATACGATGTTGTAGAGTACGAGCCCCGAAGATTCGAATTGGTTGATGTCACTCAATACTTTGGAGAAACCGAGAAGATGGTGTTTCGAGTAGACTTTGAAACAAAGTACTACGGCTTGATACCAGATGCATGGGTGATGATTATTTCATTAACGACCCTCTCTGGCATTATGTTTTCTCTGCCTATTAAGAATGTGTAATAAAGAAAGATACCCTAGTGAAGCTCTTTCTTTCTTGTAGTGGCGAGCCCTGTTACTTTGTTGGAATAAATGAAAGAGAATATTGAGAAAGCTTATAACAGACTGATAAGGGGCTTAGACAGCGGGATAAGGCTAGACGGGGCATCGATATCGGAGAGCATCGAAAGTCTGGAAGCGATTCTTGAGGAGCTAGTGGTTCAGTTGGAGGATCCTGGATTTGATTTTCTCGAAGATAAGTGATCTTTAGGCTAGTTCCAAGAGCTTAAAAGAAAGAAATCCAAACCCTGAAATGTTTAATGGATTTGTTGGGGTAGATGATGGAGAACCTACATCAGACGCCTCTGAGACAGTCCAGATTTCTTCGCTTGCACTATTGAAAATGCTCAAACATGGAAGAGCGGGAATTCCTTTGGAGGTCATGGGACTGATGCTTGGGGAATTTGTTGATGAATACACAGTGAAAGTTGTCGATGTATTTGCCATGCCTCAGAGTGGGACAAATGTCACTGTGGAGTCTGTGGATCCTATTTTCCAGATGGAGATGATGAGCATACTAAAGGCTACGGGGAGACACGAGACAGTGGTTGGATGGTATCACAGCCACCCGGGTTTCGGATGCTGGCTCAGTACAGTGGACATAAGTACCCAGCAGAGCTTCGAAAAATTATGTAAAAGAGCTGTTGCAGTGGTTGTCGATCCCATTCAGAGTGTCAAGGGAAAGGTTGTGATTGATGCATTCAGACTCATCGACAATCAGCTAGGAGTGCTTGGAGGAGAGCCAAGACAAGTGACATCAAACATAGGATATCTTAAGACACCCACTCTCATATCCATAATCCACGGGCTTAACAAGCACTATTATTCGTTTAACATAACATGCCGGAAAAACGATCTCGAGCAGAAGATGCTCCTTAATCTTCACAGGAAAACATGGGCAGATAACCTTAAGCTCAGGGATGTCAGGACTAAGAGAGAGGAGGTTCTAAAGCTCATCGAAAGCTACGGAAAAGCATGGGAAGAAGAAAAGAATCTGAAGGGTAAGGATCTTGAAATGGCTAAAGTGGGGAAGGTTGATTATCGAAGACGTCTTCTTGAGAAGTGCGATGAAAATATCATGGAAAATGCCATCTACAACCTTCTGTACTCCATGCACAGATACATCTTCAACCAATAGACCCATGAGGCTTAGAGATGAATAAATCAAGTTTTCAAGGTCCGAATATTCTACCCTTACCAATGAATCCTATAGGACTCTTTATTTCCCTTATGTTGAGTGTCATACTCTGTATTGTTGAGCTCTATAAAATAGAGGCGGTGCTGGATGCAGAGGGTAGAAGAGCATCGTCTTACAATGCATGCGATAGGATACTTCGGCTTGCAGCCATAGAGTTCAAGTTACTTACTTTGATTATGGCTGCCCAGGTTCTCTCCTTATGCTACACATCGTTTCTTGTTGTCCTACTATTTGTTTACGAGATCCAGAAGAAAGGATCCAAAGATTCCATCAGTGCTCTGGATTTCTTCAAACAAAAGAAACGGATAAAGATTGAAATGTTCTGTAAGATCTCTCTGTATGTATTTCTTGTATACAAGTATTTCACAGCACTCGTTGTAAATAAAATGTAAGATCTTTTGGACAGTTTAAAAGCTTCGGAGGTATTCGAAAGTTTTAATTAGATATCTAGTATTCTAGTCCCACTTATCTGGCCTTGGATAGACCTCCTGTCTTTCAGGGACTTTTATGTGATCCTTTGGAATTAAATCCTTTTTCTTGAAGATAGATGATAATGAAGAAGAGTTGTCTTTGATAATGCTCTTTGTAGAGCTAACAACAATGCTTCCATATTCCACAGTCTTTCCGGTAATTACCTTTGCTCCCGAGAAAATCGCGCTTCCAACAATAGACAAAGTAGACGAAATAGAGCTCTGAAGCGAGCCCGTACTAATGGATTCAAGCCCCGGCGTACCATGGGACCTCTTGCTTCTATTTACACAATCCGTAGAAGACCTCTTTCTCCAGTCTTCCGAGTCTCTTGGCTCTTTAGGAACCGTACTAGTCCTTGGCCTGTTGAATGCCTCTTCTCCTATCTCCTTCACAACAAGGCTCTTAACGCTTTCACCATACTTCCTGATGTGGTTGTTGTTGTAAATCTCGTTCATTTCCCGCCCAACAAGCTTGCAATGCTCCAGAAACTTCTTAAACTTCTCATTTGATCCATGCTTCATAAACAAATATTCCTTTTCATCCCAAATGTCCAGATTCACGCTCTTTACAAAGCTCGTTTTGACTCCAAGGGATCTATGAATACTAGCACAATCAAAGCATATGAATATCCCGTAAGTCACAGACGCCCATGGGGGATTTGGTGCAGAGCAGTCTGCACATCTTTTGTTCTCCTCAGTTTCACGGAGCATTTTAACTTCTTTGTTGAAATTTGTAGTCATGAGTCTTTGTTTTCGGGGGCTCTTAGTTTATCAACATGTTTCATTACATCTAATCTTGCTTTGTTTCAGATTATATCCCTTGGAAATTAAATAGCAATAGATATTTTTGTTGCAAACGGATACTTTATCAAGAGATGGCTTTCTTTGCATTTTCCAGTGCTTGCTTTGTTTCTTCCAAATCAAACTCCTCTCCAGACACAGCTCTTTTAATCGTGTCTAAGCAGTCCTTGGAGATTTTTGCCAAGCTTGAGGATGGTCTTCGAAGAAACTCGGCCGAAGAAACAATAAGCTCAGCTTTCCTCCTTTTTATCTCATCTAAGTGTCTATGCTTTTCTCCTTCCTCCACCATTTTGTTTATCTCCTCCTCTGTTAATCCACTAGATGGAATTATCTCTAGAGACTGCGGCTTCTTTGTGACACTATCCTGTGCAGTTACTTTGTACATCCCGTTAGCATCGGACTCAAACGTCACTTCAATCCTAGGCACTCCTCGAGGAAGAGGAGGAATATCCTTGAGCTTGATCTGTCCTAGATACTTGTTATCCAATGCCATGGATCTCTCCCCCTGGTATACCTTGATGTCCACCTCTGTTTGATTATCTTCTGACGTAGAAAACGTCTGTGTTTCTTTAAATGGAATTGTTGTATTCCTTCTTATTATCTTGTTAAACACTCCTCCAAGGAGTTCAATTCCTAGGCTTAGAGGTGCAACATCCAGGAGAAGCACATTATCAACCTCTCCCGTAAGAACTCCTCCCTGCAATGCTGCTCCCTTTGCAACGGCTTCATCGGGATTGATACCGGTAGAAGGTTCAATTCCAAACACCTCCTTGACTACCCTTCGGACATATGGCATCCGGGTCATTCCCCCCACCAGTATCACGTGTTTGATATCCGAACCCTCCATCCCTGCATCCCTAAGTGCTTTCTTGCATGGCTCAATAGTACGATCCACAATCTTCTTAACCACTCTCTCCAACTCGTCCCGGGTGATTTCTCTGGTTAGATGCTTTGGCTTTCCTTCAATACTACATATGTATGGTATGTTGATTCTTGAGGAAAGAGACGAAGATAAATCCTTCTTTATCTTTTCTGCACACTCCTTGATTCTCGTTAGTGCATTTATATCTTCACCCAAGTTAACTCCCTCCTTCAACCTAAAGTCTTCAATAATAAACTTCACAAGCTCATTGTCAAGATCTTCTCCTCCAAGAAATGTGTCTCCGTTAGTAGCTTTTACATGAAACACTCCATTGCTCAGCTCAAGAATAGAAATGTCAAAGGTTCCCCCTCCGAGATCATAGACTGCAATATTTCCCTTTGCCAGCTTGTCAAGGCCATATGCAAGTGCTGCAGCTGTCGGTTCATTGATCACCCTTACAACTTCCAGCCCAGCTATTCTTCCTGCATCTTTTGTTGCCTGACGTTGGCTATCATTAAAATATGCAGGAACTGTTATGACCGACTTTGCAACCGGATGATTTAAGAATGATTCTGCACTCTTTTTGAGCTTAGAAAGTACAAACGCACCTATTTGTGCTGGAGAATACTTCTTTCCATCAATCTTTATCCAAACATCTCCGTTACAGTGAGACATTGTATCGAAAGGAAGGCCCTTTACATACTTCTTCACCTCTGGATCCTCAAGTTTCCGGCCTATCAGTCTTTTGGATGCAAACACTGTGTTTTTGGGATTCATTAACATCCTACTCTTGGCTTGGTTGCCTACAATAACTTCGTCTCCAAGTATCGACACAACCGAAGGTGTGGTGCGCTCTCCCTCTTGGTTTTCTATTATTAAAGGCTCCCCATTCTTAACTACAGACACACAGGAGTTGGTTGTTCCCAGGTCTATTCCTATTATGCTTGAAGAAAGCTTTTTGCTTAGAGAGCTCATTTCCGCCATTTCCAAAGGAAGCTAATTTTTTAATTTTTGGTCTTTCAACTATATTAAATGTGAACATGCCTCCCCTAAATGGAAGAACAAAAGATTACACCTTGGGACGTGGAAGTTGTATCTACAAGCGAGACGCCTGTGGCCATCGACTACGACAAGGTAGTTAATCAGTTTGGCTGCGAGCGCTTTAATCAGGATCTAGTGAAGCGTTTAGAACAACTTACAAACAAGCCAGCACACTACTTCTTTAGGAGAGGCATAGTTTTTGGGCACAGGGATTTTAACCTTTTGCTTGATGAAGTATCCAAGAACAAGTCATTCTATCTGTACACAGGAAGAGGCCCCAGCTCGAAGGCAATGCATATTGGCCACATCATCCCCTTCCTTCTTTGTAAGTACATTCAGGACACTTTCAAAGTACATCTTGTAATTCAAATAACTGACGACGAGAAGTTCCTGTGGAAAAATATGAAACTCGAGGATGCTATATCGTATGGGAAAGAAAACATGAAGGATATTATAGCACTAGGTTTTGATCCAAAACTGACGTATATATTTTCTAATGTTGAATCTTCTCATCACTTCGAAAAAAATGTCCTGAAGATATCGAAGACAATCAACTTCAATGAGGTATCTAAGATCTTTGGATTCAACACATCCAGCAACATAGGGCAGGTGGGATTTCCATCAAAAGAAATAGCACCCTGCTTTCCAAGCTCTTTTAAATTTATTGAAGAGGATGCAATGTGTCTTGTTTTTGCAGCAGTTGATCAGGACCCGTTCTTCAGGTTGGCAAGAGACAAAGCAAATACGCTTGGGGAGAGAAAGCCTTCGTCTGCATACGTATCCCTTCTTCCAGATCTCAAAGGTGTGAATAGAAAGATGTCTGCTAGCGATCCAAATAGCTCCATATATTTGGACGATACACCGGAAACAATACGAAAGAAGATTACAGTGCATGCTTATTCTGGGGGTAGGGAAACATTGGAAGAACATCGGGAAAAGGGAGGAAATATCGATGTGGATGTCCCATTTGAATATCTGAGATATTTCTTGGATGATGATCAGGAGCTTGAAAGATATCGGTTGGGATACATTAAGGGAGAGATTACCAGCAGGGAAATGAAGGAGAAATGTATTTCTATTGTTCAAGAATTTGTTTTAAGGTATCAAGAATCCCGAAAGAAGATTACCGATGAAGACTTGAAAGTATTTATGGACATCAATAAATTTTAGGATCATTTCCGGAAGTTCCAATGTTCTTTGCCCGAATGATTTCTTTCCTAATGTCTCTTATCTTTCTCTTCAAATCACGTATCCTCCATTTATAGTATTCCTCCTCATAGCAATCTTTCTCGGAATCTTCTCTAGACACATTTGTCTTTCTTGTACTGATGAATGACTCTCTAACATTCATGTATGTTCTTTCTTTTGGGCTAAAATTGAACTGAGTCTTTACAGGCGCCACCCTTCTCAACCCTTGATGGAAGTTTCTGGAAGAAAGGAAGGAATTAAGAGCTCCTTGAATGACGTGGAGTTAGACATAAGCAATGATCCAACAAGATTGAAAAAGTCCTCTTTAGAGAAAATGAAGATACAACAGTTGTTCAAGAACGGCACTTCTGTTGAAAATTGCGAAGAAGAAAGTCTTAATCTTGGATACTCGGATTCCAAAGTAGGGCCATTTATTACCTCTAAAGATCTCCATGAGGAAAATAAAGAAGATTTATCAAGCAATGATGGCAGTAGCAGTTCTGATTGCAAAGATTCAGACGAATGTGAGGGGCTTTTGAGTATATATTCTCTCAAGGAGGCAGAGAATCTATATAAAAATATCAAGACTCCAAGTATCTCTGATATGGCTATCGAGAAAAATAGAAGGAACCATCCAAATCCGAAGTTCCTATGCAATGCAGAAGGAAGAAATAACTATACTGTGGTTCTTGAAGACCTTTACTTCAAGCAAAAGACCAAGAGCTTGAAGAAGGAAATCAAGTTAAAGCATCTTCTTGAGGAGTTTTTTAGTGAACTAGACAAATTTGTCCTTATTGCAAACTACTGTCTCAAGAGTACTGAGATCTCCGATGGAGACGAAGATTTCAATTTTGCTTTGGAATGGATAAGAGATGCATTTCATTGGTTAGGAATTGAAGGAGCAAAGTACTACGCCCGGAAGTCGCCTGGCCCATACAGCGGGTGGGTCTCTGATGTGGAGTTTTTGATGAATAGATATTTCTTTAGTCCAGACTTCAACCACGTGAACGGGTTTGACATTAAGCAGTCTGTACACGAGGGATATGGGTTTGTGGAGAACCGATATGGTAAATTTCATCTTTCTTACCAGCCATATCCCGGGTACTACGACGTAAGCAAAGACACCATCCGGTTCTGCTCCGAATGTAACCTTCTGCTTCCTCCCAGCCTGTGTTTGCTTGATTCCCGCTGTCAGGAGACCTCTGATGAAAAGGAGGAAGAAATATCCTAAAAATATAGAATATAAAGCCTATTGTCGTGCTTAACGCTTAAGTCCTGTCTCTATAAACACATTCCCATATCGAGAAATATGGGACTAACGATAGAGAGATCACACAGTACATGGATTTCTATGCCGAAGGCATTCATGAGCCCATTAAATAATTACATGATCATAAGATTTGTATATTTATTTATACTTTAGAGAAGTCGCCCCAATAGCATGAAGAAAGGGAGGAACGTAGCGAGGCTTGCAGCACCCTTTCCTCTGAGATTGAGCTCCGGATCTCCAGGAGAGCCTTTATAGCCTCGAAGACATTCATCCATGTTAGTAAAAGTATATCCCTTTTTCTCTCCTATCTCCACCATCTTCTCCAAGCGTGAAGTATCTCCCTCCTGTCCGTCATGCATTAAGATGATGAAGGAATGGTGTTTGGGATCTGATCCTTCTATCATGGCTTCGAATTCGGCTATAGGGTCGTCGTAGTCATATGGGCAGAAGGTATATCCTAGGGGAAGAACACCTCTCTGGGTAAGGATGGTATATAGCTCAGAGCTAACCTCTCCATTGGATATGGGCACAGACGCATATCTCACCTCAGTTCCACTGAGTCCGTCGATTGTATCTATCTCCCGGTCAATATTATCTTCCAAGGCCTCTTGAGACATATCTTGGTATCCCTCATCCATCCTTGGATCGACTCTCAATCCTACAGTATGTCCTTCGTTGACTGCTCTCCTATACAACTGCCCTACATTTCCGACGGCTTTCTGGTTCACCGTAAACGAAAAAGTAGCTTTCACGCCAAGCTCTTCCAGAGTGTTTAGAACCTTATCGGTCACTCCCCTGACTGGTCCATCTACAAAGTTGATTGCTATCATCCCAGAACTAGTGCATACATCAGGAACTTCATGGCACAAGGCAAATGCAAGATATAATAGGTGAAGCATGGCCAAAAACCTTGTTCATTATTTAAAGTAAAACAAAAAAAAGAATAAATTCTTTTTACCAAAAAGGTATAAATTGAAGTTTCTAAGACAAAGGCACCATTAAATCAAATCAAATTAAATTTAAATTAAAGAAAGATAATCCTAGTCACTCTTGGACGTCAGAATCGCAATCCATCTCAATTGCATGAAGGCCTTTTTCAAAAGCAAATTCAAGTGCCTTATATACAAGCCTATGCCTGTCTGCAAATCTCTTAAATTATACGGCGATCATTAACTTACCATTCCGTTGAATGCCGAAGACTTCACCCTGACGTAAAAATGTGTTTCAAGAACTTTTCCATCTTCGGGCTTCCTATGGGCCACATGATTGGCAGTAGTGTTCCTAACCTCTAAGGCTGCAGGTTTGAACTCATTCTCCAAGGCCCTAGATATCCTTGTCTCAAGATTACCCTCCATTCACAAAATTTTGGAGACAAATAAATTCCTTACCAACAGACTCTTCCGAATTTATTTAACATCATCTTTATTTCTTTTAAGTGCCCAAGAAACTCTATCAGTATAAAATAAATCATTAGATCTGTCATCGTCATAAGTTGATAGATAATAATATTCTTCCTGTCGTTTCCTTTCTGCAGTTCTTTCAAAGTCATTCTCGGCCTTTCTGCATCTTCTGCGTATTTCCGATTCTTCATCCAGCCACTTTGACAGTGCTTCAGAAAACACTTGCCCATCTCCTGTACTACCATACAACAAATCATAGCTGGAAACAAACTTCTCTAAGCAATCCTCTTTCTTGAGTCTCTCTTTATATCTTTTTGCAATGTCGTCAACTCTTCCGAGTATCTCGTCCGAGACCTCCCAAGCTTGTAATTCCTTTTTTTGCGGGAAAACAACCACCATTCCCTGTCCCAGGTCTCTGTTCAGCAGGCTGCAATAGAGATTGCTGATCGATGATTTCTCATAGTAACTTACAATCACCCACTTTGAGTCTGTCCCTTCTAGATCCTTACCACGCTTGAACTCCTTAATCTCTCCAAAAACACTCAGCATCTCTATTAGAAGCTCGTTGTTGAAGCTCTCGGGAATGTTTCCAAGAAATAAAACATCTTCATCCAAATCCATTTTCTCTTCAAGGATATCTGATGAATATGCAATAGTGGTTTTATCCCTCCGATGGAAAAGATAGACAAACTCTTCAACAAAATCAGGGATGTTGACGAGTGTTATGGAAGGTATCTTTCACTCCGAGATGAGAAGGTTGGGCGAGAGAAGGAATTAGATCGAATAGAGAAGGAGATCAAGAGAACTGATTCTATAAGCCTGGAGAAGGAAATAAAGAAGATTGGTGATGAATACCAAAACATCCTTGAAGATATAGAAAAGCTCTCCTTGGGTTCTAAGGAATGCAGAAGTATAAGCGATCTAGAGGCAATTTTTTCTAAGATTGCTGATGGAGATGTGGTACTAAAGAAATCGCTGGAATTTCTTAATCACTCGATTGCTCTCAAATATATTAACTCTTGTGGCTCCGGGGAGGTGGAGGACCTAGAGAGCGGGCATGGCGACGGGCCGATGGTTTTCAAGATAGGAAAGGATGTGGAAACCCTTTTCCAGCTTTCAGCCAGATACATGGAAATACAAGAAAAATGCTACTTTTCATTAAGGTCAATAGTACACAAGAATATGCTAAACATTGTGCCTATTGGCATAAAGGTCTTTCAAGATGACTTGTCGCTGTTTTTTGTATTTAAAGGCCAATCCGGAGATCTTTCCCACTGTGAGTTGGTAGGAAAAGCTATAATGGGTTTAGAGGAGATTTCGAAGTATGAAATGATGTCTCACGTGATATTTGGGGTTTTAAGGGACAATATGAAGAATGCAGTTGTGGAAGAAGACCTCTCCGACGAATCGATAGAAGCAAGCAATGCCTTCTTCCGAGATACAGAATTTTACATTCACAATGTTGTCGAGTGGAAGCTTGATGTTGTCATGAAGGAAATTATCGAGATGACAAAGGGACCAAGGGACATGGAGGCCGTCAAAACCTTTGAACTTTCCAATCGAATGCCAAAATCCATCTCTGCAAGCTATAAAAGATTTCAAAAATGCTTTGAAGTATTCAGAAAGTTGAAGTCAAAGAGACATGAGAAGGGAGTAAGAGTTATTAATAGAGCGATAAAGAAGCTATTTGATCCGAAGAGATATGAGCCCTCCATTTACAGCTATTTTATTGAGTTTGCTGACATAACGCATTTCTTGAGGGTTTATCCTGGGCATTGCCTTGCCGACGAGTTGTCCAAAAGAAAAGAGGAACTATTCTTTGACGTCATCAAGGAATCATCAAGGATCAATGTAGCCCTTGACGAGCCCTTAGTAACTCTCAAACTCTATTTTAAAGAAAAGCATGTGGAGTTTGTTGAAAACATGGAGTTGTTTGTACCTGAAATTAATATGAGTCTGTTTGAAATCCAATTTTTTGAGATGCTTGGTGAAAACTTGATGAAGAAAATCCAGGAATTGAAAATGGCAAAGAGAAGTACTATTGAAAACCTTCCAATATTGATTGATTACATCCTTGATCTCTCCTTCCACCTTCCTGCAGGAGCTATAGGAAGCCAAGGGAAGTTGAAATCTTACAAACAAGTGCTATCTTCAAATAGGGCGGAAGTGATTGAAGGATATAGAAATGGTAAGCTTTTTATCTCCTCAGAAGAGTTTATTTCTCTCTGCTCGTTGGTTTTTCAAGAATCTGAAGACAAAAAACTTTTATTGAGTGAAATTGAAAATAAGTAAAGTTTGTAATTAAAATTAAATTATCCGAATATCTAGATTCCTTCAAAGAAGTTAATTCTCAGGCATCCCTAAAAATGAAATATATTATGGTTTGTGGAAGTGTTATCTCTGGTATTGGAAAAGGTATAGTAAGTAGTAGCATTGGCGTTTTACTAAAGTCAAGAGGGCACAACACTACTCATTTTAAGATAGATCCTTATTTGAACTACAATGCTGGGGAGATCCATCCACGGGAACATGGTGAGGTCTATGTACTTGACGATGGACATACATGCGATATGGATTTTGGAAACTATGAAAGGTTTAATATGTCTGATCTTTCTAGAAAAAACAGTCTATCTAGTGGAAGATTATTTGAAGATTTAATTAAGCGTGAGAAGGAGGGTCATTTTCTTGGAAAGACATTACAGATTAATCCACATGCAATAGACGATGTTATCAGAAGAATTAAGATGGTGGCGGAGACTCCTGTGGAAGACTTCAAGAGCGGACGTAGGGTCATCCCAGACGTGGTGATTATCGAGCTTGGGGGAACTGTTGGAGAGAGCGAGTCGTCTATATACACAGACGCCTTTGCAAAGTTCCAGAGAATTGTTGGAAGGAGCAACTGTGCATTTGTGTCTGTAGACCATCTTGTAGAGCTAGAGAGTGGGGAGCAGAAAACAAAGAGTATCCAGATGGGGTGCAGGAACTTCAGGAGATTCGGGCTCAGCTACGACATCATTGTGTGCAGGGGAGTGCGGGACCCCAGCAAGGAGACGCGGGAGAAGATATCGAAGAACTGCTGGGTGGAGCCTGGGAATGTGTTTGGGCTTCCGAATCTGGAGTCGGTGTATCTTGTGCCGAAGTTCCTTGAAGAGCACGGAATGGTTGAGTCGCTGAACAAGGTGCTTGGGATTTCGTCGAAGGAGGGGGATCGGGAGATACTTGAGACGTTTGAACGACTTGTGCAGAAGCACGAGGACACAGTAAGGATCGGGATAGTGGGGAAGTACTCGCCGGAGTTTGACAGCTACACGTCTCTTGTGCATGCATTGAGGTTCTCTGGGGCGTCTGTGGGGGTGAATGTTGAGATTGAATGGATCAATGCAGACTCGTACACCACAGAGGATCTTGAGAAGTGCAATGGAATTATCATTCCGGGAGGATTTGGAGCACGGGGGATCGAGGGGAAGATCTCGGCGATCCGGTATGCACGGGAAAACAGGATTCCTCTTCTTGGGATCTGTCTTGGATACCAACTATCGATTATCGAGATGTGCAGGAACGTTCTTGGGATGAAGGATGCATCTTCCGAGGAGTTTAACCCGTCTGGGAAGAACCTTGTTGTCAGGTTTATCAGCGACAAGAACGGAGTGGTTGATAAGAAACTGCGAGTTGGGGGATACGAGGTGGAGCTTGAGGACGGACTTGTGAAGAGGTTGTACTCTGGAGCGGAGAAGATCCGAGAGAGGCACCGACATCGGTTCGAGGTTGTTCGATCCGAGGTTTCCTCACTATGTTCGTATGGCCTGAGGTTTGTAGGATTCAGCGACGAGAGAAGAGCAGCAAAGATCTTTGAGCTTACATCGCATCCGTTTTTTGTCGGAGTACAATTCCATCCTGAGTTCACTGCAAGGCCTAACCAGCCGCATCCACTAATAACTGGTTTAATATCTGCATCCTGCCGGAAATTGAATTAAATTAGGTTTAGTAATGTAAATGTATAAAAGTTTTCGGAATTTCGATATAAAGTTTAATATTTCATTATATTAGATTCCATCTCATACTCCATTTTTTTACAGAGATCTAACATCCTTTCAAGTTCTTTTGAGGTCTTTAGTAATGGAATCCTGGATTCGGCTCTCTGCAATATTTCTCTTATCTCGCACACAAGGTTTTCTTTACTACTAAACAATTCCGTTCTGGGAGAATCAGGATGGCTCTTTTCGATTTCTTTTCTAGTTTCTGTATCAGATGACTTGGTTTGCCCTATAGACGTCCTACCACAGAAGGGCCCTCTACTTCTCTTCTCTCGAGGTAAAATGCTTTCCTTTATTCGGGCTGCATATCTCAATGTATTCAGAGTATGTTCAACGTTCTCAGGTGTTGGAGATATTGTAGCTATCAAACAGGTTCTGGATTTCCCAACAAATGAATTCTTAAGTATTTGTGTTAGCTTACTTTGGCGGAACGGAAGATGTTTCCTGTCCTTCTCCATTCCTCTGATGCACTCTTTCAAAGCCAGAAGACTTTTGTTAATTTCTGCACCCTCGTTCTTGACGTCTGATCCCATCTCCTTTCTGTCTGTTCCACGCTCACTCCCCGCAAGATCAACAAATACAATCGACCCTGAATGAACTCTTTGATCATTCTTCTCTATTTTCCTTTCAGAAAAGTTCACCAGAATCACTGCGTGGGATCTTGAAGACTTAGAGTTTGCCCCTGTCACACCAGTCTTCCTTAGTGACATTCCTTTGGCAATAATTTCAAGTACTTCTTTATATCCACAGAACTGCTCTTCTTTTGAGTTAGAAAGATGCACAACCCCATTGACTTCTCTCAGCTGTATGATTTTCCCTTCATCCAATAGGTCATGGACCTGCCCCATGTATATCTCGCAGAACGTTATGGCTCCACAATTCTTGAAAGCCATAAGGTCCTTAATTGCTAAATAGACCATCCCTATGTCCTTTTCCAGCATCGTGTACGTCTTTCCAGTTCCAGTCTGTCCATACGCTATAATGGTTCCAAACCCCCCGGAAATCACATGATTCACAACACCTTTGACACACTCCCTATATACATCGATATTTTTCTTGTCAAGATCAAACGAGTAATCAAATTCAAATCGATGACGTTCAATATACGGCCTTAAATCCACTCGAAGCTTTTCCTCATTGACTACAACACCTCTTCCTTCAACATCAACAATATCCAGACTTGGACTAGTGGTAGGTCTTTTTCTAACACACACAGATATCTTTTCTAGTCCTGTCCCAGACTCCACAATATCCTCCAAGACAGATGCATTTGTGTTGCGTGATTCCAAAATTGTCCTGCTACTATCTGGATCGAGCTCGTCCAGCCCAATTAAAGATCTTTCAAGACTACTTCTTTTTGGCATAGAGCATAAAGATAATCTCTGGCTTATAGTTTCTCCACTTCCAAACAAAAGGCTGCTCCTTTCTGCAATATTTCCAGCAAGAGGCTGGTGCTCACACTTACTTTCTTCCTTATGCCCAAAAGGAAAAGAAAGAAGTTCATCTCTGTAAGAGTCATTTTCGTTCATCTCTATATCCTCTTTGTATATGTCTTGGTTGATCTCATTGATTATATCGAAAACTTTTCTTCTTTCTATGAGATTCTCGATTCCTATTTTTTCCAAATCGGAATATTTAAGTTTTGCTAACAGCTGAGACTCATCTATTCCAAGCCTCTCAAATAATTGATATAGATGTTCCACCTTGCTTTCCGATAGATATGTTCTCAGGTCCTTCATCCCTAGGGCTTGATCCTGCTATTTTATTGGCCATGGAACTTCCATTAGAAACGGCCTAAGAAATATTATTCCACTGTTCTTCTGATGGAGTAAAAACTACCTCCCTCAATGGGAAGCAATTACATAAAGCCACAAAAGAAATACATTTCAAAAGAATTGGTCATGAAGAATCTAGATCTACAGGAAAAGGAGTTTGATAAGCTGGTTGCATTGTGCCAAGTTCATCCCTACATCCCGAAGAACAATAGGAAAGTTGATCAGGGAGATGGATTCTACTACAGGATATCAGATGCTAATAAACTTGTCCACTCCGACGTCTATAAGATACTGATCAAGAATAGAAAGCTTGAGGACAGAAAGAAAAAGTATCTTGGAACTGGACTGGAATACAAAATCGAAAATATCCGTCACGAGGAGTACGGCTATGTAGATTTGATTAGAAGCAGATGTAAAGGATTGGGAGAAGCAGTTGATGAACTAAATCATACGCTTGGTAATTTGTATTTAGCGAGGATGCTGGGTCTTGACGATCGGATATCAGAAACTCTTGGAATGTTTGAGAATTTCATTGCAAGAAAGTCTCTTCTTGAGTGCTCCTATATGTCCAAGGCAGGGGTTTATAACCAGACAACTCTAGGAAAGATAAGAGTGGTTTGGTTTGTTCCGTACCCAGGTGCCGAGTTGAAGGACATAGTGGAGGAGAAGAAAGATTTGCCCCGTAAATTTGAGTGGAGCGAACCCAATTTCCTAGATTTTGTATCGTCTTCTGAGGAAGAAGATTCAGAGTCTGAAGAGATGGAAATTATTTACAACGATCCTGGAAAGATAGACATTTCTCTTTTGTCTCATTCGGTCCCTCTTCTTATGGTGCACTGTAAGTTGGTTCTTTTCAAACTAGAGAAGGTGTATGAGTCCCATAACAACAGAAAGGGAATATTCCAAGACGTAAAATTCTATATAGGAAGCAAAACCATTGAAGGGAGTTTAAGACTCATTGCTTTAAGTTGTGGAGGAGATGTGGTGGAAAGCCCGTGCAAGGCAGACATCCACATCTCTGAAGGAGTGGATGAAGTTATGGAGAATACAATATATGTGCAGCCCCAGTATCTGTTTGATTGTCTGAACCAGAGAAGAAGACTTTCTGCTGAGGACTATTGTGTAGGAAAAGAGTTACCTAAACATGTTTCTCCTTTTGCCTCTATAGACAGCATTATCACAAAGGAAAATCTTATGACAATGTCAAAAACCCGAAGACACAAGATAGAAGATCTGATCAATAGGTTTGAAGATGTTAAATACGAGCATTAAAGGTCGAACTTCAGGACTTGAAAGGAAATAAATCACATTCTTTGATTGTTATTACCTTATAAGCTCTACATTAACCATAGGATCGGTCTTATAGAAGGATGACGGGATTAGACTTAGGCTTAAGATCATATAGCATAAATACCTTACACCCCAACAAACATTCCTGGCATGAAGATAGAGGTGATAATAAAAGGGAGCTCGGAAGATATTTACATACCTCTTGTTAGAGAAACGACTCTTGAGGATATCAAGAAGTTATCTGAGATGGAAGCATATGAAGAGGGATTTGGATTGAATGCATATGCAATTTTAAAGAACTCTAGTACATGCTTGGAATACAGCAGTAAGCTCTATGAAATGTATATAGTGATGTTTCTCAGAATGTTGGATAATGAGTATGTAAGTAAAGAAATCATGGCAGACATAAGTATCGTAGAGCCTGAGACTCTTTCTTCGACTGGGGTTATAAATGCTTTTATTGAAGCCTCAATATGGAAGATTGAGCAAGGAGAACAGCCGGCAAGCAAATATGAGATGTTTATTGAAAAATTATGTGGGAAAATGACCAGTGGTCTTCTTTATGAGATTGCTTCGTGGAGTCTGAAAGAAGACATAGTAAATATAAAGTTGGATTTCTTACTTTTATCGCTAAGGCTTATTGTAATGGTGATGGAAGATAAGATCGAGAAAAAAAGAAAGATAGAGAAAAAAAACATATTTGCTTTCGCTAAGGAATACTTTTACAAGACTTTTGTTTTTCTTGGAGAGATAAAGGACCTGGAGGATGATATGACTTTTGTATTCAAGGCTTCACTGGCTATTGATGCCTTGGTAACTGGGCAGGTGGCAAAAAGAGTGAATGAGGTGTTTCCGATTATTGAAGACCTCCCTATTTCAGGAAAAAACATGTTTAGAATACATATCCAGATGGCAAATATATGTCTGTACGAGGATGGTGCACTTTACGACTTGCTATATTTGGTGTTTACATCCAATTGTTTTACATACCTGGATGCAAGTTATAAAAATAAGTTTATTGGAACTTTAATTGAAGCGGTTGAGCAAGACGGAAAAATTGAAAAGACCAAAAGTATAGCCGATACATTCCGAAAGATTTTCCATAGTCTTCGAGACTCCGAGTCAAAGAACACAGACTTAATGATATGGAACTTCTTGAGCTTCCTATCTAAGCTCAGGATAAATAAGGATATGGGGGACTTCAACAGTATCTTTTTAAAGTTCATTGTGAAGTATCCAGAAACCATTGAACTGTATTCAAACTTCATCCTTATCAACGAAGTTGACTTTCCTCTACACAGTCTGCACGAGATATCTAACTTTGGGTTTATGAAGGAATTTTACTCTATCCTGTTCAAGAAGGCCCAAGAGAAGAGGTATAGCAAGGCCCATGTAGATAAGCTTGTTTCGGAGTTCCTTAAGTTTTTCCTGAGCACAAAGAACAGAGAACTGATTGGTGTTCTTCCTCTTGTTCCGTACATTCCATCAAAGCGGGAAGTGCTTTATGTTTTGTATGAGATATACTCCTTTCTTTTTGAAAACGAAGCAATTGAGCAAGTAGACCTGTTTCTTCTCAAGACTCCGGCTCTAGTTGGAATATCCTCAAGCATCTACTACAATGTAAAATACTTACACCAATTAGCAGCAGGCCTGAACCTTAGAAATGTTGAGCCACGGATGCTTGTGTTTCTAGGGATTGTGTACTACTGTGAGTCCAGAAAGCTATACAACTCGAACTATACAGGAATACTAGAGTATATACAAGATGAAGACGGAATTCGAATGGCCCGAGATGGCTTGATCAGTGTGATAGAGCTTATCCACAATGGATACATAAACAAATCCCATGAATTCACATTTTCGTATGTAAATGCTCTTTTGAACATCGCGCTAGAGCCGAAAACAATTGAAACAACGTTAATGATGATTGAGATTATCTTGAGAAAGATTTTCGAGAAAGAAGAAAAGATCATATTCATGAAAGAAATCCATCAAAGGTTCCAGAAACTTTTCGTTCTTCTTACAAGTAAGAGATTTTTGAGTGAAGAAGTTACCGACTCATACCGCAGATTATACAGGCAAATGCTGGAGAAGATTAGATGTGCACCAAACTTCTACAATTACGTTGTTCTTTGCTTAGCGGATATTTCTTTTTTTGACGGAGAGCTTCCCAAAGGCCATTTTAAATCTTTCAATGACCTATACAATCACACATTATCCAGAATGGGAGTTGTAGAAGAGTTTCCAGACATCTTCATGGTAGACCATGGATGGAATAGCGCAGAGAACACCGAAGAAACGTCCTCCAAATCATTTATGTCCAGTATTCAATGGAAAGAAAACAGGAGAAAATATGGAATTAGAGGAAAAGAAGAGGGACTAAATTCTAAAGAAGAAAAATCGCACGATATGTATAATATAATTCATACGGGAACCAATGACAGTGTTGTAAGTCTGGAGAGTTCGATGGGAAGTATTTCGTTACACAGCTCATCACCCATGCACTCGGTCTCCCGGAATGGACAGATAGAAATGCTGGATGAAGGCATTAGAAAGAGAGAGAAATCTGTTTCATGGCTTATTGATGTGATATACACAAGAAGAAGCCAGAGCTCGATAATAAGAATAGTTCTGGATCTTCTAAAGCTTAGACTTAGAAATATGTTTGAATATGAGGATCTTTACATTCTTCTGAAGGCCTACAACATCCTATCGATTAGGGAAAACGACTCCGAAGAATTCCTGAAGCATGCACTGCACAGAGGACTGGACTTCAAGACTGATCCTGCTATATGCTATAAACTATCTATGGAGACAAATGGGTTTTACAGATTCTTTTTCAGGGCACTTTATTTTGCAGTCTCAAACTTCTCCTGTAATGACGATCTTTCGTTCCCAGAGAGGACCCAGCTAATCTCCAAATTCGATATAGCAGATCTTATACACATACAGAACACATTTAAGCAAAAGATAGTTCAAAAGCTACTTGAAAGATCCTCCACTCCATCCTACAGATCATACTTCTTTAACATGGAATCTCTTGGAATTATTGACTGCCTCACAATAATCAGAAGGATAGATGATCCGTCTCTGGTATCCAAAGCCTTTGAGAGGCTTAAGGACTTTAGAGGTGAGATGCTTTTCTATGTTCCTCAGCTTGTTCAAATGATAAGACATAAAAAAGTGTCTGAGATGGCACTTGCCACATTGAAGGATCTGGCCAAGGATGAATACGTCGCCCATCAGCTGATTTGGAACTTGAAAGCAAACTTATATGGATCAGATAGAACAGAGAGAGATGACTGCCACGACATATTTACACGATGCATGGAAGAAATCATGGGGGAAATGACAGAAGAAGAACGAGACATTCTGCTTAAGGAAGAAGAATTTATTAGTAGCCTTACCAAAATCTCATCAGAACTTATTCCCCATCTCAGATCGTCAAAGGATGAAAAGAGAAGACGCATAAATGAACATCTTTCAAAGATAAAGCTGTCTCCAGGGGTTTATATTCCATTTTATCCTGAGCTCAAGATTGTCGAAATCATGGGAGGGTCTGCAAGAGCTCTTCAGAGTCATGCCAAGGTTCCCTTCATGGCATCCTTTAGGGTTCAAGATCCAGGCGGGCAGATAAACATCAAACAACTAATATTCAAATCCGGAGATGATTGTAGACAGGACATGCTAGCTCTTCAAATAATCTCTATGTTTGAGTCGATATTCAAGCAGGCAAATCTAGACATATTTCTCTATCCATACAGAGTCATAGCTACGTCTCCGGGAACGGGAATTATAGAGGTGATTCCAAATTCAAAATCAAGGGATCAGATAGGAAAAGAGAACATCAACAATCTATCAGAATACTTTGAATACAAATTCGGCTTCAAGGAAAGTGAGGGGTATCTTACAGCCATTTGCAACTTTGCTTCTAGCTTGGCCGGATATTCATTAGTTGTTTACTTCCTTAACATCAAAGACAGACATAACGGAAATATAATGATTGACGACAAAGGCCGAATGATCCACATTGACTTTGGATATATATTGGAGATGTCTCCAGGAAATCTCAACATAGAAGCTCCTCTGAAGCTAACAAAGGAGATCGAGGAGCTTCTTGGAGGAATATCTGGAAAGGGCTTTGAAATCTATCAAGAGTTAATGGTCAAGGGATTTTTGGCTTTGAGAAGGCACAGCAAGGACCTTGTTATGATGGTGGATTCGTTTTCCAATAGCAGGCTTCCTTGCTATAAGAAAAACGCAGTAGAGAATTTTGCTCTAAGATTCAGGCTTGAATTATCAGACAAAAATGCAAGAAGATTTGTCCAGTCTTTAATAGCGGAATCATCTCAGAAGTTTAGAACTTGGATGTATGACCAGTACCAAAAGATTACAAACAACATTGCCTTCTAGAGTCTCAGACGATTTCTCCCCACAAATAAAAAACCCTTGAATCTGCACAAGATGAAGGATCTAATTAGACAAGCACCATTTGACAAACATCTATCACCCTTAGTACCTTTTGTCTCCCAGGGGAGGAAAAAGCAGTTGCCAAGAGTAGAGGGAATATCGAAGTTCATAAAGCATCTGAAATCCCGAGGAAAGAAGAATGAGCTGTTTATAGCTGGGGCGACGGCAAAAGAAGCACTGAAAGAGGCCTTTTGTGAAAGATTCCCAATAAGAGATATAAAGGTATTTAAAAGGTATGCTTTTGTGTCAGTCGAGGAGAATGCAAATATAGATGATGTCCCTGGGAAGTACCACAGTATCGGGGGAAATCTAATATACGTTGACTATGCAAAAGGAGGAGATCCTAAGTTCATCCCAAACAGGCTCAAAAATAGGATCAATTTCTGGCATAACTATAAAAACAAATTCAAGTGAATCTGTCTTTGGTCAGGCGTAAGGAGGAATGAGCATATGATTTGGCTCGACCAAGGAAGACAATATCTTTTTGAGCTTTTGTAGGGAGGTTTCTTCTCCGGCGGACGATGCCTTGTAGAAATAATACAAAGCCTTGTCCAAATCAATTTCTGTTCCAATACCGCTCTCATAGCATCTTCCAAGGTTATATCCGGCTTTCAAGTATCCGCCCTGTAGTGCTTGATTGTAATGCTCGAAAGCGAGCATTGGATTCTTTTCGACCCCAATACCTTTTTCAAAGTAATATCCTAAGGTGTCCATTGCCTTGGGATTTCCCAAGTCTCTTGACTTAATCAGAAGCCGCATTCCAACCTCTTTATCTGTAGAAGAGCGACTCCTATTAAAATATAAGTTGCTTAAGTTGAACAATGCCCACGAATTGTCTTGTTTAGCACTCATTCCATACCACTTGATGGCTTCCTTTATATTTTTAGGTGTTCCGTATCCCTCTTCATAATAATATCCCAAGGTATTCTGAGCTGAAGAATTGTTCATCTTCGCAGCCCTCTTTATAAGCCCAAAGGACTTCTCCGGAGATACCCGGACTCCAGTTCCAGACCTGTAACATAGCGCAAGGCTTATAATTGCTTCATCAAAACCCATCTTAGCACCTTCTCCAAAGTATCTCACAGCCAATCTCTCGTCCTTGGGCACTCCATACCCATGTTGGTAGCAGACTCCTAGTGCATGTATTGAATATTTGTTATTTTCAGATGCAGATTCTTTATACCAGTGGACAGCCTTGGACATACATGGAGGAGTTCCCAGCCCATTCTGATAACAATATCCGATGTTATGTTTCGCTCTACTGAGCCCTTGAGCTGCAGCTCTCTTATACCACTCGAAGGCTTTCTGCAAATCCTTTTTTATTCCAATTCCTTTTTGATAGCAGAATGCTAAGTTGCACTGGCCAGATGGGTATCCTTGTAAGGCACTTTTTTTATAAAACTCAAAAGCCTTGTGAAGATCTTTGTTAACACCTTTACCTTCCTCATAACAATTTCCTAGTGCATTTTGAGCATATGAATTCTCCATCTTCGCCGACAGTCTATACATCTCAAAGGCCTTAACAAGATTTCTCACCACACCCTTTCCTTCTTCATAACAGAATCCTATGTTATATAGGGCTGTTGAGTCTTTCTTTTCGGATGCATATCTGAACAGCTCAACGGCTATTTCCTCATTTCTTTCCACTCCAAAGCCCTTTAGAAAACAATATCCGAGTATTCCTATTGAGCAAATGTTCGCCTCATAAGCTCCTTCGCTGTAATACTTTACAGCCAACAATGGGTCTATTGGAACACCATAACCCTCTTGGTAGCACACACCCAAACAATACTTGGCATAGGGATTTCCATACTTATTTGCATAAAAGAGCCATTCCACACTCTTTCTACCTAGGCGTTTTAGTTTGTCAAGGATCTTTTTGGCCTCTTCCCTGTCTATTGTCGCTGTAGGTCTTCCAAACCACCTTATAAATGCTAGTCTGATCAATGCGAGACCATTGTCGCTCAATGCCGCCTTGCTGTATCTCATTTCAGCTTTCTTCATATCTACAGCCGTTCCTATTCCAAATTCATGGCAGAATGCAGAAATTGCAAGGGAATTCACATCTCTTGCCGAGTTTTCCATGTGCATCTTCAGCCCGAGCTTCTCGTCTCTTTTTCTTCCCACTCCTAAAAGTACTCTGTCGGCTTCTCGCGACATCTTTTTCCCAAAGAACGAGTGAAGCGTATCCATCTACAGGAATTACTAACAAAAGCATTTGTGTATAAAATCCTAGAAGAGTGAAGCTTGTAGCACTTATTATCCTCAATTAAAAGGAACTATTGGAAAGCAGCAAAACAGTTTGGAGCTTGCCATCTATAAAAACTCACTTTTTTTTGAAACACAAGACATTATTTGTTAATCGGGCCAGGCCTTTGTTATGCTTGATTCGATTCTAATTTCCTTTCTGCAATTCCACCCTGATGATTGAGATTGAAGAGGAAATAATCCGCACAATAGAAGAGATAGACAATACGTTTTCTTCCATCAACAGAACATTGAGAAACATACGAGGGTCTATTGAAAGCATAGGTAAGAACAACCGAAAAATAAGCGAAGGCCTAAGTCCATGGATAAGGTTTTTTTCAGTTGAATCATCCGAAAGCGAAGAAAGCGAGTTACTAACCACAGAAAATGAGCCAAGATTGGTGGAAGAGCCCAGCTTCCAAAACATATGTGTTACCGAAGGAAGTCCAATATCGATGAAGCTTTCATCTCCAAGAAATCCATTTGTTGACAGTACCTCGTCGGAGATGTTAAACAAGACGTTTCTCGGAGATCTTTCGGCAAGGTTCCACACAAGTAACGCTGAAAACGAATCATCAAGCTTTGTCAAAATAGTAGAAGAAAAAGCCTTTGAGTCCTACGAAGAGACAGAGTCATCTGATAACATATTTCCGTTTAATCCTGGCATGCTTCCTCCATTGTTCAGGAACGAAGAGGGTCTTTTTCTAGTGTACGAGATTATCTCGAGGGCCCCAATCACGTTGGAGGAGATTTACAATGAGATTTCTACAATCCCAAGAGAAAAGATAAACATATTTGTTGATCTTCTCCTGAGAAAGAGATTTATAGGTAGAGAAGGAAATACATTCCGAACTGCATAAGACCAAGCTAATAAAGTATAAAGCTGCTTGCAAGTTTAAAATGCGACATGCGAGACTCGAACTCGCAACCTCTGGATTATGAGACCAGCGCGCTACCTATTGCGCCAATGTCACTACCACAGCGGAATACCAAGGGTTTTGTGGGCCCGAACTACTTCGAATCATCTAAAAGAAGCCTCTTAAAATCCTATTTAGCTTTATTTGAAATAAAATTCATAAGGAGGGCTTTTGGATGAATAAACAATTGAATGAAGTAGAATCACTCTGTCTAACTGGGATAAAGAAGGGGGATCCGGAAATGGTAGAGATGTATTTTGGGCCCTATCTTTCCTGTAGCCCTTCTACAGACAACAGCGCTCTTATAAAGGCATATATGCTCCTTTATTATCTGTCTACAGGCTCCAAAAAGACTTTTTATACTACTATTGAAACCGTGACGTCTTTAGAACTCTCGGATCCTTGCATCAGACTGGCCATGGAGGTGGATATGTGTGTAAGTATCGGAGCAGTCGAGCGCCTGAGGAGACTCATCGAAGGAAATGGCAGGAAAGAATTTGATCAATTTCTAAAAGGCGTGCTTGAAAATCAAATGAAGATAATGGAGTCGTCTATAAATTACGATGACCCCAGATTGGAAATCCAGAGTCAAGAGGATAAGAAAGTCATTGAAGATGTAACATTCATTGGAAGGAATTTGCCTGCTAACTTTTAGTATTACATGATTAAACAAATATCTCCTCTGCAAGATCGGATGTTCCTCCTTTAAGGTTTTAGTAAATCCAAACTGTTGTTTGGCCGGTTGATTTGAAGCATTGTATCGTATGGTGTTTTGGAACTTTCAATTGGATTTGTCTTGTATCACAAAGAGCTCGTAACTCTTATATTTCTACAAAAACATCCCCATCAAATGCTCTTGGTCTTTCTGAAAAGTTTGTTCCTGATTCTTGGGTCGGTAGGAGGCCTCATAGGGCTTGGAATAGGTATTGTAAAGGCCATAGATTACATCGAAGATAAAGCATACGCTGCAAAGAAGCACATAGAGACAATTATACAGATATCAGCGGGGCTTCACTTCATTCTTTTACTGAGAGGCGTCTCCATTTTTCAAATTCTTTTCAGTCTGTCGATACAATATGCATTTTATTGTCTCCTGGATATCTATCCTCTTGTGAAGTTAGACAATCCATACTTCATATATGGAACAATTGCCTCTCTTCTCAACCATTTCCTTGTCATAAGGTTGATTTTTTCTAATCCCTCTATCTACGGAGCAGAAATAATCCTCTATTTTGCACTAGTCTGGACAACTCCATTTTGTTTTTTCCTAAGCTTAAGTGCAAATGATGAGGTCTTATTTGTTAGAGGGAAAGCGTCTTCAAACACAATGATTGGAAGCTTTTTAAAGAAGTATCTTTACAAAGAGAAGAAATAAAACGGATTTTGTCTTGGAAAATTCATTTATCTACAGATTGAGCAAGCGAGAGAAAATCGTCTTTTCCTTGCTAGCCTCTTCCACAAAGCATTCCTTAAGTCTGTCTGTGAGTGTCTTCTTTTGATCCTCGGTGAGGTCTTGCCTTTTCTTTATAATTGTTTTGATAAAACTCCTTTTGATGTCCGGATATATAAGCTTCAAAGATTTCACTTCTACAATGAAGAGATCGTCGTTTCTTGTATCCATCAACGGAATGACCTTGAGAATTGGAGAAAGACAGGTCTTTACATCTTCCTTATCTCCGTACCCACTAAGCAGCTCATACAATTTTGTATGATCCGACTTCAAAACCTTGTTGCATTCCTCAGCTATGGTGGCTCGCTTTCTCCCCAATTGTTTCATGTAAGCTAATACAATAGATGTTGAAAGCTCGTGAATAAATGTAACAAAGGAGTACTCGCTCATGGTGTTCTGGTAGTCGGAAAGAAAATCCTGCAAAGTTAAAACCACAATCTTTGTAATGTTCCCCCTGTACCATTCATCTGTGAATATCTTATCGATTGCAGGCTGGCATGAGTATATAATAAACTCAGACAGAAATGTGTTGGAAGCTTTTAAGATATCGATGAATATATCACCTAGCTCCTTAACTTCATCGTTATGGTATGATGGCAAAGACGTGATGTACTGGGCTATCTTAAGACCACTGTTTCCAAACATAATGCAGAAATCTTCGTATCCAACCTTACTATTCATTTCACAAGATGGCTTAAAGTCCTTATCCATTGCTTCAACAAGATGTTCCTTAAACATTTCACAATATTTTGTAATTGTCCTTGTTATGTGTGCGAATATTCTATTGTTGAATGCAATAGGCTCAAGCTGCATCCTTATTATTTGAAGGAGGCTGACAAACCCAGGACTCACAAGCTTGTCTTCTTCGTCTCTGGCAAGCTCTTCACTTCTGGCATAAAACTTCTCAACCTCAATCTTGCTTATGTTCATAATCCATTCCCTCAGCTTTTCCTGTGCCGTCCTTGTATACTTCTCAAGGAGTTCTGTCTCGTTTCCCAAAAGCCTTTTCCCCAATGCATCGGCTATCTTATTGAATTTAGATTCAATAGTATCGTAGTAGTTTCCAACATATTCTACAATAGCTAGTATTTCTCCGGCGTCTAGCCTTTCTGTATTCCTGTCAAGGAAGTCCTTCAGGTTATTGTGGTACAGCATAAGAATGTCATCAAATGGATAGAAGCTTAGCTTTATGTTCTCCTTGATAAATGACAGGTCGTTCAATACAAAATCCATCTTGTTCACAAATATCTCTTCGTTTTCTAGCTTATCGAACTTAGTCTTCACAGATACCTTAATAGACTTAACTACCTTATCTTTTAACATTTTTGGCTTTCTTGTTGCATACATTTTATACATTCGGTAGAGCTCCTTGAGCACTGGATCGTCACTCTTTTCGCCCTTTTGAACTTTTCTCGTTAATTCGTCCCGAGACTCTTCCTTCTCGACAATCTGAACTATCTTACCCATAATCTCGTGGTTTTCAATGAACTCTTCGCAAACCTCAAGAACTTTTGCAGTAAAATCTAATGAGTTTTTTTCTATTGTGTTTAGTGCCTTATTGACTTCGATATAGTCGTCGTGCGATATCCCGGCGTTATACATGTCTAATTGGCATCCAAAATCCTCGGAGTCATATACTTTGGTGTGGTATGCAACAATGTCCTCTGATTCCACAGGATCCTCTATGCCCTTTAGCTTGTCGGAAAACTCAATTACTCGGCATAAGTTTGAATGTGCTAAGCATATCATCTTTACAGATCTATAGTCTTTCACAAGAGAAAAAAAGTCCTCTAGAACCCGTACATTTCTGTCTTTGTTTTCTACAAAGTCTTTAAGGTGCTCTTCCAGTGCATATATCCTCTTTGATATGTTCAGTATGCTAGAATAACACCTGGAGATCATTCCTGTAAGATTCTGGTCATGGCGTTCGTATGTTTCTCTGGTGGACCTTTCGATACTCTCTAGCTTTGTTTGTAGATCACTTGGATGCCGAAGCGTCTCCGATAGCTGAGACAATGCCTTATCCATAATGGGCTATACTACATTGTTTTTTTGAGATGAGCACATGAACATTTTTTTCTTCTTCATCTCTATCCGTCCATCCAAAACAGGTTTTCCCTTTCGAGTAACATCACATACGATAACCTCCAGACTTTCTTAACCACAGGTTTTATGTTGAGAGCCTCTTCCAGATGTCTGTCCTCGTGATTTTGAAAAATATGGTCAGGCATGTCTACTATTTTCTCCTCACTTTTGGAAGATTCTTCCAATAGATCTCTGTCCTCTTCCTTTTGGTGGTGCTGTTCAACCGTGTTCTTTGAAAAACATGGATGACTTTCATGGTGCTTCACATAGAAAACCTCAAGACATATCTTACATCTCATAATGTCCAGGGAAAAATACGGCTTGCTTGTGGACTCCTCCTCAAAATCTAGTCTAGAAATCCAGGCTCCTTCAGCCATCTTCTCTCCCATTTATGGAGGTATCTGTAGAAAACAAATGTTACACTTCCATCTGCCGATTTTATCTTTGTCTATTGGGAATGTTTTCGTTGCTAAGAAGGTGCAATGGCCGAGCGGTCTAAGGCGCTGGAATTAGGCTCCAGTCTCATTGAGGCGGGGGTTCAAATCCCTCTTGCACCAGAGTTTTGCCGGAAACAGCCCACTGCATATGCTATCAGATTCCACATTTTAAACTCAATTTAAAGTTTATTTTGCATTCCTAATACCGTATAGAGGAGCAGGCGTATCCTCTATCCTCCCCTAAGGGCCAACACCATGTGGACAACATTCCCAGAAATTATATTCAAGCTGGCAAGTGTGTCTTTTTCCTTCATCAATATCCTCCCATTGCTTACAAGCCTCTGCTGCTCTACAGGGATCAACTCGATGCTCTCTATTTTTTGCTTCAGATCTAGAACAGTGTCCTCAGGATCAACAGTAAGCTCTAAGTCTCTTCCAGCTATTGTCTTAACTTTTATTTGCATCTTCTGGGCTTGTGTTTACAAAACAAATATCCGACATTTGGCTTGGTCTTAGCAATGACTCGGATGTAAATTCGTGTTCTCCACAATCTATATCCAGTAAAATTTTTGGCGTTCATCCTAGATGAAGGAAGATCAAAGACTCGAGCTGATAAAGCTTTTTTTTAAGGAAAAGGGACTTGTAAGACAGCATATAGAGTCGTACGATTACTTTGTAGACCATGAAATAAAGGCTCTTGTAAGAGCAAACCAGATTGTCGATTCAGACATCGATCATACGTTTTATCTCAAATATCTGGACATTCGTGTTGGAATGCCAAGTATAGAGGAAAACATGGTTAACTACGATGTGTTTCCGATAGAGTGCAGGCTAAGAGACATGACATATTCTGCGAATATCTATGTTGACATAGAGTATGTCAGAAACAGACAAATCATTGTTAAAAGGGATATTTGCATTGGAAAAATGCCTGTGATGCTGCGAAGTAGCAGATGCCATCTAAGAAAGGAAGCAAAGGGCATAATAGAAAGTAACAAAACCAGAGACAGGAAGATCCGAGAATCTCAGGAATGTCCGTTGGATGTTGGAGGCTATTTTATTATTAGAGGAATTGAAAGAGTGATATTAATACAAGAACAACTTTCAAAGAACAGGATCATTATCGAGTCCGGGCCAAAAGGGCTATTTGCTTCTGTTACATCTTCCACGGATGAACACAAGAGCAAGACGTCCGTAACCATCAAGGATGATTGCTACTACTTGAAGAGTTCGATGTTCAACGAAGAGATCCCGGCAATAATCGCAATGAAAGCTCTTGGGTTGACACAGGATAAGGAAATAGCGGAGTGCATTGGAAAAGAGTATTTTGAGATTATAGTCCCTAGCTTTGGAGAGTGTATATCAAAGGAGGTGTTTACTAAGGACCAGGCTCTCCTTTACATGAGCAACTATATAAAGTTAAAACCAGAGGACAATAGAATAGAAGAGGTTCTGACTATACTGTCTGAAAAAGTATTGCCAAATGTTCAGACAGAAGGTTGTAATCTAAGGAAAAAAGGGATTTACATAGCACTAATGATCCGAAGGCTTGTACAAACAAAACTCAACATACTCAAGGAGGATGATAAAGATTTCGTTGGGAACAAGAGGTTTGAGCTGGCTGGACAGCTATTATCGATCCTTTTTGAAGACACATTCAAAAGATTTAACTTTGAGTTAAAGAAATCGATAGATAAGATATTGAGCAAAAGATCCAGAGCACAAGAGTTCGATGCATTGACATTTCTGAACCTGCAGGCCAATATGATTACATCCACTCTTTCGAGGGCAATTTCAACAGGAAACTGGAATCTAAAGAGGTTCAGGATGGAAAGAAGCGGGGTAACGCACGTTTTGTCAAGGCATTCCTACATATCTGCATTGGGGATGATGACAAAGATAAACTCTCATTTTGAAAAAACAAGGAAGGTGAGTGGTCCTCGATCTCTTCATACGTCATCTTGGGGGATGCTTTGCCCTGTTGACACACCCGAAGGAGAGTCATGTGGTCTTGTGAAGAATCTTGCTTTGCTGGCGGAAATAACAACCAACTCCGATACAAGACCAGTGCTGGATCTAATGTTCAGACTTGGAGTTGTTGATATTAACTCTGTCTATACAAGAGAGATACATCAGAAAGATATGTTTTCTGTGTTTCTAAACGGGGATATCGTTGGGATCACCAACAAAGCGGGCTTTCTTATAGAGCAATTCAGGCTAAACAGAAGAAAAGGACTTATTGGAAAGTTTGTATCCATTTACAGGGTACCAGCTGAAAAGGTTATCCACGTAGCTTCTGATAATGGCCGAGTGTGCCGTCCACTAGTTGTGATCGACAAAGGAAGGATAAATCAGATGATAATTTCAAACCAAGTTGACAAGTATCTCGAGGCCTTGAATATTTCAGAGAAAATAGAGATGGGAAGCGAGAGATCCTTTTTTGATTGCTATCTCAAGTACAAGTCATTTTCTGATCTTTTAGAGGAGGGCTTTGTTGAATACCTTGATGTTAATGAAGAGAACGACTGTCTTGTGGCGCTTAGGCCTGAAGACATAGTCGAAGAAACAACACATCTTGAGATTTCTGAGTTTGCGATTCTAGGATATGTAGCTGGTCTAGTGCCATTTCCCCATCACAATCAAAGTCCCAGGAACACATACCAATGTGCCATGGGAAAGCAGGCCATTGGACACATATCCCTGAATGTTAAGAAGAGGTTTGATCCTGTGATTCTACAACTCACATACACTCATCGGCCCATGGTGTCTACCAAGATTCTAGATCTTATAAATTACAATGAAATACCTGCAGGACAAAATGCAATGGTCGCTGTTATGAGCTACTCCGGATACGATATAGAAGATGCTCTTGTCTTGAACAAGACGTCGATTGAAAGAGGTCTTTTCAGAGTAGAAGTATATAAAACAATTACGACTTTGTTGAAAAAGCACAGTAATGGTTTGTCTGATATCCTCGGGCCAAATCCAAAGGAAAGTGTCTTAGATGATGATGGATTGGGAAAGCCTGGAAAGATGATAAGAGATGGGACTGTATATGTGAATAAGATGTCGCCAGTGGAAGGAGTGTATAAATTCACAGGTAAAGTTCATCGAGGAGACCCTGCGTATATTGATAAGGTTCTCATCACCAAATCTCAGGATCAGATTCTCATAAAAACTATGCTACGCCAAACAAGGCCTCCAGAGATCGGAGATAAGTTCAGCAGTAGGCATGGACAGAAAGGGGTTGTAGGTTTGATTGTTGGGCAAGAAGATATGCCGTTCAATGATCAGGGTATCTCTCCAGATATCATTATGAATCCTCATGGATTTCCATCTAGAATGACTGTTGGAAAAATAATAGAGCTTATTTCTGGGAAGGCTGGAGTGTTGTCAGGGCAAATACTTGATAGTACTGCATTCAAAGAAAACTCAGTTGAGCAAACATGCGAGCTTCTGGCCAAGCACGGATTCAGTTACTCTGGAAAAGATTGTTTTACAAGTGGGACGACTGGTGCTCCTTTAACTGCATACATATTCTTTGGGCCAGTATTTTATCAGAGACTTAAGCACATGGTAGCAGACAAGATCCACATGAGAGCACGGGGACCCCGGGCAATACTCACGAGACAGCCAACAGAGGGTAGAAGCAAAGACGGAGGTCTTAAGCTGGGAGAAATGGAGCGCGATTGTTTAATAGGATATGGAGCGTCTTCTCTGATTATAGAAAGACTAATGATATCTTCGGATATGTTTGAAGCCTATGTATGCAAACCGTGTGGAGTACTAGCCTTCAAGGGCTGCTGTGTTGCTTGTAAGAACACAAAGCCAGCAAAGATAAAGATGCCATATGCTTGTAAGCTTCTGTTCCAAGAACTCATATCTATGAACATTCTTCCTAGACTTCATATTGAATGATTCATTTATCCCCATGGGAGGTTCAAGATTTGAAAGAGAGTTGGAATTTGTCCAGCTTCTTTGTAATCCCGAATACCTCCGGTGGCTAGCTCGAGAAGGCTACTTTGAATCTGAAGAGTTCAGAAGCTACCTGAAGTATCTAGAATATTGGAAATCACCAAAATATTCAAGATTTCTGGCTTATCCTCAATGTTTGGTGATTTTAGAGTATCTAAACAGCAAAAATGTTAACAGTATATTGAACAATGAAAGTTTTTTTTCGACTTTGGGTGAACAGCAACATTTTATATGGCTAAACAGGCATAAAGAAGATTGGAATAAACAGTAAAATACATTCAAATTTATGGTTTTTATCCGGTACAGGAAGATCATCCATCCAAAGAATCGGATTCAAAAGAAAATTTTGTTTGATATGAGATATCTTCAATTATGTCCTTTTCTTCCATATGAAGAAGTTTAAGATCTTCTTCATCCACAGGTTTGTCCTTTTTGATAATGTATATAAGATAGGTTCCTTCTGGACAGCAGTCAGTGTCAGAATTTAACCCAATTACCTTCATCAGAGTTTCTCTTAATGCAAGAGCAAAAAAGGTTTTTCCAAGTGTTGGTCTTCTGGTATTAATAACTCTTACATATCCTGTTAGCTTCTCATTCTTAGCTCTTATGATCCTCTTTGTAAAAATTGTTCCATAGGTAGTGTCGATTCTGTGCATGTACTCCGAAGGAATCTCCTCTCCGTCATTTTCTTCGGGAGAGAACATGCCCAGCGATTCTCTAGTTCTGCCGGTAACCTTTAGTGCACTGTCAAGGACATATCCGGCTCCACACATTGAATTGGATCTTGAGAACATCTCTGATATTTCCTTGAAACCATACTGAGGATACAGGAATGGTGTGTTCCCAAAGTTCCTTATGTACCTGTACATTTTTTCAAGGTAATCTCTATCTTCACCAATAATCCCATTAATTAATATCTCTCTTGACTTTTCAGATAATAAAGTATAAAGCTCATTTGGAGCCATTCCACCCCTAAGTGTTTTCCCAATCAAAAGCTTTTCTCGAAGACTTAAGACATCTGAGTCTGCAATCTCTGTTCTAGTATAAGGTATTTGGTGTGCTTTTCCAGAAGAATCGATATAGAAATGTTTCTTTATCTCTATTAAGGTAAGAAATTCTGCCATCCCTGTTTCCTTCAACTTTGGCATATGTTTATCTGTAGGACGAAATACTGCAGGAAACGCTTCAAGCAGGAGCTTGGACTCCCCGCTTCCCTTATTAAGAATACAATTCTTGATATATTTGCTGTTCTTCAAGCCCGAATATCCAGAATATGTGGATCCATAGATCCCATTATCATCAAAGAATATTACGTCATTAGTCTTTTCTTTTTGAAACCGAAGGCAATCTCTAACTGTTGTTCCTTCAAATCCTAAATCGAATAGTTCAAACTTTCCCATGGCAGGGCCAAGCAATTTCCCATTTCTTACCTAAAACATGTCTCATCTATGGAATAAATCTAAAGAGTAAAAGATAACTTTTATGCCTTGCCAACACTATTCAAATGCCTGTTTAATTAGATTCGAATGCTGCTTAAACCTATATCCATGTAGACTATGCCATGACAATGCCGAGAAACATAAGGCGAACAGATATGAAATTAGTCACATGGTATGTACTGTCTGTAACCTATTACAGCCAAAAACACAATCCTGTTCGCAGTGTCTTTCGGTCGTATCTAAGTACTTCTGCTCCAAGTGCAACCTGTGGGACAGCTCTGGGGACCAAATATTTCATTGCGACAAGTGTAGTGCATGCAGAAAGGGAGATCCTAAAGTTGCTTTTCACTGTGATATATGTCAGACATGCCTTATAGCCACAGGATCAAAAAACCATATTCACGTGGAAAATACCACTTCTGGAAACTGCCCCATATGTGCAGAAGATATGCTTGGGTGCATGGAGGTTCTAGTTCTCCTTAGGTGTGGCCATTCTTTGCATCAAAGATGCTTTGATGAATTCATAAGAGAGACTTACACTTGTCCCATATGCTCAAAGCCAATAGGGGATACCTCCACTATTAACAAGAAGGTTGAACATATTCTTGAAATGGAGCTTCTTTACCCAGGGCAGGAAATCAAGAGTGTCATTAGATGCAGTAATTGCAACAGTATGTTGAAGTGTAGATCTGCATGGGAGAAATGCCCTTTTTGTGGCTTCCACAGTATGCTATCATCCTCAGCCAAAGAAAAAACATATAAAGAGATTATGGATAAGTCTTGAAAGATAATTTAAAAATAGACGAAAGACTCTTTGTTTTATGTTTCCGTACCCTTTAATGCTGAGGATCTCCATTGTTCCAGACACAAATGTTTTTATATCACATCTGGAAGTAATCAAGAGACTCTATGAAGACGAGTTTCCTGTAGATGTTATTATGTCTATATCGAAAGTTGTCCTAAGAGAGTTGGACTATAACAAGAAAAAGAAGGTGGAGGCCAGAGAGGCCATAAGATTTCTGGAGAAGGTATATAATGCTCCAATAACCGAGCTAGAGGGAAGATTGAAAGACAGTACAATGGATCTTGTGGACACCACCAAGTTGATACAGAACACAAAGAACAACGATGATGAGATTTTGAACTTTGCATCTAAGCAAGTTCATCCTGTGATACTGACTGACGACAAGGCCTTCCATCTCAAGTCTAAATGCTACAACATTGCGTCTATTCTTGTACACGACCTGGCATATGAAGATCTCAAATTTAAGATTTTAAAGATCTACACTGGAGTCGAGCCGATGGACATTGACGAAGACAGTAATAGACCAGACGAAGATGAACAGATGAAAGAGCAAATTCGAGACAAGCTTTTTCCTGTAGTGCTGACAATAATGGAAAAGGGAATAGGTAAGCCATACGCTCTTTTCTTCCCAAACGATTTAAGAATGATAACTCTTGATTTCCTTTTGGACCTGATAATAAAGGAAAACTATCTGTTTCGTCCCTATCTTCCAAGAAGATCCAAGGAAGTAGTCCAAAGCTTAAGGGAAAGAATTAAAAATGCTCATGGAGAAGAGCTTCACAGCCTAGGCTCCGAGCTTTTGATGCTGTTTAGGATCGTGTATTAGTATTTTTCTTTAATAAAGTTTCTTATCTTTCCCTTTTATCTTGGGAAAACCTATTTGTTTGAAATTTGGTTAGTATGCCCGCTCATACCTCCAGATTCAATATGTGGATCTGATTCCCTACAAACACTTGTAGATTCAGCTTGGAGGATTCTTCAATGTGAAAAGAGGTTGTCCGAGCTTCTTCAGAAAGCTTTTCATATACTTTTTCTATGCTCGTTCCATTCCCAGCCAGAAGTTTTATCTCAAGACTTGGAGGTGTCCTAAACTCGATGGTGTAGTTCTTGGAAACAGTAAAGTAGATAAAATGTTCCGAGACAACATGGATTATCGAGTCTCCAAGTTTAGTGTTGAGTAAATATGCTGTGTTCAATAACATGTCAAGTATATCCGATGTATCTTCCTCCTTTAAGATCTCCTTATATTTTGCAATTAGTATATTACGGTTATGGGTTAAGGATCCGAAGTTCAACATACAATCGAGTAGTCTTATCAAAGTGGAGATCTCCCAGCCTCCGTTTCTTTTAACTGATAAAATATTGAGATGTCTTTCAAATATTGTAGTGTAAAGCTCTTCGTTTTCCATTCCAGACTGTAGCAGTTGGTATATCAAAGGAAAATACCTACTGTTTACCGTCACACAGATTCTATTGAATAGTTTTAACATATAACCTTTGGGAATGTTTTTGTCCAAGGGCATTTTCAGGCATATCTCCGGAACTTCTTGATATATCTTTATCATATGTTCGTCTTTTACATACTGCAAGAGCTTTGAAAACACTGTGGCCAATACATCATTCACCGTTTTTTTGCCTGCTCCTCCCTTCTCCATGTAGAATATCATCTCTTCTTTCTTTTTGTATATTGTTTTGTGATTGTTTCTTGTTATAAGAGAGATGAGTGTTTTAAGGCATTGGTCGTGGTGAAGACCAAGCTTTATGCAGCATTCTATAGCTATATCTCTATGGATTTTGTACCTTCTTACGATCTTGAGTCCAAAATATCTTGAGTTAGGATTTTGTGACTCTATAAGCCGAAGAACAAATGCCTCTGCCTTTGGAGTGATCTTTCCAATCTTCAGTAGAAACTCAACAGCCTCAATGGCCAATGCTATTTCGATCTGTGGACGTACCTTGTCTTTAGGAGGGATTATCACCCCATCGATTGTGTCTAGAAAAGCTCTGTCCAGAGATAACTGATTCTTGGAATGGAGTATTCCAAAAACTTGTAAAATCTTGATTCGGAGAAAGGGATTATCACTCTTCATAAAAAGCGAAAGAAGAAATAATATGTCGTTTTCAGACAGATCAACTTTTCCAGTCTTCCCAAAGATATCTATTAGAATCTGGGATTTAACATAAACCTCGGATGGATCTTGACCTACAATAGAGATTTTTCCACCAGGATTCAATCGGAAAAATGCTACAAGAGCCTTTTTGTGGAATGGATCTCCCTTCCCTTTTGGACAAACATGTCCCATGAGATTGGAAAGGGCCATTCCATCATTGTTGAGATTGCAAATCGAAGTCAATGCGTCATTTCTTGTTTCCTTTTTTCCCAAGTCCTTCATGATAGTGTTTATTGCCATGATAACATACTCGTCACTTTCCATGGCCATCAGACCAAGATACCCGGCAGTCTTTATTCTTAGAATATCTGATTCGCAGGCATTTAAGAAGTCGATCTCGTTTACTTCATAGGAAAGCATTTTCATATATATGAACTTCAATACATTGGAGTGCCTTATGTGTGGTTCGGCCTCGGCAGACGAAGTCATCTTGCGTCTCTCTTTTATTATTCTGCCTTCTTTTTCATGAATAGGTAGTTCACGAAAGGAAGATATAAACGCAGCTAGTATGGGATCTATTCTTGTTGACATTGTTATTAGCCCCAAGTAAATATTTAGATCTATGGTTTGATATTGTTTATGTTTATATCTTTCCTGGATCTGTAGGAAAGCCACGGCCTTACATTACATCATAGATTTAGAAGGATTTCTAATAATAAATGTTCTATACAAAAGATTTTTTCTGAAGGAAGAAAAGCCCTCATGGACAGGATGATTGAAGAAGTAGTAAGGAGGAAAACACGAATGTCTAATGAAAACCTCAAGGCATTGTTTAAACAGAAGAAGCCTGATGGACAAGAATCCGTTTCAAAGATTGAAGTCGAGTATGAGTTTGTAGTCAAAGTTGATCCCACTAAGTTTGCATCATGCCCTATTATAGAGGCTGGGAATGATTACTACTTCTGCACTTTTGATGGAAGAGACTTAATGTTTAACCCTAAGCAGGTGTCACCTTATATTTTTCTTCCATTTCCTCTACGTAAAGTAATATTCCACAGAAGTGGAGACAAGATGTATTTCATAACTTTAGACACATCCAACAAGCTCCAATATTCATTGTTTATTAATGGGTATCCTGCCGAAGAGAGGAGTGTGATTTCAAGAAATGTACTTCAAGTCACCAGGCAGTCTGGTAAAGTCTTCTACATTTCCACCAAGAATGAGCTTCTGTACATAAACATGGTTGTGGAAGATGGAGGAGCTCTTAGAGGACGAATGTGCGTCTCTGGAATAAAATCGAAGCTTAACATCAGTATTTTCTATGTTAATTCGATTTTATTCATGAATGTTGAGTCTAGGTTCCACCGAGAAGACGGAAAAGAACTTCCGGTTCAAGGAGACCAAATGTGCGAGATAGGAGGAAAGATTCTTGTTTTGGATGGAAAGGAGAAAGAACTCTGGGCTTTCTTGCTGGATGAAGAGTATATCTTGATCAGCCAACTAAAGATCCCAGTGTCTAAACGTGTGTCTAATGTATTTCCGTTAGGTAATACTGTAGGTGTAGTTGTAGGAGAGGTTTTGTATTTGATTAATGAATGCAATGGAAATCTATTTGTGGAGAGAGAGGTTGATCTAAAGACGTCTCCATTATATATAAGTCTTTGCCTCAAGGACAATGTTGTGAAAATATCTGAAATAATAGCTGACGAGACATCTTTTCCTAAAGAAGCTGATGATATTAACACAACCTCAAAAGATTCAGCCAATATTCCAGATAGCCTTCCGGAGGGCAATCCGGAAATGATGGATAGCATTTCATTTGATGGTGGAGACGTAAAAACAAATAAGAATGATTCTCGGGCTAGTGGAAAGTTTCCTCTTCTTGATAGCTCTCCTTGTCCAAACTTATTCTTGGGGAGCCATGAAGAAGGGAAAGATGGACACAGGACAACGGAAGAAAAAAGCGTTCTAACTAAGGAAGAATTTTCTATGGACCATTTTAGTCCTTATATACCTGATAAGAGTGATTGTGGGGAGATTAAGTTCTTGAGTGAAAAGATAGATTCCATCCTGAAGGTCCAAGAGAAAATTGAGAAGAAGATGGATAGGATTGAAAGAGACAATAGCGAGCGGTTCCGAAAACTGATAGAAATATCAGCTAGGCCTGGGGAATCGCAAAGGAATTCAGGATCACAAGAGTTATCTGGAGGGGAACTGGAAAGGATAATAGGAATTTTGAACGGTCTCGAATCCAAGCTTAAAAGTGATTTATCTAACGAGTCTAAGATTTTGGATTGTGTTAAGAAGATTATTCTTGGGACCTTAGTGCCAGCAGTAGAAGCAGCAATGGATGAAATGAGGATCCAGGTGATCAATGAGATAAGGCTTATTCATAATGAAGATCATCTTAAAAATGTTAAAAAAGCCGTGGATTGCCTCCATAGTTCCTTTAATAAGCAGAACGAAATCAAAGGGCTTATTTCTGAAGGGCTGATTGAGGAGGCAGCCGAGATTGCCGTCAAGGGATCTGAGTCAAACCTGGAGACCTTTGTTTCCAATGTTGAAATATCTTGCTTAGAACATCTCGCATCTTCCATACTTGTTGCTCTTCTTGAAAGAGTCCTAGTGATGGCTAAAGACGAATTTAAGCCCGTCTACCAGAACTTTGCATACATGGCAATGATGTGCTTGGAGCCCAATGACTTAAATGATGAGGAAATCCAAGTCCTGGAGATTCTAATGGCATACATCAACAACATTGAGGACTTTGCACTCAATGATACCAAGGGATTGTCAGTTCTTCTAGATTTTCAAAGACTTAAGATAAACAAACTTAAGGACAAAAGAGGAATCAGATGATTAATTGAAGTATATTAAATTTAACTTAAAAACTTCTTTTAAAAGCTTTGAGGGTTACTATTTATTTACTTATGCAGATGATGTCCCTTGGGAATGAGAATTATTGCTATAACTGGAAACACCGGAACTGGAAAAACGACTTTTTTAAACATCTTGAGAGGGCAAGGTTATGGGACTGTCAACTGTGACAGGATAGTCCATAAGATGCTGAAGAGCGAAGACAGGAAGACTATATCTCAGAAGTTCTTTACCGACCCGGGCTTCAAGGAAGCTCACGAAAAAAGAATAAGGCCAAAGATATACATAGAGACAATGAAAAATATAATTTATTTGCTGTTGGCAGGCCATGGAGTCATATTTGTCGAGATTCCATTGTTGTTTGAGTTAAATCTTCACCGTTATTTTTACACAATAGTGATTGCATGTGATGAAGAACTCCAGATAGAAAGGGGAAGAACATTAAAGTATCTGAAAGAGCGGTTGGCCCTACAGCTCCCCATAGAAAAAAAAATCGAGCTCGCCCAGGAGGTTATACACAACAATGGAGATATTGGAGATCTAATAGAAAGAGCCAGAGATCTCGATCTTCGCGGATCTAGCATTTATTGTTGTTTGTTAATTATATCAACTGTAATTTTTCTAATAGTTTGTGAGTAGATGTCCGAGCCTTTTGGATACAGTGTATTAAAAGCAACAAGCTGGTTTAATTTCTGCATCTTCTGATTCTTTCATCCTTGAGATCAATTTCTTCTTGAAGATCTTCATCTGTGCCAAACTCATAAACCTTGACTCTAAAGTCCTCCACATGTTCTTTAAAGACCTCGTCGTCTCCACATAACTCAAATAGTCCTACGGAAAATATCTTTACAGACTCTTGAGTTATGTTTGGAAACGATTTTACAAATAGACCGACGATGTATTCCGAAAGGATATTGATATTAGAGTTAATGCCATCGAGACTTGGGATGTCCTTGCTTATGCGAATCATAAAGGAAAGGAGAAGACACTGCTGATCAAAGTTGTATCTCATATCCTTGTCAAATATTATTCCCAGGATGTTTTCAAGAGTGGACATGTAGTTCTGCGTATAAAACTGGAAGATCTTCTGCTCATAGCACTTCTTAAAGAGGATGGTTAGACAGTTCAAAGACAAATCCGAGACATCTCTTATACAGATTAGAGAATACAGAAGAGTATTGTATACTTGGCGAAAAGAGGGTTGCCCAAACAGAGATGAAAAGAACGAGCTGAAGGAAAACTGAAGCATGCTCTCTATAAGATAAAGATAGTTTTTAGAGATCTCCAGATTTTCATCTGCCTGCATTACAAAGGGAATGGATGGCTCGATCAAAGATGAAATCATAAATGCTTCTCTTTGCAGGTATATAACAGATCCATCATTCTCTACATTCCGCACTATGCTTGAACCCAAAGCCAATATTGCAGGTTCCTTGTAGACTGAGTTAGTCTTATAGTCAAAAATAATTTTCTCGCAGACCGTATTTACAAAGCCGTCCTGTACAAACTTGGAGTCGATTACGGTAGTAAACAGCTCGATTATTTCCATTTTCACTGCCTTGGCATTGTTAAATGCTGTTCCTTCTTTCCTTTCAAGTGTTATAGAGTTGCAGATATCAAAGATTGCAAAGAACTTTGGAAATATCTGGATGCAACTGGAAGAGCATGTTTCTGGAAGAAGCCTATAAGTTAGTGCATGCGACTTTAGGACATGTGAAACCATCTTGGCCTCTTCTACATTGGATATCATGCTGGGGAGTCTGTTTATATACTCATCGGCTAGAATATTAAAGTTTAGAAGAGAAGAAAGAAGGAGATCTGCATAGCTTAGGACTCTAGACTTATAATCCCTTGTTTTGGGAACCTCCCGTATGACCATAAGAAGTGCCTCATAAACAATTCTCTTCTGATAAAACTCCAAGGTTCCAGTGATTACTGAAAGATTCTTCAATATGTAGACAATGAAAATCTCGTCATTTTCTCTTTGAGTGAGAAACTCTACAGGGCACTTCTCTACTATTTTAAAGAAATTATCACAAGCCATGTCCTTAATTCCTTCATGGTCTTCATCCATAAACTCAAAAAGCTTCTTTACCACGGTTTTCAAAAAGCTTTTGTTGTGAAGAAGGAACCGATGATACTGGCCAATTATAAACATGATGTTAGAAGCTATGACTGCCTTGTCTGTTTTAAAGGACTTCATCTCGCACAATGCCAGCAGATGCTTAAGGATGTTAACAAAAAACTCCCTTTCGTTGACCTCCGAAAACGCACCAGATATAGAGCCGATGGCCCAGCACAGCTTGTTTAGATAATTACAGTCCCATTCTTTATCATCAAGCTGAAGTCCAACTTTACTTATAAAATACTTCTTCATGTCTTCCTCAATAAGAAAAGCCAGGTGATATAAGCATCCTCTCATCTTTCTGTAGAATTCTATTTGGTCTGTGTCAGTCATTTTTTTCCTTATTACCTGGTTGTACTCGTCAACCACAATAAACACTTCTTCTGGCCGGGGCATTTTGTCAACAAGAGTTCCCATTAGTTGGTTCAAAATACTGGTATAATTAGATCTTCTCAATCTCTTCGAGGAATCCTGGCTAGTAAATGGAAACTCCGAGTATAAGTCAAACACAAACTTATTCCACATCTCAAAAGCAATCGAAAAGATGTTTGTGTTGTTTATCTTGGATATTTGTATAAGATAGCCAAGCCCTGCCTTTGCATTTACAATATCCTTGGCTTCTAGTAAGTCTATGTAGACTTCATAGAAAGACGACAAGAGTTGGGCAAATTTAAGGACAAAAACTTTCTCTGACTTGTCCATACCTCCGTACACTTCATAAATCCTCTCCTCCTGGAACTTATTAAAATACATTTTGAGAAACTCAATGCATCTCTTATGAATAATAAGAATCTTTTCCTTTTCTGCACTTTCTATGTCATGAGTCCTAGAAAGGCTTCTGTTCCTTCCTAGGTCGACAATTTCAATCAAGCAACTCAGACATGCAACGCTGTGCATGGAATTTAAGTGTTCCAGAACCAAGTCGATTATCTCTGTGAGAAAGATAAAGTTAAGAGGCATGGACTCACAGAAACACTGGAATGATTCAAGTGTTGTTTCAAGGAGACTCTCGTCCATCTCGGAATTCCGAGAGTACTCAAGAATTGTCTTTATAAACCCAAATATTTGCGGGAACTCAATCTTTAGCTGATTTCTTAGGACTCTCTTTCTGACAGTTGTAATACTGTCCTCAGAAAATATAAAGACTTCCTCATTGAGACGTTTGAGAATATTAAGGCTATTTCTGCATACTTCCATACTTATTCCTTGAGACACATTGATAAGATCTGTTATAAAGGTAGGCCATCGTCGGGGCCAATCTTTCTTTGCAATCTCGATAAGAATGGTGTTCAGCTCTTGCAAAACATAGTTTTCCTTGCTTTTGGTCTTAGACTTCTCAACCACCAGCTGGAATACATACATTCTGAGGCCCTGCTTCATCCCCTCATCAAATAACGACCACTTTGTCTTTACCATTCCTTCTAGAAGCTGTAACGCCACATAATGACTTTCCTGGTGTTTACTGTTGTTTAAGATGTAATCCACCTTCGTCCATGAGTTTGGAAGTTCCTTGAATTTCAGTAGTACCTTCTCGGCCTCCTCCTTCTTTCTGTTATCTGGGCAGTTTGCATTCATCACAACCTCGTCAAAGATGTCAATGTTGAGATCCTTGTCTAACTCCAGAATCTGTTCCATTTTGGGACTAGGTTTTAAAAATTTTATATTTGGCTCAAGACATTGTACCTAAAAAAGAGAATTCTGATATTGGCTTGTTGTATAAAATAAAAAGTTCTTTGATACACGTCTTATTGACATACGTTTATAATTTGTTCGAAATTGTTTATTCTCCAGGACCCAGAAATGAAGAAAAATAAACTACTTGGAGGAAATTGGAAGATGAACCCATCACTAAAGACCTTAGAGATAGCCAAGAACTTCCGGCAGAACTTCTTTTCAGGTAACGATACATTTATTGCCGTACCTTTTCCTTATATTTATTTTGCAAAGAAAATGTTTCCTGAATATATAAAGGTTGGAGCACAAGATTGTAGTCAGTTTGAGGGAGGCCCATATACGGGGGAAGTCTCTGCTTCAATGATAAAAGAAATGGGAGCTGAATATGTAATAATTGGACACTCCGAGAGACGTAGATGGTTTGGAGAGACATCTGAAGTTATAGCAAAGAAGATCAGAAATGCCCGAAGCCAAGGACTGAAAGTTATTCTATGCATAGGAGAGGAAGAAAAGTGCAGAAAACAAGGAAAATATTTGGATGTGATAAAAGATCAACTCCTTTCGTTAGGAGAGGATGTCAAGGGAGATGGAATTGATATTGCATATGAACCTGTATGGGCCATAGGAACAGGGAAAATTCCTACAAATGACCAAATTAGGGAAGTAGTTTCCAATGTTAAGAAGTGGGGAGAAAGCGTGGGTTTCGAAGGGCGTGTAATATATGGAGGTTCGGTTTCAATGTTGAATTGCCAGTCCGTTCTTGATGTTGAGGAGGTCGATGGGTTTTTGGTTGGGGGAACTTCATTGAAGATGGACTTCTGCATGATATCTAGCGAAATGGGTACAAAAAGATGATTACATAGTGTCTTGTAAAATATGTTCTATCTACTTGGAATTATTTAAAATATAAAAATACCGAACCCTAAAATGGCTTTTGAACGAAGAATTTGCTCATTAGGAAAGACGCCGATTCCATCATCCGACAAGGGATCAGTTCAGATTGTGTTAGCTACGCTGGATCAATATGGCCAGGTGACAGGGGAGACAACCATTTACGACATAAGCGGGGCGGTTAGAAGGTCTGGGATGGGAGATAATCTTCTCCTTGAAAAGATAAGAACTGAGGAATATGGAGCTTGAATAAAATTATATTGCACTATCAATATGTCTATTCTTATATCAAATAAATTTCTCTTTCCTCCACCCTGAATGGAAGAAAGGAGATGTCCTGTATGTAAGAGCGATATCTATTTGAATCCGGATATAGTGATATACATAGGTCCTTGCTTTCATAAGATGTGCGAATCCTGTATGCTTAGGATATTTAGTAGGGGACAGGCACCTTGCCCTGAATGCGGAACGGTACTAAGAAAGATAAACTATATTAAGCCAACTTTTGAGGATATAATTGTTGAAAAGGAATGCAAGATCAGGAGGACTCTTCTAAGGGTCTTTGGGAGAGAAGAAGAGGAGTTTGATGGGGATGTTGTCAAATATAACAATTATCTTGAAAGATTTGAAGAGCTTGTGTTTGAGATTTTGAGCTTCAAAACCGAATCTCTTGTAAAAGAGAGAATAAGAGAGATTCAAGAAATGGGACATAATTCTATTCTCAATCCTGTTCCAAAGGTTGGCCCTAATAAGGGAAAGAACATACTTCCAGCGAGAAAAAGGCAAATCGGGAGCTTGGACGAGAAAAGCGAGGCCAAGACACAAAAAACTGGTATTGCTAATGATTACTTTGATCCAGAAGAACTTCCAAGAATAATAGAAAAGTCTATGAAGGAAATTTATTTACCAGAGGGCTTTCTACAGCCTAATATTCCTGGAGGATTATCGTACGATGCAGTTGTGTCTTTTGCAATATTGTCAATAGAGAATCCTAGTATTTAGAACTAAAGAAAAGGGAGACCACCAGTGTGCTTCAAAACTAGCTCAACATATTCGCCAGGGTTTTTTACAATTGCAGCCTTTTCTTCTTCGTTTAAACTCTCCGATATTCCATGAATTTCATTGTATTGAACTTCAAGAATCCGCTTTGCAACAGTTTTTATATCTAAAACTTCGGATAGGCTCGGGCTTTCTTCATCATTTAAGTCCTCTTTATGGGGAAAGGCGAATGCCCTAATTTCACTGGGTGTTATACCGTCGGATGCAAGATTGTTGAAAAGACTGTCTGGAAGTCCAAAGTATCCAAGAGGGTTAGAATATGTGTCTGAGGAAGTTTCCAATGGAGCATTGAATATTCCTAAAACATAAAACTTGCCATTAAATATTATGTGCTGTGAGTTTATGGGGATGCCATATCTTTGGTATATCTTGGATTTTAGATCCTCTAAGTTTTGGAACTGGCCGTCTACATAGAGATCATCGTGGTTGACAGCCTTTACAATCATTCGGTGGAAGGCCCTGTTAATGGAGAAAAATTATATGGATAGAATTCGAAGAGCACTGGAAGTATTTCCAAAAGAATGGAAGGAACGAGGGAAAATCTCCAGTAAGAAAGCATACAATTTGATTGTAACCGAGAGAATATATTCAATTCCATGGGATCGAACTTTTTCTACCAACCACAAGATATTGTATCCTAAAGAGTTTATAGAGGGATTTGGTAAGGAATATGTATATGAAGATACTTCTGTAGTTGGAGAATGCAATCGTTCGTTCACAGAAACGGACAACCCTGAAAATATTTACTACGAGGCCCAATGTTTTTTGGGTGAAGAGGTAATAGCAATATTCACTATGTCTGGTGAGGCTCTTCTTTCGGATTTGGCAGCTCTACTCACTGGGAGTAATAATCTGACAAGCAAAGTGTTTTTTGTGATAGAAAAGACAATTTACTTGAAAAATATTGACGAAAGTTCTATAAAGTTTGCCACCATGATGTTTCAATTGAAGATATTTGATATTAAAAAATGGGATTTTAAGGCTGATAAATGCATAAAGGATATATCAAAGGAAATCTATTTTCATGACGGGAGATTTCTGAATTCAATCCGGATCACAAGAATGTTCTTTTCGCAAAGAAGAATGGGGTCATATGTGTCTGTAAAACATCTCCATGGAAGAGCACAGTTGTGTAAATGCTGCCTAAAAAATAATGCGGTACTAAAGATAGCTAATGATCCTATTCTTCCAGAGAAGAAAAAATTTATTTGTAGGAAATGCTTTGAACACCTGTTCCTAAGCAAAGAAGGGAATCAGCGGTACGAAGATGTCGTGGTAGAATTTCTCCATTAATACAATTGAGTATAAAATAAATAAAGAACAAAGCAGAACCTTAAATATAATATTAACCCTTTTGTAAATGTAATTTATTCATTTAATTGCGATGATGGAGGATTTTTGACACTTGTAGGGAATCTATCTCACGAGTACGCCAAACAAACTAGTATTTTCTATTAAACAAGACTTATAACATATGTATTCTTATCCTTTATTGTTCTGTTGAAGGCCTAAACATACTTGAAGACCTGATATGTAGAAAGTTAAAACAAATTGGCGGAAAAAAGCACCCCTTATGCCAAGAGACTATGAGAAAAATCTCAGTAATCAAGAAAGTGAATCATGGCAGGACGGTGGGCATGTAAGAAAAAGGTATTATCCGGATGAGGGTATACCAAGATATGGAAATCAAGGAGATATGAGGGGTGGAATGAGGGGATACTATTCCGATGGAGGGCACATGGCTTCTAGTATGGGAATCAAAAGCCGAGATTCTGGTTTAGATCAGGGGGTTGTCTCCAGGGGAATTACAGGGTCGTCTCCTCCAAGGACCTCGCACGAAGATGCAGACCTGAGCGATGCAATGATGTTCCTAAACAAAATCAAAGAGGAATATGCAAATGACATGGTGACTTATGACAACTTTCTGGAAACAATGAGAGATTTTAAATTTGGAAAGATTGATGCGGAAGAAGTTTGCAGAGCTGTCAGGGTTCTATTCAGAGATAAGCCCCATCTCATCGAGATATTTAATGATTACTTACCCGTACACCTGAAGTTTTATGGAAATCCTTCGGTAGGGACAGTTGCTCGGCCATCAGATAGACAAATGCAGGGGATAGGATCTTCTTCGCAATACAGAGGAGGATTATATGGATCTTCAGGAAGAATGGGCCATCCACAGCCAGGAATCAATGGACCTTCGTATATAAGTCCCCATCACGGGATTCATCAAAGTTATGGAAGTCAACCCCTTGTTATGCATTCATCTATGAAGATGTCTGGGCAGGAAGGAAAGTATGCACCCTATGACCAAAGGAGAACAGAGGAGTTTGAAAGGATGAAGGCAAGACAAGCACAAGATTTTATCCAGAAGGTGAAAAAACGCTACTCACATAATCCAAGCATTTACAGGTCTTTTGTGGAGATTCTTCAATCTCATCAAGTGAAAAATGGACTATTTGAGAAAATGAAGGCAGAAGTCAACAGTCTTTTGTGGGAGAGTCCTGATTTATGCGAGGATTTTGAGAGAAATTTTGTCCCGTCTAGGAGACATATGCTGTATGATGAAAAAAATATTCTTCACCGGATCAAGGAGCTTTTGAAAAGTAAGAATCTTCTCGATGATTTTTTAAAATGCATTAACTACTTTAATCAGAAATTCATTAATGAAAAAGATCTTTTGGAATTAGTAGCACCTCTTTTGAAAAATGAAGAACTCATAAGAGGATTCAAGGCATTTATAAACTACAAAGAACCTTTAAGAGAAACACCGAGGAGCCTTGAAAAGTACAAAAAAGAAGGATCCTACAGAATTCTTCCAGAAAAGATAAAGAGTGAAAGACAGGATCCTATAGCTAGGGAGGTATTGAATTTCACATGCATAGGGTGCCCAACCTTCGAATCGGAAGATTCAAACTATGTGTTTTTGAAGCGAAATGTGCATGAAGAGGCATTGTTTAGGATCGAAGACGAAAGATCAGAAGCAGACTTGGCTGTCGAAAGAACTCAATATTTCATAAATGCTTTGGAGCAAATAATCAGCTCAAACAAAGACTCGGAAATTAGCATGAGAGATATAAAAATGTCTCCAGGAATTATTAAGGAAATTTTGAAGAGCATCTATGGCAAATCTGCACAGGAAATACTCGAAGGAATTTTGATGAAGCCACACATAGCAATACCGATTGTAATTAAAAGACTTTATATGGTGAACAAGAAGCTTAGACTTTGCATGAAAGAAAAGAAAAAGATATGGAGAGAGGTCATAGAAAGGAATTATCACAAAGCGCTGGATGTTACAGGACCATCGTATAAATCGTCGGAGAAAAGCATTTTCACTACAAAGAATATTGTAGAGACGGGAGAGAAGGGACTGAAGGCCATGATAAATGACCAAGAAGTAGTGTTGGATGTTATGGATATCTGCAAGGCTTACATAAAAGCCAACCAGGCAGAGGGAAAGAAGATACTTGTGTCTAATGTGAATTCGGCACTAGAATCTGTTTTCAAGAAGCTTGAGGAAAAGGAATTTTCCTTTGTTTCTGACTTCCCTCTTCTTTGCATTTTCAGATTTGTTATTATAATATACGAAAGACTTCTGGAGATCAAAAAACTGGATGTAGCCGATTCATTTGTAAACGATCAGAGGGGGAGACAAAACGAAACTTCCAGGTATCTTGAGGTCAAGAACTTGTGCCTTGAGTTTATGAAAAAGAACGTCGATGGATATACTTTTGAAGACAGAATTAGAGAACTCACTGATTGTAAAGGATATAAACTTTACAACATAAAGAAAATGATTTCTAAAATAGAAAAGCAAGCTATAGCTCTGAGTGAAAATAATCAGTTGCTTAACTCGCTCAATGGAGCGAATGAATTTGATGGAAACGAAACCATCTATTACTTCAAAAAATCCAACAATACGATTGAGGTAGGAGTTGTAGGACTCAAGGACAGTGAAAAATGGAGCGATTATGTAGAGAAATTTGAGACACTAACTCTCTGCAAAGGTATGATAAAAGAAGGGCCTTTTTTGCCAAGAACTTGTAAGAAGCCACCCATAACAGGATACTTGAAGCAGGATCTAAAGATACAGTTGAGCCCCGGAACTTACAAGATTAAGTACATTACCGAGTCGGAATCCTTTTATATGAGTTCTGGGTTTTTCCCTAAAAAGGGTAGTTCTTGTGAAGGATCTCATTAAACTCCTTGTCTTGATAGGCTCCAAGTTCTGAAGAAAACATGTAAAACAGCGAGCTGAAAGCAAAACCTTACTGTACAAAGCCCCTTGGGCTGTTTCCAAAAATAACGCCTCCTGCAAACGAAAGAGGGTGCTCATGCCACGAAAGACACGAGACTTAGAATTGCAATCGTTTGGGTTTCCAATCTAGCAATCTCTCTATCTCCGTATGAACGTCATCGATAGAGGCCTCCTGCGTAAGGAACACGGGGGTAAATTTTTTACTTTTAAGTCTAAAAGCACTTCGATATTTTGTCCCAAGATGTTTGAGAAACTATCTTTGGCCATGGAAAAGGCCAAGAATTCTAGAAAGGGGTGCCTTAATGTCACTTCCGAGGAAATAGAGAGCCTGGTATGCCCAATCAAGTTTAATTCAGACGAATGCATAGAAATAATGTGCAGGAACTGTAAAGAGTTTGACTAGGCCTTCCCTTACTTTATGGATAGCCCTCATACTTAATAAAAGCAACCTACGAACCGAGGGTCTTGCCAATGTCTGAGGAAAAAACCCGCGATCTCAAAACTATAAAAATCATTTTCTATCAATATTCTCATAGTATTACAATTAAAAATAATTAAGCATATAAAATTTCTTGAAATTATCCTTTTTTCCTAGGAGATGAACAAAAAAGTTTTGACCTTTCCATCTGAAAAGGTAGGCCTCTCCTCAGACAATGTAGAGTTTGATCTTGTAATGTCTCGAGGAGATTATTTGTCGAAAAACAAAGCCCAGAGATATATGGTCATAGATATGCTGGGAACTGGAACTTTTGGACAGGTTGTTAGGTGCGTAGGACCTGAAGGTGAAGAAGTTGCTATCAAGGTGGTCAAAAATCAGCCGAAATACTACAACTACGAAATGAACGAGGTCCGAATTCTCCACAAACTGCTTTATAATAACCTAAACGATAGATTTGTTTCGATTAAGGATGTCTTCATGTATAAACAACATTTGTGTATTGTAGAGGAGTTACTTGGCAAAAACCTATATACATTTTTAAAAATGACAAGATTCAAGGGCTTTGACCATATCACCCTTAGAACTATACTTCAGCAAGTACTTGAAGGGATGATCCAGCTCTCAATGCTAGGGATCATTCATTGTGACTTGAAGCCAGAAAACATCCTCATAGCCGATTACGAAACCTTCAAGATAAAGATTATCGATTTTGGATCTGCAGTAACCTCCCCCCAAGGATCGCACTTCTATGTCCAATCAAGATATTACCGGGCTCCTGAAGTGATTCTTGGGATTCCATATGGATCAAGCTGCGATATATGGTCCCTAGGTTGCATAGGATATGAACTGTATGTTGGACATCCATTGTTTCCAGGAAAAGATAACATGGACCAAATGGGAAGAATCTATGGTCTTTTTGGCTCCTTACCTATGTTTATGATAGAGCATGGGAAAAATTCAAACATCTTTTTTGAAAAGGAAAACGGATACAGATTTATAGGGCCAGCATCTAACTTTACACTAGAAGACATGAAGAAGATTATCAGGTCAAAATGTAACTCCCAAGACGACGATGATATGCTTATAGAGTTTCTGCTAAAGGCACTTCAACCCAGCCATCTTATAAGGCCAGACGCCAGGTCATTAGCAAATCATTCTTATCTCAAGCTCAAGGATGTGTCTCCAGAACTTAATAAGATTCATGACAGCCGAAATGGAGTACAACAGAGTATTCTCCCCGCAAGTAAGAACATGAGACATATGTCTACCACGGGAATAATCCTTCCTAGTAAAAAGCAGAAATCTACAAATGACAGAAGAAAAATATCTGTTTACGGAATTTCATATGAAAACAATTTAAACAGAGATGCAGAATGACGGAAGCCAGATTATTTAATCTAACCCGTCAATCTTTTACCTTTTGTAAAGTTTCATTCTGTTTCTAACCCCAAAGAGGAACACAAAATAATCAATTCAATTATAAACGATCTTATTGTACTTCTTCCATGTTCTTTGGTTTTCTTGCACCATAAGACCGGTTGCAGGAAAAATAAGGTTCTCTATGTTGACGTATCGAATTCAATTGCTTGAAGATTGATATGGCGTAATACTCTCGATTTTCATTAACTCATGTCATTTCCAAAGAGAATTGTATTCCTGGGATGAATGCAAACCCTAAAATGATTATTACGATCATGGTTGCAGGAATATTTATTAGGTGCGATGATGAATCGTCCCAACAAAGAGATTCATTAGCTAAGCATACTGGAATAATAAGAAAATTTGACTATTCAAATCAAGGACTTACTAGTATTCCTGACGAGATCTTTAATGTACCATACTCCTCACATATAACTGAAATCAACCTTCAGAGAAACAAAATACATAAACTTCCTTCGAGAATAGGTAACCTCCAACGACTAGGAAAACTCTATGTTAATGACAACAAAATTACGTTTCTTCCCAAGGAAATCGGAAAATTGCTTCAACTTTGGGATCTAGATGTAAGCAACAATAACATAACCTGGTTACCTATGGAAATTGGGAATCTACGGTCCCTCTTCCGATTAAAAATAAATAACAACAATCTTCGGAGATTGTCTGTTAACATGGAGAAGATGCTAAGTCTTCATGAATTGCATGCAGAATGCAACAAGCTACGCACTTTACCCAACACATTTAGAAAGTTCTTAAACCTTGGAAAACTTTATCTCCGAAATAATTTGTTTGAAGAGATACCAGAAGTAATATGCAGGATGCACTATCTTGAGAAGCTTGATATGAGAGATAATAAGATACAGAGACTAAGTAGAAAGATTGTTGAAAGACTCTTCGATCATGAGATGCTGGAGAAAATTGATCTCCGAGGGAATGATCTAAAAAGAGAAAGCGATTCCGAGTGGGTTGGATGGGAAGAACTTGAGAAATTATTTAAAGATCAGGTGCTCCTGTCGCAACTGGGAAGGCCAGGGATTGATGACGTTGAGTAAGCCGTAGTAATGAATTGGACCAGGCTAATACTATACACAAAATGATCAAAAGCAGAAGTAAATCCATAATATCTACTGCGGGAAAAATATGCTAAACACCATCGAGGAGTGTTAGAAAAGATAGTTTGAAAAAACAGGAAATATACAAGGACATTATTAAAAACCTTTGAGCCAAAGATATTTGGATCTTTAAAAGATGTAGTCTGATATTAAGACAACATTAGCAAGTTTACTTTGTTTTAAAAGCCCAAGAAGGCTTGTGTAAGATTCGGAGTACCCTATAATTATAAGATCCATAGATTGGGGCTGTAGAGATGGAAATGGATGTTCCTTGTGCTGAGCTTGCAAAAAAGCTTCTTGGTAAAATACTATGCAGGAGGATAAATGGAAAGACAATGAAAGGAATGATAGTTGAAACCGAAGCATATATAGGGCAGGAAGACAAAGCATGCCATGGATACGGAGGGCGTAAAACAGAACGAAACTCTGCAATGTATATGAAAGCAGGAACATGCTATGTGTACAGAATATATGGAAAATATGAATGCTTCAACATTTCATCCATAGAAGCAGGAGCCGGAGTGCTAATACGGGCTCTGGAACCATTGTGCGGAATTTCAGAAATGAAAAAACTTCGAGGCGGAGGAATCAAGGAACGAGATATCGGAAACGGTCCATCGAAGCTGTGTATTGCAATGGGAATAACACGGAAAGAAATTAATAAAGAGTGGATCGGAGATAGTTCAAGAATATGGCTAGAGGAGGGTCGGGAAGTTGAAGATTTTGAGATTGTTGCGGGGAAGAGAATAGGAATTCGGAATTGCGGAGAGTGGGAAGAGAAGATGCTCCGATTCTATATAAGAAATAATGAGTTCGTTAGCTGTATTAGAAGACGGAGATAAAAAGATATATAAAAATACTCTACTGTAAGAAGTGAAAAAGAAGAGTACCGAAAATGTTTTTCGTATGGAAGTATATGAATAGGAAAGACCCGGAATTCCTTGGAAAATTTAGAAACCAAAACTATTGAATGTTTCTAAGGACTCGTATCTAAATAAATTTTAAACCAACAAGTATATTAATCCATAGCTCTATCAAACATTCTAATATTATTGATTTGCCTTATCTTAGGGTAATTAATTGCCAACAACACCTAGCCATTTTCTAGTTATTTGGATATATTTCTGTAAGCTTATAATAGACGTAAGTGGAAAATTGAGAGCTATATTAGCAAGTAAAATAGATTTATGCCTCCAAGATATATTAAGTCTCATCATTTATTGCCAACTAAGAAGGAATACTTTCTTGGGCACAAGGATTGAACATGCATAGATATGCTGAGAATATATAGGTGGTTATAATGATGAGAAGAATTAGAGCAAATAAAGCTTGTCTCCATAGTGTAACTTCAGTACTTTTTGGAGAGGGTTTGTGTTTTTCTTTCAACGATCTTAATGGAATAAGAATGAAAGAAGAGACCACAAACAAAAAGAGATGGATCTTCTCAAATTTGCTGAAAATTACTCCGCTTGTTATGATGCATATAAATATTGCTAGGTCAAGTAAAGCATCTTGTTCAGTATCTATGAACGACATCAACTCAAGACTACAAGAGATAGACAGCAAATAGGTCGATAATACGGCACGAGGAAGGAAAAGGGTGGCTGCTTTCTTCAGATTGTTATTACTCAAACTTCTAATAGGAAATAAAATAATTGAAAGAGTAAAAATTATGGAGAGTGAAAGAAAGAGAATCTTAAGGAAAGAATGAAACACGTTAGGAGATTTGTCTTCCAATTTTTTGGTGGTAAAAAACAAACTGAAGTGGTGAATTGATAAGTAAGAGAGAGGAAGAATAAATACCAAGAATCGGAGAAAAAGGTTTCCACTGACCTTTCCTTCCGAAAAAATAAGAAATATGAGAGAAGGGAACAAAGTGGACATAGGTGAAATAAATCGGTTGTATAGATCCTTGACCTGATGTATTTTTTTTTCAGTACTCTCTGGAATGTGGTATAGTGAATTCCAAATTGTTTCTGGAGTTTCGTGAGAGTTCATGTTCTTGATGGGGTTAAAAAAATGGAGATATTTGAAAATTAATTAATTATAAAGATAAGTTTAAAGGAAGTAGCTTGAGAAAAGAAGGCAGAAATCAGATTAGGATTTAATCAAGAGGAAGAGCGTGGTTGAAAATTTCAAGAAGGAGGGCAGATTTTTTAGGATCTTGTGACGTACAATAGAGCCTAAGTTGAATACAAGTCTCATGGAAGGGAACAGCAAAAGAGTAATAGATTTCTTTAGATGAGAAAAAGAGCTCGGAGGGAGAGGAATTTAGAAGGTCCTGAAGGTAGGGTTGGAAGAGAAAGAAGGACTCCTCGGGGTCGGAAAGGTCATAAAAAACAACACGGCGTAAGATATTTGTGTGCAGAGGATTTCTAATAATATGAGCGAAGTGGCAAGAATCAAGAACGTAGTCGTATGGTTGAATGTAAGGGGAATCTCGGAGAGCATGGAGGAAGGCTTGTTTGGCATTATTAAGGGCAGAAGAGTCGGGAAGGTCTCTGTAAGCAAGAAAGAGGTAAGGAATCCTGGCATGGAACCTTCCAATAAGGGACTGTAGGTCTGGATGGATGTCGGAGAAACCATCAAGGAGGTTGTCATCAAGAGCCAAAAAGGCATGGAGATCTCGAAGGTTGAAAAGATGAGGGTGCCGGGGTATGAGTTCTTCGAAGATGCGGTGGATCAGTAGGTTAAGACCATGGGCATGGGGATGATAGTAAAGGTAGCGGTAATTGAGGTAAACACAATGGGCAAAAACTGCAAGAGCAGGTGCTGCACGAGAGGAGTAAACAATACGATCGTTGAGAATACGCGAGTTAAGGATGATTTCACAAACGGCGTTGTCAACAATGCGAGCATAGGAGGGGTGGCAGCACATTCGAGAATCCCGTCTCATGTAGTCGAACTTGTCCACATCTAGAGAATCTTGAAGATCACCATTGACAATGGTGAAAATAACATAAGAGCTGAAATGAGAAGATGCACCGTATTTGCGAGCATGCCGCCTCGGGGAGATTCCTAGGATCATATCACAGACGGCATACAAAAAGTCGTTAGGGAGGTTGTACTTAGAAACAAGACGAAGCTCGTTAAAAAGATGGCATGCAATTCGAGTAGACTGAAGCTCATGAGACCAGGGTTTGAGGGGAGGGCAATGGGAGGAATAGGCTCGTTGGAAGACATGAGAGTAGGGGCCATGGCCAATATCATGGAGAAGGGCAGCAACCTGAACCGCAAGAGATTGGAGAGGAGAGATACGGGAAGTCGGAGGAGAGTTCTGGTTGAGAGCATTGATGTATATGGAAGCGGCAATAGAAGAACCTCTGGAATGGGCAGCCCTATGGATGTTGCCATGGGGAAAAAAAAACTTGAGGGAGGAGAGCTGAGCGACACGGTGGAGTCTGGAGAAAAGGGGATGGCAAAGAAGGTCTTCTATGAGTGGATGAGGTGGATCCTGGAGGTCCGGAAGGAAGAGGCGGTAGAGAGGGTCAGCGTAGGAAGAGAGAACTAGGCCGAAAAAAAGAAGAAGTTTCATAATAAGGGATGCTATATAAGAGGAATAAAGTTATAGATTTTTTAAGGAAAAGACGAAAAAAAGAAATAGCAAGAGAAGCATTCAAAAATTCTCCTGATATATAACTATCGGAAAATGGTATTATATCCATTTGTTATTTACGATAACTAGCTTACGATATTCCCTATGACAAAGTACAGCGAGAATATGATAAAAGAATCATTAGGAGATTTCAAAAACTAGCATTGAACTTCATTCCTCTTTATAAAGACTATGAGAAGGATAAGATGACATTTGGAGATCTAACAAAGAAAATGAATACTCAGAAAGTCTAGGAAAACACTTGATGAACTTAAAGAGATTTTTAAGTTCAAAGCTAAGGAAGAGATTAAGATGTTAAATCCTCGTAAGATTTGGGGAAAAAGAAAAAAGGAATTTAAGAAGATCAAGGAGTATGGATAAGTTATTTGTACCAAGCTTTATCCTGAAGATGTGCCTGAGAAAGTTACATGCTAGAGAATTGGAATTAAACCAGTGAATTTGGATTATAAATATAAAAATTGTATGCTTTCATCAATTAGTTACTTGGATCATAATTTTCTAATGGACATAGAGAAAAAGTATGGAAGTGAGGTTACACCAAAGTTAGTGAAGGAAAGATTTTTAGAATATAAAAGTGATTATAAAAATGAAGTGGATAGGATTGTTCTCGATGTTAAAGAAAGAAGAAAAGAGAAGAAAGATTCTCCAAGGAAAAAATAAATAAGAGGAGAAGTAGAAGGAAGTACATGACA